AATTTTTTTTTTTTTTTTTTCCCCCCCCCCCTTTTGGAGATCCTAAGATCCCCCTTTAGGTTTTTTTTTTAACCCCCCCTCTTTTTTTTTTTCCCCCCCCCCCTTTCCCCAAGAACCCTCCCCCCCCCCCCCCCCCTTTCCCTTTTACTTCTTAACCGACCCATCCCATTACGGCATGAATCCAGTTCACCAGAATGACCCCCACCTGGCACAGTCCACTGGTTTGGACTCTACAGCTTCTATCCCACCCAATGCCAAGAAGACCAGAAAACCCAAGAAGAATCCTGAGGATGATGATTCGGGTGATGACTCGGAAGATGGTGAAGATAAGCCTGCCCGACGATCAGGTCGCAGAAAGATCAAGATTGAATACATTGAAGACAAGAATAGACGACACATTACATTTTCTAAAAGAAAAGCAGGAATCATGAAAAAGGTACAAACAATTTTCTTAAAAAAAGTTTTTACATATATATATATATGTATGTATGTATATATATAAACTCCCAAAAAAATAATAAAAATATAAAAAAAAACAATAAACAATAAACAGTAAACAACAACAACAAAAACAGCAATATATATTTATATACAAAGACGCAAAGAAGTAAAATACACGCATTGAATTTTATACATGTGTGAGATATGTATTGGTTAATTACGCGAAAACTAATCAAAAAAGAATGATTCTTTATGTATGTATGTATGTATGTATCTATATGCGTGTGTGTGGTATTTAGGCGTATGAATTGAGTACTCTGACAGGGACTCAGGTGTTGTTGCTGGTCGTGTCTGAGACAGGATTAGTATATACATTCACCACCGTTAAGCTGCAACCAATGGTAACAAAACCCGAAGGAAAGAATTTGATCCAAGCCTGTTTGAATGCGCCTGATCCAGCCTCTGAGGAAGCAGCCGTGAGTATTTATATTTATATACATGCGCGTTTCTGGATTCACAATTAAACATCACAAACTCACAAATTGGAGTAGAGTGATGCTGGTTACAGTAACGGCCAACCGTCGCCTCGTGCTGCCTACAAGGAAAAGGAGCCCTACAACAAAAAGGTGCGTACAGGCAGATATTTTCAGAGAGTTAAAATCAACAACAACAAAAGAAAGTCCCAAAGAGAGAGAGAGAGAGAGAGAGAGAGAGAAAGGCGTGTGATTAATAGGAATCGCGTGTGTGTGTGTGTTTTTTAGGTTGAACCCTCCACTCCATTGGCACCTACGTTTCCTCCATCTCAAGAGCAAAACTCTGCTCCTGCTCAGGCATACCAACCTCAGCCTGCTTATGGTAACTACGGTCACGCCGGTTATATGAACGCACCACCACCAGGTCATTATCAGCAGCACCCAGGGCAACAACCTCCACAACAACAGCAGCAGCAGCATCCTTCGCAAAACCAGGCACAGCACCATCAACACCAGCAACCTTCGCCTCAACAACATCAACAACAGCAGCCCTATGGTCAGATACCTTCTCCCGCATTTTATAATAACCAACAGCACTATATGCCTCAACAGCAACACCATCATCAACAACAGCAACAACAACACCAGCAACAACAACCTGGTGGACATGGTGGCTATTGGCCAAATGTTCCTGTTCAAGGTAATCCCGATCCTTCTATGGCAAGACAGCAAGAGCATGGTGGAGTTGAGGATCCGGCCAGAAGAATGGCTCCTGCCCCAGGAGCAAAGAAGTAGTTTCAAGTCGTTTTTAGTAGCAGCAGCAGCAGTAGTAGTAGTAGTAGTAGTAGTAGTAGTAGTGGCTGGTTTATTAAGGATTCAAAGCAGAAACATTGTGACACAAAGCTACATTTCTTAAATTTCACTTGACCACTCAATCAATCACTCAATCAATCAATCAATCAATCACTCACTCACTCACTCGCTTACTCGCTTACTCATTTACACTAACTTTACTCCATTCACACTCCATCCACACTCACATTCATCAAGCAAAATAACCAAGAAGTCGAAGAAAATCATACAGATACAAATATTATAAATATGAATATAAATATAACTACACACAAAATGCTAAGAGAAGAATGAAAATAAGAATTAGGATCTTGATGCTTTATTTTCATTGTTGTTTTTGTATTTTCTATAACATTGATCATAGTATATTTGAGATAATACTACCACTAGTAATAAATGGTATCTAGATTATAAATCAAGTTATAAATGACGACAGATTTGTGCGTGTGTGTGTGTGTGTTTTTTTTGGTGAAATAGAGTTACCATTAGGTAACCCTCTTCAATTAGTCAGCCAAACAAGCTATGTGTGTAAAGAGGGCAAAGCTGTCATCTATGGACTGAGAAGGGATGATTTGTAAATGTTGCTGAAAATTTGCTTTTGACTATGATTTTAATTTGGAATATCCTTGGCTATATTTTACGTGAAATTAACATATGATTGTTGTAATTGAGCAAAATGAATGGTATTAAGCTCAGGTTTGTCAGCACTAAATCACAGTATTTTGCATTACTCTACATCATAGCACAGGGCATCCTAATGCTGGATTAATAATAGGAGCAAAACAAGAGCTGTCAAATAAGTCCGAGACAAATATTCACAGTCACAGTAATTTTCTTTTTTTTTCTTTTTTTGGTAATACAGAATGTACAAAAAAGAAAACGCAAAGTCGGTAAATTTACAAGTAGAGCAAAATGGTTTCTTTACACACACACACACACACAAAGAGAGAGAGAGAGAGATATTTGTATAAGTCGAAAATGAAATCATTCTTGTACATTCCCAGTAATATAACACCATATTATCCTTTATATCTATATAAGGTCTTGGTCCTGTTAATTTAATCAAAGAATGAACCCAACAAAGAAGAGGAAGAAGAAGAGAAAATAGAGTGTAATCTTAGTTTACTGCAGAAAGCTAGTTTTAAAAACACTCTTAAAAGGAAATAGCTTACGCGTTCTTTCCATTTTTTTTTTAAAATTTTTTAAAATTTTTTTTTCTTTGCTTAATCTCCTGCTATCCGCTCCAATCACACCTAATTAGGATAGGTACACACACACTACTATAGAACGATTCATGCTGGTGATATATATATATAAATCCCAACAGTAACAATAGCAGTAATAGTAGCAATATCTAATAAAAAGAATAGGCTGACTATGTATATATTATCTATAAAAGGGCCATTTATCAGTCGTTTTTGGACAATCGATATATATATACATACATCTCTTTCTTTCTTTCTTTCTTTCTTTCTTTAATTCTACAACTCTACCAAACACCTAAACAAAAGAAAACCAACATGGTCCAGCTCAAAGAAATTGGAAAGACTGGTGTTAAGGTGCCTGCTATTGGCTTTGGCTGTATGAGGTAACTCAATTAAACATAAAGATAGATATATAGCTACAAGACCATACAATTAAAACAACATCTAATATAATCTATGTTAATGTTATGTAATCTATAGCTTGAGTGGACCCTATGGTTCTGCCGATGATGAAGAAAGTATCAAGACATTGGAGCGTTCTATTGAATTAGGGTAGTTACTATACTCATCTGTCTCTTCCCCCTTTTTATATATATCTAAGGAATAATAATCAATGAATTCCTCGGATAATAACTCATGTAATTCTATAGATCCACATTCTGGGATACTGCTAATGTGTACGGAATCAAGTCTCACAACGAGCGTTTACTGTCCCGTGTATTAAAGACACAGAGAGACAAGATTTTCCTGGCTACAAAATTCGGATTCATACGTGATGAGTCTGGTGCAATCAGTAGATTCGATGGCTCTCCAGAACATGTCCGTGAAGCGTTCGATAAGAGTCAGAAGAACCTCGGTGTTGATGTAGTTGACCTGTACTATATGCATCGAGTTGATCCTAAAGTGTAACTATTCATTCCTTTGTTTTGATATACACATATACAATCGCACGAAGTCTTACAAACGAATATTTTTTCTTGTTTTTTTTTTTAAAAAGCCCAATTGAAGACAGTGTCAGAGCTATGGCTGAATTGGTCAAGGAAGGCCGTGTCCGCTTCCTCGGTAAGTTATTTTGTAACATGAGTATATATGTATATATATATCAAGTTTTTCGACGTGCTGATGTATTAGTAATCCTCAGGTTTGTCTGAATGTTCGGCCGAGACTCTTCGTCGCGCTCACAAGGTGCATCCTATTACCGCTGTACAGATGGAATACTCTCCCTGGACATTGAACATCGAAAATAATGGTATCCTTGCTACTGCCCGTGAGTTGGGAATTTCAATTGTTGCCTAGTGAGTATACATATATATATATATATCAAAAAGAATAACCTTATTCACACATAACAAACAAAAGCTCTCCTTTGGGCCGTGGGTTTATGACAGGTTCCATCAGAAGTCTCGATGATTTTGATAAAGATGATTTCAGACGTGGTCTGCCTCGTTTCTCTCCCGAGAATTTTGACAAGAACCTCAAGCTTGTTGATGACATTACTGCCCTTGCTACCAAAAAGGGCGTCACACCTGGACAATACGTTCTGGCCTGGATTCTGGCCCAAGGCCCAGAGTTTTTTGTAATCCCTGGTACCAGAAGAGTCAAGAATCTTGAGGAGAATGTTAAGGCTGGAGATGTTGTATTGACAAGCGAAGAAGTGGCCGAGATGAGAGAATTGATCGATAAGGCTAATATTATCGGAGAGCGTTATGCTCCAGCTCAGCTAGCTACCGTTAACAATTAGATTACCTATATAAATAAATGTATCTTGTTTTACTATATAACTATTAACATTAATTGTATTAATACTCTTGATCGTTGCCTTTTCTTTGTAATATAAAGTTGATTGTTTATACAATATATATTCCACTTGAATAAAAGGATCCAGTTAGAAGAAGAAGAAAAAGAAGAAGAAGAAAAAGAAGAAGAAGAAGAAAAAGAGCCACGGCTAGATGTTTGTGTCCAAAATCATTGGCTATGTTATTCTTAAGAAATATAGCAAATTCATCGCTCTCTTTCTATAAAATGCATCTCTTCCAGAGTATATCAAGCAGGAGCTGTGCTTTGTAAACAGCTTAAATAAATCGTTAGCATTTCAAAGCAAAGCAAAGCAAAGCAAATCAGATCGAATCAAATGATTTATTTGTTCAATTTGGGCCACCCAACCTCAGGACTGCTTTTCTACTTTTGTTTCGACCTTTTTGCTTTGTTGGCCATTGAATCACCGCAATAGCCTGCCCTGTGTATAAGAGTATTGGGAAAGAAAGAACGAAAGAAGAAAAAAAAAAAAGAGAGAGAGAGAGAGAAAAGATTGGGTAGTCTGTGTAGTGTATCAAGTGTGTGAAAAATAATAATATAAATTTGTATTTAATCAATCTCAACGAAAAAGAAAGATGACCTCAGCTCGCAAGTCAAACTTATTGGCATCCTTACGAACAACGATTCCACAAATCTTCAATGATGCTCAGAAACCCAATGCAAATCACAGAAAGTATTCGATTGCACTTCGCAAACTTCAGGTCCAATTATGTTTAAATTCGCCTATCGACAAGGACAAATCACATGACATTGATTACGAAGGCGAAGAAGCATTTGATAAAGAGTTCTTTCGAAATGTCAATAAAATCCTCACAGTAAAGAAACGTGAACCACATGCAGACAGAATTGTTAGATTTATTGCAGCCTTTTTACAATACACACAGCAACAAGGTAAATAATAATAAACATCACTATATGTGTGTGTATATATATACATCTCTGCATATATATATATTTCTTAGAAAATAAATCAATAAATCAATATACTATTCCTATTAGTATTATTATTGTTGTTGTAATTTCTGCGTACAATTATTCATAAATATACATTTATATCATCGCTATAAAGACAACGAGAGCAAAGAACCAAAGGAAATAGTAAACGATGGTGATGATATGGAAGGAGAGGAGACTGTATCATCCCGTTTTGTGGAACACCTTATGCGTCACCTCATCAAGGGTTTGATGGCTAAGAATAAAACGGTGCGATTAAGAAGTTGCCAAGTTGTAGCCCTCAGTGTAAATTCATTGGGAGAAATCGAGTACGTAAAACAAAAAACCAAAAAAAAAAATCAATATTATCATTATTTGTATCTAGAAAAGAAAAATGAAATACATGTATTTTTATACAAAAAAAAAATACATGTGTGTCGATGAAACTAAATGAGATTCATTGGAAGAAGAAAGGTCTGAATAAATAGAAACTTAAGAAATTAAATTTGAATTTGTGTGTGTGTAGTGAAGATATCTACCAAGATTTGAAGCGAGCCTTGTTTGAACGTATCAGAGACAAGGAGGCCAGTGTTCGCAGTCAGGCTGCTACTGCTCTTTCTAGACTCCAGGGTGCAGATTCTGAAGTAGACGAAGTAGATGGAAAGACAATCACACAGAAACTAGTCTGGGCACTTCGGCATGATCCTAGCGCGTATGTTACATATATATATATATAAAGAGATCGTTGACCTTACTAATGTGTGTATAAAATGCATTAAAATAATATCAAGTGAGGTTCGGAGAGTAGTTTTGTTCAACCTGGACCAGACTTATGAAACGATTCCTTATATTGTCGAGAGAGCCCGAGATGCGGATGCCACTAATCGTCGAGTGGTCTACTTGAAGCCAATGGCTGAGATACAAGATTTCAGACTGATACCTTGCCAAGAAAGACACTTGCTTCTCAAATGTGGACTCAATGATAGGTAAATATAATAAATATAATAATGATAATGATAATGCAATGTAATATATTAACGACTGTATTATTTCTTTCTGTAGAGATCCATTGGTAAAAAAGGCAGCCAGTAAGATGATCTCAATGCATTGGATTAGACATGCAGACCACAACTTACTCGAGGTAAGAGCTTACTCAAATTGATCAGTGTTCAAAATAAACTATTGCTCACGAGTGTGTAATATAAGTTTCTGGAACGAATGGATATTTTGGAAGGCGATGCAGCCGAAGATATTCTTACCGCATTCCTTTCTTCCCGTATCGATATCGTTAATTCAATTAAATTTGACGGTAAGGAACAAAGTCTACCAAACTAATGATCCAACTAATCAACTAGATAAACGAGCCTACAAATTACAAATTACAAATATATTTATATATCAAAATTCACTTTACTCATCAAAAGCATTATTTAGATCAATTTTGGAATAATCTTTCACCCGAAAGTTCTTTCCTTGCAAAAGTTCTTATTCAATTCTTACAGGCTAAAGAAGTAAATTATTCCATTAGTCACACTCATAAAGGAACCATAACCGTCAACTAACCTTATTTAATTTATTTTTATTTCAAAAAAAAAGTACGATGAAAAGCTTGATGCCGTTCTTCCCGAGGTTACCCGACTCTCCTTTATTACTCAAGATTATGCCCAATTGTGGAGAGAAGCAGAAAAGGGAACAAAGGGAGATTATGAGTTTATTGTTACTCAACTCCTAGATATTGCAAAGTGTTTAGATTATGCTGATGAAGTAGGAAGACGAAAGATGTTTGATTTGTTACGTATGTCAAGCAAAGAAATAGTCTCTTAATCATTTCCTTATTTTAATAATGATACTAATGAATCCAATTTCCATGTTTGTCTGTATGTACTGTGGTTGGATTAAATAGGTGAGCTTATTATGGTCCCAGACATATCTGACAATCATTTGGCAAGTGTGGTTGAACTTTTCAAGATCATCTCATTTGATGAAAGAGATTTTACAAGGTAACCTTCTGTGCATAATACACATACTCACATAGACACAAAACATTTTATAGAAATTAACGTTTTTAATGGAATAGAACTATGGTGGAAATTATATCAGATATTCAAGAAGTATCTGGCTTGGGTGAACAAGAAAGTTCATATTCTGTTAGTAATCATCAACCGGAACCCGTACCTTTTCTAATCTTGATTATATTATTATTATTTTTATACTTTTTTGCTTCTTAGGTTACCGACACCACACCCCTTAAGAAAATTAAGCTCAGTAACCGTGTTTCCCCAAAACTTGAAGAAGATCTTGACAGAGAACCCGATATTTTAAGGAAGAAGCTTGCACAACTAAAATGCCTGACGATTTGTAAACACATATTAGAAAGAAGTGAAGAGGTAATTCATACTTATATTAGTCTATCAATTGTATGTATATGCTTATATTAAACTACCATGATCTGTATATATATAGACCTTACAAAATAACTCTACTCTGTATGGCTTGTTGAATGAACTTATTGTTCCTTCAGTTAAAAGCAATGAAACCGTGCTTCTGGAAGAAGGTTTACACTGTCTTGGCCTGTTTTGCTGCTTGGACAAAGTAAGTTTGGTAGTAAGGAAAGGGTGGAATGAAAGTAATGCCTCTTGATACTAAACTATGTGTGTATATGTATGTACATAATTGACAGACACTTGGACAGCACAACCTCCCTCTTCTCACCCATCTGTTAAAAAAAGGACATTTGGAACTTCAGCAAAAATCTTTAATGGTAAGCTGTCTTTACCTTGTCGGAAATGTATCAAAAAGGCAATACCCAATTAATACTTTGTCTTACTAGATTCTGTTTGATATGCTTACATGCTATGGTCTGGACTGGATGGTGTCTGGATTAGTCGGTGTACGTATTAGACATACATACATATATACATATATTTATTCTAATGGTTTATATAGCTGGATGAAGTAAAAGATATATTTGAACGTTCTCTTGATCACGATGATCCGGATATGCAAGCAATTGCAGCCCAAGGTCTAGCCAAACTAATGCTCTCGCGCATTTACCAGAACCGAGATGTAAGTAGTTATGCACACAAGTATATTAAATTTAGAACATCTTATCTCAATACTGATCTTGTTTGTTTCAGACTCTCAAACTCTTGATTCTATTGTACTTTTTCCCTTCAACCATTGACAATATAACCATTCAACAATGCCTGAGTTATTTCTTCCCTGCCTTTTGTTACTCGTCTACCGTCAATCAAAGAATGATGGCAGAAGTAAGGATCTTTTTTTTTGGGGGGATATATATACAGATTGTTATAGCTGTTAGGTTGGGTTAGGTTGGATTGAGCTTAATAGTTGTTTTTATTTTGGTTTCTGGTTTGAGATTACTTAATATATATATATGTACTTTAAATAGGTTGCGGTTGAAGCACTCGAAGACCTTTGTAGTACCTTTGATGATCTGGATGAGAATGAAAAGATGACATCCCCAGGCCAAATTGCAGACATGTTGGCCGACTGGACTGAACCACGCAAGGTAGCAAAGTAAGTAAAGCCTTTAGATCTCATAATAATATAATTCAAGTAATATTAACTGTTATTTTATACTTTATGTAAATTTTCAAAAAAAAAAAACAACAACAATTTATTTAGAACCAGAAGAAATGAAGAAGACGAAGATGGGATTAGAGTGCAAGTTGGCATGGCATTAGAATTACTGGATATAATTTCTAAACAAGCAGGAAGTAAGAGCATATTCTAAGAAGAAGAAGAAGAAGAAAAAGAAGAAGAACATTATGAGATATGCATTTTACTTAATCATTCTTTTTTTTAAAAAAAAACAGGAACTCGTAAAACTATGTGTCATACACTTAACAAGATGTACATAGATGAGGCAACTGATGCCCAACTTGAAGAGTTACTCACTAAAGCGAAAATAGTGGAGAGTGTAAGTCTTACAGATCAGATATTGAACTAGATGTCTAATGATTGAGCCACAGGATAATGGATCGTTGGAGCCCATGGTACGCAATATGTTGCTAAGATTTATCAGATCAGTTGAGAAGCGTCTTCCGGAAGAACAAGAAAACCAAGAGACTCAAAAGGCTGTCGATGATGAGAATGACGAGAATGAGGAAAATAGGGAGGATGGGACTATAGTAGTACCTACAGAAGCGTTATCAGAAGCTACAGATGTTCCTGTAGATACCGAAGATACTATAGATACCACAGAGGCTATGGATACTGCAGATGCTGTAGATGCTGTAGATGCTGTAGATGCTGTAGATGCTGTAGATACTGTAGATACTGTAGACACTGTGAATGATATAGATGATGTAGATATTGTAAATGCTACGAATGCTGCAGATTAAGGCGAGGCATCTTTTTTCTTTCTTTCTTTCTTTCTATTCTTTATATTCTTCAAAAGATCATCAACTTTGGCTATTATTATTTTTTAAGGAAGAGTGTGAGTACAAGATGTTTGTAATCAGTAGAGTGTGACAAAATGCATAAAGATATCAAATGCTGTCAAGGTTTAAACAACCCATTGGCTGACGTTACTGTCTGGGTTCTCTTTATGATAACACAACACAATCGCTTGTCCAACCTCACTGATTCTTATTCTTGTTCTTGTTCTTTTATTTTTGCAGCTGTATATATATATACATAATTATGGGGATAATGGTGTATGTCTATATACGTGAATATCTATTATAAATTTTGCGAAAATACTTAATAAAAAGTATATCAAAATACAGTTGAATGTGTATTAATTACAAACATGCCAGATTTATAAATTCTTGCTCGATTCTACAACCTTAAAAAACACACAATACAATGCTATTCGACTCGACTCGACTAATGCTATAGCAAAGATGATGAGATAAAAGAAAATATAATATGCTGTATCATTACCTCTTAACTATTATTATTTTTAGGTGGCCTACAAAGAAGCATGAGGTTTGTATACCTACCATTAGTTTACTAGGATGTGCTATTATAATGAATTCATACTTTTATATGCTTATATAATTATACAATTGTGGCTGTTTACACGTAGTTCAAGAAGGATGTTTTAAACTTTGCACACACATACACACACGCGCGCGCGCTTCTGATCATTAGGAGCAAGTAGTATAAAATATTTAAAATAGAGTAAAGAATTAATCCCCACTTGTATAAATAATAATAATAATAATAAAATTTAGATCATCCGAACTAGTCAAATTGCCTACAAGGTTTCATATTCTTGGTCATTTACTCTTATCATATATATATATATACGCTTCTTTAGTTTTATCATACAGTTCCATTAAACCACACAGACGCACACACATACACACAGAGAGAAAAATATAAAAACACTCTTGGTTATAGCTCAATAATAGAAACCAAATGAAGAGGCTTTAATCAGTAGTACAATAAAAGTCATGGAAGAAGAAGGAAGAGAAGGAGAAAATATAAGCCTTTTTTTTTCCTTTTGTATTATATTGTATATTATGTATATTATATATATTCTTTGTGCGGTAAATTAACCTTGTATTTTTTTTTCTTCTTATTATGACTCTCATGGGTGGACAAAATGTAACCTATATATTAAGTCCAAGTAAAGAGGAAATAATAATAATAATAACAATAATAATCGCGCACAGACAGTAAAAAAAATTCTTGCTTTTCCTCTTGCTTTTCCTCTTCTTCTTTATATTCTTCTTTGTCTTGTTTGATACTCGTACTCGTACTCGTACTCATATTTATCTATCTGTAAAATAAATAATATCCTTTGATAATGCCGTTCCGTCCAAAGGATACCTTCAAGTCAAATGCAGACTCAGAGAGCACAAAAGAACGCAAGAGAATTCACCATAATGTCCAAGCGTCTTCCTATTGGCTTCCGAATGATGATATAGAGCAAGATCGTTTAAACGAGGTATAAAGACGAAGAAGAACAACAACCACAATCACAATCATATTTTGTGTACATATTTAACACACTACACAGATGTACTTTGCTCTCAAACATCTTTACAGCGGGTAGGTACACGACACTAAACACACACACACACACACACACATATATATATATATATATGTATATCATTGACTTTTGTTTTTTGTTCCGTTTCTAAAAAGTCAACTTTTACCAAAAGTAAAAGAAATCCTTGACTTTAACTCAAATTTAAAGGTGTTGGATCTTGGCTGTGCAACTGGAGCTTGGATTTTGGTAATATATATATATATATATCATATCAATTATTAATATTATTAACACTATTTATTATTATCGCATATAAAGGAAACATCTGTAGAGTATCCTAATTGTGATTACTATGGTGTCGACATTAGTTCCAATTTTCCCGCGCTTTCACCTAATAATACACATTTTATGCTACACAACGTTATCGACGGTCTCCCATTTGTGGACAGCTATTTTGACTATGTTCGACTTGGACATTGGACTTCAAATCTCAAGGAAGTCGAGTGGCCACCTTTTCTCAAAGAAGTCTATCGAGTCATGAAACCCGGAGCGTTAATGCTGAATCTCGAAATTGATACCATGGTGAGCCTTATATCTCCATTTATTTTTTAATATTATTTTATATGTATAAATATATAGATGTTAGAGTTAGAATTAAAAAGAGAAATAGAATAAAGTGAATCCGGTATGTGTGTGTGTGTGTGTGTGTGTATAAATTCATATTTATCAAGCCACAAATCTAAGAACAGAATGATAGAATCACACCCTTGATGCTACTGGATCCCTGACAGCCTGTAAGTATAATAATTCGATGCATTGCTATTGTATTTCCTGCCATTTTTTTATCACGTTATAAACTTACTTGTTTAGTGTACATGGTCAACAAAATTAACAAGATGTATCCTGACCTTGTTTCTGTCTTGCCCGGTCTTTTAAAGAACGCAGGCTTCACAACCATCCTGACAGATAAAAGATCTGTGAATTTTGGCAAGTCAAATAAATAAATGAATATCGATTGATTAATTGCTTTTAATTTTATTTTATTTTATTAATTAAAATTAATTATTAAACTTTATTAATATTATATATATATATAAATATATATATACAAATATAAATATAAATATAAATATAGGTCAAGACGATCACAATAATATTCGGTTTGTTTCCTTGGCAACAAATATTATTCAAAAGCTTGGATATTTGATAGGACCAGCTCTTGGGATGTCTGCTGAAGAATACATAGCATCTACGCCCAAGCTCATACAGAAAGCAAAGGACAATCATGCTGAATGGACCTATGTGGCATTTCTATCCCAAAAACCCAAAAAGAAGTAATTTTAAATTATATATATATATATATATATTGTTCCTCAATCTAACCAGAAATGAAGAAAATAATAAAAATCGTTAATTAAATAATATTCATAATAATCTCAAGTATTTAATAATAATAGTATAGAATTAGCATTATCATCATAACCATCGTTGACATTGTTTTTAGTGTTACTGTTATGGTGTTCTTTAATTTATTTTATTAACAACAACAACAACAAAAAAGAAAGACAACAGGAGGTTTGATAGCACAGCTGTATTATTTAAAAGAGTGGGGAGAATTAGTTCTGAGATATATAATTATGTTTTTATGTTTAAATACTTGTTCTTTTTGGTTCAATGATCAACCATAAGACTCTCTCTTGAGAACACGGCAGGTTCATCAGGAAGCATTCGAGATACCCAGTTTGGATCATTCAATAAAGAAATGTCCATATTTCCAATCGGCAATTTCTATTAAAGTACTAATCAGTAAACAAAGAATACTCTAAAGCGTGCATTTGATTCCTCATATTTACCCTGCGAATGTTGTTGTAATGATCTTCCTTGGAAGTATACTCTCTCACCAGATACTTTGATCCAAATTCATGATAGACTCTAGTGTCATTGATTCTGAACAGTACATCATCCACTCTCATAAAGAACCGTTGCAGAATCAAGAAACAGGTTGGCATAACACGCTAAACAAGAAAAAATAAAGTTAAGAATTACACACATACAGAGAGATACTAAGAATAAAGGTACTAGTATTATATTATATTGTTGCTTTACCAAACGTATGGACAGCATTGCTGTTCCATTGTCTGCCAGTTCATCTTCATACAGTATATTCTCGTCATAGAATAGAATTGGGTCTGGCTTCATCAGGCGCTGGAAGTCGACTGGAGTATCGGCCTTTTCAAACGATCTGTTGTCAAGACTGGAGATAAGGGTTCCTTTGTAAGGTGTTGAGTAGGTCCAGTCGTAAGGTTTGATCACGTCCTTTATGTCGGTATGGTTTGCAGCACTTGATTTATTTTATACAATTATTTTCTTTTATTTTTTAGAACAATTTTTTTTTTCTTTTTTTTTTTGTAACAGACATTAATGAATTTATCTATAGATTCCAATATATATATATATATATATATATATATTCCAAATGCTAATTATTTTGTATTAAGCAAATAAAAACCAAGAAATCCAATCTGGTTTATGTACATCTACATCTACATATACATATACATATGTATTACCTTTTCTTAGTCCATTCTTCAGAATAAGCTACTTTAATCTTTTCACTACTGGTCGAACTGGTATCAACCAGTTTCAGGGCATCATAGGCACCCCAGGTGAATTCTGTTTCGCCATGCTTAATTGTGACATGATTGTTTCCAAACACCATCTCTGGTGGTGGAATTCCAAAGTTCTTTTGGATGCTAATTGCAAATGAAGTACAATTAAATAATTGTACATAAAGGTACCACAAACGCGTGCATGTTGTTTAAGCATTTGTTCTGACCTCTCCATCTCAGCAGAATTACAGATTGGTGCTCGTTTGCTAGTAATTGTCCAACCATTGCACTCGATTCCTTTGACAAGCCCTTGTCTCAAGGTGCCTTGGTTAATGAGTGTGAAATTTGACATGGTTTCTATTATCTTTATCTTTTCTTTATTGCTCTTCACAAAGAAATCAAGAATTAAAAAAAAATTAAAAAATTAAAAAATTAAAATTAAAAAAGGAAAGACAAAAGATAAAAGACAAAAAAGAAAAGGTGGAATCCATTGACCTGGCTAATTGAAAATCCGGTTTATTTTATTTGATTTTATTTTGAATGAATGTATATGTATGTATAACCACTGTATACATGTGCGCACACAAATACATACATACATACACAAATACACAAGTACACACTAAGCACACGCACGCATAATGTGGTGTGTATTAAAGGTATAATATTACTACTATTACTACTATTAGTACTATTAGTACTATTAGTACTATTGCTATGAATAATAATAAATGAATAAAATGAAACAAATCATTTTTTTTAATATTTAAATAAATAAATAAATATATATAGTAGTAATAGTAATAAATAGATAAATAAATGAAAAAGATAAATATGTATTATATTTATAAGAGAAGAATATAAAGACTAATAAACTACAACATGCACAGAAGAGAAGTGAGGAAAGCAAAAGCAAAAAAAAAAGAAGTAATTAAAACGAGAGAGAGAAAAGATTATGCTAGATGGATAGGAATCGTTTGAGGTGCTTGGGAAGCAGGCTCATTTGGGCCGTTGGGTTTTAAACTTGGATCGATGGAGTCAGTCATGTAATCAAATAGATCGCTGAGGGTCAGGATGCCGAGTAAAGACCCAGTGCCATTGGGAACCATTGCATTGGTACTCTGGATGCTGGTATTTCTTGATATCTCGAGTGTCATGGAGGTAGTCATACTAGACACTCGACTTTGTTGAGAAGGTTGGACAGCCTTCTCGGATGGCAGACTCGCTTCTTGAGGATTCTTGGAGACTTTCATTCCAACCACCATATTCTTGACACGAGACATTAGAGTTGATGGCGTGTTCCTGGGTGGCGATGCGGGACAGTCCAGCTTTTCGGATGGTTCTTGGTCAATAAATATAACAGTCTGGCTTTTGCATGTGAGAACTTTTGGTTCAGTAATGCCGGGGGAGTAGATGACTGCAAGATAACCTATACAAATACGCAATAAAAATGTTTAAAATCAATGGTTGTGTACTAGTAACAAGACCAAGTTTCTGCTGTACCAGATGATTTTCTCAATGCAGCCAAGAGATCGGTTGCGGAGTAAGAGGTCGGTACATGAAGAACTGGTTCAAGAGTAATGTCAGAAAGAGAAACTGCGTCTTCTGGATTGATCATGGCAAGGCTCTATATGGAGATGTACAGATATGTATGTACAGATATGTATGTAATGTAATGTAACAATACGATGTAATACAATACAATGCAATACAATACAATATCATATAATAGCAATAGCAATAGCAATAGCAATAGCAATAGCAATATCAATGGTAATACTTTTGTGAGTGGCAAGGTTTCATATGTCAATCTGATTTAGCTTATTGTCTTTTTACTTTTACCTTTGTATTGAGACACCCGATAATAAACTTATTCTGCAGTGCCTTTATGTCCGAATCTCCTGTAGAAGCTGCCTGGGTTTCATAGACTGGAATCCGACTGTATCCAGACTCAAAGATCTTGAGCATGACATCTTTGCTGAGTAATGTGTCGTGACTAAGCATAAAGACGTTGTCAAGTGGTATCGCTAGATCTCCTGTTGTTTTTGTTTGCAGACTCAAGGTGCCCTGAATTATTGTCGCAGTGCGATGGCTCAAGCTGCCTGCATTTGCCAAACTGCTGTCGTGCATTCTAATCAACTCATTCAATTCTATAAACAGATCAAATGTACGTTAGGCAATCATCTACTAATACTAACTCACTCACAAACTCACTCATTAACTCACACACACACACACACACACATTTATGCAAATACCCTGTACTTATATACTTGCCTTGGACCCTGTAGATTGGCGATTCATGTTCGCCGAGCATAAGATCAAGACATTTGGATATAGGCCAGGCAAGAATATACCAAAGCATCATCAGGGCGCGGACAGGGATGGCAAACAGGGCACCAACAGCTAAACCGTGTCTGGTACAGATTGCTTGAGGAATAATCTCGGAGAATATGACGAGTAAGAGGGTAGAAGCAATGACAGCAATATAACCTTTTTTTTAAAAAAAAATAAGTAAATAAATAGCAATATCAACATATTGTGATGTGATGTGATATGTGCGTGTGTTTCATGTTTTTTTTTTGTATTTAACAATCGTAACCATGACTACAAGACAAGACAAGACAAGACAAGACACACCAAAGCAAAGCAAAGCAAAGCAAAGCAAAAATATTAGTAAAAACCAATTACCTTCTCCAAAAATTCCGTTTAATACGACAGGTAAGGTTTCGTTGACTACTGTGTTTGTGAGGACCAAGGCGGTCAGAAGCATATGTTTGTTTTTTCGAATTGGTAGGATACGACTCGCACAAGCTCTTTGTTTTTCTGAACCAGCTACAGCCAAGATCGCTAAGTTTGTCTCATCTAGAGACATCTACATTATTATTACCATTATTGTTTTAATATTCTTTAATCTTTAATATCAATTATATATATATATATATATAAAATAAGGGATATAATATAATATAATATAATATAATATAATATAGTATAATATACCATAGCATAATTTATCTAAATCTTCTTTTTTTCTATATTTTCTATTTTTCATTTAAAGTATTAAATAATTAAATATTTAATGAATGAAATGAAGGTCTTGTAGTTTATTATATAAAACATTATCATTATTCTTTTTTTTGTTTTGTTTTCTTTACCAATCCAAGTGTCAACCCTGTCAAGATGATATAAACCAGGTGAATTAGTATACAGATAGATAGACAGCCGCTCGAAATATTTGATCTTGCTTTATGTGTCTAATGTGCCTAATGTACCTGCTACAATTCCACTGATGCCTACCAAACTAATGATGGCTACGATTTCACCCCAAAACTTTGCAGTGCCATATTCTACAGTTGTGCTTTCTTGAGCAGATACACTAGAGATGAATATGAAGAAAAGGCATATGAAAGTCTTTGACATCCGACAGAATTAAAATATTATAAAATGTATAAATAAAATAAAATAAAATAAAATAAAATAAAATAAAATAAATTGAAATTGAAATGAAATGAAATGAGATAAAATGAAATGAAATGAAATGGAATAGAGAGAGAGAAAGAGAGAAAGAGAGGGGAGAAAAAAAACCAAAAAGATAGAGAGTTAAGGAAGAATAAATAAATACAAGAAATCACTGGGATTTTTTTTTCTTTTTTTTTGGGGGCTATAATTTATCCAAGTTCAATATATTAAAATATACATGTATATAAAATATCTCCCTGGATTTTATGTGTATATATTTTCTTTTCTGTTTTATTAAAGACTTTATATAAATACTGATAGCGATTCTAATAATATATATAAAGAACGAAGCAAAATTGAGGACGGCAGAAGAGTGCATAAAATAATAATATATACAAAGGGTGTATTATTATTTTTTAAGAAGAAATAAAATAAGAATTCTGTAGCAAATAATCTATTATCTTTTATGATTATTAATGTTATTACTGATATCTATACTGATATTGACACCGGTACTGGTACTGGTACTGGTACTGGTACTGACACTGACACTGACACTGATACTGGTACTGATATCAGAATCTAAGCACTTTAAACATGTAAATGTACAAATAAAGATATAAACAAATAGACATGGACAGAATTTCTGCTTTGAGGATCTCACACCTGCCATCAAGTCTGCCGAAAAATAAAAAGGCTATATATAACTATAACTATAATTATAAGAGAGCAAGTGAGTGAAGGATATATTGTATTAATCATTCTCACCCAAGATTTTCTTTCTCCTTTTCAAGGAATGAGTGACTGACTGACTGACTAACTGACTGACTGAATGAATCTATGAATGAATGAATGAATGAATGAATTACTATTATTAATGGTAGTTTTATTTTATTTTTCTGCAATCCATGCTTATATCTTAATCGGTTGACCAAATGGCATATCGTCCTCCACAATCAAATTTAGATAGCTCATAATAAGCGCTCTGTTTTATACCCTTTTTTATTTATTTATTGAATTTTCATTTGTAAATAGCCACCTCTGTTAATTTCACAATCCTAATAGTAATGTTATAAACACTATTGTTCCTGACCCTGACCCTGATCTTGATCTTGATCTTGATATTTGATATTATTATAATTCATACGGTACACAATCTGCTCTACACTAGACACACAAAAAAAACAAAGACACAGAGAACGAGATATGATCAATTACTTATCGTACATTTTACTACGCGTTTCTATTTACTGTAATCTACTGCAACTGATAGTTCTGCTCATATCAACAGTTTCAAATCTTTCTTCTTCTTTGTTTGTCCTATTTGCTGTGCCTTACAGCTATTAAATTAACAAATGAGAAATTAAGGTGTGATCGTACATGTATGACTATCCTTTAGCTATGCTATTATTATTTTTGATAGAAGAAAAGGTTGATGTTCAGCATTAGATAATGTCGATCTCTATCAATAGATTTTTTTTTTTAATTTTTTTTAAAGGAGTTCTTGCAAATAAAAAAGAAGTGTATAATAATATAAATCACCGTACTTATTCAATTATTAACATTTGGATTTGGCTGTTCTTGTGTTTAGTCAATCACAGCTATACTCAACTCAACTCAATTCCATTTAATTTAATTTAGTTTAATTATATTCTATTCTATCAAGTATTACTATTAATGTTAGTATCTAAATCCTCATGTAAAAGACAACCGTCATCAAATTACAAATAAAATGATTTCATAATTCAAGAAAAAAAAATGCTCACGTGACATTACATCCTTTCTGTAACAATTGTATTATAAACTCAAGATCTTACTCTCACCCCCCACAGACATAACCATGCATTAATACCACTAATTTCATTACCACCACCACCACCACCACCACCACCACTGCCACTGCCACTGCCACCACCACTGCCACTACCATACATAACATACATACACACAGGTACACCTGCATGCCAAGCAAAATCCCTTTTTTGTAATAAAAATTAAAAATTAACAATTAACAATTAAAAATTAAAATAATAATAATAATAATAATATGGGGGGTTTTAAGATAGCTTTTTGACAATGAGCAAAAAGAACGGATTTTCTCTTGTATCCCTTGTGGGTAGCAACCAAGGGGATTGTGGTTACTGTCATCAAAAAGACACGTCTCACACATTTGGAATTTGGGCTCATGTCCTTACATGCGAGGTAAGTCATTTGATTCATTCATTCATTCATTTATTCATTAATTTATTACTATTATTATATATATATATAATATAATATAATATAATATAATATAATATAATATAATATAATATAATATAATATATAAAATTATAAATTAATGTAGGATTATCAAACACTAATTGATCATGGATGGAGAAGGTAAAATGAAATCACATTTCAGATTCATACGTCAACCAACACATCCACTGACGCGTATCTCTGCACCACACTTCTTTCTTTTATTACTGTTATTACTATTATTGCTATTATTATCGTAGGTCAGGCCACTATTTGTACAAACCAAATCTCGAACGTAGTTGCTGTCCACAATACACCATAAGGTAAATAATATTCTTAAATTTGTTAAAGTTGGATATATACACATTTCTGTATAGTTTATTACTACTCTAATCATTATTATATGTGTGTCTGTGATCATATTATACTATATCACATTTTAGATTGAATGCTGTAGAATACAAACAAACCAAATCTCAGCGTAAAGTGGTCAATAAACTCAACCGGTTTCTGGAAGGAGATTGGGCTCCAAAAGATACCAATTCAATGGATACAACGTAAGCAGTAAAAAATAAAAAATAAAACAAAGGCGCTCTATCTAAATGCTTCCTATCTATCTTTGTACGTGCGCCTGTACATGCTTTATATATATTATTATCATTATTATCTTTAAGCTCTGAGAGTGATCAAAAGAAAGCAAGCAAAAATCATGCAAAAGAACCCAGCCAAAAACACACCCTTGAAGTAAGCACATAAACACGCACACATACATACATACAGCTATTGTTTAAAAAGAAAAGAAAAAAAAGAGTCTCACAGTTAGTATCGATTCGACAGGTTTTACTTGAACCAAGCTCGTTTACAAAAGAAAAGTACGATCTTTACTGCAAATACCAAACTGAGATACACAAGGATGAGCCAAGTGAACTAAAACCTGAATCATTTAAACGATTCTTGGTAGAATCGCCATTGAGGGTAAGTAAATAAAATAAACCTTATACTGCACTGCACTGCATTGCACTACACTGCATTACACAAATAGATCGACACGGATATGGGGGAGGGGAAGTGGAAGTGGAAGTGGATCGAAATAAAAAGGGGTGTGGGCGAGTAAGTGAGTGGACGAGTAAGTGAGTGAGCGAGCTGAACAGAACTGAGCTGAGCTGAACAGAACGAATTGTGTATATATAAGTACAAGATCTAATTAGTCACTCAAGTCAGTAAGCTAATCAGTCAACCGTTCTTGGATGCACTGTAAATAAATAAATAAATACTAAGCTCATAAACTCACACTATATTTTGCATCTGGGGGGGAAAATGGATTAGGAGGAACCTTTTGAAGACAGTAAACCTGGCCAAGGTTTTGGATCATTCCACCAAAAGTACATTCTTGACGGAAAACTCATCGCTGTTGCGGTCTTGGATATCTTACCCAAATGTGTCTCCTCAGTCTACTTCTTTTATGACCCTCAATATGCTTTCCTTGCTTTGGGTAAATACAGTGCTCTCAAGGAAATTAGCCTTGTCCAGGATTTCCAAAAGACGGTTTCAAGTGAACTCAAGTGGTATTATATGGGTAAATTATCAACACGATACACATCTGTATTCTTCTTGTTTTCTTTGCGCAGTATCAACATTAAACCAAGCATTAAGGAACCAAAAGAAGAAAAAGAAAAAGAGGCTTTGTTAAAGAAAGAAAGAAAAAGAATCTATTATTATATTTCTGTAAATAACAAACAAACAAACAAGCAAACAAAAGAAGTATATATATATAAAGGAAATGAATGGCTGATAAAATAATATATAATATATATGATGTATAGATACATAGATACATAGCTCTCTGTTTACCTTTTTTTGTCTTTTCTTTTCTTTTCTTTCTTTAGGATTCTATATTCACACATGTCCAAAGATGAATTACAAAGGACAATTTCAGCCTTCAGATCTACTGGACCCAAAACTCTATACCTGGTTTCCAATTCAGGAATGCCAAAAGAGACTCGACAAACACCGGTTTGTGGTCTTCTCGGACCCAGATGAGCACACGCCCGGAGATACCCCTCCTGGCTGGCTAGATGTAAAAAGCCTGAAAGACAGTGACCTGAAGAATGTACATGTTCTGTCTGATAAGGGTCAGTTGGCTCCAGTCACAGCATCAATTCTGTGGAAAAGATCGTTGAAGTTTAGACAAAACATAAAAGAATATGTGGCGGCAGTAGGTCACACCATGGCAAAGCGCCTTCTTATTTGCTAGCTATCAATGTGCATCCTTGTCCAACAAACATGATGTAGTCTAACAGCTATAATTCAATACATAATAAAATATAAAAATAAACATAAAAATAAAAAGCTTATTATTCAAGCACATCAGATTTGCAGGCTGCCAAAATAGCACAAGCAAAGAAGCTTCCTAGATTGCTCTCTGCCTCTATATATACATTTGTATATGTATGTCTGTCTGTCTGTCTACCCCCCTTTTTTTGTTGTATTTGATGTGGTTATTATTATCATCATTATTATTAAATATTGTAGATTTGTGTGATAAATGATCCAAAAAAAGATACAAACTTGAACTTATAAATATCTTTTTTTTTATAGATGCTCACACACACATATATTCACACAGGCAAAGACAGACATGGACAGGCAGGCACAGCCAGACAGCCAGACAGCCAGACAGCCAGACAGCCAGACATAGACAGGCAAACAGGCAGACAGGCATACAAATTTACACACACACACACACACACATATACACACATATACATACATACAGTCAAACATATGAACAGGCAGATAGATAGACAAGCAGGAAAATCAATAACATATAAATACAAGACATCAAATAAAATTTTATTTCAAGAAAAAAAATAGCTTCTTCCTGTATATCTTTCTTCTCTCTTCTTCCTTTTCTCTACCTCCAAAAAAAAGTCAACAACACATAAAATGATGCTCAAATTGTTGGCCGTATTCCTCGCCTTGTCTACAGCTTCCCAAGCTGCTACAATTACTGCCTCTCCTGCCCCGGCAGCGACTGTCTCCCCTACAAGAGACGCAGCCGCACCCGAGAGATTCCCCTATGCGGTCAATGCCCCCCGTTCTACAGTCCTTCCATACTGTGTTGGTAAAAATTTTTTTTTAGTTCTTTCTAAGCTGCTCTCAAGAGAAAGAAAGAATAAGACAATAAATGTTATACATTGTATTCTTGTTAGGTTTCAATATCACTTATCCAGCCGTAGCTGGTGAAGTCTACAAGCGTGGAGAACTTCAGACTATTGAATGGACCGTTGATAGATCTATTCCCAACCCTCCAGATCTCATTACTCGTATTCGTATCTTTGACAAGGACTTTCATAATGAACAAGTTCTTGGTGAAAACATCAGTAAGGATTGTTTTTCTCTGGTGTATTTATTTAACAAAGTGTCCAAAATGCCCAAATGCCAAATATATATATATATATAAAACTAAAACAATTCGTTTCTTTATTAACTTGCGCCACCCAGCCATTTACACTCATAAGACTGGTGGCTCCCTTACTTACTTTGTTGATGCCAATGATATCGAGACCGAGTACCATTACAGAATTATGGTGAATTATCCCGTAAGTGGCTTTGAGATATTAAATACATGTGTATCTATAACAAACATCAAAAACAACAACAAAAACAACAACAACAACAACAAAAACAAGCTTTTAAATTAAACTTTATATTTTACATTTATTTATATAATTTATTTTACTTAGGGCCAATCTGTTCACTGCATCTTTATGTCTAAACCATTCACCATCACTCCTTACCCATACATTCGCTATCTTGCAAATGACACTCCTGCACCAGCATTTGCGGTTCCCCAAGCCCAATAAGACGATAGATACGCAAATGCATGTCTTCTTCTTCTTCTTTGGTTGTGAATTATATATCTTGCTTTCTTTCTACACTATATAGCTAAACCTCTTCTTCGTCCTCATTACCATCTTCTTTATCTTCTTTATCTTATTCTTCTTATTCTTCATATTAGTATTAGTTTTGTTCATTTACATCATAAAGAATGAAAGCTAACAAGATGAAAAATAAAATAAAATAAAAAGAACTATGTACAAGTATGGCTGAGGCCCTCTTGCTTATTTAATTATTTACATCGTCTTCTCCCCCCCCCCCCCCCCCCTTTTTCTTCCCCTTGCTGCTCCTGCAACTCTTGCTGCTCCTGCTGTTCCTGCTGCTCCTGCCAGCTGGTACTGGTGCTTCCGCTGTTGCTGTTAATAATGACACTGTTACATCATTTTACTTTACTTTACTTTTATTTTATTATTAAAACAGACATTTAGTCCTTTTTTTTATTTACTTAAAGATACGAGCTGCATCGGCTGAAGAACCTGCTTCTCTTCGCCGCCCTTTATGCTGCTTGTTGCTGCTCGTTGCTGCCCTTGTAAGCACAATAATGCAGGAGAATGTCTACTTAAAACGTTAGTGTATACATACATACATACATACATACATATATACGTATGTATTTTACAATAGTGGCAGTGGAAGTAATAATAATAATAATTGAGTTCATTTTTACTTTCATTTTGTACATTTTTATTTTTTTGCTTTTTTTTTGCACCACGAGATTTTGTACTTTTTTTCTTTAAAAAAAAGGTACAAATATATAAATAAAGAGTTCTCACAGTGTCCTACAGACAATCCAAAATTAACTATAGTATTAATGATGATAGACCATTTTAGGCTTTTACTCTGACATCAGCTATGAGAAAAAGAAAATATTTAAAAAAGAATACCTATTTTTATTTATTTATACTGTGTACATCTTATATTACACATACACAACGAGAGAGATATATATATATAATGTGTGTGCGTGTTTCAGGAACAAAACGTAAGAGTAAAAGAGTAAACGAGCAAAAGAGTAAAAGAGTCAAGAGGCTAAAACGCTTTTTTCCCCGTATTTTTTTTATATATATATATTCTCATTTATTGAAACATTTCAAAAAAAAACAAAATTAAACAAAGTATAGCTATAATATTCTATATTTTATATATATTTTATATTGTCTTTTTATTTATTTAAATATTCCTGATAGTATTGTATTCACAGACACAGACACACACACATATATATAAAATACACACAATAGTAACAGTAATAGTAATAATAATAAAAAGATAATAATTTAATATTAAAAATATTTAATAAGAAGAAATATATTATATATAAATATAAATAAATAAAATGAATTTCACAAAGGGACTACAGACTTCTTGGGACAAGATTACCCACGATGTCAAGTCTCAAATAGCTCGTAGTAATCCCCTTCAACATCCCGACACAAAGACCCTGTCAATGTGGATTTATGAAGAACGCGACACTCTGGCATCAATCAAGGCAACTGCTTATCATCATGCCGAAGCCAACAAAGGATTAGCTGAATGGCTCAAGAGTGAACAGGAGAAGTACCCTCGTGAAGATGTTCGAGATCTCGAGGTAATATATTTATATATATATATATATACATATGCTTGTTTGTATAATGCTAATACTAATACCAATACTAACATAATAATAAACTATTAGGATCTGGGTAGTAAATTGGTCATTCTCTTGGAGAAACAGACCGAGGTTGAAGAATACTATGCAAGCAAGTATATATACTATACTATTATATTATACTATAATATATTATAATATAATATAAAATATGTATGGTGAATTTTTACTTGTATAATGAATTAACATTTAGATGTACAATTTGTTACTATGTTCTTTTATATATATATAGCAAAATATCAACAGTATCGTCAGGTCATAAAGTCTATCAGAAAACGAGAGGAACAACTGACCGAACTCCACGAAAAGAAACTATCGCTGGAGTCAAGAATGAACCAGATTGCCAAAACCAACCCCGGTTCTCCAAAGGTAACCGAAATGCAGACCGAACTGGGTAATCTCGAAAAGGAGTACGAGCTGTCCAAGGTGGGACTACAGGACTTCAAGCGGTTTGGGTTACGGGAGGCGTTCTATTTGCGGTTCAATGCGATGAACGAATACGCTGAAAAGACGGCGATGTTGGCTGGTTATGGAAAGTACCTCGTGGATCTTCTTGATGTGGAGCCTACGCCGGTCGGACAAGAGCACCGTCGGGAGTACGTTTGTCAAGATCAGGCAGGAACGATCCTGTCCGACGCACTGAGGACACTCGACAAGTGGAACCCGCCAAAGGGCGACGAGAGATTCACACTGGCAAACGAAGGCCTCGAGAGTACTTTTAGGTTTGGGTTTGAGGAAGATGCGTCGATGTTGACAGATGAGGATATTGAGCGACATCAAGATGTTGTTGTTCCTTCACTCTTGGTCAATGGCACTAATTCTTCTACTGCTACAACTATTAGTGGTAATAATGATAGTAATAAGAATACTACTGGCGTTGATTTGGCCAGTATCAAGAAACATACCCAAGATGATCAGTTTATGGGTACCTGGGCTTTGGATGAAAAATCCGGACAAACGAAACCGTTAGATACGACTCCTGCTGCTGCTGCTGCTGCTGCTGCTGCTACTACTGTTAGTGGTGCTTCTGGTGGGGTAATAAACCAAATGAATGAGACAGCCGGCCGTCCAATTGTATTCGAGGACGATTATCACACAGCCCGCTATGACCAGCTGTATGAAAAGATGGTACAACATGAAAACAATTCGAGCGTACCTCGCCCCTATTCCGAATTCAAGGACCAGTTTGGATGTTTCCAGGGCTCAGCCAATCCTTTTAGCTTGCCTAGTATTAAAAGTGATTCAGTTGCCAAAATAGTGTGTCCTCCGGGTCTGGAAGAAAATGAGCAGTACAAATTGTATTATGGCGCACCACCTGTCGAGAAGTTCCAGCATTCTTATGGAGAACAGAATGTGTGGGCCAGTGAAGACAAATGAACAATGATAAATTGTACCTTTTTTTTATATGTTATTTTAATTTTTGAATGAAAGTGAAAGTGATAAAATGAGCGGTTTTATTTTATTTTATTTTATTTTCCTTACTTTATATATAATTGCATATATATATATAAAAAGAAAGAAAAATGCTATAGACATTTGGTGTATAATATGTACAAAATGAAGTATAAAGACAATTGATGAAGAGAAAAGAAAAGATAAAAAAAAATGGAGGGAAATGAGGAAGGGGGAAGAGGGAGGGGGTGGGTTCTTAATGTTTTGGTCTTGTTATTTTTTGGGTACAATTTACATATATATATATATGAGTGGGTGAGTGAGTGAGTATGATATTGCATGATATGGTATGGTATGTGTCTTATGTGCTGCGTGTATTAAAGGGATTGTATGTTGACAACGACGTGCATTAGATCTCGGTGGTGGGCAGAAAAGTGTAAGTTGATCCATTTGTAGACAAAGGCACCGTGTATACGGACCAGTAGTTTTTCAGAGCATATGGGACAGGTACGATAAGAATATTTTGTTGATGGTTTGTGGGAGTGTTTTTGCTGAGAGCGTATTAAGGGAATGGAGTGCTTGCGGACCAGGGAAGGTAAAGTGAATGGACAGATGGACATGATGTGACTTTGAATAGGTAAGGTAGAGGAAGGTAGATGAAAGTAAAGGTAAAAGAATGAAGGTTTTGTTTTTAGAAAAAGAAGCAAGTAAAAATGGGTACCTTTTTATTGATTTATTTTGTACTTGTATTTATACTTTTTTTTTATGTTTAATATATATTTATTTTTGTACCTATGTATGTCTAATATGTTTGGGTTTGTGTTTGTGGGCGTCAAGAACCTTGTTGCTCTTTTGTGTGTGTGTGTGTACGTAAGTATATATATATATATGTGTGTGTGTATGTATGTATATCTGTATATCTATTCTAAACCAAGGAATAAAGCCAATGATAAAATAAAATCTAAACAGCACGGGGTGATATTCCAAAATGTACAAAGCCAGGGCTGTGTAAGCAAATACAGTACAAAGGATATGACACTAATGTAGTTTGAACGTGTAGAACCCAAAAGAATATGATGTATGATGTATATTCAATATACTACTTGTGAATTCAATAACAAATCGTCCATTTTGAATAATTTCAGTCTTCTAAAGTACACATATAAATTGCATGTCTATGTTATCATTGATGTCATTGTGTGTACTCTTTTGTAGTTGAAATAATACATGGCTACACACAGCGTACACACAACGTATACACAGAGTACACACAGCGTACACACAGCGTACACACAGAGTACACACAGAATACACACAGTATGGGTATAAATTTACAGATATATTTTTATATATATATATATATAAAGTACAAAAATAATAGTAGCAATTCATTTATGATCGAATCTATTCTTTCATTATAAAAGTGAACAAAAAAAACTTGCTTATAAACAAATAACACACAAAATACACAGCCTGGCTTTTGATGACCAATAAAATTAAAAAAGAAAAGTTTCAGTGATAAGGTAAAAATAAAATTATATGATCATTTACCTTGTGAAACTAGCGGAGTGCCCAAAGGGTGTGTTGTATGTAGCATCCGTATTTTCGTTAGGATAAATTTCACCAGAATCATCTCTAAGCACAGGTCTTGTTTAATAAAGAATATAAATGGTATACACATATAACAGTGCTTTCGTTTCTTTTTTCTTTTTTGCTTACAATGAATTGTGTTGTATTCAATACAAAATCCTCCTTTATTTTCATCCTTTATTTTTTTTTCTTACTATAAATCTAAAAATACTCAGACTCTTGACCAATAGAACACAAAGCAAGACAAGGGTTCAGAACATTAAAATCGAATTAAACATCTATAATATTTTAACCAAGCTGTTTCATATTCTATAATAGAATCAATTGATTAATAAATCGAAAGGGGCAAAGATTCCAAATACAGATTAGCAAACTGGCTATCATAAATAAATATATATTACAGTGTGTAATGGTCCTTTAATTATTATTATTATTATTATTTAATATAAAAAAAATATTCTTTTTGGTAAGAAACCAGTAACCCAAAAACAAAAACAAAAAAAAACCAATTATGTTAGTGTGCGTGTGTGTGGGAGTGGGGAGTGGGGAGTGGGTATGGGAGTGGGTATAAGTGGGGGATATGAGTATAAGATATATTAATGCATTGTATCCTATTGGAAGCGTCCATTCAAAAAAAACAATAGTACAATAGTCATAACCTATTAAAATTGATCTTGATCACAAGTTTCAAAAAATAAAAAATTCACCATGCCAACAAAACACAAGGAACCATCCTGTCATTATTGTTCTAGAAAAACCATGGCAAATAAAGAGAAATTGCTATAGTTACTTGATTCATTAAAGACAAAAGAAAAAGCGTAACTGATTCAAATATACCAATACATTACATTGTGTACATTGTATATTGAATATATAGTACTTTATATAAGTAAATTATATTTATTATTATTAACAATAAAAAAAGGTACAATAAAAAAAAGCAATAAAAAATTGAAATTGAAAGGGGAAAACTAAAGAAATTTGTTTGAAAAAAGTATGAATTATTTACAGAAAGGACAATAATGTATAATATACATGAATATATATATATATATAAAGGGAGGAAAGAGGGTATAGACCAAAGAAATGTTGTTTAGATCTGCTTGTGCTTCTTTTCTTTCTTTAACTCCATGAGCTGGAGACAAGGTCTTTTTGCATAAAATCATCAACAGACACCTTGGAGATACCAAATACAGTGCTAGACCGTCTTCTTCCTCGGCTGTCAACGTTCTGAATCCCAATCGCTTCGGTCACAGATGGTCGGCGTGCCTCAAGAGCCGTAGGTTGTAGAGAGTGAGACCGTGTCAGATGAACCCCATTTTCGTCTTCGACATCTGAATTCTTCTGTTGAGCAGAAGGGCCTTTGGTTGTGTCAGGGTGCGGCTTGCTGATTTGGTCGCGAATGGAAGTAATGATACGAGAGAACATTTTGTCTTGTCTTTAATTGAATTGAACTGAATTGAAATCAAATGTTTTTTGAACTTTTAAAACTTTTTGGATTTTTTAGAGTGTTTTGTTGATTGGATAAGCTTTGGTTATTGTTTGGTGGTGTACTTTGGATGTAATAAGAATGAGAAAAAGAGTTGGAGATTTAGTCAATTTTTGAGTTGTTTTTATAGCCAAAATAATTTAATACATAATAATAATAATAATAATAATCTATTTAAAAGTATAAAATAAATAAATAAAATAATTAAAATTAAAATTAAAATTAAAATAAGCCGGCCAGCTGTTTAAGGCAACTCAAATGAACCAATAAACACCCAATCTTGGCGTTGATTCAAGAATCAAAAGAAAAAAAAACTACACCACAAATGAACAAAGGTGGGTTTCAATTCAATTTCAATTTTATTTTTTTTATTTTTATTGTTGAAAAAAAAATCGAAGTATATGATGTGTGTTTATAGTACGAAAAGGTTCTAGTATATAAAAATAAATAAAGAAAAAACATCAGAAATCATAAAGGTTTTACTCGATCCAATTGCCTTGAGGTTCCCCTATTTTATCAGGCCAGGCCTTCATTCTCCCCTCAAGCTGAGATCCATACACAACCGTCTCGAGTGCCCATTCGCAGGCATCACCACAACATTTCTTAGCGTCACATATCATACGATAGTCTGCGTTTTCATGCTCAAATTCGCTCATTTCTCTCAATGTCCGTTCCAGGAATGGCATCAGACGCGCCACATTCACCTTTCTAGGCGTGTCTTTGAGATAGCTTGATATCCCTTCCACAAGTCTTGCCTCGTCATCTTCTCTGTATATGTGTCTTTCTTTCAACCGCGCACGATAACAGTCCCGAACCAACACCCCGTTCTCCCAAGCCAGACAGCCCTGGATCTCCTCTTCGGATGGAATCATTGGAAATTTGTATATGTTTCTCATCTTGTCAAACAATTTGCGGTCAATTTCTGTACATATATCTTCATGGCACTAGTAGCATTATTAGTTAATTAATAATTCAATCTATCAATGAATAAAGATATACATATAACCCGCCTGTCTTTCTAAAATAAAAAATAATAATAATAAAAAATAATATTGTACTTGCCTCAAAGTTGTAGAACCGTCTTCCCATAGCGGTCATAACAAAATGAAACCATATTTCTTGGTAGCCTCGTCCATCAATACTCAGCACAACTCCATTGTCTTTCATAAATAAAGCCGCAGCTTCCTGCGATCCATGCGGGGTCAACAACACATCGGTGTGTTCAAGTAAATAGGCTGAACTGGCCAATGAGCATCCTTCATCAAAGTCAATCTCATTAATCACGTAATGTATCCCCAGCGTCGCATTGGTTCTCTGCAGAGCTGCTATAACCTCGGGGATATTGGTAATGTGGCGCGATCGTCGATTGATAATTGCAATTGTTCTCTCTACCGGCGGAAGTGCTCCATCTCCACTACCGTTGGCTAGCGTAGGTCGAACAAAAGTAGTCTTCATGTTACGAACGCAGGCCAATCCTTGGTCTTGGCTTTTGGCAATCACATTGGTGTCCCACAAATGTTGGTGCACAAGATTTCCTAGTGTATCTGCACGGAAAGCGGCATATTCTTCGGCTAAAATTGGAGTGTGGCAGTAGCTTGTCAACGAGCAGGCCAACCCAGATCCGACAACTGCCTTTGCAAAGCAAATGGGTTGGTGTGGTAGGAGCATCTGTTGGTCCGTAGAAAGAGCAGACCCTTGTCGCACAATGTCTTTTCCGTCGGTCATTATTCTGGTGGTCAGTAGAGGTGCACCATGGTCGTCCTGCATAGCTACATGGGCACGATATGTCCAACTGGTACGCTTGGCTTGATGGTTTCGCATTGTTCTACCAGATAATAATAATAATAATAACAATTAAAATAGTATTATTATTATCATTATCATTGTTGTTACTATTGCTGCATTTGTGGAAATATTTTTATTATGTTTATTTTATTTTATTTTAGTTATTACTTGTAAAGAGGTATCAGGCCATTAAAGAGCATGTGTGCATAATGTCTGGGAGAATATAGTCCGTACACAAACAATGTGTCGCTCATTAGTGGGGTTGGACTAGAGTCTAGAGAACTGCGCCTTTTGATAGCTGGTTCAAAATACCAGTCTGCCATGGTGTCGGCATTGATTACATTGACTTTAAATGGTTCTACAATAGCATCATCATCAACAACTATGAATCCACCTACACACAGTACATTATATTAATATATTAAATATATATATATGTATATACACATAAATTTTATCATTTTTTTTCTTTTGCTTCACCTGTTTGGGCATCAATGCATAGATTCTCGACAATGCAAGACTTGTGCCTGTCAGAACCAGTACACTCCCATTTTGCATTTGGAATGTGATTAAGGGGTAAAGTAACATGAGCATAACCTTTCATTCGTAGTGGCTGATCATCTAATGTCTGTAAATGAAATACATAGTATAACACACACAGTAAACTGATGATTCCTAGAGAGATTACAAGTTGCCTTGTTCTTCTATGAAAAATCATCATTACTGTCTCGCTCTCTCTCGCTCTCTATCGTTCCTCTTTTTTTTTTTTTTACAAAAAAAAATTATATATAAAAATATATATATAAATGAGTGTGTAGTATGTATAACTTTTTTTTTCTGTCCTTTTTCATTTATTTTTATATTATTATTATAAAAATATATATTGATTTTTTATAATAAGCCAAGAAAAAGGATAGATCTGAGCGCTCGTTTTAGATATTTTGGCTTATATATATTTATTGTGGGGATACGATTAATCTTGATTCTCCGAGTATTCTTGGTTACAAAGTGTTGAAGGCTTTGATTTTATCTTAAAAGCATATATACACACACACAAAGAGAGAAATAGACAGGCACATATTTTAGTAGTAAAGAAGTTATATTAAGGCCAAGAAAGAGGTGCTTTAAAGAAAGAAAAGGGTTTTGAATTTTTGGAGTCTAATTTTTCTTAGCATTATATTTAAGAAATGCCATACTCATATATGTATATTATATGTAAAAGGTTTCGACCGCTTCACAGCAGCAGCAGCAGTAAATAAATAAATAACTATCTAGATTTATGTATGGCCTTTAGGGGGGAGGGGAGCACAAACTGTAAACGAATGATATGTTTTTGAGAATCATGAAATCGCATACAATCCAAAGGCAGATTTGGCCGTGGTTAATTTTAACACACCTTCTGAACTCTAGGCCAGATAAATTACAATTTAATGAGCGTGTCAGATAATCTAATTTATAGTTAACATGATCATCCTTTAACATTTACAATATGTCAAAAAGGGAAAGAGAAGACAAGAGACGATTTGAGATACTTGAACAGAGCTGAGTAAATATACATCATCTCTAAATCTTACAACTAGAACGCAACAAGAAAGGTAGAGAATGTTTCGTATAGACCCACCTCCACTTCCTTACACAACACGTACTAGATCGATAGTTAGTTATAGTGAAGTTTGAAACAGATATTCAGATCATTTGCATGAATTGATGTCACCAAATAGATGTGGGGAAGCTAAAGGTGGAATAAAATATATACATATATGTACTGGTAGCTAAAACCAGCTGACTGGAAGGTTTGGTGTACAGCGAGGTAGAGTAAGAACACCAATGAGACAAAACGATGTCCAAAGAACTTCATTTGAATGGGATTGAAATTCATATATTTGTATAAAAAATATACAAATTAAGATCCGTTATATCTTATTTTATTTTAAGCAAAATAATAATAATCTTTAGTCAATTTTTGGGGTCGAGAAGACCTAAACCACATCTTGTAGCTGTGCTTGACATCGAAGCTCCTTTGACCGGAATACCAAATCTTTAGAGTAAGATCCTTTTTTTTCATAGACAGACAAAAGAGATATATACACTCCAGGATGTACGTCAAGTACGTTTTCTTTTTCTTAGCTAAACTAGACATTCAAAAACCACCGAAACTTTAAATATTTATAATATTTCTTACATAAAGAAAGAAAGTAAAACAACAGTGTAGTCTTAACATCCTAAATAAATAACAAATAATTCCAGGTGGAAGCCAAGTGCTTCAAATAATCTTTTTGATTTTTACACAATTCCCTCTACACTGCGTGTTTCGAATAGTAGATCGTGTATAATTTATATTTGATTTTAATCATGTACTTGATAGATTTCCAAATGTGTTTGATTAGGTCGAGACTTGGACTTTGGGGTGGCCAGTTATTCAAAAGTTAAAGCCCATTCTTCTTCTTTTTTCATGCCTTAGTATGGCAGCTTGAATTGGCTTCTTGTAGTTTAAAACATCCCCAGCTTTTTCTTTAGAAAAAAAATGTGAAAGGATGCTTAAATTTCTTACAGTCGCGTGGATAGGCAGAGTAAAAAAAATATATTACAATATTGAAGTGACAATTTAAACTTCAACAAAAGTAGACTCTCTAAAGAAAATAGGGAAAAAAAACAAATAAATACCAGTTCAACTTGACATGTCGTGTCTTGGCTTATAATTTCGGTTTAGGAAAAGGTCTATAGACTTTATTAGATATTAATAATAGTCTATGAGTGATTGATCGGGTAACTTGTTTACATTTTTTACTAGTAAAATCGAGACAAACTTTCTGTTAAAGTGTGTAGAACACTGGAGAGTAAAAATTGTTACAGATTTTGTTTTTTTTTCTTAGGACTTTTAACTTTGCACATTTCATATATATAACCAAAAAGCAATAGTTGTATGATAAAAATATGATTATAAAGGTCAAATTCAACTGCTAACAGGTTCCTCCTCCCCCTCCTCCTCCATCGCAACCGGTTGCGCAGCTGCTACTTCCCGAGTCCGAAAAAGTAATAAAAGCTCCAGCGGCAAAACTACCGAGAAAAGCACCTGCTTGAATAAGATCTCCAGATTGATCATAAGATTCTTTAAGAGACTTCTTGGGGTGTCTTTTATCTTTTTTCCCTTTTTTATTATATGATTCGACTAAAGTTATACAATCATATTTTTCTTATTAGCGTGATTTTTCATAGCTCTGAGCGTTCCTGGGGGCATTTTATTTTATTTTAATAGCCTACGTTTATGACCCCTTTGGTTCTTTAAAGCCTTCTGCTGTTTTGACGATGAGTTTCCCATACTTAATTGATAAGTGATTTTGATAAAGGTGAATAAATCGAGATCGACTTCTTTTATACAAAACTCAATAATTTTTTTTATGCAGCTGATTGATATCTCCTAAAGTTATTACCTTGACATATTTGTGCCCAAAGTTTATGGTAGTTAATTAAAGTTCTTAGTGTACGACGTATATATATATACCATTTTAATAAACATCTTAAAAAGAATATATAAATATATATCAAGTAAATACATTCACTATGCTCAAATATAAAATAAAGCATCTTTATCTTGAATCAATCTTGAGTTTTTAAATGTTAATGATACATACTGATTTTTTTTTGTGTCGTGAATAAGTAAAAAGTAATAGCTCGATATTTTATTACGCTGTGTGTAGATCAAATACAAAGAGTGTGGAATATTCTTATTTCCTTCGAAATTGCTCAGCATTCTATCCAGAAATAGCTATAATAGATGGAAACCCGTCATCTTTTCTTGGCATATTTAATAAAGTGCTCATATTTTCTATTTGAATTGAATTGCTTTTTTTTCTTAATAATAATATATATATATATATATATGTATTTAAGTGTTTTGCTTGATCAGGAGCAGACAAAATATTATCTGGAATATTCAGAATGTTCATGTTATAAAGCATGTTACCTTGCAAGTATTTCCTTTTAGAACACTTTTATTTTCTATTACCACTACGGGAAACAAGAGCGATTTCAGAGGCAACTTCATAGGATTATATTTGACACCCTCACTATCTTAAAAGGTGACATTACTTTTGAACCACAATAATAGAAAAGAGATCAAGAAAAATTGAAATTGAAACGTATTTATCTATAAATGTAAAAAAGGGGATAAAAGAAATAGTGCTCAATCAAAATCCCACTTTAAAGCACACTTTAAATCCCGGAAAAGCTTGCAAAAAATCGTCTTTTTTTTTAATACCTATTATGTAATGTAAACCAATATATATAATATCAAGCTTTAATAGCTGATGCTTCTGTCAAGAGCAGCAACTGTAGTTTAAATTAATTTAAGGTTGAGGAGCATATATATCTATGAATAAGAAAACTGTGTCTTTATACCAGATCAAATATCTTACAAATTGTGCTAATATTTAGTAATCGCCACATACACACACACATATATATGAGATAAAGCCATGTTTGCTTTTAAATACTAGTCAAATCATTAATAACAAAAGCAACATTTTTTTCTATGGAATTATAAACCACAGTAGCATTTATGGTGCCTAAAGTTTACCATTGTGCATTTGACAAGCCACCCAATCCTATTTAAAAATGCGCCGTCACTGACAAGCCATTTTGAAAGTGAAAGGTCTGGTGCTCATTTTTTTCTTGTCATTTCGCGACACCCAACACATCCACACACTCCATGGTTAAAGCCTATCTTCGTTACGAGGCACTTGCCAGTTTTGGTGTGATTGCCTCCTCTTTGGCAAACATTTTGTACGATTCTACCGGAAAGCTTGTGATTGCCCCTGCCCTTGAAGAAGTGCTCATTTGGGATCTCAAGAAGGGTACTCAGGTGCGTTTTGGCCACATGAATCCTCCCCATAGACATCACCTGGCCTTTTCTTTATTTTTTATTTTTGCATGTGTGCATGTTTAGCTCATAAAATCTAAATTTCAAATAGGTTGGAAAATGGAGAGAACCCGGAAACAAAGCCGAAGTAACATGCATTGCAAAGAGTCCGAACAAGAAAGATTATGCTGTCGGGTAAGTTAACCGATCAAGCGATCGGTCGATCGATCGCCATCAATTTACCAAGATTTTTTCTTCTAAATTCTCAAATATATATATATATATATGTGTGTGTGTGTGTGTCTAATAATAACTAGTTACTCAGACGGAGCCATTCGCCTTTGGAATATCGAATCAAAGACGTCCATAGTTACATTAAGCGGACACAGAGCAGCAGTAACAGCACTTGCATTCGACAGCGATGGCACACGACTTGCGTCTGGATCAAAAGACACTGACCTTATTGTCTGGGATGTAATTGCCGAGTCTGGATTGTATAGACTGAGAGGACACAAAGATCAGATTACTTGCCTAACCTTCTTGACCAAACCCGAGAACGACGAAATGGATGTTGATAACGTGGGCGTTTCTAACAGCGGCTATATCGTCTCTTCTTCAAAGGATACACTCATCAAACTGTGGGATCTCTCTGCACAGTTCTGTCGTGAAACAGTAGTCGGTCATCGTAGTGAAGTCTGGTCGTTTGCTGTCTCAAAGGATCAAACTTTGATTATTTCTGGTGGATCAGAGCCAACATTGAAAGCATGGAAGATCAACTGGAAGGTACTCGGATTGTCTTTGGAAGCACTCGGAGAAAATACAACAAACGAAGATTTGACAACTCCCGCAACTATGGAACGTGCGATTACTTTGTACGGCCAATTGCCTCGTAAGACTCGCGATCGTATCATCACCATCCAATTCCACCCTTCAACAAAATTCCTTGGTGTCCAGGCTGCGGACAAGTGCGTTGAAATCTACCGTGTGCGTGATCAGGAGCAACTTCAGAAGAAGATCCACAGACGTAAGAAGAGAGCAAAGGAAAAGGGAAAAGAAGGAGAAGTCAGCGAAGAGATCCAAGTTGAGGATCAAATCACTAGTCAGACTTTGATTCGCACACCTGCAAAGGTCCGAAGCTTCGACTTTAGCCCGGTTGTAGATGTTGAAAAGGCTGGAAGTTTACAGGTAATATTATGGGATTATTTTGGATTGTATATGTACGCATGCCTTTACCAACTCTTTTTTTTGCAAATTTCTTTCTCAAACCACAGCTTGCTGTATCACTGACAAATAACGCCATTGAATCATACAATGTTCCTTTGGCACAAGATAAAAGCTCGGAAGAACCAGAAGATCCCGAAAGACAGTTCTCAGTCGATCTTCCAGGTCATCGTTCTGACATTCGCACATTAGCTCTGAGCTCAGATGATGAATTACTTGCATCTGTATCTAATAGTAAGTATATATAAATATATATGCTTGCATGCATGAATGTAAATATTAAGGTTTACAGAGTATTGATCGCCTTTTCCTATATAAATCAAAAGACCTCTTAAAGGTGTGGAATGTAAAGACAAGAAGCTGTATTCGATCGATTGAATGCGGTTATGGACTTTGCAGTGCTTTCTTACCAGGAAACAGACATGTAAGTATATGCGCTTATATCAATTTGTGCGATGAATATAAAATCTGATTCTTTAGATTGTGTCTAGATCTTGATTGGTACCAAAACAGGAGAACTCGAACTTTACGACATTGGATCTTCTTCACTGGTAGAATCAGTAAAGGCACACGACGGAGCTGTATACTCTATGCAGATCCGCCCAGATAAGCGTGGTTTCGTTACTGGTAGTGCCGACAAGGATGTTAAGTTCTGGGATTTGGATATGGTAGAAGACAAATCAAGCGCAACAGTAAGTAAACCAGAGAGTCTAGTCTATATAATTTCATTATTACTGGTGCCATTTGCTTCAGGAAATCGAGTACTAGTTATTGATTATTATTATTTACTTTTTGCATAGAATACAAAACGTTTGACATTCACACATATGAGAACTTTGAAAATGTCCGATGAAGTACTTTGTGTTCGATACAGTCCCAACCAAAACTTGTTAGCTGTCTCATTATTGGATGCCACAGTAAAGGTGTTCTACCACGATACACTCAAGTTCTTCCTTTCACTCTATGGCCACAAGGTAACAATACAGATGCATACATAGATAAATGCAAAGTTTCCCAAAAAAAAGAAGAAGAAATAGGAGTCTAATATATAAATTGTTTGTTTCCAAAAGCTCCCTGTTTTATCTATGGATATCTCTTCAGACAACACATTGATCACAACCTGCTCAGCGGATAAAAACGTCAAGATTTGGGGTCTCGATTTTGGTGATTGTCACAAATCAATCTTTGCTCACCAGGAGAGTGTTATGTCTGTCCAGTTTGTCTTTGGAACCCATTACTTCTTCACAGTCAGTAAAGATAAGACTATCAAATACTGGGATGGTGACAAGGTATATACAAAGTTAATTCATAAAACGGTTAAATTTATTTACTAACAATTTCTGTCCTATAGTTTGAAAATATTATGAAGCTTGAGGGCCATCAAGGAGAGATTTGGGCACTCGCAGTTTCTAAACAAGGCTCTTTCATTGTTACTGGCTCTCACGATCGATCAATCCGTATTTGGGAGCGTTCGGATGAACAGGTAAATATTATTCTAAAATATTGGTGGTGTACAACCATTTTTTTTTTATTTATACTGATTAAAAGATAAAAAAAAAACTATTTGTAGCTGTTTTTGGAAGAAGAGCGTGAGAAGGAACTCGAGGAGCTCTATGAATCTACTCTTATCAGCCAAATGGAGAAGGCTGATATGAATGACAGTATGGAGATTGATTCGGCCGGAAAACAAACAATGGAAACATTGAAGGCTGGTGAACGGATAATGGAAGCTCTTGATTTGGCAGACGAAGAAAAGCAAGGATGGGAAGCATATGAATCGGTAAAAAAAAATACACAGACGAACTACTGTATATGTGTGTGTGTTTGTGGTTCTAATGTATGTATGTATATATATTAATGTGAATTAGGCCAAGTCTCGCGGACTACCAGCACAGATTCCTCAACGTAATCCCATGTTACTCGCCATGGGAGATATTGCTCCAGAAAAACACGTCCTCAATACCATCGAGAAAATTAAAGCCAATGACCTCGATGAGGCACTTTTGGTCTTACCATTCTCAAAGGTCACATCACTTTTGTACTACGTCGAATGCTGGGCAAAAAAGGTACATAAGACAGATGGATATACAAAATTAAGGGAAATATTGACTAACTTTTTTTTATTTATTTGTCTTTTAGAATTGGAACATCATTTTAATATCTCGAATCCTATTCTTCCTCATTAAAACTCATCACAACCAAATCGCTGCCAATAGACTTATGCGCCCTATGTTGGATTCTATCCGGTCTCACTTACGGGCTCAACTCCAGCGCCAAAAAGATATCATGGGTTACAACCGAGCAGCCTTGTCCTATCTTCAGCGTGACTGGAAAGCAAAAAATGTATCAGATTTTATTGATGACGCCCCGCCCGTAGAAGAAGAGAAGAAGCGTAAGTTTGTCCAGCTTTGAGAAACAAACATCTTTAGAACACCATTTATGTTGAACAAATAAACACAAAACAAAATAAATAAAATATATGTAATATGAACCTTGAAATTTTGTAATTAATAAGAAAAGATAAAAAGGAAGAGGAAGAGGGACAATGGTTGTTGTTAGTGTTAGTGTTAGTGTTATTTTATTTTTTATTTTAGTTGAATGTACAAAATGTATTAGGTTTTTGATCATTTGTAGATGTAATAACAAAGGTGAAAAATTATATTCTAAGTTTACCGCCGATCCTCCAACATCTGGGACTGTGCAAAGGTCTTGACAGCCTTTTCGTACACACCCAAGAAAATACTTCCTCCAATTGAGATCCACATCACACGGGGTCCAATACCAGAAAGAAGAGCGCGTGGGCCTTCTTCAGCAACAATGCGCTTCATGGTCGAGATGATTCCAGTGTATTGCTTCACGGCTTGGTTCTGCAGAACGAAATCAGAAAAATAGACAAGTTGGACTATAGAATTGACTTACCTTGTGAGAAAGCATGATACGGGTTTTGCAAACATCTAGAGGAGTTGTGATAGCAGCTGCAATACCACCAGCAAGAGAACCCCACATTGCAGCCTCATAAGGCTCAGTAGGACGACCCTTGTAAGTACCATAGGCACTCTTGAAGTATTCATACAAGGGGAATTGAATGCAGGTAAAAGGAATTTCTCTAGCTACAGTAGAAAGGAAACCACGATAAAAGCCAAGAATGCCTTCGGTACGAATGACATGCGAGACTGCTGAGGAGGTAACTTGGAATTGCTTTGTCTGCATACGTTGCTTGATGACTTCAGTAGGAACACGCACGGTGCATGCAGACTTTTTTTTTGGGAGATAAACGCGCTGTGAGACACATGTAATAAAACCAATGCTTTGGTTCCTATCCATCAACTTAACTTACAATTTCACCAAACGAGGCAGCTGTCATATGAACAAATGGTGCATACTGCGGGTTATCTATGGAGGCACTGAGGAGTCTCTTCATTGATTCGTAGGTGACGAAAAACAAGGAGGCTAGAACCAAAAAACAAAAACAAAAACAAAAATAGGTACGCCAAGATGCGCCAGTGAGTTATTTCTTTCTTTTTGTTTTCATATTAAAAATAAAATAAAGCGCAGGTGTTTACCATTTGGTGCACTTCCAATAACTGCAGAAAGAAGGCCAGAGTAAACACCACGGAATCCACCCGAGGCAATGAATCCAGCTTGTGATTGCAGGCGTGTCTTGATGGTGTCTGTAAATGAGCTAAGTACCAGGGACATAACAGTTCCGAGTCGGTTGTTTACCCAAGGGAAACAAGGCAGTATCTACTGCTGTTCCTGCAAGTGCACCAGCAACCAAGGCCTGCTTGATATTAGCATGGTACACTGGACGTGTTAGGTTATCGTTGCTCATGGTCTTTAATAAACACTGTCAAACAACCTTGGCCTGGTGGCGGGTGCCAAAATACACTTTCCAGGTCGAACAGTGGAATCGGAGGCCAAATACGATTGCCAGTCCAGATTGAAAACAGTTGTCAACAAAAGTTTTCGTACTTGACTGTGCTTGTAAACCTGAAAAAGGCGGTTGCTCTTACTGGTTTATTTGAATTCCAGGGCCGCTGTATACTTCCCATAAGAGTTATATGAAAAAGATATAAATAAAGAAAGAACATGATCTTTGAAAAAAATAAAGGCTTACAATCAAAGATATATATATATACATCTATTCATTCTCTAATGGAAGTTATCTATGGCCAGAACACACAGCCAAGTCTCTTAACAAATAAACAAAAAATGAAATAAAAACTAGTCGCACTGTGCTAAAATTGATTTGTACAACTATAAAATATTAGTGTTGAAAGTGCTTGCAGAATGTTTGCTTGATAAGATTGTGTCTAGAAATCTTACGCGTCCAAAAAAGAAGATTTGGTTTCACATTCCGTATATTATATATTCTTGCAGGGATATAATATATCTGGTAACCACATTTGACGCTTTATTTTGGTTACTATCTGCACCATTAGAGATAGAGAGACCTTATGTTACTGCTTTATCTTACTTTCCAACCTATTATATGCTCTACATTCTAATATAGTCTTATTCAGAGCTGAATATTAGCTGTTGCTGCTTGTTAAGACTAATCTAGAAATTCGTATATATATTATTATTATTTTAAAAAAGAAAGAAAGAAGGTTTGCGCAATAACACAAAAATCTCAATACCGATTGTCAATTTCCATACAGTTGCGTATAGTGAAGTAGACCAAGTATAGCTTATTAAAGGCTAAAACAAACGAAATACAGGACTAACTAGACAGTACCACAGAATTGACTTTGATAAAATACCTCTTGAAAAGAAAGATAGGATATAAACTATTCCTTTAACAAAAAAAAAAACAATCTGCGTACATAGGATCAATACGAGATTTTGACAGTAGCTGTATAATAAGATATCCAAATTATTTCAAAGCTCTTTCTGTAATGGTCAATAGGCTTAATGCTTAAAAAGCAGTATTTTGTTTAGTCTAATTACATATCTTGCCTTGATATATACCACAAGGCCGTGGTTCAACATAGTGCGTTTGATCACGATTAAGAAAATTTATTAGGATGATAAACGGTTTTTGTATCGACGGTCTCTTTTAAAATAAACTAGATTCTTGCAGCTTTGTGAGAGGACCAAGAAAAAAAGGGACTAAAAAACTAGCCTTTGTAAGTGAGATTTCCAAGATATACAACATGTAAAATAAAGACAGAAAAAAAAATAGATTAGTATAGTCCTTGGCTTTTAAACAAAGGAATGCATCATTGAAAATTTTACAAAAGTGAGTACCTAGTTTACAAAAAGAAAAAGGCATTACTTTCAATAATATAACTTATCCTTTGATTGACAATCACTTTGTCTCAAAGGTTTTTTTTTATTAAAACACACAGTCTACAAGGGTACTTGCTCTGATTTTATTTTATACTCAAACAAATTAACTCATCGAGTCGGAAACCACTTTTAGTTAAAGCATGATCTTTATAGGTTTATCTGTTTTGAACACCATTTTCACAGATAACACGTACTTTGAAGAGTATTGTTATGAGAGTTCTTACAAATTGCATAAAGCATAACTCATGTTGAAAAGGCAGAATATCTAATTAAATATAAGCATGATGCTTAATATTATTATAAATTGCCATTGACGGCCTCTTATAACCTAAGGAACAAAAGGTTTAATACCATGAAATCCTTTAAATAATCCAAGTCTGCAAACTTCAAAGAGCGCACAAATTCACTCAACAGTCGAATTTTTTCTTTGGACTTGGCCACGATTAATACACCATGACAGATCCAGTTCGATGCATAGAATTCTTTTGTGGCATTGGAGGATTGGTAATAATTAAAAAAAAAAACCTGAATAAAAAGAGCCATTAAATTAACATTTTTGAATCGGACCTGATCTTAGCATTATGCACTTAATATAGCCAAGATCCGTGCTAATGTAGTAGAAGCCTTTGATGTAAATGAGATCGCCAACAAGGTTTATCTTCACAACTTTAAAAAAAATCCTTCAAAGGTATTTATTAAGACTGAAAATAACAGCTAGATTAACCAAATTCATTCTCATTTTAATATTAATTCTTTTTTTTTACTACCTCCTCCAGAAAACAATCGATCGTTTGACAGAAAAAGATATTGAAAAGTGAGTCGATAAATAATAATGTGTGATATACACCAATTACTCAATGAGTTTCTCTCAATAACAGACTAGATGCAGGCTGCTGGCTTGTAAGTCCACCTTGTCAAGTAAGTAGCATGATGACAATGAAATGAATACCTTTAAAAATAACACTAATAACAATAATAACAACGCATGTTGATATTTTTACAGCCGTATACAAGAGGTGGAAAGATGCAAGATATTGAAGATCCCCGAGCAAAGGCTCTTGTACATCTAATTGATCTGCTTCCAAAGCTTTCGACACCACCAAAATATATATTTGTTGAGAACGTCAAGAATTTCGAGGTAAACATATATATATCTTATTATATTTGACTTGACGCAGTCTTCCAGATCTCACAATCTAGAGAGAAGCTTGTTCGCCAACTTGACATCATGGATTATGAGATCAACGAATGTCTTCTGACCCCAGAGCAATTGGGTGTCCCTAATCATCGCATGAGATACTATCTTACTGCCCGTCGTAGATCAAACCCTGTTACTAAAGAGGTGTCTGACTATACAGAGAAAAGTATCATACATACTAGTTGGCCATTTTCAGGTAGTAATGAAATGCAAAACGATGTTCCTGAGCTGGGATTGTTTTTTGAGACACTTCCCAGGGGAGAGGAGAAATATCAGGTTCCAGCAAAATATATACTGAAGTTACATGGGTTCCGACTAGGTAGGCTTGTTAAATACGATCCAAGTACAAAAACATTTATTGATAATGATTGGTAGACATTGTTCGTTCTACTGACAGAATAACTTCGTGTGTCACAAAGGTGAACTTACTGACCCTCGATCATAATCATAACGAAAGAAGACTAATATTATTTTCAGGCATATGGGTCCCACCATATAATGACAAGCGGGTCTTTAGTTCAGACAAAACAAATGGATGCAAGTATCCTTTTTGGTTTTCCAGTCTTATTTTAACCAGATGGGACTTTATTTAGATTACTGAATATGATTGGAATGATCCTCCCTCGCTTGTAGCACTTGGCCTTCGTTTCCTAACACCCACTGAAATTTCGCGCCTGCATGCATTTCCTGTACCAGGCTACCAGCTTCGAGTCCCCAACGCACCGTATTCCAAAAAGGAACCTAGACCATTCTCCCCTCCAACATGCATGCCGCATCTTGATTTTCCTGACAGCGTGACACTCAATCAACGTTATAAGCTGCTTGGAAATAGTCTGAACTGCTGGGTTGTGGCAGAACTATTGCGATGCGTTTTGTTTGAAGAGGATGTGATCATGTCTTGATACATATTTGGAAATTTCTACACTACGGAATAAAATTCAAAATGCAATTTTACCTAACAATTCTGTCTATATTGCCCTCTTGTTGTGAATGAGGTTTTAGCAGAGGTTAATAAGGGAGGGTGATTCTAGAGATTTGTAATAACCAGTTTCAATTCTCTTCGGCCCAAATTAAAACGAATTTTATAAAAGAATTTCACCTTTCTTTTCTATAGCATACTATCATTTCTAAGAGATTTTAAATAGTAGCATATATTGATATCGAATAATGGTTGCTACAATCGTGTTGTAAGCATCAAATTGATGGGTCGCATAAGCGTTCAAATCCAATAATATAGTAAAGCATAGGGCACACAGAAAAGTTAATTTAGCTCACCTTGTACTCGTACTTTTACCAGCTCATTCGATGTCTAAAATATTGCATTGCTGGTAGATTTTGAAAATTTTTAAATGAATTATTATTTAGAGGAAGGCTAGTTATATAGCTTTGAAAGCAATAAGGGTAACCCAAAATCCGAGTTGAGTTCAGCGAGAGCTGTTACTACATGGTCAACTGAATGCATAGCTGAAGTACCATGCTTGGATGATTCGAATCAAATTGGGTGGCTTACATACTGGTTTGATCTAAAATACAATCGCACCAGAGGGATCGTCACAAACAAGATAAAAGTGAATTGTATTATGCTACTAATTATTACTCTACACACTGACTTATACTAAATAATATGCCATGTTTGTTTTTTAGTCACATTAAATACCCATTAGAGCGCCAAAGCACATAGCTGTAAAAAGTCTATCCTGAGTCCAAAAAAAACATTTAGTAAAGAAGCGTAAAAAGTAAGGGCACAGATGTGTTGTATGGAGTCATATAATTAATTATATGTAAAGCCTTTCTTGTTAGAGTATCTAAAATTAATAGAACTTTAGGGAAGAATGAGACGGAGAATGCCTATCCAAAAACATTCTTTTATGGCTCATCTTAACGGAGATCTCTTAGCTAATTTCTAGGGGAAAAATATTATTCAATGGGGTATAAAAAGTCGTACACGAAGGAAACAAAGGAATCATTATACCCATTTTATTCATTCGACTTTTTGCAAGCATGAAGCTCGTCGCCCCCTTTTCACTCTTTGCCTTATGCGCCGCTATGGTGTCAGCTTCGGTTGATGATCACATTGGGTAACACATCCATATTCATATTCAAAGAAAACTCTCGATTTCTTATCAATATTCATTTTTCTTAGATTGATGAAGAGACTGGATTATGGACCGACTGTCATTGTTTCCAGTGAAACAGTTGTTGTTGACGGAAAGACATATGTTGCCGTTTATGAGGAAGTACAGCCTTACACTGTTGTTACAGCTACAAGCACAGTAACTTTAACAAGCACCGCATATGTTCAAAGCGCCTTGTGTAAGTTCATATGTGTACATAAATTCTATTTCTCACACAATCACACTTTTAGTCCGTGATGCCGACCCACTCACAAAGCTCGTCGACACATTCCCCTTGCTTGGAAGCATTGTGCAAATCCTTGATCCTACCGCTCTTACCACTAGACCAACTGAGACCTTAAGCGCCTCCACTGACACCAGTGCAACTGACAGCACTGCTACCGATAGCACTGACATCGACACCAGTGCTACTGATAGTACCGATACCGACACCAGTGCTACCGATAGCACTGACATCGACACCAGTGCTACTGATAGCACCGACACCGACACCAGTGCAACTGACAGCACTGACACTGATACCAGTGCAACTGACAGCACGGCTACCGACAGCACTGATACTGACACTAGTGCGACTGACAGTACTGCTACCGACAGCACTGATACTGATACCAGTGCAACTGACAGCACCGATACTGATACCAGTGCAACTGACAGCACCGATACTGATACCAGTGCAACTGACAGCACTGACACTGACACCACTGATACTGATACCACTGATACTGACACCACTGCAACTGACAGCACTGATACTGATACCACTGACACTGATACCACTGACACTGATACCACTGACACTGATACCACTGACACCGATACTACTGACACCGATACTACTGACACCGATACCACCGACACCGATACTACTGATACTGATACTACTGACACCGATACCGCTGATACCGATGCCGACACTCCTTAATTATAGTGGTATAATACTACCCCTGTCTATCATAGCTAATCACTTTGTGAAATACCATAAAAACAAATAATAATACCATAGCTACTCAAATTATTCAAATTTACTACTTTCTACCAATGGTGAAGACAATACTGCATCATTTAAATGTGATCAAATGTAATTATACAAAAAATCGTGACAATTAAATGAATATATTATCAATATAAAATATAAAATGAGTATTGTGAATGTGAGTATAGCTAATATATATAAAAGGGTCTAACACCTCGATACCTTAGAGTACGTACTCATGTAGAAAAACCAACTTATTAAAGCTTTATATGGAAAATAGATTTTCAAGATTATCCTGAAACGGTTTTATTTTGGAGATTGCTAAATATATATTTTTTCGCTTAATTACAAATAGGTTGATATATATATATGTGTTGAAAGATAGTTTTTAAGAGACTTTAGAATGGACAAGTACAAAATAAAAGCTATAAAAAGTTAGGGATCTATTGTAGTATTTTGATACAAAATAAGAAAGTTATTTCAATATAGTAGATAAGTATATTTATTAGACGATCAAAGGATGCGTATACAGCTCAAACTATATGTATTTCTGTATTCTATATTTCTTAAGTAAAAGTATTTGAGTAACTGTAATTCTCACAGCCCTCCTTCTCTTAAGTGGCTGATTTGAGTTACTTATCTATTTTGTCTTGGAACAGGCTCAAATTATTTGAGTTGATGGCTTTTTTGGATAGAATTCTTACAGAGTTAGATAATAGTCTCAAACGCTGAAGCGATACCAAGAACAAGAACTTTCTACACTTTAGACACCTTAATATTTAATGATAGAAAATAAGATGAAAGAATTATCTGGGAGTTTATCACAGTAAATTTTGTTACTTTTACCTATAAACTCTTATTAATCGTTCTCGTTCCAGGTGAAGGCAAGGAGATATGCTTCGATATACTCTTCAGTAATACATGATATTACACATATTAGGAACAGAAATAATTATATACATCGTAATTCGTACAATTACAAAATGATTTATCTTTTAGAAATGTCCTGGCTAATTCCAAAACTAGACCTGACCTTAGAAATAGTTAAGATCAAATAAACTACTGATTATTCTTTTAGATTGATAGAAAAAAGAATTGATCGGAAAAAAGTACACTGTGATTGTTGTACCAAGTCAAATTGTGTTCCTCTGACTTTTCGCATGGAGAAATTGTTTATAATTAGCCAAAATTCTCCAGTTTCTTCAGAGGAAGGAGAATGGTCAAAATGAATTTACACCTGGCTATGCATTTTTAGGCTCTTGTATTTTGGTTATTTACTTTTTTATACACCACATATATGAGCAATGAAAAAACGCATAAAATATTTATGCGTAGTCTGTCGACATCATACCCTCATTTAAATACTTCAGCCTTTCTGTATCTATGTTTCTTAACCAAACCTCTTTGGTCTACAGAATAAAATTAATAGAACCATAATAATATAATAAATTTATTGTCTGAATGTAAAGAGTAAAGTTTGAACCTAAGAAACTTCTTTCTAGAACTTCTGCCTTTTATTTTTATCCCCCAAAGGATGATATAATTAAGATAACCTGCTAAGGACCTTGTGATAAAGATAATAGTCTTGCTGATCATGATATTTCTAAATAAAATCTTATACAAAGTAAGATAGAAGATATACATAGCATACATAAGCCTATTGATAAATGTGATACTTATTTAGAAGGAAGGGCACACTTATCGTAAGAATGCTTCCGTAGACGAGTTTACACTCTTGCGTACTCCCACAGTGACTTAATCAAGGCGCCTATACCTTTTTATCAGACATTATTTGGCTTGGGAATAGTTGTGCTGTATATATCATTTGGTATAGAATGAAAAAAATACTACTACTTTTCCATAAGCTTGGACAAAATTTTTTGACTATTTTGGGCATTAGTCCCACATATAACGGCGATAAATTTCATCTAGTTACATCTGTGCTAACTTCCTTGAGAATCTGGAGACGTAAACCCATTGATTACGACCTAGTGGATTGCTTTTAAAGTAAAGAGAGTCGTAATGGCTCTTGACTCTGAGTCCCAGTCTGGTGGTGAGCAGGTTTTTCAAGAAACGCTCATGAGTTTTCTTTTTGTATGGGTTTTTATTTCCTGTCGGCCTCTGGTCGCGCAATGTAATATGGTGTGTTCGGGAATAAATATTTAAGTTTTTAGGTGATTTTCAAAGTTCCATGACTTTTGCTACAGACAAGTTATAGAGAATTGCTTAGACATGTTTTATAGGGAAGACTCTTCCGAATAACTCTTGTTTAAAAGATTCTAAAAACAAGGCTTGAATAAAAAGTCATGGACCTTCAAAGTCAAGAGGTATCAATAGAAAATAGTGGAGTTTCAGCTTTTTCTTTAATATTGAAATGAAAAAGAGAGTCACTATAGCAACAGGTACATTTCAATGTTCTTAAAAAGGATAGTCGTGTAGCGTAAAATATTATTTTTTCGATTTTCTTTATATATATATCGGGAATTTAATATATTTTACTATCGGAGTTTTCTTGAGGTAAAATTGAAAAGATTTCAAAACTTTGATGTTTATGCTCGAACACACCATACGAGTATCAAATGTAACTGAATACGACACATTTTGCTTCTTAAATCCTATGGCGTGGTAGAAATATCAATATCAATAGAAATGTTAAATTATCTACTTGTAGCCTAGTAGGTCTACCTATATCAGGTACCAGTAACGACAAAACAAACAGTCTGATCTGCGATGTATTATTTCAAGATTCAAAGGTTTAAACGAATATGAGACATTTCCATTTCTACTACTAGAAAATTAGTACAAAGAATTTCTAATTATTATATTGATTTTTTTTGGCTTTGCGCAAACCTTTGAGGAAGGGAAAAAGCACTGGAGACATGTATGATTGACTCACATGAAGAGGCGACTGTCACATTCATTGAAGCAATTGGCCTACATTAATGGGTATTATCTTCCTTTTTTTGTTTTTTCTAATAGGGTACCTATAATATCTCTTACTTACTGCATTGATATATATATATTGGTCTAAGCCAATCGCTAAGCCCTTCTGATCACTTTACAAGTGGAAATATTGTATGACCCACCGCAATAAATACAGTAACTTACTAGCTACAACAATTAATTCTTCGACATAAGTGATGCTTTTGATTTTGATCGGTAGTAATGAAATTTGGGCTTCTTGCAAATGATTATAAAATCGGTAAACCGAGACAAGCTGAGATAATGTATCAAACATATATACAGTCTAATTAGATTCTAGAAATAGAAATATACGTTTGGCCACGGTTGAAGTTTATGGGTAAAGTAGTAAGAAAGAAGACATCCTTTATTGAGAATTAAAAGGGAATTAATGTATTTAAGATAAAAATATCCTCCCGTCTCATTGATTTTCTTTTAGAAATACGTATGGTTACAATAAATGTGCCTCGATTAACGTAAATTTTGCTTTCTATTGTGTTTTCACAAGAAGTCATTTTACACGAAGCATCTTTCGTACAGCACAGATGATTCAAAACAAAGCTCAAAAGTAAATTGTATTCACTCTACTTTTGTACTTTTCTTAATCAAAAGCTATAATTTATTTTATGCCGAATATGTGTCTTCAAGATGAATTTTGTACACACATACATATACATGTACATATATGTATCTGTATCTGTATATAAATGTACACAGATATATACTTTTAATAAAGTATTGTATATAAAATGACATAATTAAGCCCTTTTTTCTTAGCACTTTCTCAATTATTCTTTATTCAAATTTTTGCTCAGCATTTTTTATTCTAGCTTGATAAAAGCTTGGCCCTTACATTTATATATGTATAAATATATTTCTACACTCTTGTGTAGCCAAAGCCACACTAATACTCCGCGGTGATGAGCACTACACCAGCCTATAGATCACGTGCACGGACGGTAAGTCTAGAAATTTAGGCAACCTTACATGCTCTTTTACTTTTCATACTCACTTTACATTCTTAATCGGTACGTCATTAACTTCTGCTTGGCATTTATCTTTTTATTTTGTTTTAAGGGGTAGTGTAAATAAGTATGAGAGTGGTTGAAATAAAATGAAAATGGCTGGGCCTTGAGTAGAAAATATTAAGGGGTGTCAATATAGATGACAAAAAAAAGGCACAGGAAAGTTGAAGAGAGCATAAAGTGTATAGAAAAGAAAAGAAAAAAAAAGAAAAAAGCATGGAAAATGTAATATTATGGATGATGAGATTCCTTGGAAAGATGGGGCTTATCATGCATAGTGTAGCATTGCATGAGTCAAAAAAAAAGAAGAGGTCATAATTTATGCCAATATATATATAAGGGGCGGAAAACAAGAACTGACCAAATACTCTTTCCAATATAAACCACTAACGAACCATTTCTTTAATCCTTCATTACATAGTATTAAGTAAGATACTTTTACTCTGTCTGTTTAATGAATTTATTAATCCTAATTTAACAATCAGATGGCAGAACTCAGAAGAAAGCTCGTAATTGTCGGTGATGGTGCTTGTGGCAAGACTTGTCTACTCATTGTCTTTTCCAAAGGCACATTCCCTGAAGTAAGATATAATTGCATAAAAACGAGAATCATATATTTAAAAGTCCTTTATGCTTTGTTTGTTTGGTATAGTTTTATGTTCCCACTGTGTTTGAGAACTATGTTGCTGACGTAGAGGTTGATGGCAAGCACGTTGAATTGGCACTGTGGGATACCGCTGGTAAAAAAAACGAAAATGAATATTTCATATGTAAATCTTACATTTTTTTAAAAAAAATAGGCCAGGAAGATTATGATCGTCTCCGCCCTCTCTCATACCCTGACTCGCATGTTATCTTGATTTGTTATGCTGTTGACTCGCCTGATTCACTTGATAACGTTCAGGAGAAGGTACTTATTTTATTTATTAATCAAATACTTGCAGTTATTCGATTGCTAAATAAGACTATTTAGTGGATTTCTGAGGTCCTCCATTTCTGCCAAAATCTACCTGTTTTGTTGGTTGGCTGCAAGAAAGATTTGAGAAACGACCCTGCTACTATCGAGGAGCTCAGAAAGAACTCTCAAAAGCCTGTATCATCTGAGGAAGTAAGTCAAAATGATACATACATAAATAAACACGCAAAAACACACACATTCGTGCATACATAAATTATGTGGGTCGATTAGATTGACTGTTTTTATTTTATTTATTAGGGTATGGCTGTGGCACGGCAAATTCGTGCCGAAAAATACCTCGAGTGCTCTGCCAAGACCAACGAAGGTGTTCGTGAAGTATTTGAACACGCCACTCGAGCTGCCTTGAAGATCGTCAAAAGAAGTTCAGGAAAACCCTGCGTTGTTCTTTAATTATTTTTTTTAGTTATAAAAGAGGCATCAAAGAAAGAGAAAAAGAAAGAGAGAGAAAGAGAGAGAGAGAGGTCAAAACCAAGACCAGGACCAAAACACAAATCAGTTGGACTTGATTAATATTCTTCTTTATTTTCCTTCCAATAGTGAATATATATATATCCTTTCCTTTTTTTTCCTTTCTGTTTTTTTGAAACATATGGTTCAATCATATTAGTGTTTTCTTTTATAATGGGAGCCTGGGTGGAACAGTGTCAGTCTAATAACCATTGTTAGGGGATAAGGGGGAGAAGAGGGGGGGGGGGAGGTTTTTTTTGGGCTGCAAATCATGAGTCCTGTACATTTAGACCCGGAAAACAAGTGTTACATGTGTTACGATGGCAAGATGTGTTTGTGCTTTTTAAAGAATAATGAATAAACAATAGGTGCCAATGTGATGTGTATATGCTGAGATTTGTGTTTGATGAAATAAGATAAAGACAAGACTGGGCATTTGTGTACAAAACTCAAATTTACTCCGCATGAGAACCACCTACTTGAAAATCAAGATATATATAAATACCCTTTCCATTCTTCCTTCCTTTTCACCATTTCATTTATATATAATTATCAATGCCTAAAGATTCACAAGAGCGTAAGCTTAATGCATCTCACTTACGCCTCAACTAACCCTTGTATTAGACCGACCCATGAAATCCATTCGTATAGTAGGAGATTCTCCTCATGAACAACCCGTAAGTCTTAAACACTAATGTAGGTTATTTCTAAAGGCTGTTTTATATTTAGGCTCTTCAAAATCATTTTGCCTATTGGGATCGAACCAACAAAGGTTATATCACCCCATTAGATGCAGTCAGAGGTAAATATAATACAATCGCCTAAACCATTATACTCAAACTCTCGTGTACCAAGGCTTCTCCAACCTGGGTTACAATATATTCCTAAGTATCATAATTGGTGCCATCCTAAGCATGTTGTTTTCATATGCAACACAAGATTCATGGATACCAGACCCTTTATTCCGAGTAAACACAGCTAATCTTATAAGCTCAGAGGTAAATCATCACACAAAAACACACAAAAACACACAAAAACACATACAAAACACGAAACTTATTGTTCGCGTTTAATCTCTTTAAAGTCATGTGGTCCGTACGATCAAAATGGGCAATTTGATCTTGAGAAGTTTGAGGCTCTATTCACAGCATACGCAAAGGCAGATCCCTCTGGAAAAACCATCAGTGTAATAGAATTACTTCAAATGGTCAATGAAACAAACTCTCTCGGAACAAGTCTTTCTAAATGGTAATATTTGTTTTCTTGCCTTACAAGGTTAAATTAACACGGTTCTCTTTACAGGACAAAAACATTTCTGGAATGGAGTACTGCTTATCTATTTGTGGGCCACCGCGGTTCTCTGAAGAAGAGAGATGTTGTGGCTACCTACGATGTAAGAAATCAATAGAAACCCAAAAAGCCTTTAAAATATTTATCAAGTATTTCGCTTTCAATATCTATAGGGCTCCTTATTCTACCGTCTCCGGAATACTAAGCGTCCCATCAAAGCAAACACAAAAAAGCCTCGTCTAGCTGGCGTGATTCGCGCAAAAACTAAAATCAACTACCTAGAAGACAAGGTCCAGACAATAATCAACAAGCTCCCACCTTCTTCTGTCAAGGCAGTTGAAGGGCGGATTGAAAAGTTACGCCTCATGGTAGAAAACCATACGGGTCAGCTTACTTTTCCCATTCCAATCATGGATCTAAACAAACCTGTGACTACAATGCGGGCAATAACGTTGACGGGCGTACCAGATAAGCAAGAATCAGCTGAAACTGCCGTCTCACTAAATTCGCTCCAGCTTTACGGACACTCTCTCACGGGTACTCAAGAAATCCAAGAATATCAAGGCACTCAGGAATATGACAATATAAACATCACTGGCCTTTCATTGGATTCCCTATCAAAAGACGACACAGAAAGCATCATTGTAAAAGACTGGCTTCAAACAGGTTCTCTCACTGGGGTTCAGAAACCAACAGATTTGCAAAACAAGCATGACTCACAAGAGAATGATACCCCTGTTCAACTGACTACTGGATTGACTGGCGTACAGAAACAAGATAATGACCAAGAGACTCTGACAGCACAAAATACAGATGCAATGCTTACCTCTGGCCTTACTGGTGTCCAGAAATCAGAAGAAGAACCTCCAGTCGATGAAGTACACGTCCAACTCACTTCAGGCTTAACTGGCGTCCAGATATCTTCAGAAGATGAATATTCCATCGATGAAGTACACGTCCAACTCACTTCTGGTTTAACTGGGGTCAAGGTGTCTTCAGAAGAGTTTGAAACCACAGAGATCCTATCAAAATCTGGTATAATCGGTGTACAGGAACCATCAGAAACCGCTCCAATTGAAGAGATCGATGTCGAACTCACTTCCGATCTAACTGGCGTCAAGTATGGTACATCCGACCACGATCTTATTTCAGCAGGAGCATATGAAGATGACCAACAAAACACAAGTCAATTTGGTGTTCAGCTTCCAGAAGATCTTGAAGGCACTTTGACAGTAGACGAAGGAGAGCCTGTTCAGTTGACCTTTGGTCTAACAGGTATCAAGAGTCAGTTTGATACTGAAGACAAGGAAAACACAGTTGATGATCACGCTTTAGAGAACACTGGTCTTACTGGAGTTCTTCACAGCAGTGATGAAGATACACATGAAACCTTTGTACGCTTCACACATAACGATACATCTAGTGATGAATCTATGGAAGTTCCTGAACTGACTCTTGTTGACCATCCTTTGACCGGTACCTGCAGGGATCACAGTGATGTTGAAAACGAAGACGAACTTTCTCAATATGACATGCACAGTGATATTCACTATTCTTCTACTGAAGCTACTGAATCCGACAGAGAGCCATTCCAGCTTGTTGCCAACCTAACTGGTCTATCCAAAGAAGATCCTTCATCTGCCATCTTTGTAGATCTTACCCATGAGCTCTCTGGCGATATGAACGCGACTCATTTTGGCGAAATATTCTTGGTTGACTCTCTCACTGGTTTGAGCAAAGAGCCACCTATCGTAGATAGCTTCAAGCTTTCAGAAGATATTCAGGTCAAACCAAAGGAACCCAAGATCCCTGTATCTATTCAAGATGTCGCTTTGACTACTGCTTTGACTGGCCTTTCCAATAAGCCTACTGAGCCCAGTACGTTTGATTTGTCAAACGGAACATTTGATTTCCCTCGAAATGCAAAGGAAACAGTCTCAGTTGAAGATGTAATGTTGAGTGAGTCATTGACAGGAGTTAAGGACATTCCAGAAGACACCGCTGATCCAACTGATGCCGACGACCAAGAAGGTGACGATTCCAGCAATATTGCCACTACAGCTCATCACGATGATAAGAACGTCTCCGGGATGACATCACAGGATATCAATGTACATGACTACCACTATGAAAACTCATCAGTATGCAGCTCCCATGCTTCTGTGGACAATGGCGCGCATCAAGATTCAGAGAATAGCCATTCAGAAGACGAATCGTGTGAATCTCGCGCAGGCGTCCCAATGTCTTTGAGTGACTCCCAGCAAAGTGCAAAGGCTAGAAAGAACCGAAGAAAGAAGGATAAGAAGAGACAGAAGCAGCAGATGGCCACTGTAAATGATAAGGCTTCTGAAGGTGCATGGCCACCATTAACTGAGGTTGCCGGCAAAGAAGAATAATTATCATTATCTAACCCGCTCTTTTTCATCCCCTCCCCTTCTTTTTTTTAAATTTTTTATAATTTTTTGACTTTCATTTGTTTTCTGCATGCTGGAATAAAAAACCTAAACCCATTTCCCTGTTTTTATTTAATAAATGCATCTTACAGGGGTTTGTATAACTCACGATTGTCATTACTTTTAGCTGGGTTCTTTTTCAATAAACGAATACATATTTACTTGCTTGAATAGAATACAATTCCCAAAAATATTCATGTACAGTATAGAAATGAGACCTCAGAAAATTGGTAAAACATTTCTGCCTATATTAGTAAATTTGAAAAAAAGAATGGTAAAACAAAATTAAACCTTCCTATTATTGAAAACGCTCTCAAAATTTATTTAAAACAATTGAACTGCTGGGGGAAGTAACTATTTTTTTTTAACTAAAATGGCAGTGTTTGGCTTTAGATGAATTACAAGTTAACTCACTGATGGAGATGCTCTAATAAACGAGAACAAGAGACTCACTTCTATCTTTGTTTTCTTTACTTATCTATTGTCTCGTTAAATCTCGCAGATTAGATCACATTGTGAATAAAGAAAACCCGGAGTTTATGATATAAAAAAAACGAGGTCAAAGACTCGAGGAGGTATTTATTAAATATTTACAAAAATATTTGTACTGGTCTTCTTCTATACTCTAATTTGTTTATAATGACTTGATCAAGAACCAAAGTTTCTCTCGCGGAAACCTCTATTTCAGCATTGATAGAAAACCTATCAACTACAATTTTCTTGACATTCTTGTGGTCTCTAAAATATATATTGATAAAACATTGCCTAATTTAATACTTACTTACTGTTTACTTTAAAAATTCCTTTAGGTCCTCGACATTTGTTAAGAGACCAGTGTAATCCAAAGTAACCAGAATTATTTGCATTTCGGAAAAGTTCAAAAAGTCCAAAAGATCTAAAAAGCAGGATATCATATTGATTCAAATTCATCTTTAACTTGTATTGTGTATTGTCTCTTGTAGGGCCATCTGTTCCCTCGAGGACATCGTCATTGATATCACATTTATCAAAAGGTTCATTTGCAAAGGAAGATTGTGCGACAAGACCCTTGTCTATAAAAGGCCGACTCCTCAACCTGTCAACCATCATTCTCAAAAACCTCGATCTCTTTTTTTTACCTTGATATTTGTCATTGAATACACGAAGATTTCAATACCTCACATAGGATCCGTTTATATTTTTAGCTCTTTTAGGCGAGAAATTACTTGATGATAAAAACTTCAGATAATTTTTTCCGCAGAAGAGCTGAAACTGTTTTGTTGTTGAAATATGTGAAATGCTTCAACATCTCTGTGAAAATATCTGACAATGACATTCCTTTCAATATGTAAATATCACCGAGGACAGGTTCGACAGAATATATTTCATTCATGGATTTTAAAACTTTAGCTTTTGTTTCTAAATGATTCAATTGTAAATTAGCGAAATCATCAAAATTGAAGACTGAAAAGCATGTCTAGTTTCCTTACAGCTTCATTTGAACCCATTTCTTCTGATACTCATTCGGTCAAACATTCCTTAAATACAAAGGAGTTACCATGTAATCTTTGTTTTAATACAAGTAAAGGAATTGTGGGATTATTCTAGTAGTACGCTTCATGTTCATCGCTTAATGGCCGAAGTTTTTTTAGAGCTTTAGCAACGCTTCCTTAGCTGATCTTTAGTTAGAAATGGATACAGAGTGCATGGTTACAACTAATTAAAGCCATATTTTTTATGGAGAAAGAAAACAGCATGAAAATATTTAGATTTTAGTTTTAACAAAAAAAACGGCCATAATAACCACAGTACAATTACTTTGTGCTTATGGTCATACTTTTCTGTTTTGAGAAGAAATATATGTCGATACTTGCCTGTGTATATGTTGTATTCAGCTTCTTTTATTGGCGCTCACTACAACCATATTAACACCAGATTCCTCGTCTAACTATGACTCAAAATAATGATCATTTTGGACATCTTCCTAAGATCTATTATTTTTCTAGGCGGAATAAAGGAATCTCATATTGCTTTAACTTGTTTCGTTTATCATCAAAGATGTCCCCTTTTCCATCTTTGCGATAAAAAGACATTTCAGACCCCACAATTAAGTTTTGAGCCTGACCAACTCAATCCAGAAAGTGGCCAACTGGTTCTCAAAAAAAAAAACAAATCATTTTCAGGGTAGATATCGTGTAACATTGACTTAAGGTTTTATCGCGAGTTATATGCACCTATGCGCGAATGTTCTTTTTTAAAAATAGAAACATAACACATCTGATTCGTTTGTTCACTGAATTGTATTTTAGTGTAACATGGCAACCACTCTGGCAGGTCATTTTTAATGTACCTCTAGACTCGAAAATCATTTGAAGACTATTGTTTTGGATATATTTATTTTATTTGATGTGTGAAAAATGAGTCAGAATTCAGTGCTCAAGTCCAAGATTTCTTTGATCAGCGTGGTTGATAGTTTATTTTGTAAGGTTTTCCTAGACAAAGTAATAGATGTTAATGTACATTAGCTTCTGGATGGGAAAAACGTTAGTTTTTGTTACAAGATTTATTAAATATAATCCTTTGATAATGATGTATAGCTTTTCAAAAAAAAAGCCTATAGTATTTCTGTCACTGTGGCCTCAAGATGTCCTTTGGCTCAAGTGAATATTGTCGAGAGGATCTCGACTACATACATTAATATAACAGATTCTATTATGGAGTTGAATTTTTGCTGGTGTCTTTCAGACTGTTGTAGTAGATTTATTCTATGATGTGCTAGTCAGTGGAGTTAATGAGCTTAATGAATTCTCACAAGAAAAATTCCCCACGTTATCTATGGATTATAATTCACCAGGTGGAGAAGGTTCGAAACGGTTTGTTTTGTATTGTACCATGTATCAGATAAGAATCGCAAAAAAAAGAATAAAATAACGATGAACTTCCTAATGAAGTTTGTTAATCTATATAGACACACCAAAGGTAAGAATCTTCATTGTTTTGCGCCACTAAAATAACGTATACATTTGAAGACATTTGAATTCATTTCCGTAATATAAACAAGTGCATGTCTTATAAACGACACACTCAGAGGTCTCTATTACATCCAAAATAACCTATCATCAAATGAAGTTGGGATTCAAGTAACCATCAAAGTCTAATACAAAAGGAAAAACTACAAAAATATTTTAAACTTCTATAAAAAACTAGGTTCAATACATTCTTGATCCATAGTATTAAGTTATCTTTCTCTTTCTCTAAATAATATTTATAATTCTCATCAGCTTGCCTGTATATATATATTATAACTCTTAAATATTACTAAGTTCTGATGAATAAAGATGTATATACACATATTCGTATACATGCCTTTCGATACTTTGGGTCTTCTGATGCCTATATCACAGTATTTGGCAGAGAATTAGCGCTATATATAGTAGAACCCCTTACCTCAGCTCCAGTTACTTTTACTACCGCGCATTTTCTTTTTGAACCGAGTGAAAATATGCTTAAGATTAATGTGGAAGGATATTTTGATTATGAGCACGCAATTGTTAAATTGAGCTCAATTTAGATTCAGGATTTTATATAATATAGTTTTTATTAAATATCTTTTGGAGAGGCTCTACTGCGAGTGTTAAAGTCATTCTTTAAAGATAATTTCTATATCTCTCTGTAAAAAAGTAGTTACTCTAATATTAAATTTTGTAAATATCTCTTTCCAACGGTTTATCTGGTTCAATATTATCAGCGATTCTTTAGTAGTCTGAAACAAAAAGGGTAATATTCTACTACTGAAAATAGACCGTTTGCTGTCTAATCCAAGAACAATGGTAAAAGAAGTAAACACTGGACTTTATAAGAGAATATTCATAAAACAATCCAAGGTCTGTTTTATTCAACTATTATAAATTTTTCTTTCGTTTATTTTGTAATGCCTATTGTCTATGTTTATTTAGAAGGCGTATCCTCCTATTTTAGACTGTGTTGTCATGAATAGTCGTACATATAATATATATACAAAATCACAAAGTTACAAAATGTTCTTGATGACCCAGACTTTTTCAGTTTTTATTTGTTTACTATTTATCTTTGTGTGAAACCATAGAAACCAAAATTAAAAGTTTGAGATGATATTGTTTTTGTTGATCTTTCAAGGGTATGACTTATTTGTTAACATCATGAATCAAAGGCAGCTAGTCTGATTTGTTTATTAGACTACTTTATCAAGAAAGGGTATACAAAATTCTGTCATGATTGAAAAAATCAAGGTAAATAAACTGAATATCTTAATGTTTTACTTTACAATATTAACAATTGTACAACTCGGAATATGTCAGCTGGACATATCTATACTAACACGATATTGAATCATTATGGCCAAAAGATATAGTGTAGTTAAGGTCTTCAAGGCTCGGGTGTGAGAAATACAGGCAGTTACGGCCACGAGAGATGCACTAACAAGCACTCGGACCATTTCACCGGCCCTGTTTCTTTTATGGGTAGAATAAAAAATCAACAAAGGGTTCCCACATACGGATTATTAGAACATGAACCCTAAATATAGTTGATCACAGAGTCTAGATTTAAATCAATAGAGAGTACCGTTTTCACCATTGTTTATGAGATCACCCTGTTTTTTCTTCTTCAAAAAAGCACAAGCTGCCAAGAGTTAAACTCTCTTACAGAAGCATTTGAACTCATGGTTTCAGGTCAAAACTGATAAAAGCAAATGACATGGCTTATGAGGTTCCAGAAGTATACTCACAAATGACACGCACAGAACTTGTGGCCCCTGCGTACAAAATATGGGGTTTAAAGGCAATATTAGTATTGGTTTGTTTGTGTTTTTTTTCTTTTTTCTTTTTAAAAAAAACAAGTGTCTGTCAATGATACAAATTATGAAACACTATTTTATTCGTGTCACATTTATCTTTTTAATCCTTCTCCCCTCTCCCTCCCTCTTCCTACCATATACTTGTTAACCCAGAATATAACTGTTTGCAATATTGAGTATAAGTGCAAGATGCCCACATAAAAAATGTCGAGAGAAATAGAAAGCTACCTTTGGTATACATATGTATATTATCAGTTTGGGGATATACAAGTAGTCCCATAGTCAATTTGGACAGAAAAATTCTCACACTTATAACCAAATATCAATAAACAAAAGTAAACAATAACAATAGTGAATACAAACCAAGGCATGTTATTTATCATTTGTCTCAATATAACTAGGTATGTAGTATGCTTCAAACAATACTGTTAGTCATTCCCATTAATTAATATCAGTACAAAGATAAGAGAAATAAAAAGCACGAGACTCCAATAGAATAACAACTTTATTATTAAATTATATTGGCTTTAGGTAAACAATTCAACTCAGAACGCCTTGAATTTCTATTAGACACCAACGTTTTGCGTTTACAGAATAATGTGATCGAAAATAACAATAATTTCATACGATTCAATTATGCGGACATAAACTAGTCAAAAACATATAAGAAATACGATGGCAATTCAAATATTGAGCTTAGTAGGACCACACCCTCGGCAATAAAAGAATGTATCGGATTGATATACGCCAACATTAATTTATCTATTATCCAGAACATGAGAGACATAGTCTTCTTTTGACTGTTAGGGTGTTCTAGAATTCTTTCGATAAACATCGCCTAATTATTTTTACAATTAACGAAGAGGCAGTAAAAGTAAGTCTACATTCTATCTTATCGCAATTATATAAAGTCACAACAATGGCACATGTAATAGTCCAGTGTAAGGTGTGAAACTGATAATCAAGCATTCTGTTATTATCCTTAGATTTGACTTTATTTGATTTAGAGGTCAATAGTTGTATTACTGATATAATATCTCAGAAGAAAATAATACTCAGTAGGAAATATGTAGGGAGTTACTTATTATTGAATTAGTCGTCTGAAATATATTGCTGTTTTATGTATAGATATATGAACGAAGAAAACGAGATAATGTTTTATTGGTACCAAAAAATCATCTTATCACAGTTAATGAGAAGTGCAATTGTTTGATCTAAATCTAATTTCATAGATAGTATTATATTATAAAAACAAACAAACATATTACATAGGATTAACCCACGATACACAGTTTATGAAATATATTTATAACTAATTATATATATGTTAGATATTATCCTCAAAGGGACTCAGTGCACTTCTTACTGACAGAAATGTAGCCATAATTAACGCTATCTTGCATACTTTGAAAGGAACGAAAAGATATATAAGGGTAATATAAATAATATACATAGATATATCCATTCTTACCAATATGTAGCAGCACAAATTACAAATATATTTTAAGGTAATTTTATCTTGTATATAGTGTATATGTCTCATTTACAGTTCCGCGGTCGATTTTTTTTAACAAACGTCTGCTTTGTCTCGAAAATATTTATACGCCAAAATGAATACTGTAAGGCAAAGCCTTTTAATATATAAATGTATATTACCTCAATTGTAATATGGTTGTAGCGCATAATACTTGGTTATATTACTATATATATATTTATATATTACTCTGAAAGAACTAGTCAAATGTTGAGTGTTATTCAATTAGTGTCATACGATCATTTAATTTGACCATATTGTTTTATATCTGATATTCTATTGCCAGAAATATATTTCACATCACTGCCTTCCATAATGACTTCTTTATCAATATTCTTACATTAATAATAACGAAGCCGTGCAGCTCATTACTATATTGCTCATTTATATACTCTTTGTACTTTTCTTATAACTAGAGTATTCCACCCTTTTAAGGTTTTCCATCCTTTTTATTATTTTTTATTACTTTCCAAATAGCTAAAAAAAATTACATTTTAAATCAACTTTATTTTCCTCTTTCCTCTTTTTTCTTATCACTATATGTATATATATTCAGTCAATCTCTCTAATACCACCCTCAGTTAGGTTTTGTTTAATTGAGGGATATATCCTCATTGTCTACTTCTTGTGGAGTCCCACCATCGTTGTATAGTACAACCTTGTTCGAATCTCCATTATTATTTGATTCTGAAGATACATTTTTTTCATGGATACTTCGTTTGTTTAATGTCGCCGTTGGGTATGACGCTTCTGGTAATTTGGTGTCCTTGTATTTTTCTGCCATTAACTCATACCATCTTTCAGGGGTTTCGTTCAAAAAAGCCACCAAAATAACCGTCATATTGTCTTGTCCGAGAACTTGCCCTTTTGTTTTTGCAAGACATTTACCCATCAATAGCTCACAGATATTTTTCAGAGATTCCTTGTTACCCAGATGATGCTGCACAAAATTTACAACTTCAGGATTGGTCATACAATCCCAGATACCTTTATAAAACACAAATGAGTATCCTTGTATTTTATTTTGTTTTGTTTTATTACCATCACAAGCTAAAATCAGAAATTCGTCTTTCTCATTAAGAGTATGTTCGACAACGTCAGGGAAAGCTTTTAAATGGGCAGTGGTGAGTAAAGTTTATTTTTGTTTAGATAACTTATATTTGACTAATTACCGGTGACAATCTGCTGCTCAGGCGGAAGGTTGCCCATTTTGTACTCAAAGTCACCGAGTGCTCTCGAGAGTGCCAATTTTCCTGTATAGTAAATGTTTAATACTGTAGACTTCTTATATATACATAAGTACAACTAACCGTTCACTCTAGCCAACCTGACAAAACCACCAGCCTTTTCAATTCTTTCCGTTTCTTTTTTATTGGTGGGTTTATGATCTTGAGACAAGGCAATGGCTCGACCGCCTGTACACAGAACAGCTCGAGAATCTCCTGCATTACTCTGATTACAAGCCTTGAGTTCTCATATCTCTCTTTTTCGCTTTATTCTCAAACTTTTGAATTCCTTGTTTCTTTCCTGTTACGACTCTTACCACAAATAGAATGTTTTGCTTGGTCAAGAGAGCTACAACCGCAGTACAGCCAGAAGGTTCATTTACATACAATGGATCTAGAAGTAAAATGTTTTAATTTGGCCAATAAAGTCATTTGATATAATACCTTCTCTAAGAGCTTCATCTATGCCTAGAAAACTTTGCTTAAGTGCCTCACGGAAATGTCCTTGTTTAAAGGCTTCTGACTTTAGTAAAAGATTGGGCAAGTGATCTTTACTGTATTTGGCTGTTTTTTCACCCCCGTGACCATCAAAAACAGCAAAAAGACTGGCCTGGGTATCTCCATCCTCTGCAATAGTAATATGGGCATCTTCCATGCCTACCACACCATGTGAATACATTACAGAATAATGCTTAAAGAAAGTCCTTTACTAATGCGCCACCCTTGCATGGCAGATGCAGCGTATATAACTCTTTGGCTCCCTCCTTCTTCCGATTCCTTTTCGGTGATTGGTTCGGATAGTGTTTGGCCCATGACGTGAAAGAGAAAGAAAGGGCTTGTATTAAGCGTGAAAGTGACCAAAAGGCATATTTAAGTCCCGTTTGTGCAAAAAGAGTTGCATTAGCCGAACTAGGTCACGTGTAAAAACCGGGGTGGAGTTTATCCTTTCTTCATTAAACCTTGTCACTGCTCTTTTTTCCCTCTCTTGTTACCATTGCCATGTTGCGAACTAGTCTGTGGACTGCATTCCGACAGCCATCAGTGGCCACGCTTAGACGTTACTCTGCTTTGCCAAAACCTCTTCTCACACGCAAGCTAGCTATACAACCTATACCGAGAACACCTCTTGGAAGAACCTCATTCTCAAGTACCCCTCATAAGCATACTCCTATAGAGAAAACAACTAAGAAAGCAACAGAGGAAACCAAGAAGAAGAAAGATATCAGCGATGTAAAGCGGCTCTTTACACTCGCTAAGCCTGAAGCAAAGAGTATAACCGGTAAGCTTATTATAAACTATTTAATATTTGGGAAAATAGCTAAAAAAAATGCCTATAGCTGCTATTGGACTTCTTGTTATATCTTCTTCGATAACTATGGTAAGTTAAAAAGAAACCTAGCACATAAGTTTCTTACCCGATTTGCATTAGTCTGTCCCATTCTCAATGGGAAAGATAATCGACATTGTATCCCACCCGGGAACCGAGAATTATATGGGGCTGACAATGCCTCAGTTCTTTGGTGCTCTTTCTGTCGTATTCGTGATTGGCGCAGCAGCAAACACTGGAAGAGTTCTGTTGTTCAGACTATCCGGGGAGCGCATTATCCAAAGACTTCGTGGAAATCTTTACAAGTCAATCCTCAAACAAGACATGGCTTTCTTTGATAAGAACAGAACTGGCGAACTCATATCACGTCTTTCAGTTGACACTGCAATTGTTGGTAAGAGCTTAACCAACAATGTGAGCGATGGATTAAGGTAATGTATCATTATATTTTTCCTTATCTTTTGAGAAGATAAAAATAGAAAGTTAAATAAAAATTAGATGTTGTGTATATTTCTGTATTGACAAATGAATCAATTATTATAGAGCTCTCGCCACTGCCGCTGTTGGTTCTTCCATGATGTTTTATGTCAGGTAAATAGTATTTGAGAATGGATGATGGAACCTGTATATTGAATACTATTATTTCGTTTTTTTGCCAGTCCACAATTGACTGGAATTATGATGCTTATTGTTCCCCCTGTCGCAATATTTGCTATTGTTTACGGTCGTTATGTAAAGTCCCTTTCTCGTAAAACACAAACTGCATTGAGTGAAATTACCAAGGTGGCAGAGGAGCGTATCAGTGCTATAAGAACCGTCCAGGCATTTGCAAAAGAGAAGCAAGAGGAGAAACGTTACGGCCTTCGTGTAGCAGATGTATATAACCTTGCGACCAAGGAGGCAATGGCTAGTGGTGCATTTTTTGGTGGCGCAGGCCTATCGGGTAATCTTGCCGTGTTAGCTGTATTGTGGTATGGCGGACATATGGTACTTGAGAATGCAATCACAATCGGTGAATTAGCTTCCTTTATGCTTTACACAGCCTACGTCGGTACTTCATTAGCTGGATTGACAAGCTTTTATTCAGAGATTATGAAAGGAGTGGGTGCTTCTGATAGATTATTTGATTTGTTGGAACGCAAGAGTCCAATTAAGGTGACAGGAGGTCAAATTCTGCCATCTCTACATGGCAAGATACGATTCGATGATATCCACTTTACCTATCCTACTCGTCCTCAGTCTACAATTTTCAAAAAGTTTTCCCTCACAGTTGAGCCAGGAACAGTAGTGGCTGTTGTTGGACCTTCGGGCTCAGGAAAATCTACAATTGGATCCCTTTTGCTGCGATACTATGACCCAAATTCAGGATCTATATATGTTGATGATACAAACATCAAGGATATTAACCTGCACTGGTGGCGTGAAAATGTTGGTGTTGTTTCCCAGGAACCTGTTTTATTTGCTGGTACCATCGCAGAAAATATTTCCTATGGCCGTGAAGACGCAACACATGAAGAGATTCAAGAGGCTGCATCCAAGGCCAACTGTGCATCGTTTATCAACACATTCCAAGACGGATACAACACTATGGTCGGTGAACGTGGTATTAGTTTAAGTGGAGGGCAAAAGCAACGTATTGCTATCGCACGTGCTCTCCTCAAGAATCCCTCTATTCTTGTTTTAGATGAGGCAACAAGTGCACTCGGTAATTATTATTATTATTTTATTATTTTGGGTTTCAAGCTTTTCTAACTCTTTAAACAGATTCCGAGTCTGAAGTTCTCGTACAGGATGCGTTGAACAATCTTATGCAAGGTCGCACTGTATTTACAATTGCCCATCGCTTGTCAACTATTCGCTCGGCTGATTTGGTAGCTTGTTTAAGCAATGGTGGCGTGGCCGAACTCGGTACATACCAGGAACTTCTTCACAAAGAAGGAGGTGTCTTCCGCCGTCTTGTTGAGCTCCAGTCTCTTGGCGGAAATACTCATTCAGACGAAGAAAAGAATTAAGCCCGCATAATATACGCCATAACCTCCCAATCATAACCTCCCTCCTCTTTTTACTTTTACATTCAAAATACTAAAAATCACTCCCCCCTCTTCAATAGAAATATTTCCAGTAGATCAATAGACTATGTACAAATCCTATTTTTTTAATTTCTTTTCTTCTTTTATAATTAATTTGAATTTCTTTTATAAAGAGTTGGTTGCAGAAGATTCCTGCGTGAGAGAACGATAATAGACAGATTCCATATCATAAATAGCAGAAGATAGACCACGCTTCATATCAATCAAAGTGGCCTGGATATCCTGCTTTTGAGTCTTTAGTATTTCGGAACGATCATTGTAAAGTCGTGATAGAGTGTGAGTATCGTTGAGAAGCAAATGCTGTTTAAGTTCTGTAATTAATCCTAGTAATGATTCTGAAGATCGTACCTACAAAAGATAATATACACTATTAGACAACTAAATAAAATATATGCATACATAAAGAAGTCTTACAATCTGAGCTGTCTGACTTTCTATTTGATAACCTTCTTGGGCAACCTTAAACTTATCCTTGTCTTTGTTCTTTGGATGGATGTCAATGCTGTGAAGAATAAAATGACTAACTGGCCTACCTCGCCAACTTTGACAATGTCAGCAAAACAGTCAACAAGTTTTGCAATGTCGTCATCAATTCGCTTGTTGTATTGGTCTTCTACCTGAAGAAGAACAGAGCGAGGGCCAGATTGAGATTGATTCATAAAGGGACCCGACATGGTAAAGCTTTAAAGGTAGTCTAATTTAATGGAATGATGTATGAATATGCAGTCTCGAATTTTTTTTTTAAAAAAAAGTCCCAGGTCACCAACTCAAACGTTTTCAATTCAAGACGAGGAACTTCGGAAAGTCAATGTTAGTTCGACAACCGTCAATAGATTTAGCATATTAATCTTATGGTGGTTAGGAAATAATGATAAAAATTATTGTCTTTGAAGTCAAATACAACATATATATACACACACAATAAAGTTTACTGCTTATAATGGTCTCTCTGTGCTGTATTCAATACATTAGGTTCTCACAAAGCCAAGTCTAGCCAATAGCGATTTATATGGCTAAATAAAATATAAATTTTGTTACTTAAAAATAAAATAATTTTATATTTTAGTGCAAACATGGGTTCTATTCATGTGATTTTATCTTTAAAAAATATAGTTAGTTAAAAGAGTAGGAAGAATACGAAAAATATAACAAAGAAGAAGAAGATACAAAAGTTAAAAAGCATTTAAGCGTTTGACTGAAGTTGTTTTCTCAAATAACCAGCGTCACGCCAGTGCTACGCGTCACATACGTCTGTTATTAACCAAGATAAAACAAAAGCATTTAAAATGTTGACTTTTCAAAAACATGTTGCAAGAATTAAAAGCATTTGAACCATGTGGAGAAACTCATATTAAGCGAAATGGACATCTCGTAAAACCGATTAAAAATCCTGAAATATTTAGCTTTAAAGACATCATGCGAGATCATATTCCAGAAGAAAGAAAATCACAGCACATCTACTCACTCCAAGCTGTCAACAATGCATCATTTATACCACTTGGAGATTCACCAAATGATGAAAAATTGCATTACTTTACAGACAGCAAAAGTATGGCTTCTAAATTGATGAGAGATGACACTGATTCTGATCTCGAGGACGAGGTTTATATATCAAATACAACTGTTACATGGAGCAGAGGAAACACCGTTCTAAAGACCCTAAAATACGACTCTGAGAAGAGGCCGATAAATATAGCGCTTTTTGCATGGTTTCCTTTTGAGTGCTTAAAGAAAGACAACCAGGAACACTTTGAGCCATATCTCGGCTGGGATAGACTTAAAACGCAGAAAACCCACAATGAATCCAACACTATCCATCGCGTATTTCGAAAGGCATTATGTGTTGTACTTGATAAGCACATGCAAATATACTTTATCGATGGGAGCAGCTATGGATTTCCTCTTCCTTTCCCTATCTCTCAAGCATGTGCACTAGACATCGGTATCCTACTCCAAAAAAAACAAAAACATGGAACAAACGAAAAAACTATGGATATAGACGATCAGGAAACTGATTTTATTGCCATTACAAATATTGAAGATATTGCTACAAAAATTCTCATGCCTGGAGAATATCATGAATTGATACCTGATAGTTCTGTAGTGAACAATACCCTTCCACTTATCGTAACCTTTAACCAAAAGGAATGTGCGCATTACATTTGGTCTTATACATCCAAAAAGGAGGTTTACCCTGATAAAATAAAACAACAGCAACGATCACCCAAACAAACACCTTTTGCTGCATCACCAGCTCAGTCATCATTTAAGATGCATAATTACGATAAGAAACTCGGTCAAGCCACTTCCGTAAAGTCTATCTCTACTGTTGATAAAAGATTTCAATATAATGAAGATAACAGCACCCTTCGATTTCATCTTCTATGGAAAGAATCTCCATCAGAGTAAGGACATATTTGAGTAAATTATTCTCCATATTTGTTTAATCGCCGCTCTTACTATCATTGAATAGAAGTACTCTCGTAAAATATCATATCGCAAATTCAAGGGCATTCATCGTAGATAATCTAGACGGAACGCAACTTTTGTGTATCATGGACCACCATAAATGTAGTCTAACAGCCTTTTCCATAAATAAACTTGGAAACATGGAAGATCCAAGAGTATTCAAGCAGAGTACAACATCAGCATTACCAATCTGTGCAACTCGAGCAGGACTGAATGACATGATTTTGGTCCAAAATAACAGCATAGCACTTCTGACTGATATATACGCCAAAGACTCTAATATAATTCTCGAACTACCACCGAATAGACATGGAATGATAATCGAAGACTTGAGAGATGCTGTTAATAACCGGTTCAATATTGTTTTTTCCAACCATCAGATCGTCCGCTTTATGATAGATTTTGCACCTCGTTCTTGTCTAGCGAGGGATTGTATGGCTGCAATGAATTGTGCTCTACCAAAGACCATGTTTTCTAAATTCAAGGCGGCATTAATACAGCGTTATTCAAATATTGCTATACTTCATTTATTTGGCAAGCACAGAACAGAGTTTGAATGGAAATCTTTTGTAATTACCACCCTTTCTTTTTTGAAAATTAAGAAATACCAAACAAATTTTCCGTATATTTCATCAAAGTAAGCTGATCTGTTGTTAACTCATATCTTTCTGATTTCTTATAATAATTTATGATAGAAATAAAGAAATTAATGAGTGGATTGAATGCGCAATACAAGTCAAAAACAATGAGTTACCAGGCTACATGGAGCACGTCTATAGAATTGTAAAAAGCTTGCATTTACTCTATGAAGATTATAGACTGGCGAAAATGCGAACATACCTACTTTCAGATATCAAGAATTTACTGTGCTGTTTATGCAATTTGCTAAAAGAACCAGACTGGATCCATTACTACGCTCCAAACGACCAAGAAAACTTTTTATGGACTGAATGTAAGGGCCAAGTATCTTATGTATATATAGAAATATTTTTGAAATCAAACATTTTCTGTAGACTACATTGAATATAAAAGTCTAAAAGGAAGTCTCGGTAAACCTGTGAATATCGAGTCTCTCCTAGAGCGCCTTTTGGACACCAAAAACCTAGCTTTGTACTCTACAGAACTTCAAGATTATCCAGAAATTAATGTCGAAAACGGCATTGGCCAAAATACATATGGATCATATATCGAAAAACTTTCTTCTCTCTACATATGCCTGATTCAATGCAGCGGAGATCCGATTGACGTTGTACTTTTTATGTCAAAAGATTGGAGTTACGGAGACATCAAGGTTATTAAAGACACTATTGCACAACCAGTTGTAAGCATTCTCGACACACTTAAATCAGGTGCTCCCTTGAATCTACCAATTCAAGCATATTCTCTTATAGGTTTGTTTAAGCCAAGTGTTTTATTGCGTTACCTAATTATCTTATATTGACACATTACATAGGCAGAGATGACATAGTAAAACAAATTCAAAATTCGGGTACAACAGTGGACCCGAATTCAAAGGTATTCCGATTCTTTGAAGATGAGGTAAGACTTATTGGCTATGTATTGCCTAAAACTCACGTCAAATAATAAACCTGATTTATCTAGCCATATGCTCCCAAAAACATGCAAACGATATATGACAATATTCTGAATGAATTCTCATCATCAGGGAACATATATGGAACTGATACTCTCAACAAAGAGACAGAAAAATCACGTTTCGGTTATGTCGGACTTGTAGAAAAAGTTAGAATCAAGTTGGACATTACCAAAATAAATGAAATCCGAGTAGAAAACATGGAAAACTTGAGGTTAGTTTTGTATACATCAATACATCGTATTCATATATATACTTAACTGCTCTTTAAAGTGCGGAGGACGCAGAAAAAGAACAACAAATGCATGCATTTAGTTTCGCACAGCGTACGATGTCACAGGTTGTAGGTCAGGCGATATACAGCTATGGGACATACAGACCCGACGTAGCCCAGCCATTTCCTTTTGAGAGCATAAATCTGTCTATCAAGATACTACCTCTCAAAAGAATAGTAGAGATAGAAGAAGAAACACTGTCCTCGACCTCTCTTGTATGGCCAAATTTCCATATGGGCGTCTGTGCAGGGCTTCGTATAAAACCAGACTCTGATATAAACAAAACATGGATCAAACAGCTTGATCCAGTGGAGACAGGTCCAGAACACGGTGGTTTATTTCTTGCTTTGGGTTTGAATGGTAGTCTTTCACAACTTACAAGTACTAGCTGGTATGGATATATTGCAGAAACGTCGGGTTTGGTGACAGCTGGCTTTCTTCTTGGATTAGCGATAGCATACCGTGGCGGTGGAAATATTGCGGTAGTAAAATTATTATCAATGCATATACCTTCGCTTGTAAAGGATGATCTCCCTTACTCTTCGGAGCCTATCATAACCCGGGCAGTCTGCACAATTGGACTTGGATTAGTTCATATGGGAAGTAGGGACCGAAGAATGGTTGCTGCCTTAATGAATGAGCTCGGTGTACATGCACCTAACTCAAATACAGTGAGCTCCAAAAATTTAGACTGTGTTGGTCTAGCAGCAGGGTTTGCAATTGGATTTATTACTCTTGGAAAACAAGGAACAAGTATTGTGCTGCCTGATATGGACCTGGAAGACAAACTATACCAGTTGATGGAAGGTGAACCATTAACAAACAGAAATCGTACTCAGTCAGACATCGGAGGCTTGTCTCATTCAAACCTAGACGCAACTGGGCCGGGTGCAATTATGGCGCTTGCTCTTATGTTTCTTAAGACCGGAGATAAACGTGTAGCAAAAAGGATATATGGACGTCAATTAGAGTATCATATAAATTCTATTCGTCCAGATATATTACTTCTTCGAGTGCTGGCAAAGAATCTAATTCTATGGGACGACATCCGCCCAACCGATATATGGCTTTATCAGCAATTACCAGAATTTATTCTACATGATTTCGATGAGAATAGGAAAGCTTCTTGGGAAGTTCAAGTCCGCAAACAAGCAAAATATCATATAGTTGGCGGAGGATGCCTAGCAATTGGGCTAAAATACGCCGGGTCAAGAAATACTAATGCCTTTGAGTGTCTGTTGAAACAATTGGATATATTCATTGAACTTTCAGAGAAAATAGGTAACTTACTAATGATTGACTTGCTTATCTCTGGGTGCAAGTAACTATATCTCTTACATATTTCAATTTTTATTTTATTTTACCATTAGCTGTAGGATTTCAAGAACGTATTACAAAATGTGCTATAAGTACCTGTATTAATATTATTGCCACTGCATCCGCTATGGTTATGGCCGGTACAGGAAATCTTGAACTATTTACAAGATTAAGTAAACTACGAAACCTACCAGAAAATATCGAAAATTATGGAAATCAGATGGCGATTCATATGGCTATAGGGCTCTTGTATGCTGGACTCGGTGGATATACACTTAAGACAGATAATGAATCAATAGCAGGCCTTTTATGCGCGTTTTATCCGTTTTACCCCACATCATCTACAGACAATCATCAGCATCTTCAATCTTTTCGACACTTTTGGACCTTTGCTCTCGATTCCAGGTGGCTTACACCATTTGATGTTGATGAACAAAAACCGTGCCATGTTCCAATAGTTCTCACAGTAACCGGTGATAATTTAATTGACGAAAAAACTGATATTCTACCAAAGGAAATTCAAATGGTTGCACCCGTTGTGCTCCCCCCGCGCAAGTATATATCCAATATTAAGCTTAATAGTCCAGAATATTGGCCTCTTTGTATCAATGTTGACGAGGATGGTGTCTATCAAAGATCAATCAGAAGTCGTGGAATATTATATGTACAAAAGAAAAAACGCCCATGTATGTAGATAATACTCCTTTTGGAATAAACTGAATAGTTATAAAGGCATGCAATGGCTTCTATATTATTATGTATACTATCCCATTTTCTATTACATTTGACAAAAAAACGAGCTAGCTTTTATTGAAAATAGACGCTACGTTACTAAAATCTTTATGCGAATCAAATAATTTCCTGGGTAAAGAACAAATACTCTTTTCCTAAGACAAGTCTTACACTTTGACATTACCACTTTGGTGTTTAAAGGAATGTATTAAAGTACATGGTCAAAATAAGCCGTACAATAAGCATATGATACCTGAGTAAATGCTAAGTGTCAAACTGTAGCCTACTTCATTTTCGACTTTATTGTTTATTTCTTGTTTCTAATTTTATTATCAAACAAAAACCTACTGCCTTTTCACTTGCTATTCGCAAAGTGCTAAAATATTTCTCATATACGGGTAAATATATTAGCTATTTACGAATAACTAATGAAAATACAATAAACTACCACATCTCAGCAGTAATATATTTCGCTAGTATTTTTCTACCGTGTTTCTACTAAAGATTGAGACTAATTAGAAAATGTTTTAGGCGAATCGAAGTGTAATTTTATATAATATGCTTACCTTTTGTGGACAGAACGAGAATGAAATTTAGACAAAGAGAAATTAGTTTTCAAAGTAGATATTTATCCAAACATTTTACCTGTAATTATCTAAATTCTTCAAAGATACAAACTGCTTACGCTAGTGACGGGATTATTATTGTTATTTTTGCAGCATTAACATCTAGCTTTCACAGTGTCTTTTAGATTTTGGAGGACAGTAAAGAAAGGAAGACTTTAGATTGTCAAAAAGTTCAAATGTTCTTTTATAAAATAGCCACAATTTCTCTTTGTCTGGATTCCATTTTCGTTTTGTCTCAAGTAGAAACACTGTATTAGCGAAATAGATTCAATATAATTTAACGGTTAGATCTTTATGAGAATTACTCCGCTAGCATTCTTACTAAAAACACAATAACTGTATTTGATAATCAAATGATTGAAAAGACTTTATTTTCTGTAGATCGTGGCTGGATCCCGCATACATAACGATATACTACTGGTGTGTAACTGTGGCTAGTAATCTGTTATAGAAATCATCCGATATATATAAATAAATATATGTCTGTGTGTAGTAAAAATGTCTCAGTCTAATATATTTGCCACCTCCTCATATTAAAAAGGAAACATATGATTAGTTTAATGTATATATGATCTTTTATTAATTTTATTTTACTTTACATGTATCACTCATTAAAGCAGAGTTACACGTAATATTAGTCGGGAAAACGTACTTTTGTTAATACTCTATCCTTTGTACCGCTTGTTAAGACCATATGAATATAAAAATATTAGATAGTGATGATATAATACTTCTAAATGAATTGACTGCCAGTATAGTAATAATTGGTCTATAAATATCCCTTCATTATACTTCTTCCTCTTGGCAATATCAATTGATCCTCTTTACTTATATTGTGATATACAGTATTTAGTATAACGATTATCTTCTCAATAGGTGTTTGGGTAAAATCTTTAAAGACAATGTATCAAGCTTTTGACTATATTTATATATCTTACAATATGATTTAATACTCAATTTGGTATTTAGACCCTTGAAAAGGAGGTATCATGGTACTCTGATACTGTGATTACTGCTCTTCACTTTTAAGGAGACCTTTCCTTTTATTTGTCCTACACTTTTATAAACCTCTTCATGAGCTCAAACTCATTTTCCTTGGTTATATAAATCCTAAAAATTCAATCGGATCCTAGAAACCTATAAAGAAATGACTAGACTGATTAAATTCTTGTGAGACAATCAAGAGAACCCTGTTACCTTTAGATTCTACAACTATAACATTAATAATATATATATGGCGAATATTTCTTCCAATTCTTCCAAAAGGTCTCCATATGCCTTTAATTCGCTTAGTTATACTAATAAGTATATTATCTTATTCTGGAATTTTTTTATGAGTCGTTGGTCTAAAGTGTTAGATCGAAATTGATAAAGTCTAAATGTGGATATCAGTGGCGCTCACCACCTTCATCTTAAACGATACATGCATTAAACACAGAGTTATAAATATAGAGGTATAAGAATGGCATTGTTGTGCAAGAAGCGGAATAGACAATAATCAATTCAATAAGCGCGTATTCGTTCGCATTTTCCTTGGTCCATTGGATACTTCATGGACTGATTAGATAGATCTTTCTACTTATTCCCAAATCTATTTATTTCGCATTCTACTGTTAACACCACTAGAGCAAATTTTATATATGAGCTGCTTCAATTCATATCACTCAATGACATTGAAATTATTTTTTGTGTTTGTACATATCACGAGGAAATGAGTGAAAATAGGACGATTGCACGCAAAAATCGATTCTGTGACTCAAACCTTTGCTCTCTCCACTGTCTTTGTCTACAATATCAACTATCTGTGTGCCAAAAATGATGTGTATATCAAAGACACCTTGGCTTTGTGACATCACATGTTACACAAATGTACATCACTAAAGATGAATGAACAAAGGCGCCCTGAACTTTATTTCTCCATTCATTCCCCCTACTATTCATATGTACAGCTCTCATGATTCCACAACACTCAAAACCCGTTAGCGAACCGCCCGGATCGCCTGCTCTAGAAGCACTCTATCAAGATCTCGATTCATTTATCAACGAACTAGCAGGAGAGTTACCTGATAGCTTAGATCACTGCAACAAAAAGATGACTTTAAATTTCGATGAATCATCAGAATTGGTAAGACAAATCTCTTTGCAACATTGAATTACTCATGACCACAAGATGATCAGAAATCATAATATCATTTGCAACCAACAAATAATTTTCTTTTAAAAAAATCGTTTTAGGATTCAATTGCGAAATATGTCAAAGATTCTGAACAATCAGACTCGTGGTGTTCTGATCACGATGATACAGTATATACTCGATCCAGTATAACAGATTCAATGCAAGAATCTATAGAACCAAAACCAAAACCGTTAAAATCGACTTCTGAGGAAACATCGTGGCGTAAACCTAGTATTCAATTGGAAAGAGAGAGCTCCGAGACAGACGATGATGGTTATGAGAGCGAAGAATATCGATGGACACCTCACCTCAAAAACGACAATTCCAGTACCTTCCGATCTGATAACTCCCTCTCACCACCTATATCCCCTTCTTTACTTGGCATCACTCAGCCACGTTCTTTTACATTAGCATCTAGAGAAACCGAACAATCCGGTACATCTTCCCAAAGCCTTTCTCAAGTCAGGAAGTTTACTCGTAAAATTGGAACGCCTCAAACAGGAATATTTACTACTCGATCAAGTTCACTAAACCGTCAAGCATCTGAATCATCTGTCCGTTCGGGTGGATTCTTGCCAAGTTTACGTTCAAACCATAAAGGCTTCACTACTCCTACATCGCCACTAGCTATGAATGTTCGTATGGGAACATATGAACCGTTGTTGTCGGGTAACGAGACTTCAATACAGATGACATTCCCACATTACGCATTTTTCTCCGAACTGGGAGAGAACTTTGTTTCAAAAGTTATCTCCCTTACAGAGACTAGAAGAATATTTTCATCGACTGAGTACCCAAATAGTTTTACAGGAGCAGAAGCGGTGGTAAGAAAAGCCCGTGTTGTCCAAAAGATCTTCCATACTCCTTGTACAATTGGTATTAATTGATGCTTTACGGGTAGTTTATTATTCGCATTCTTCTTCCTACGGGTTTACCAGAAGGATTATATTCAAAGGTTGCAAGAGCGCTCATGCACATCAGACCTCCCCTGATTATTCCACTTGCCTACTCAGAGAAGTCGCAGCGACGAAATACGCTTTACAACTCATCTTCAGAAGTGTATGACCTAGTGGAAGAAACTATACAACAAGGAATTCCCCAGGGAATTTATACCCCTCTTACACCTTGTTATACAAATACATGCCTTCCTGGACAAGGCGGCTGCTATTCATATTCTTGTCCAAACAGAGACATCGATATGTCTGATACCTCTGATAAATCTGTAAATATGCAGATACCTCAATACTAAAAAGTAAATTCTCTGATTTATGTCAACCTCATTTTAGGAAAAGTCTGGTGGATTAAAGCGACGGGACTCTGCTGCTTCATCAAAAGCTTCATCTTATGATGCGGTAAGGTTCAAGGAGTTAGACCAAGGATATTAGGTCTATTATTTTTTCAGGGGGTCTCATGCAAAATCCCTTTTAAAAATAGACCCTTTCGCGTGCCTGGTCTGCAACTGTAGCAAAAGAGGTCCTTCAAAGTACGCCTAGCGCTGAAATTGGACGACAGGAAGCAATTCATGAAATAATTTACACTGAAGAAGATTATGTGCGAGATCTTAAGCTATTAGATGAGGCAAGTATTATAATTAAAAGTGAAAATATAATACGCAAAGGACAATCTAGATTAAACTGCGTACATTGGTTTATTATTAGTTATATGCTCAACCTCTCCGTATTGCTCCGTGCATTGCAGAGGATTATCGGGAAGAGTTTTGCGATAATGTATTCAACAACTATCTTGAATTACTCGACCTCCATACAAAACTTTATCAAGACCTTCGAGACCACCAGAGTTTATGTCAATCACAAGACAATAGCGGTTTTGTTGATCGTGTGGGTGATATTTTTCTCCGTCACCTTCCTGGATTTATGGCTCTTTATTCAAGATATGGACCACATGTTGTATTGGCTGAGTATGCGATCAAGAAAGAAACACAGGACAACATTCTGTTTCAAAACTTTATTCAGAATACAGAGCGCAAGGAAGAATGCCGTAAACTTCCTTTCAGGCATTTTATTATTCTTCCTGTTACTCGTCTCCAAAGATATCCTTTACTTGTTGGAGCTATTTTAAAAAAGACACCTGAGGACCACCCAGACAAAAAGGATCTCCTGGAGTGTTCAAATATGCTCAAGGCCATTGCCAACAAAATGGACTCTGAGACAGCCAACACCAAGATGACTTTGAGGATATATCAGATAAATGATCACATTCGTTACAAAACAGGAGAGCCTCACGATCTGCAACTGACTAAAAAAGGAAGAAAGCTTTTGTATGAAGGGATATTGACACGTCGATCACATATGGTTGTAGAATCAACAGAGCTCAGGGTTTTCTTGTTTGATCATATGTTGTTAATGACAAGAGAGAGGAAAGGAAACGATGGAGAAGATGAATACCAAATCTCAAAACGGCCAATTCCTATGGAATTACTACACGTCCAAGAAGCCACAGAAGGATTCTCGATTGGCTTAAGGTCTATGGCTAGTACATACCCCAACGCTACAAGTCCCGGATTAAACCTTGGTACATCATTCGGGAGCCATTTCCCGATCCTGATCCATCATTTAGGCCGACTTGGTGGAGATCATCTTATGTATGCTGAAAGCGCAGAAGCAAGGATGAAATGGAAGCACAAAATTGTGGAAGCAAAGATAGCAATGGAGAAAGCCAATAGTGACCGAGAAGTGTTTACTATCCGATCTTTAAGAGACGCATCTTTCATTGGATCTACAGGAATAGGCAGTGGTGCAAATCATGGAAAGGTGACATGTTCTGTACCATTCTGTAAGTAGTTATATGATTGATGTATATTATAAAATAATAATGTGTATGTGACTGTATCAATTATTTTTAGTAGGAGCAACAGGCTTTCAAATGATTGCAGTGGGTACAGTCAGTGGTATTTGGATGGGAATGGAAGGAGACACAAATGATATGCAACAGGTTCTGTCATTACAAGATGTTTGCCAAATTGCAGTTCTCGAAGAAGAGCACATTTTGATGGTACTTGCAGGTTTGTAATGCAGAAATTTGGAAATGTGCTATACAAACGTTGACCTGTGATTTTATTTACTTAACTTCAATTTAGACAAGACGTTGATAGCATATTCACTTGGAGCACTTGATCCAAAGTCACCGCATAAAACAAATGAAAAGCCGAACCAAAAGGTTGCCCAGCACATCAGCTACTTCAACGCAGGCGTATGTAATAACAGAACTTTAGTTATTGCTATGAAGAAGCGAGGAACAGATAGTCATTTCAAAGCATTTGAGCCTACATGCGGCGATCTCAGAAACCCAAGCAATGCAAAATATCTCACTACAAAGACAGGTTTCTTTTCTAAAGCACCTTCTTGGTTTAAAATTTACAAGGTAAAGTATACATATATGTATAAGTGTTAAATATTATCAAGACTATTTTTTATACTTAAATCATTATTTGGTTAGGAATTCTACATTGGTACAGATTCATTTGCTGTTCATTTCTTGAAAGCAAGAGTTGTGGTAGTATGTTCACGCGGGTTTGAGATCATCGATCTTGAAAAACTCAATCTCAATCGAAATCTTCCCGATCTCAATAATCCAGCCTTTGAATTTGTACAAATACGTGGTGAAGATGTGAGACCACTCGCTATGTTCCGCTGCAAGGATCATTACTTGTTGTGTTATAACGAATTTGCATTCCGTGTCGACAACCATGGCTCATTTATTGAAGAAAACTATTCTTGTTTAACTTGGGAAGGTGATCCTCAAGCTGTTGCATTCTGTTATCCTTATGTGGTCGGGTTTGACTCACGATTTGTTGAAGTCCGTGATGTTATCACTGTGAGTTTAAGAAATTACATATAAACAAGTGAAATATTTCGCACCAATAGATAGCAATAATAATAATAATAAACTCTTCTTTTTTTAGGGGGAGCTGGTACAAACTCTTGCTGGTGAACATATGCGATGTCTGCAATTCAGTAGCGATGCACTGACACCTATTATACATGGGTGTATGGTACACCCTTTCAAGCCTGACTATCAATATATTTTCCAGCTCCAAGCAAAGTTCGCGCCGACTCTCTAATAGACGCATTCAAACGTAAAATTTATACACACATACACATACAAACTCACTCACTTACACTCACAATTCCTTAAAAACGTCTCATATGGTGAATATACTAGCACTTACCCTTCTAACCCCAAAAAACGGCGTTCTTATTATATTTATCTGTGGTTCTTAGAGATATTATTCAACCCTTTTCTAGTTGACCTCTTTCTATATATTCATTCCTTTGTATTTAAATAGCGTATCTGCTTTAAGCATCCCCTCCTTTTAATTATTGGTATTACAATATATATTTTAAAAAAATCGCTTATACCAAATTTCTGACTTCTGTTTTTGTATGTATGTATGTATGTATATATACATGTATTTTATTTGTTTCGTAAAAAGGTACAATATTTTTACTAATGTTTCGAACATAAAAAAAGTCCAGACCTTAGACAAAATAATAATAATATCAATATTGTTTTGATACTTACAGTGTATAAAGATTTATTGTACTTATAACTACAGCGGACTGATTTTTTTTCTTAAATCTAATACTGCCTACTGGAGGGGAAAATAGCCTTATTTTATAGTCTATCTGTACCGCTAGTTTCTGGCTTTAACTTTTGACAAAGCTTCTAAAATGTCCTTGACCTTTTTTAAGTAGCTATTTGGTTACTTGTGTAACGCCATATCTTCTTTTATAGGGTGTACTCCATTCGTGCATACAGTACATCATGTCTCAACAGCTAGGATCAATCAGCAGGCACTTGTAAGCACCAGCTAACAGCTTTTCCTTTTCAATTTGTCCACATACTCGGATTGTTAATCTTCAACTTCTGTAGCCTTCAGTCTGCCACTACCACCAATCCATTTATTCTTTGTTTCGTAATTATGTATGATGGAGTGAAGGTTTTTCATAAATTAAAGCGGTTTAATGTCTTGCTTTGATTGACGTCCCAATATTGAACGGATTTATAGCACGATTTAAGGGATTCAACTGGACCAGATTTACAGTTATATTAATCATTTTGCGAATTGGTAGTCAGGAAGGTATGAATTGAATAAATCGTGAATGGTGTCATTTTCTGAAGGAATACGAAGGTTTTCTTTTTTTTTTCGTAAAATATCTACGGTTCTTAAGAACATGGTAATCCTTACCTTGATGTATTAATTGGTGATCTTCTTTAATACGATTACAATGTCGTTTACGGAATGGCTTTTACTTCTCGTTTCATCATCAAAGGCAGCAATTATTTCTTCTTTCTTCAAAATTATGTTTAAGAACATACTTGACTTGCTTTCAAAATAAACGGAGACCCCGTTTAAGTATGAAGTACTGATTTATACTGTCTCGTAGTTAGAGCATCTGCAGCGGTTACATTAAAATTAATTTTTGCGACTGTTTTAATGTAGATTCCGAAATGTTCTCAAAAGAATCGTCTGCAGCGGTTACATACAGACAACATTATAGATAATGTAGTCCATTTTTAAGGTCAGGAACATTACATGTAGTGTTACATTATAAATTGATATTATCTTTTTGAATTGTTTCCTTCCCTTTCACATCCTTTGTTAAAGCGAACAATGGTCTATAGAAATGAGCAAAGAAATTCTCGCAAATTATGCTAACTATTAATCTTACAATATTGAAATTATTAAATTCATATTTTTAATGTATCTATAGAGAACAAATGTTCAATAAGATAAATTTTAAGAAAAAGAATATGAACAAGATCATTAGTGAAGAACTGGAAACTTTAGACAGTCAAAAAGCTCAAATTGTTCCTTTGTAATGTAACCACAATTTGGCAATCTGTTTTTAACTGGTATTTAATCCCTGGGGGGACTATACTACACTATATATAATGTTTTCGATAATGTAACCACTGCAGTTGCTCTTAGCTATTTGTTGAGCATACTTCAGCTCTGTTGACTTTAAAAAAGAGTATTGGCAATATATATGTATATCTATGCTTTTTAATAAAATGCCTATAATTTCTTGGTATGGCTTATATTTTATAATAAGTGATATAATCCTTTCTCGATCAAAATTAACCTTTGCAAAATCCTCCAGATTGAAGTTGGGGCCGTCTTCTAATTTTTAGGTAAATATATAATTCAAAAACGCACAAGTGTGCAGTACAAGAGTATGGACTCTTACTACAAGAGTCCTAAGTTGAGGAATACATTGTACTTTCTATACAATAGGGTGTTTCAACAGTTTTAGATGTTTAGATTTTACTTTTGCGGTGGTTTAATTTGTTAAATGATTGGCTCTTACTAATCTAAATTTGAGATATTTTCAATCTATAAACAACTAAGGATTACCCTTAGTTGTTTATAGAATGCAAATTTAGATTCTCCAATTTTGCCTATGAATATTTCATAAGAAAATAAAATTAAGAGTAAAAGGAAATACGAAAGCTTTCTACAGCTTTATTTTCATATCAATTATCATTGGCTCACGTATTGAGTTACCGCAAAAGTAAAATCTAAATATCTAAAACTGCTGAAACACCCTGATATCAGCAGTTGAACTTTTGGGCTACTTTAATTTTTAGAGGCAGTTCCATAATAAAAGAAAAAAGTTTAGTTAACATTACTTTTTAATCTTCTTTCCATTATCACTGACAGATTGTATTTTGTATACCAGGTGTCTGTTTATAGAAGACTGAGCATAATGCATGTATTATACTTAATTCTTTTTATTCAATAAGACACAAAGCAGCTGCACCGAATTCAATCGAGGAGTTCTGGCCTGTCTGGAAGAGCAAGCTAAAGAGAGAAATATTGGTTAATAAAGACAATAACTAGCTGTATCAAAGATGTTTGCAATCAGGTACCCATTAGTGAAATACAAGTGTTATTCAAGCACTCTTCGGAGAGATTAGATAACTGCTGGGAGCGCAAGCCTTTGTAGTCTTTTATTTTGCTTTTATTCTTACTTTTCTTTCTTTTTATTACATATTTCTATTCAGGAATGGTTTTTAACAAAGAGTTTTGAGTTAAATGCTAAATTTCTCTTGTTGGAATATGATACACTGTCAATCGATTTAAAGACTCAAGTTGATATATATCAGCAGTGAGGCTTCTTTCATTTAGCATTTATTTATCACCACTGATCAGTCCTTTCTGGATCAATATCTAAAGACTCAATTACACACACTGAAACATTTTGAATTTGTATTTATTTGAAAGTATTTGATTTTTATTTTAAGGTAGAAAGCATAATATACTTGGGTTATTTTCAATAGACTATTTGCGATTGCGCATGTAAATGAGAAAATAGTCAAGTATTTTGAGTTTTAGCGTTAATTCATAAATTTTGAAAGCAATATATATATATATATACGAAGTATTAATGCTGCTATTTTCGCGCGTGTAAATGTGTGTGTATGAGGAGTGGTTACTAATTGAGGGTATAAATTACATAAAGGCCACAGGATTATGTCGAAAAAAAAAGATGGTATGAATCTAAAGATAGCCAATTTGTTTAGAAGAAATGGTAATCAAGTAGGTAAGCAAGATAAAACAGAATAAAAAGAAAGTGAATGTATAATAACGTAAGGCTTTAGATAGAGTAATGATGACAATGGTAAAGAATTCGAAATGAATTAAAATTGGTATACGATATACAGTCAGCAATAAAAGTAACACTTCTTTGAGTATTGGACTTGTATACATGAAATATTAAAATCTTGTCTCGGTTTTTATGTTCCCACAAACTTGAGCTCAAACACAAGTTCGCAGCCCAGTAAACGATCTTCAGTTACGCAGTGAATGATATCAATGGGGTCGGGATTAAGGCATCGGATATTAGTACCTGGGATTACTTGAACAAGCTTACCCTAACATATTACAAAGAGCATGAGTACTTTGACACACAACCAGAAGAAAAAAAGAAACAGAAAAGAATCTTACGGTATCCATGTGTCGTACTTCAATGAATTTTGGATCGAATCCAATTACATATGGAAACCGAAAAGCAAAAGCAGTCGGTGCTCCTTCCCAGTTAATCATCCACCCACTTCTCACACGTCTTCCTTTCTTATCAATGTAGAATGCAATTTCTACGTCACAGTAAAGAATCTTAATTTTTTGAGACAAAACTACTTGGAGTTACTCTTACCATTGTAGCATAATAATATTGTGCCATCTGGATGTCGAAACATTGAAATTGGTCTAAGGCTCTCTCTTTGTAATATGAAATCATGGCTTTCATCACTTGGATCCAATACACCTAGTAGAATATTTAATAGAAATATGTGAGAGAAGAACAACAACTTGTTAATGTTTCAAAGTGAGCTTACTCTGCACTCTTGCAGATCCAATGTTAACCATCTGAAATCCTTTTGCACTCCCTACGCAAATAATGTTCTTGAAGTACTGGAGCGATGTGGCCTCTCCAGGAATATAAAGGTCTTTGTATGCTTTGAGTCCTTCGGTAGATCCTCGCAAGAATATCCCCAAATGAGGCTTCATCTTTTTCTTGGGTTCTGGATTTGCATGAGGCTCTAACGCCCGAATTGTAGAGGTCATAGCATTATAACGAACTAGGCAAACTAGAGTTTTCTTGACTGGTGGAACACCCGGGTTTTTTTCTGGAGTATCTTTATCTTCTTTATCTTCTTTACCCTCTTTAACCTCTATAACCTCTCCAAACTTAAAGAATGACACATGATTGCTAATCTTTCTACCTCGTTTGACACCAGTATCATGAGATAATAGAGCGTCAAGACTATATGTGTAGAGGATCTTGTCTGCCAGGACGAGAACAAGGTTGTACCCGTCGAGTATTTCTATTTGTGATACTTTGTCCATTTCCAGTACCCTCACTGGCTCGTCTTCTTTCTTCTCTTTTTTTAAGTACACGCCTTGGTCACTACCTATGAGAGTAGATGAACCTAGCAAAAGAAAGAATACGGTCATAAATATCTAAATAATTAAGGTATGTGTTTTGTTTTGTACCATATGTTGTGGCACAATTGACCCTGTTGAGTGAGTTGAAGAACCGTTCGCTTATTGGGATAATATCAAACACTTTCTGTTTTTCAGTCAAAGCAAGCCTTTGGTGTTCGATCTTGTGTACCCATTGGCGGCGGGCAAGCAGAGTATTGGCATAAAGTGTGATTTGTCCGAACCCTTGACGACCCAAATGGACAAAAACAATAGGATACCCACTCTTGTTGTTGGTCGGTGCTGGCACTTCGATATTATTTGTAGTTACAGACCCTCCAGTACTGGAACGCCCATAGGGTAATATAGAGGGAATCTTCTTGGCTTGGTCTGGTAAGAATATAACCAACAGGGCTAGAGGAATAGGCTAATTTTATGAAATGTTGATAAGAATATGGATCGGTTGTTTGATCATAAATAAAAATATTTCCTGGTCTATACGAAACCAGATTATTATACATGTTCACTCATGTTTATTTTTTACCTTTTTGTAGATTTTATATTGTTCTATATTTTGGACATACTTTTGTTTTGTAATAAATAAACAGTTGTCAAGCAAGTAAACCTGCATATCCGACGATTCTGGGCCTGTGCCTTTTCTTTTCAAAGAGCCCTTCATAATCATTCTTCGTTCTTCAGATCGAAGCTCCAGCTCTTGCTAATATATGCACAGCTAATATTAATATAAACTTATTATAAGAGACACACAAAAAAAATATGTTTCTCTCACCAGATCGTCTGCATACTTCAATGAGAATTTCTCATTGAGCATTTCGAGATTAAATTCATTTTCTTTCTTTCCTGCTTCTTCGTTAACTTTACTCAAAAATCCTGCAATGATTGTCATTGCTTGTGGAATATCCACTTGATCAGGATGGTCTTTCGGTGTGTGTTTAAGGATTTCTCTTAAAAGTAAATTGTAGCGGCCAAGCCGAGTTGTAGGCTTAGTCAGATAACCATTGAGTTCAAGCTTGCGTGATTCTGGCAATCGTTCAGTATCCTATAATTGATTTCAAAAGAGAATGCTAGATTTAGACTGTGTGATCAAGAAATTAATAAATAACTTACCTCCACAAATTTCGAAAATATTGGACTAATGGCTTTCTCGGTCTCCAGCTTATATTTACTGATCATTTGCTGGGATCCGTATTTGACAAATGGCTCAAAATTTGTGACATGCTTTAGCATAACGTCTCCTATTCGGTTCACAACAGGAGATTCACCCTGTCTCTTTGACAAATCTGCCGCGAGTTTTGAATTGATGTCATAGATTTCCATGATATTTGAAAACAAATCATTTACAAGGTTCTTGCGACTTTCTTCGGTACCATAATCGATATCTAGTATCTTAGTAATCCAATACTAATATCAAAGTATATCAGCTACGGTAGGGTCTTATAAAAGAACATACGTACGGTTTGGAGATAATTAAGATCATCGACAAAATCATTCTCGGTGTAAATCAATTCAAAAATATTCTCTTGTCTCTTTCGATCTTCAGTACTGGTATTATCAAATATTTCTTTGGTTACCGAAACCACCCAAAGACGTTCTTTTCGCTAATAATTTTTTATTATTAAAAACAATTATAATATCATATTACAACTATATCAAATATCTTTCTTTATTCATATAGATATGAATATTTACCTGATCTACCGGAGAAGCTTGACTGGCTGAAGATTGACAAACTCTCAATGGAGCATTGGATAGCGACTTTTGAAGAGAGTACATACATATATTGGTCTTATTTCTCTTCTTCTTTTTTTGTTCGCTTGGCTTAAAAATATTCTTGGATGCTTTTCAAGACTTACTTGGCCCGGCAAACGTGAACAAATTGGACTGTAGCATTGATTTTTTGCCGTACATCTGGGGGAGTAGCATTGGCCTAGAGTTGCGAATACACCCGTGGGAATTTCGTCATCATTTGAAGGAGTGGATTCTGATGAAGGTTTAGATAAATCTTCAGATAAATTACAAAGAACGCCGTCTGTGGTTTGTGGGCTGAGATTTATGTGCTTTTTAAATTGGCATTGATAGTCAATAGAATCACTCAGAGTCTTTTCTTGGTTAACACCATAAAAGAATCCTTGTTTCTGAAGTGATATACCGAGATCGAGAGCCAGATTTCGATTGGTACATTTGGTCAAGAAACATAGTTTATCCTAATACAGGCTGTATTGAATACCTTTTTTGTTCTCTATTGTTCTCTTATCGTTCTTTTTCTTCTTTACTTAACGTAACTTACTACTGCTTCCTTTCCGTCGAACGCATTCTCATGCGTGAAGCTGTCCTTGGCCCGAGTAGCAAAAATGATTTGTTCTTTGAAGGCTTGTGCGACATTAGACAAAAGAGCGGCATTAATTGTAGGAGGTTCTTCCTGTCTAAATCTGTCGGGCAGCAGCGACTTATCTAATGAAAATGACTGGGATCGTTCTCCTTTGGCTCTATTTCCGGATTTCAGTGGTAAGCCTGCAATATCTCGCACACTTTCTGCAGACCTTCTGAGTGGAATCGACAACGAGGTAGAATGAGATCGGTCAAGATGAAGATGGTCTGGATGAAAAATAATAAAGATAAAGATAAAAATAAAAATAAAAAAGGGGCAAAGGGAGGAAGGATTTGGATCGTAATCATAATAGCGATAATAGCGACAGTAGTAATAATAATAATAATGATAATAAAGTAGAGAGAGAGAGAGAGAGAGAGAAAGGATTAAATAACCTAAGATTCTTGGGCTCGCATGGTTACCTGGATCACTTACTGGTGCTGCGTGATATCGCAGACAGCTTAGCGCGCATAGGCGCGGTTGTCTTTGACAGTCGTGATAATAGGCTAGAAGAGTTACCGATAACTGGACTGGCACTCTTGCGATTTTCAGGTTGATCTCCTCCTGCTCCGTCTTCTCGCCATTCTTCTTCGACAATTATGTCGGGTTTTAATCCAGAATCCGAATCGCACGGCGATGATCCTCCGCTGGTTCTTTGTTTTTCTTCTTTAGGTTTGTCTAGACTGAAACTGTCGATGGTGCGCATACTGGAGTTCGATCGCGTGTCATCCGTCTCGTTGAATGTCCTGAGGGAGATAATCGAGTTGGTGTCACTCGAACTTTGAATGCTAAACTGGCAAGGTGGTGGTTTCAGGGGTGCAAAGGTAATTGCACCTCCAGGACGGGGAAGACTTTCTTCTTCATCCATAGGATCACACAAGACCTCTTGGGATGGTAGACGCCGCGGTGATGCAGTACTTTGGGTATCTGGAGATCCAGGTGCATAATACTCATGGGACTGGTAATATTTGTCACGGACTGCTTCAGAGGGGGTCGGACTCAATGGTGTTTTTAAGGGAATACAGAGACTGTCCGAAGATACTCCTGTGTTGAGACTGTCAAGTTTATTTTTTGATTCATCAATTGACATGACCATTGGTACTGGACTTTCCGGACGAGATGAGATTGCTAGACTTTGGGTTGTTTCTACGGTAGATGATCTAGTGGATTGCGGTTTCTCTTCGATAAACATTATGCTGTTTAACATCTTTGATTAGATTGTATTTTGGTCAATGACATAAATGTTGTCGTAATGGCGTGACTATGCAGAAAACCTGTTGCTTTCTACCCTAATGACTACCAAAAGGTAATTACGAAACGATAGATAGAAAAATAAAAAAAGACGGCTAGCACACCAGCCAAAAGGAAGAAAGAACTAATTGCAAGGTCAAAGACTGGGTCAAAAGACTGTAATAAGCAACCAAAAAAAAGTTTATGTAGAAATAGAGGAAGAAGTGGAGTAAGAAGAAAAGAAGAGGTGGAAAAGTGAAAGAGAGAGAGAGATAGAGAGAAAGAGAGAAGATTTAGAGGAGAAGGAGGAGAATGAGGAGGGAAGGGGTGGGTTTAATGGAAGGACCAACCACCAAGCAGCAGAGAGACACCCAGACAGATAGAGCGAGTTATTGATTGAGTAGACAAGAGTGAACGCGCTCAACAAAGGGTTAAAACACACACACACAAAACAACAACCCTTGCTTTGCTTACTTAGATTTCTTTATTTCTTAATTTCTTTCTTCTTTTCTTTCTTTGGGGGTATTTTACTTTATGGCTGTATGATAATGATTTTGTAGAGAACTAAGCTGGCTCGGCATCGGCTTACAAAAGAAAAAAATAGAACCTAAAACAAGCATGCCCTATTTTTTTTCCTTACATATCCCTTGTTATCCACAATTTTTATTGGGTTACATGGATAAAATAAAAGAAGGGATCTTTATTATAAGATCAATACTCGCAGTTCTGTGCCTTTCCCCAAAGCAATAAGCGTGTTTTATATATGTACACACACAAATAAATATTGTGAAAAATATTGCGTCAAATAAATAGATTTGCGTTTAAAGAAAAAAAAACTACTTTCATTTGAATAGATGAAACTGTTTACAAGACATTTAAAACAATAACAAATCTAATATTTGGGAATCTTATATATTACATTATGTGCAATGCAATTAGTCTGGATTAAATTGATCTATTCCAACTTGAGGGGACCTAAAAGGTAATTGTAATCAATTTAGAGAAGATAAATACAAGAGTATATTCTAAATTTCCAATTGGTTTCTCAAATAGCAGTTTATGTTGTCTTATTCATTTGCTGTTGTAGATCGATGATGTATACACATTTTAATACCACCTCTTGTACTATCCCTTTTGTTATTCTCTTTTAGAGCCATACCTTTTAATATGTCACTGGGATTATGTAAAACAGTGCTTAGACGAACAAAATTTCATCGATCAAACAAGCATTAAAGCCATGTTTGTGAAGTAGCTGTCCAATTTCTAGACCCTTGATTGACTCGTGATATTTGTTGCAAGTTAATGCCCAGGCTTCTATAACCAAGCCATATTTTGGGTCGAAATTGAGCAATAAATCATTTGACATACATTCGTTAACTAGATATTCGCTGATATAAGTGGAGATGTCAGGTTTGCTAAATAAAAGCCGATGTCTTGTCTAAATGTTGATGAAAAATCATGAAAATAAGCAATATTTTTCAAGTCAATGACGCTAAAGCTCCTGAAAATGGGTTCTCAGGTAGCACGATGACCCAGTTTTAGGATGTATATTCTAGCAATTTCTGCCTGGGTTGCTCCTCTGAACTTCGCTACACCGGGATCTTGATTTGGAAAACATTACTCTTTAAATCAACCATTGTTCCCCACATGTTTAACTTGCTCAGATATGATATCCATACTATCCTCAAAATATTGTAAAACATGATCATGATATCACTTTATCTATAACATAAAGACCAAGCCCTATGAATAGTTACTACTGTCAGAAAATTCCGGTGGAAAATGGTATTTGATCAAATACCAACAAGACAATGTCTATAAGTTTTTTTTTATAATTGCACTACCGAAAATCAATATCACTGCTTCTTTGACTGCCCTATCAAATGCCGTGTGTGGAATATTCTCCTATTTTGCTTCTATATGATTTTGAGCCTCGATGACATATGCCTTCTTTTGACTCTAGGTACTTTTCAACAACACTCCTCTCATCAGGTCCTTCAGATTTTTGTTTTCACAACTACTGTCAAGGTTATATGGAGTGCTTACTGGAAGTTTGCTTTTAATAAGCAATTTTTGCTCATTGAAGTGTTAGCTACAAAGGCATTTACCGTAATAGAGAAACACAAAATAGCACTAGTTTAAGGATTTCTCTTCAATATTTCTGGTTCCTTCTCTCTCTCTCTCTTTCTCTCTCAAATCTTGACCTTTTTATATTTTTTTATCTCTTCTTCCCCATTTCTAAATCCCTCTTTGTCCAATTAAGTCTAATTTTACAATATTTTAAAAGCTGCATTCAGAAAATGACAGCAGATCAATAAAATACAAAAAAAAAGAGGATCGATGAAGAGGAAGCAATTGAAAAGCTGATGATTAATATATTTTGGGAGTTGAAACATACGAAATAGTACAAAGAAGTGATTATCAGAAGAAGCTATGATATTATAGTATATATATTTATAATAAATATAGTTTTGGGCAGATTATTAATATATATATATATAAGAGCTGTGATATAATGTATGTCTTCGTTTTACATAGAGCAAGTTACTGGTCACTCTATAGCGATTCTGCCAGAGCTTCGGCTTTATATAGGTTGTGTTGATTTTTTATGGTCTTGTATACACCAACTTTATAAATGTTTGATATATATATATCTCTACATATACGAGGGTAGACACTTGCAATAAAGTAAGCATTTATGAAACGGTAATTTGGCTTTTAATTCCATCATTTTCCCAGTTATTCGGTAAGTGGTAATGCGACGATTGATCAATGAAACAACAACCTCGACAAAGAACACTTAATTAGTTCAATTAGGATTTAAGGATAAGTCAAACGCTAAATTACCAGTATATACACACAGTAATGAAAAGTCGATGGTTATTATATATACTTTAGATGCCAGGCCTTAAAAGGTCCAAGTAACTTTGGTGTAAGTCCGGCTTCTAGTACTGATGCCTTGATAGTAAGGATAACATATCGAGAGATTGGGCAACTCTATATATTACAGACTAATTGAGTAGTTACAAGAGTTATTGCTTTGTTTTTAAGGACTTTTTTTTTTCTCTGAAGTATGTTTTATAATCAATTTACTGTTTACTAGACTTCTTTAAGGCTTAATAATTGTATGTAAATATCTAATAGCAATGTATAGCATTATTACCTTTTTTTTTCTGTATTTTATTTGCATAGTGTCCCACTTTGCGTGCAGCCTGTAAAATTCCATAAAAATGCTTAATTGAACGGAGATTAGAGATAGGGAAAGGATAAGGTTAAGAATATATAAGAACATTACTCAAAGCTATGTACTAAATAGTTAACATCTTGAGCACACCAAGCACAAAGCTGATAGTAGTACTTTATTGTTTTACCTTATAAAAATCTCTTATCATAAATAACTCAAATCCTCATCATTTAAAATAAAAGTACTCTAGTTCTCTCATCCCAAGTACTTTTATTTTTATATATATATATATGGGTATACTGCTAAATAATACAGCGATTCCACGATACGTACAGCGAAATAACATAATTGATATGAAATATTAACATAGCTGTATGAATATGTACAAGAAAATCAAGGTTGGTCTTTCTTTTTTGTTGCTTTCTTTAATGGGATTTTGTATTCACTAATAAAATCTAGGCTTATATAATTTGTATCACAAACTGAAATAGGCGTGCGTGAAATAAGACAGGTCTTCTAATTGTATCAAATAAATAACAGGTAGTTTGGAAATGATCTTATAAGATATGTACTATATTATACTATGCCATGTCATGTGGATCGAACTGGCTATATAATCATGGAATCTGTGGCTATTGAGTACTGGATCTGTGTCACAAATTTTACAGATACACAGGTACGCAAGTATACATGTACACAGGCGCATAGGCGCACAAGCATAAAAGGAAAATCATCTTTTACTCCTGTTCGGGTTATTTTAATGTATTCGGCCTCTTGAATGACTTTTAAAAAGACAGAAATAAAGAAGGAAGTATATTGCGTATAATATGTATGTACATAAACTTACGCACAACCTGTGTTTAGTCTATTCAATATTCAATACATATTTATTTATTAAAAACAATAATAATAAAAAAACGAATCTCGGATGCATTCCGAAAATAAACCGCTCTGTTGGATCTAGAGAGCTTAGTTCTGGCTATAGTTATACTTTAAGGGATGTATTCTTTTCTCTTTTTCTCCTCTCTTGTCCCCTCACTTTTGCTGCCTTTGTATTAAGGGCGTTAAAAAATAAATAAAAATAAAAAGGATGAGCTCTGATTAGAAGCACAAAAATAATATAACGAGGATTTGTAGTCAGATAAAGATTTTGTTAGTACTTATTACTATTATAATCATTAATCAAAAGAGGCAAATGAGATGAGATATATTCAGTCAAATAAAGTAAGCCAAATCACATTTGATCGATTATTATTTTTTAATAACATTAACATTAACACTAACACTAACACTACTGTTAATGATAATGATAATGATAAGAAATAAATAAATAAATAAAAAAAGGGCCTGTAGTTTGATGTCATTCTCTTCTTGTATATGTGTATGTATGTCTTTCTACATATTTTTTCTTTCTTTTACATTCATGCGGCTTTCTTTATTTATAACTAACAGTAGAAATTCCAGTAAGTGGGGGCCGCGATCTTGTCTTCGTCTTCTTCTTCTTCAATCTATTCATATTGTAATTATTCTGCAATAAAGATAATACTAATAATAACGAAATAGAACTGCTCGTTATATGAAATAAAATTATCCCGTGAACAACTTTATACTGATCTATTATCTTACTCCCTGTTTTCTTAAATAATAGTATCATCTGCAGCAATTTACAAAATTATTATTATAATTAGACCGTGCGTTATCTAGTGGAAAACAGGACTGCTAAAGAAAAAAATACTTTTTTTTTTATTATCATAGTAAAACAAATAAATTTGTAAGGCGTACAATTCGAGAATACAAGGCGCATTTTTAAAGAGATTAATCATTATGAGCAAATCTTCTTTTTTGAATAAACAGTACATAAAAGTATTCTTAGGCTATTAAGGATAATGTTAAACATCTTGGCACTATTCTTTTTATATATATATATATATAATGTATGCTCTACTTTTTGTTTAAATATATATTAAAAAGAAAAAAACTTTATCTCCAAAAATGCGCCTTACAAATGAGTTTTACTATAACCCAATAAAAAATAAAGGCAACTCAGCAGCAGGTGTGAAAGCTTATCAGTTTCCATTAAATGTCCTCAATTGAGAAAAAAGGTAAAGCACCATTGGAATTTAAATCGCCGTTTTATTTACGTTTGAAAGTTTCGCACTCCATATATATAACGCAAGATCTGTTATTAAAACTCGATTTTTTTATTTATTTTATTTTTACTCGTTTGTGCCTTCTGTCGGTGTTGCAATAATGCTACATAAATCGTAACAAAGTGCTTCAACTTGCAAATCGAGACGACAAGGATATTAAGCAAAAAAGTGGGTTTGAATTTTGCTGTATCTTATGAGGATGATGAATTCTCTCATCAAGGCAGAGGATACTCTACCAAGAAATCATGTAACGTGTACTGAGATCCAAAAGACATAAAAAGAGAGATAGAGATAGAGATAGAAAATTGTCGCTGAAGGAATGAGCACAGATTTATAGTATATATCGACGGAAAAGAAACAATTGGATCTATCTCTGCATATCTCCACTAGGTTAGTCAGCATCTGAGGCATCTTCAAGGCATCTTTAAGTTCAATTGGTCTTTAACAATAATGAGGTACCTCTCTTTATATTAAGATACCCAAAGAGCTAGACAATAAATGTCAATAGTTTTGATCAATTGTGGTAGAAAATACAATAAGTCTAAGAGAACATAAAAGGAAAGGAAAGGAATCTAAAGTACAGGCAGTTCCAAAATATATAATTTTAGTGGTAGCAGAACATTGGATTGGTTACTACATTCATCTGCTGTTTATTTTATGGTTGTATCTAATAAATTTTGTAAGTACAAACTTTGCCATTCGTATAATCAAATAGCTTTTACTGGAGCTTACACCGGATTGAATCATAACGTTCTCACTTGGAAAAGCTGTAGAATGATATGGCAACACAACGTCAATTCTTTAAAAGAAAAAAAAATTCAAGATCTTAAATAAAATTAACAACAGCATATACGCATCACCGTCTCGAACACAGTTTTCCTCCAAAAAGAGTTTAGATTTTTACAAGTAAGAATATATATATATAACTTGTCTCAATATCAAGTTTAAACACTATAAAACGCAAAGCATTTATTTATATAGTATTTTTTTTTTACTACCCTCTCTCCCAAAAGCTGTGATACTATAGCACCTCATTAATTTGAAAAGAGTTTAGCTGTTGAAACTGCTATAGCAAATAGGAGAAGATAAAGGCGTGTTGATTAAAGCTTAAATATGTATGGAGTTCTATTAATTGGACCAAATGTAGAATTGTTAATTGTCATTCGCTCTATACATATATATATATATGTGTGTGTATATATATATATCTTTTTTATCTTTAAAGCTCATGTGCAAGTCAATATAGAAAATTGTAGGAATCGTGTTACCAAAGGTGATTATCTGCATAAACTATGAGCGTCTGTGCTATACACTCTTTTAGCAATCAACAAGATCGTCAGACTGAAACTGTGTCAGGATTGTACTAGGATCGGCAATCCGTCTCAGTACAGGTCAATCATTAGGCCTTTCCTTATTGAGAGTGTCGATAGGTAGGTGGTTAAGTACACTAAGTAATGACAAATAATGGTGGGATCAAAAGTGAATAGGTATGGTCCCAATCATCCGACATATATATATATAAAGAAAGAAGGAAATAAGTCTTATATCCAAAACCAATCACAATTGATAGCAATAATAAGAATAATAAAATATACAAATTCAAATTTTGATGAGAGACTCAGATTTTATTGAACGGGTAGATATGGGATCGGTCCGGGAGAAGTAGCAAAGAGAAATCTAACACGAGGAGCTGTGTACAGACAAAGCTAAGGTTCTATAGAAGCTAAAGAAGAAGAATAAAAGGCGAAGTTTATTTAATGCTGCACACAGTAATAAAAAAATTAGTATAGATGCTTCAGAATACTAGTAATAAATAATAAAAGGTCTTGACATTCTTTGGTTTGTGGTTTTTATGTGCTCAACTTGGACTTTTGGGCTTTAAAAGAATATATGAATAGTGCATATGTATACGTTACATTATAAAACAGAGTCTTATGGTATAGACCGTCTGAAAATAATAATAATAATATAGACAAAAAAAAAGAGAAAGATCATATTAAAGGCACGGTCGGAGAGTCATCAAAAGTTTGCATTTGACGGCACCGGGTCTGTACATCGCTGTACCACAAGGGGAAAAAAAGAGAAAATGACTGTGATTTCCTAGTATTGTTATTATATTTTTTTGAATAAACTCTGCTAATCCTTGCTATGCCGATAGTTTAAATGATAATAATAGTCCAAAGCCTTTTAATATTCAGTGTTCACTCGTTTTGATTATATTTATTGAGCAATTTAGTAAACTATTACACTATTTACTTTACATATTCAGATGTCTTGGGAAGGAGACAGGGGGAGAAGAAAGAAAGAAAGAAAGAGAAACGGGGGAGATACATATATTTAGCTGAAAGATACCAAGGTGGAAAGTGGTACGACATTTATATTTTTATTGAGGCATGCATCAATATGTGCTTGGATGATTAAAGCATTTTATCTAAAGACCTACTCTTTTGTCTTTCTCTCTTTTCTTGTTCACCTGTAGATACATAGTAATTTTTACATTTCATTCAAAGTATCTTTAAAGATAAAGAAAAAGAAAACTAAAGACCATGTAGGGTCCCCCCTTTCAGAGTTTGACTAGGATTTTTATTACAAGTATCTACACCATGTACTCCAATATTTAGTCTATTCTTCCTTGCTTAACCTTTTATGCATGTGTATATAAAAAGTAAATCTTCTTTATTAGACTAAGGGTTTGACTATTAAATATAAAGAAAATAAAAAAACAGTTGCCCTGGTTATCAACGACGTTATTCTATGAAGAATCGGATCTTAACATTATTTTGACAGCACCCCCTTTCTCACCCTTGTATATAAGAATGTGTACTCATTGGGTGAATTATGGAGAAAGAAAGAAAAAGAGAGAAAAAAAAACAAATCAGCATTTTTCTAGTGTACAACATTTGTTTTTTCTTCTTTATATAAAATAAGGCGGACATTCTGTATTTTAAATAATTGTGACAAGAATAAATGCAATGTAATCCCCGACCATATTTTATATGCCGCTATTTTATTATTATTTTTAATAGAAAAAAGAAAAAAAGAAATACACACAAACCCATTTATTCACTTACTCACCTTGTACTGTACAGTGAAGTACATTATTCGGCACTATTCAAAAGTTAAAATAACGATAAGAATTCTATGAAAGATTCTATTTATTTGTTGTTATTATTATTACCAATGACTGTAACTTTTCTATTTGACGTGTTGATTTCCTGGGTTTCTCTTTCTCTTTTTTTCTTCTTCTTCTTCTTCTTCTTCTTTGGACAATTGTGTATTTCTTTACCAATTAAATAAATAATGGTGTTTACCATCATACAGAACAAATTATCAAGAGCAAAAAGATATATATTATATCTTCCAAATATAGTAATATAAACTTAAAAAATAGCCAGATTATAAAATGAAGTAAAGTAATAAAGATGATTATATTATTGTGAAAAATTTGCTAAATAATTGAAAGGTATGGTTATTTAGTATAAGCTACACATCGGGTCAAGATACTCTCTAATATAACGTCAAGTATTTAATGGGCCATTTCTTTTTTCTTTTCATCTACCCTGCTTGAAGGGGGGGGGGGGGGAAGGGGTCTGCAAATGTTTAGAATCAAATTACGGTTTTTGGAAGTATACAAACGACAGAAGGGCCACCAAACAGTCTATATGCTTTTTTTTTATTATTATTTTCTTATTATTATTATTCTTGAGTGGATTTTGATCAGTATGGTGGTGGTAAGGACCACAAAAGCAATATATATATATATATAATATATACATTTATTTAAATATTAGTTTTAGATGCCAAAATAGGTTTAAAGTATTCTAAATTTAGTAACATACAGTCGGACTTTATAAAAGTACGATTATTTTACCAAAGTTACGATTTGGTTTTTTTTTTACAAAAGTCACGAGTCTTTCGAATTTACTCGTAAATTTTTTTTTAATATAGAGATAGAGAGAGAGAACCCTCCCCCCCCCCTCCTATCTCTCCTTGATATAATAATAATAATAATAATAGTGGTAGAAAGGAAAGGAAAAAAAGGAAATTTTAAGGGGTTTTAATCAATTGATTGATATAAATATATCTATATATCTATATTTTGTATTGATTTCTATTGAAGTTTGTTGTTGTTGTTGTTGTTGTTGTTATTTTTCTTTTCTTTTTCTTTGCTTGGTTGATTCGTTACAAATGTGTTATTATTATTATACTATAAAAATAAATGTGTATTATTTGAATGTCAATAATGCCAATAAGAATAGTAATAGTAGTAATAATGATAATAAATAAATATAAGAAAAATAAAGAGAAAGATGAAAGTTACATACACAAGAAGCAAAAGAAGAAATGTAAAATAAGGGAGATGTGGTTGAATAATTTACAAGTGCTAGAAGTTGACCGGGTCAGAGTATTCCGCTTAAGCGTATTACCATATTCCAGCAACATCCGAAAAAAAACAATGTATATATATATATATATATATATAAAAGATATATAAATAAATAATAATAAAGGGAAAAAAAACAGGGGATGTAATGGAAAGGGGAGAGAGAGAGAAGGGAGAGTGAGTAAGGGGGGGTTGAAGAAATACAGGACAAGGGACAAGTGTGGAGTTTGATTTTAAAGATACGATTCCTATTCCTATAAAGTTTCTTTCTTTTTTTCTTTCTTTTTTGGGGGGGTGTGAGTGAGTAGATGAGTAAATGAGTAAATGAATGAATGAATAAAGAGAGTAAATATGTGATTTATGTGTTCATTTTCATCGGGTCTGGGCTTCTTCACTGAACATTTCCAAAGTGAATCTTGGCATGGCGTCGTAAATTGCTTACAACGGAGAATCTTCGGCCACAGCCATCCACGGAACACTTGTAAGGTTTCTAAATAAATAAATAAATAAATAAATAAATAAATATAATTAATATTTTTTCTGTACTCCAGCTACATACTACATAGAACTATACATGTGTAAAGAAAGATATATAAAATAAAATAAATTTGAAAGAATATTAACCTCTCCTGTGTGACTATGCATGTGTGTTGCCAGAGAACTGGGCCGGGTGAAGCGTTTGATGCAGAGAGAACATTTGTATCTTCTGGGAGGCGTACTGCTAGCCTTTGAGCTGACACCACGCAAGGGAGTAAAGCCGTTGGAATTTATGTCTTGGCAATATTCAGTTTTTGGGATGATGTAATCGTCGTTGATGTAAGGAGAGACGATGTGCTGAAGCGGCCGGTTCTGCATCGTTGGTCCTGGATATGGACTTCCACACGGAGAGTAAGCAGCATTGACTGAGTGGCATGAATTTGTGGGTTGATGATGGTAGCCAAAATTTGCAGGATTGTTGTGGCTATTGATATGAGTATTGTGATTGCTACTGCTATTACTATTATTATTGATGATGATGTCTGAAGTAAATGGAATACGATTCGGTGCACAATTGCGGTATTGAATATTTTGGTGATCGAGTGAGGAAGGATCGGACAGACAGCCAGGTGGTGATGATAAAGATTGTGAGCAACATGTCTGAACACAAGATTGCGTTTGTATTTGTATTTGCTGCTGCTGTTGTTGTTCATGATACCAGGATCGATAATTTGACTGGTAATTGTAACCACACGGATAGCCACACGGGGTGGCTGTGCATAAACTGGTGTTGGTACTGGTGTTGGTATTTACGGGGTGTTCTGTTTTTATACACCATCGGTCATTAATAATAGGTGGCGTGGTGTCGGATCCTGGTGGCGTCGGAAAGGATACCGTCTGGTGGAGACTGGCATTTGCAACGGCAGGACCAGAAGAAGAAGAACAGGAAGAAGAAGAGGAAAAAGAAGAAACAGCGGTAGAAGCAGCGGCAGATGCAGATACATATATAGAAGCATTAGCAGAAGAAGACGCAGAAACAGAAGCAGAAGCAGAAGCAGAAGCAGCAACATTAGCATTAACAGCAGCAGCAGCAGCAGCAGCAGAAGCAGAAGCAGAAATAGCACCTGGCCCTGCAGAATAGTATTGGTCAGGGTAGGGGTCGTAGTAGCATGGATCCGGAAGTGGTGACATGAGTTCGCACTTTATGGCGGCCGACTGCCCCACTCGCCTGATCGGACTAGAGGGATTCGGAGCAAGGTCAAAGTGTGGGGAATGTCTAGGGTTTGGTTTGACGGTGATAAGTTCGTTGTAGGTGTAGTATACTTCTGGATTGTCTATTCCAAAAGATATGCTTCCGTCTAGACTGGGTGTTTTCTTCAGAGAGCCAAATGAACTGTTTGTGGCGTTGCTAGTGACACTGTAGGTAGGAGAGTCGGCATGATTGTGATAGAATTCTGGAGAGAAGGCACGTATGTCACTTTTGAGTGATTGTGGCTGGACAACAAACTGCATGGATTGGTCGATTTCAAAGCTCATTGATGTTTAATGGTAAAGTGATAAGAAGAAGAAAGAGCTTTTGGTGTCTAAGGTTGAGTCAGTATGTACGTAGATATATAAAAAAAAATATTATGTGTGCGTATAATTGAGATGATTGTGTTCACTGTCAGAGAAAGGAGCAAATTATATGTCAAGTGCGACTGGCTTGAGCTTTTAAACTAAAAAAAATAAATAATAATAAATAAATTAAAAATTAAAAATAAAATTGTTGTTTTTAGAAGAAGAAAAAAAAAAAAAAAAAAAGACACGGGGTTAAAGGGAAAAATAGAATCACTTACTATCTCTACCTATCTAACTATCTTTATTTACCTGACTCCAAGGCTATACGGTTCTGTGTGGCTCTGTATTGTCTGTATGGCTGTTTGGATATATACACGTTAATACTTACAAGTATATATGTATTTATGTGTGTCTGTATTTAGGTGTGTATTTATGTATTTGTATGTATGTATTTGTATGTATGTATACATGTATAGATATATAGATATGTAGATATTTAGATATATATATATATATATTATTCTCTATATTTTAAACGGGTGTGTTTGTGGCAACTGTTTTGGCAAATCCTAAAAAAGAATATGAGAAATTGTATTGGAAAACAGGGGAGAATTGATTAATATTCAAAGATACTTTACTTTGTCCATGCAGTCGGATCCAACCTTTTTGACATACACACACACACACACAATATATATATATATATATACATATACATAAATTTATCACCAACAACAACAACAACAACAACAACAAAGTAGTAATGAAACAAGCATCTTTTATACTTCTTTTTTTTTGGTTTTTGGTTTTGACACCAAATGATGTTAGAAATAGTTCCAATCTGTAACTAAGCAACCAATCGAACAAGCAAGCAAAGGATAAATCGATCAATCGATCAATCACTCAATCAATCAATTAACTACACCCGTATACATATAAATGATCTTTAGGCTGGCCAGATATATCTTTATGCAGTCATTTACAAGGGCTGAATACATTTTGCTTTTTTTTTATCATGCCATGGTATCCCTGCTTTTTTTTGTATCACGGTTGATTCATAAAGGTGTTTCTTTTTATATATCTATATTTTATATTTTGGAGTCAGGCTTTTTTTCTCTCTCTCTCTCTCTTTTTTTTGTTTTACCTGCACAGCTTATTGGTCAGAAGAACGGTTACATTGTAAACACATGGATATAGTCAAGACTATTGGGATGATATTAGAGAGGGGGGGAGATACAAAGGGGGTGTATAGTGTGGGTTCCAATAGAAAGTCAATGGCGCAAGAGTAGACACTTTATTATACGATAATAATAATATTTTAAGTATATATATATATATATGTGTGTGTGCTTGTGGAATAATAGGTCCCTACCACTACTACCACCACCCCTGAAAAATGTACAGTATATAATTGTGTAAATGTATATATTTATATATTTATCTGTGTCTGTACATGTAGTGTCTGTATATAGTGTGTATTTATAAATGTCATTATTCTATTCTATATTTTGTTCCTTGTTTCCTGAAGAGATTAATTGATGTAGTGTATTATGCATGCCAAAGAGTGACATCGAATAGGCTCATAGTGATAAATGGAAAAAAAAATATACAGATAAGTAGATAGATAGACAAAAAAAAACACTTCCTTACTGTTTTTTTTTGTCAACTGTCTAAAGATGAGTAAAAGATAATAAAAATAATAATATTGTTCTTCTTGTTCGAACAAAACTCGGAACTAGCTTGTCGTACCACGCTTACAATCAGGAGCACCCTAAAAAAAACCCAAAAAAAAGGCGGCTCATCACGCGTGGGTAACTATGGCTACAAATCCTATCATTCAAATCTTCTACACAAAAAATTTCCATCTCTTTCTTTCTTTCTTGCTTTCTTTCTTTTGTACCTACTTTCTTTATCACTCCTTCTACTCATATACTCCTACTCCTTTGACTCCTTTGACTCCTTCTACTCTAAAAAAGTATAACCCCCTTGGAAAGCCACAAAAAGAACTAACCAATATATATAGATTATCTTAATATCATTTTTGCCACTTTTATATATTTTTTATAATAAAATAAAATTAGGGATCAATATCACCCTTCCATAACCCCCTTCCTCTTCCCCTTCTTCCCCTATGAAAATACAAAGCATTATTCCTGTACCTTTTGCATGTATACGCCATCTTCCAAGTTTATCGCCCACTCAATTCATTTGTCATCTCAGAAAAAAAACAAAAAACAAAAAACAAAAACAAAAACAAAAGCGCCTGTATATGTATGTATGTATGTATGTATGTATGTATTTGTGTTTGTGTGTCTGGACAAGAATCGTCAATGTTATTTAGATAATCGATAGATATGTTTTTCAAAAATTCATACATACAATAACTTGATCTTCTGTGTATTTTCTGTGATCTACGTTGCTCCAACCATGGGATGCTTATAATCTACTACATAGCAATCTTGTGTTACTAGAGGAGCAATTACAAAATACCAGAGGGTTTGTGTAAAAAAAACACACAACAATATTATCAATATTATCTACAAGAAAAAAAAAAAAGAAAAAAAAAGACTCTGGGCACCCCTTCCATGGACTTGTGGTTCTTTATCAATTCTCTGTATGACAAACAAACTGCAGATGAAATAGGAAATAAACGCATGGCGAACCTATTCTACACTACGCACAATAACAATAATAAAGCATAATTTATTTTATTTTATTTTATTTAAAGAAAAAGTGCCCACTTCTTGTAATCAGTCTATTAGTACCAAACTAAGAAGAAGAAGAAGAAGAAAAACCCAATCTTTTTGCTTTGTAGTTTATCAAATGAATTAATTAATGAATCGTTATACTTCAAACCAATAATAACATTTTTTTTGTAGGTAATTCGTGTGAATTATTACACTGACAGATTAAGAAAAAAAAAAGAAAAAAAAAAAGAAAAAAAGATCCGAAATGTTAAAAGCAGTCCAAAACCACTTTATGTTTCCAATTTTGACATTTTATTTTATTTTATTTTTGTCTCGCTTATTGAAATTATAATAATTCTTTCTCCTCTGTTTTAATTTCTCTATTATCACAAATGTCATCGAGTAACAATGGAAAAAGACCTTTAGAAGACAATGATAGTCTCACCGGCAAAGAGAAAAGAAGAGGTTAGGAAATAGAGATTTAGGAGTAAGATAAAAAGAAGAGAAAGCAAGGACAAGCTCGATTTAGGAAAAAAAAAAAACCGAATTTTTTTTTATAGTGACAGTTTTTTATCATTAGCCAAGAATCGCGATGCCAGACAAATAGGTCCCAATAAGTGGAATGGTTTTCGAAAAACTAATGATGGTCAGAATTACTACATTACTACCTTCTTATCTTGTTATCTCTTACAATTATTTTAACCAACCAATTTACAAATTAAGAAAAGAAAAATACAAAAAAAAACGAAAACGAAAACGAAAATTAAGCAAAGACTGAATGACTGACATGGAACATTAGACGGACCCCTTTTGATCGGTTCACCAATCAATGAAAAGCAACTAGCATCGGCTCATATCAATGAAATAAATTCACTTCAATCATCAATTCGAAAAGCAAGGTAATATATATATATATTAATTCATGTAAATTTATTCGTTCCAATATATGCTTATAGCTTTGCCATCACCACATTGGCATTTCAGTCTCTTCCTCGAGGCCTTAGACGACGTGCAGCTAGTCACAACATCAACCGACTGCCTCTTCGATTGAGAGTAAAAGCAACTCAAGAAGTAATTTAATAGTAAAATGCAAAACAGACAGATATTTTTTATGTGTATGTTTTGAATAATGAATTTATTGATTTTTCTTTTTATGCGTATTATTCAGATGGCTTTGAGTGCACCAAATCCAACCAAAATGAGACGTAGAATGCGAAAACCAAGACCAAAATCACTAGTTGAAGAATACTTGAGACGACAAGGTGAGACACCAATAAAGCGTGTATATATATATATATATATTATTGTATTGTACTATACAATAATGATGATAATAATAATGTTATAAGCAATAAAATAAGGCGCTTGGTCTCTAAACAATGCATGCTGTCTATAGGCAATAAGAAATGGTTAGAAACACATATGTGGCACACAAAGCGGATGAAGATGACTGATATTTGGGGATATCGTCTGGTGAGTAAAATTAAATTAAATTAAATAAATAAAAGATGAAACCCTCCTCCTCCTCCTCCCAAGAATCAACTCAATTGAATTCAATTCAAACCAGACTAACGCTAATAATATTAGGCATTGTACCCTAATATCAAATCAGAAAGAACAGCCTATAAAGCATCAAAACATTTGTCTATGCTCCACGACGCTTCTTACATGGGTTGCATTGAAATGTCTGGTCTAATGAGTGATATTGTGAGAGTCCTGAACAGCATAACAGATTCTGGTCTTGCCTCTGTAGGAAGTGCCCGGTAATTATTCTTTGTCTTCTTCTTCTTCTTCTTCAGTATCATTATTATTATTTTCAAAACAAGAAACAAACAAACAAACAAACAAACAAACAAAAAAAAATACCCCAAAAATCAATTGATCAAATCAAACAAGTTCTCTCTTTATCCTAACAATTACAAATACAAATCGATATTTAGTTACACCAAAGGGCAGCGTATAGGACACACAAACATATACAAACACCTCGGATACCCAACAAAACTCGTTTGTCCTGTTACATTTCTCTGGAGACCTACTCAGGCAGAAAGCGATGATGCCACAATCTGGTTGTGGGTCCATCCCTCTGTGTTTGACGAGGTCTATACTTCCATTCGACATGTAGTACAGACTTACCAATCAGGATTAATGCAAGGTATACTTACCCACATCCGAGACAAGGGTCCTTTCCCCTATAATCTATCCCTATCATACACTCATTTGCTCACTCACTTGCTCATTCACTCGATCTTTTTTTTTATGTATAATCACAATCTTTCAATTAGAGTTACAGGTAGTAGATCAAAGAGGTGATCTTGTTAGATTTGATCTTTTCGGGCCACGGTCTACTGCTTTATTACAATCCATTCTCGATCCTGTTTGTGAAGCATCCCCATTAACTGAAGAGCGTGAGCAAAAAAGTGCCCAGTTGTGGAGAGATATTTCCCAATTGCGTTCATCTTCGTCACTTCCTCCGGGATGTGTGCTTGGAATGACAGTACAAGACCCTCGCATAAAGTATGATCATATAATCTTAAAGTCGCGTGTCTTATTATTGCAATTCTTCTTTCGTGTATTAATAATAAGTATATACATATATTTTCTAGATTCCCCCAAAAAGTTCCTCCGCGCACAAGCCAGATTCCTAAAGAAACAGACTTACGAATCGATCAAATTGTCAGACAATGGCCTACCGATGTTGCTTACTCTGACATATGGGATAAGCAGCTTAGAAGAGATATTCAAAAAAACAAGATAAAGGATAATGACCTGAATAAACGTCGAGAAGATCAGGTAAATCAAGTAATATTAATATATATATATATATGTGTGTGTGTGTGTGTTCTAACCCGATCTATAAATTTATAAGAAATCCAATGGCGTTAAATTTGAATTCACAGAAAAAGATAGCAAGATTCCAATTTTACTCATCCAAAGAGGAGGTGCAGAATTTTCCGGAGGCACAAGCACAGGAAAAAACTCTGCAAACCTTATAGAGGTTACCGAAGGATGGTCTATTATCTTACCGCGTAGCTGGGGTGTTGCGTTTTGGAAATCATTTGTATTTGCAGGCGCAAGAACCTGTGGTCTCCACAACGTCCGTGCTATGCATTTCGAAAGTGGACACGGTGTATTTCCTTTTGATGTACCGGGTACTTTGGCATACGAGGCACAGAGCATTGCTTCCAAAAATACAGAAAGATCAATCTGGGCAAAGAAACCTCCCTCGAAGCGCGTCAATTTTGAAAAACTTGGTGTGAGTCATCCATTCGAAGCTCCTTTTGAGTGGCTGGTCAACAATGGAAAGACAGACAACTCCAAAAATAAAATATTGGATGTAGATAAAGTTAAAGATGAGAACACGAACGAGAATGAACATCAAATCCAAAAGACTCAAGACCCAAAGTGCTGGTTATTACAGGGCGATCGACTCATTTCACTACTTTTGTCTTGTCGTACCCAAGAAGAAGCAACCCAGAAATTGCTGAAGGAGATGTCAACGCAGATGTCCAAACGAGATCTTCCTTGTCCACTCTCCCTTGATTTAGATCATGCTCTTGTAAAAGTTCGTGTCAAGTACACTGGCCGGAGGAAACCACACCCAAACGCAATGATTTTCCTGATCGAAGATCAAAAAGAATATGAAAAACACGCTCAAAAGTGTAAGGAACCCAACTCTACCAATAAATCAAAGGTCGGTCATCAAGACGCAAACACAAACGCAAATGAAGATGCAGACTCGGATGAAGAAATGGTATATAAATATTGGAGGTCAATAGAAAGATACAAAGAGAAAGAAAACTCATCATGATTCTTGTTTGTAGGATACCTCTGATCATCCAAACCAGCACATTGGCTACCTAACTAATGGAGGCTTTTCACTTTCTGTTGGAGGTGGACTTGGTATTGGAGCATGCACTGCCCTGGGTATTCAAGAAATTAGAAACCTAGACAATAGGTAAGGAAAGAGATTATAAAGTTATTGATTATTAGTATTTTCAAAATCCACCTGTAAACTTATACATACATTTTTGTATAGATACAACAGAAAAACAAAGATGCTTGTATTGGTTCGCAATACCAATACTTCTAACTTCCAACCAGCACAGTTGCAGCTACTAGCTTAATTCTTTTTTTTAAAATAATAATAATAATAATAATAATAATAATAATTTTCTCATTTATACATATATATTTATATTTATAAGAGAGAAAGATGCCAATATCCATCGAGTCAAAGAAAAGCTTATGTACCAACAAAGAACAAAAACCAAACTATTGATTACTGGTAATATCGTTTGCCAGTTTCCTGTTGTTATCTAATACAATATTCACATATACAACTTCACCCTTTTTTTTTAAAAAAAAAGCTATTTGTACACACACACACACACATCTATATATCGTCTTTGCTTTTTGATATTATCGTCAATTTCTTTGTATGTACTTGATAATTCCTCTTCTTTAACTAATGGAACACTTCAAACTCAATGGGAATAACAATAGTGATAATGACAGTAAAAAAAAATAGATTTGCAAGAGGTGTATGTTCTTTTTTCTTTTCTTTTGTGGTATTGTAATTATCTCAACATCTGGCTTGCAAATTTGTCCCTTGCAGACTGGTATGCTTGCATAAGTGTTTGCTCACTAAAAGGAATATCGACTACATCAAGACGAGGTTTGGAGACTCGGTTCACAATAGCGTTGGCATCAGTTTCCAGAATAATACTAAAATGGTGACAGTAATAATAAAAAGTAAGCAAGTATATATGAATATTAATGTACATAAAACCAGGTGAGTGCATTCCCTCTTCTTTTACTTATTCTTTCCCATTTAAAAGAAGAAGAAGAAAAACCCCCTGATTACTTACCCTCCATCCACAGTTTCATCCAGGCAAAGCACAACCAAATCTAAATTATCCATGACTGAACGCTTTTCTACTTGGAATCTAATAAAATAAAGCCAGTAGAAGTTTAGATCAAAGTGCTTGCCTTTTTTGTTGTTGTTGTTTGCTTATTATTCCTTCCTCACTTTACAATTACTACTATTACTACTACTAATTCTCATTTGCTTAAAAAGAGAAACTAACAACAACTCACCTCAACAAAGTAGAAACAGCATCGTAAAAGGCATTTAACATGCTCAAAAGAATCAATTCATTCTCTTCCAAAGAACCAACCACGTAGAAAAATATATCGATATTGGATCGGTACAGGACAACTTTGTTATCATACAAGATTACCTCTCCTACAATAATAATAATAATAATAATAATACACATTACATAGTTTGAGCATTCCACATTACATTCTGTTTCTATCTTCTTTTTTTTTGTAGAAGGGGGTTCGGCATCAATCACAGGTACAATCTTCATCATTACAAAAGTCAAGAGATGACTTGTTAAATCACAATGAGACTGTCTTTTGTGCGGGTTTGTATAATTATATCGTGTATTAAAGTCTTCAAGTACTGTGTATATAATGTTTGTTCTGCGTGTATATATATATAAAAGGGCTCATTACCTTGTGCTCGCTTGGTCTTATCAAAAAGACCCTTCTCAAATGCTTTTTGCTCTTTCAGACTAAGGCGATCAGCACCATAGTATTTGGCAAGGACGCGGTTTCCTTCGGCATCAAGTAAGATGACAGCCTTGATGGAGTCTAACGAAAGGTTGACCATTACGGTAGTAGAAGAGGTTCGTGTGGAGAGTGAGACGGAGAGGGAGAGAGAGAGAGAAAATGTGGTAGAACGTTAAAATTTTAAAGAAGCGACTTGATCGTTTCTTTTTTTGTGAGGTCACAAAAGCTATCAATAAATTCAAATCTTGCTGGCAAATTTCACTGGATTGACTTTATTGAAAAAGAAAAAGATATATAAACTGCTTTTAATTCTCTGCCTGTTAGTTATTTTACTGAGAGTATACACATATTTAATATACGTACTTTAAAGATCAATAATACTACATTGGACCGTATAATTTAATAGTTCATTTGCTCTTCTTCTTTTTGCCAGAAGTTCTTTCAAACACATCAAGGTATATCTACAACTACCAGACCGAAATTTTAGAATATTGAAAATTTGATGATGATCCTTAAGAAATCTAGGAAATAATTATTGTGTTCTCTATATATAAATTTTACTTATTCTTTCGGTATAGTTATACTTCATTGATAATGCCAATATCCCTCAAGGTTTTATCTATTGTTGTCTTCACCTGTCAATCAATATGAGATTCCTTCAGTACTGCCACTCAAGCTAAATTACAATTGCGATTGAAACCTTGGTGTGTAATTTGGTCTGACAATGAAATCTATAAAAATGTTTACATTCCGACAGTAAGATTTAGTTACTTAACCAAGACATAAAAATTACATGTAAAAAGCATTGTTTCGTATACATTTCTTTTTTATTCTCTTTTTTTTTATTTTCTTATAAACCAATCTCATCTCAAAAAACATAAGAGAGACAGAAATAAAAGACACCTACTAGGTATTAACTGTCATAATTTGGGGGTAGGTGGGCACATTTGCCGTCTGACTATTTGTTTCTGGCCATATCTTAACTGAGCCTTTCAAACTATATGAACATCCCTTAGACAGCAATCAGCAGCACTATAAAACATTGAGAGACTACTGGAACAGTCAAACCAAAGATCAGATATGGTAAACTAAAAAATACTCGGCGTAACAGCCGCTACGAGTGTTTGTTTGAGTGTGAGGGGTACTCCTTTTGAGAGCTGTGCGCATTACTGAGCAAACTTGGAAGATGCTGGTGCTATTGTCTCTAGACAGACAGTCATTCGATACCTACGGGAAAAAAGCTTCCGTTCTTAAACCCATGTTTTGAAGACAACCTTAAATTACGAGTAGAAGAATAATTGGTTTCGTTGGGCCAAAGCTAGAGTTAGCTTTAGCATTGAAGACTGGAGTAGGGTTGTGTGGTCAGACAAGTCGAGCTTCACAGTGAAGGATAAAGTTTCTGATCTATCCGCAATTTTTAAGCAAGTGGAGAGGTACAAGGAGCGTCTTACACTTACAGTATAAAGTTACGGAAAAGGCTCTGTGATGGTGTGGGGTTGTTTCTGGGCTAGTGACCTTGGGCCATTATGGTTTATAAAATGCTCTATAGGCCAAGATGCGTATGTGAGCTGTTTATCCAATGATTCAATCAATGGTATAAGAAATTAACTGGGGAACATATCACCAAGTCCAAATTTCAAGAAAATATTGATGGCAGCCATATTGAGTTCTATACAACGTGGTGGAGAAATCGTTGGGAGATTAAGCGGTTTGACTACTGGCCTTCGCAAAGTCCAGATCTGAACCCTATCGAGCACATATGGTGTGTTCTAAAAGCCAAGATCTTAAGGCCTGAGTTCTTAGGGAATAGGAATTGCTTGATCCAGGACTTCTCCATACTCTTGTGGCGAGTATGCCAGATAGAATCAAAGAAGTGATAAAAAAAGATCGTGATGACCATGGCATATGATAAACTTTAATAATATATGCATATTTTCTTATATATACTACATATTTTTTGTCTGGTAGAAAACAATATTCTTTATTCAATTTCTTTAGATTGATTGGAAAGTGTAGCGTGAAGAGTTTGATGTATAACTCAATTGAGATGAGCAATTGAGGCCCCCATTGGTAAAGTCTATCCCGGGAATATGTATAATATCATTTACTTGGTCACGCATCCCAGTATGCAAAATTGACGCAAGGTTTATCAGCATGGTTAAGCATGTATGAATTAATGCCAGTTATTTATTTGTAGTAGTGCAATTTTTTCGCAGTAGGCATAGAATGGTTTTATTTTATGGCTCATAATCTTTACAGTAGGTATCTCAAGAAGATTTGTCCTATGAATTCTTGGTTTTTTGTATGAATCTGACCTTGTAATCTTCAGGAGCAAATACAACTCCTTTTTCTAAACCTGAATCCAAGTTTACATATTCTGGTTGTCCTTTTGAATCAATGGCTGGCTCAATAGTGCAGGCGGCAAGAATATTAACCGCTGTGTCAAATATCTCAACCTCGGCCTACATTAATATAAGCATTATTATTCAAGTAATTAAGTTTTAATATTTGAGAGAGAAAGCTTACAAAGTGGATGCCTGGGCAGACCCGCCTACGTTTAATATAAATAATCAATACAATCGATTTTATTTTTGTCAGTACGCAATGTATTTCTTTTTTTTTCTGCTCGAGAACTTTACCTTCCCCACCCGAACGAATAATTATCACGCTCTTCAATACTTCCATTGTTTGAAGCACTCCATGTTCTTGAATCACCTAAAAATCGTTCTGGCTTGAATTTTTCTGGTTCGTCATAAACATCGGGGTTCATGTGCATTGCATGCATACTACTGATTAGGACAGTATCAGCAGGAATAAAGTATCCACATGCTTCCACTGGAGGGAAAGGAAGGAGGTAGTGGAAGAAGAGGAGGAGAAGGATTGTATAAAGTTTAGTCAGTATAAAAAGAACGCCGACCAGGTAAACTACTCACCATCAGTGGATGTGTAGTGGGGGATTCCAAAAGTAGTTGGGCTCCTAAAGCGCAAATTTTCTCGAAGAGTTGCAACTGTGTAAGGCAACTCATCTCGGTCTGAATATAAGGGTGTTCTGTTATTTTTGGATATGAAGGTATCTATCTCTTCTCCCATTTTCTTTTGAACATCGGGATACCGAGACAAGATCGCTAAAAGCCAATGCAATGATACCGAAGTTGTATCTCCACCTGCAGACATAAGGTCACCTAATTATAATTGTGTTATTCTTATAAGATTTAACGTGCGGCTACGAGGCATATATATATAGCTGTTTTTGACCTACTTATCATAACAAGTATGTCTGTATCATCCAGTCCAGACTCTTCTTTGAGGGAATATGCATGTTTGACCAAACTATTGCAGTCTGCAGCTATCGCTTCGTCGATTAAATTTTTGTAGTATGTGTCTCTCCAAAGTGTGACTTCTTCCACTACTTTCATAGGGTGCATAAAAGTACTGATCCAAGCAAAGATTGGAAAGAAAGAACCAATATCGGCTTCCGGTCGAATGTAAGTAACACCCTTATCTGTCATCTCAAGAGTCTGGGTAATAATATTATTTTTGAAAGGATCGATGCTTTCTCCAAAAATAGCTTTGAACATTGTGCCATAAGTTGCTCTTCTGATATGCTCTTTTGGTGCCACAGATCCTTCTGTATTTGTTATTTCAATTAACGCTCGAAGGGTTTTTTTTGCGACATTTTCAATAGATCCCTCAAATTGCTCGGTATATTTTGGGGATAATATTGTAAGAGCTAAAGAGAAATTAGAATACAAAATATAGATACGCGTTGCTTAAGCTATTGCTCTTCTTACCCATACTACGCGTAGTTTTCCATTTTTTGCTAGTTTGATTGAAAACGATCCCCCTAAAGAAGTTGGATAAGCATATTATTATTCTTTAATATCCATATATACACTCACCTTCCTCCTTTTCCATAAATATCTTGTGCGAAGCGATGCTTCTGTCTCTCTGATGTCTTGATTCCGTTTCGAACAAATATTTGATGAGCAATGTTTGGATCACTTATAAAAACCCATCGTTGGATTCCCATATGAAGGCATATCAGAGGACCTGTATTAAAGGAAAAAAGGGAGTCAATAGAAGCCTTTAACTAAAACACGGATCCACCTCTTACCTAGTTTTTCATGCCAGTTTTTTATTGTGATTGCCGGCAGACTTCCCAGAGACGCAGCATGTCCTTTTTATTTTTAAATTTTGTATATGACCATATATATATACGCGCGTAAATATGTGTTATATTAATACGCTATAAAAGTATATTTTACCGATATATGGATATCCTTCCGAAGGAACAGGTACCTCTCTAAGTCCTCCACGCAATAAGGAGTCCTTTTTTTGTTTTTGGAGTGTATTATTGTATAGACTAAAGACAAAAGAAGCCGCGATTCCTAATCCTATAGCCCCGGCTGTAAGCAGAGTCTTGTCGTCTAAAGTGTTCATTACAAACATTTTTGATTGTTGTTATTGTTGCTATTCTTGTTATTGTTTTCAATTTAGCAAAGAGCTGCCAGAAGAAAGAAAGGCAAAATAAATGATGCTTTATATACTAAATGTGTGTGTGTGTGTGGGAGTTAAACCTTATATTTGTTCTTGTTTAAAGCTAGTTTTATTTTATTCCCCTATCATTATACTGAGTATGATCAATCAAGTCCATCTAAGACATCAGAACTATTTAAGATTTTACAGATAGAGTAAGTAGAAAACTCGATCTCTCTGTAGCCTCAAATATAAAGGAGTGTTCTGGCAAATATATTGCTTACAGACTTTATTCATTATACTATAGAATTCACATTAACTTTTCCTTAGAAACAGGAAATATATTAAAATCAGGGTTCTTTTCCCCAAAACATATAAGGTTCAACAGCCGGGGATAATAAATTCAGCTTTATGTAGATACAGTATTCATTACTAATCAGGGGGAAGTCAACCTTAAAAGTTCATGAAAAAAAAAACTCAAAACTAAGCTTGATATCAAAACAGACTTTATATAAGTGTAGTATTTTGTTATATCGTAAAGTGTATTAAATGAGGAAGTGACTATTATGGTGTCATAAAGAGAAATCCATGCCATTTCAAAGATAATTCTATTAGTAATTCAATTGGTTATTCAATAATAATGGACAAGATCAAGTCAATTGGTGATGGTTGAATCATACTTTGCATGCTAAGCAATTTTAGTATATATATATGTGTGTGTGCATATTTTTCGTAAAATAAAACTCGCCCAAAGACTTGGGCTATATTCTTGAACTTTTACGATTACTAATTCCTGTAAATTGAATAATAGAAAATAAATAAAAGCTATATGGATTAGAGGATTTTTGTAAGAGATAGAAGGCCTTGAAGACTTTGAATATACATAAGTTCATGGAGCTTTCGTTAACAATTTCAAAGAGGTTTTATTTGTTTATTTGTTTATTTATTTATATTTTACTACATGGCACATATTAAGTCCAGTTAATATTTTCACGACAAAATACTTCTAGTATGTGAAAAGTTATATTAAGCTGTCGCCAACGGACCATTGTATTTATTTTATGTGATATTAAGGAGGATGCTTATACAGCTCTTTTAACAATCTTTACTGAAAATTCATTAGGACCATAGAGAGTTCCCAGGCTCAGAATATCATTCAAATCAGCATAGCTTGGCTTTCCATCTGTGCCAAGCGTTGGCTCGATTGTATAATGCGCAAATGTGCGTACACAAATATTGAACACATTCATTTCAGCCTATGTTTGTGTGAATGCATGTTCATATGTTAGTTTCAAACTTATAAACATAAACAAGCAAACAAATAAAGATCAACTCAATGCAATACATACCAAATTAACACCAGGGCAGGAGCGCCTTTAAAGAAGAAGAAAAAAAGGGGGGAAATAAGTATCATTCGATTGAAGTTTAATAAATAAAGTACTTACTTTCCCCATCCAAAAGCAAAAACATTGCGGCTTTGGATGTCACCTTGAGTTGACTCTGACCAAGTACTCGTGTCTCCAAGAAATCTTTCCGGGTTGAATTCCTTTGGATCATCAAATACATCTTGATTCATGTTCAGTGCAGGCATACTACTAATAAGTACTGTCCCTTTGGGGATGTAGTATCCGAGAAGCTCAACTATACTAATTCAGTTAATTTTGGAAAAAAAGTGTTACAAAGTTCACGTACCATCCTCAGCAGCAAGATGTGGAAGTCCAAGACATGTAACACTTCTATAGCGAAGATTCTCCCTCAATACAGCGATCACATAAGGAAGCTCTTTTCTATCAGAGAATGTAGGTATACGTCCATTTTTGGCAATAAACTTATCAATCTCTTCACCCATTTTCTTTTGAATATCTGGGTATCGAGGCAAGATTGCAAAAAGCCAGGACGCAGATGCAGCAGTTGTGTCCCCACCAGCTCCAATCAATTCATCTATTTTTAATTTTTGAGTCAATCAATCTTTCTTTATCTCACTTAATAAGAAAGTCAAGAGGATAAAAGATAGAGCGAGAAACAAAAGTACATACCCATAATAATAATCAAATCCATTTCATCAAGATTATACTTCTCCTTGAGTAGGTTAGCCTGCTTGGCCAAACAATCGGTCTCACCAGCTATGGCCTCGCTGATTAACTCTCCATAGACCTTGTCTCTTGTATCAACTACAGACTTGATCTCTTTATTTTTACGAGTGACTGTGTTGACCCAAGAGGAATACCGCAGGAATGACCCAATGTCACCAGAAGGCCCGGCAAGTCTCAGCTCATTCTCTGCCATACATATTATGCTGTCTAGAAGAGAGTCCTCAATTGACCCAGGAGTCTTTCCAAAAAGCAAACTGATCATGATTCCAAAGATAGCCTTCTGAATGTATTTGACAGGCGAAACTGATCCATCCTTCTCTGAAACTTCTTTAAGGCGGTTTATCGTATTATCTGTCACAGCTTCAATTATATTGACAAAGTTTTTAATGTTTTCTGTTGACAATATAGTGTCGGCTTCGTTTTGAAGTAAAGTAAGTAACTGAACACAAATATATATTTCATAAGACGATGTCAAATCTTACCAACTGTTCGACAGTTTTTCCATTCTTGATTAGGAGGTATGAAAACTATGCCCCTAAACGTATTGAATAAGAATCTTATTGTACCTTAAACTATCCTTACTTTCCACCTTTGCTGTACACATCATATGTAAAGGCGTGTCTCATTCTATCAGACGATTTTACTTCATTCTTTACGAACAGTTCGTGCGCAATGTAGGGATCACTGATAAGAACCCATGGCTGAATACCCATGTCAATATGAACAACTGGACCTAGAATAAAGGTCTTGATGTTAATAAATAGCCATACCACAAATCCTGAATTATATAATTACCAAGCTCTTGATGCCATTTTTCGAGCTGGAGAAAGGGTTTTTTCCCCAATGATAACATATGCCCTGTTTATTTTTTATGATATATGTATATGACAAGTTAGTATAAACAAACACAAACATATCATATTCCTTTATTTATTACCAAAATACGGGTAGCTATCTTTAGGAGTAGGTATCTCCATATAACCTTTGCGATGCCAGACGGCTACATTCTTTTTCCTCAGAGACACGAGTGAATGTATGCTGTAAGCAAGTATGACTGTCACGGCTGCTGCAACAACCCCACTTGCTTGAGTGGGGTAATTTTCCTCAAAAAATAGCTTCAACCATTCACGATCCATACTTTCTGGCTCAAATGACTTCAAGAAAATAAATAAATAAATAAAGAAAGAAGATGAAGTACTATTACTTGAATTTTGTGGTTATTTAAATATTCAAGTGAGATTTATTTTAAGTGTCAAGGATATTTAATATCCCAGCTATTAGAAACCGGTATGCTATAAAAGTTAGGTATGTTAAGGCTCTACTTTGAGCACATGTCCGTACATTTAGGTTGTGGCTGTAACGTATGTACCATCCGTGAAATAGATGCTGTAAGAAAAAGGTTGGTCGTTTTAAAGCTACAATTCGTAAAATTAAAAGCAACTGTACCACTTCTCCAAAATAGAATTGAATTACCTTCCATAAAAATACGTTTTCCCGAGCATAAAAGAGACAAAACTATAAACTTGACTTGGTGTCCAAATGGAATAATATATGTACACATACAAAATATTATATCATACCAATAATATACTAAGTTCCTCATTTATTCGTAGTGTATATAGTACAGTTTGAGAATTAAAGATAGGTAAGTTCACGTAGTTAGCTACTCTACAGACAGGCACAATAAATTACAGAAATGTCAAGAAGGGTTTTCTTTAAACGTAAAAGAGGTGGGACGAGTACCTGTAAGTATAACAACCAATCAAAAGGTACAATGATATGTCTATGGGAATATAATTAAGATACCTTGAAGCTTGGATATGTTTATGCTGTGTTTCCGCACTTCATAAAATAATAATAATAACAATTCTTACTATCAATAGCCTAAATGATATATTTTAGGATATATGAGCCAGACATAGAGCTTGTATACAAATTTTATTGGATCACTGGATAAAAGTAATACAATTTATGGTGTACACAATGCCGCCGCACCCGTACAGCAATGCAGAGTGTGTAACTGTCTCTAAAAATGGCCCGGCTAGGTTTATATGTATAGTATATGTGTAACCAAAACTAACATTTGAGTATGAGATGTCAGCTATTTTCATCTTATACGATGTCAATACCTGCTCAAATATAAGAGTGTATGAGCACAACACACAAGTGGCTAGACCCGTTCATAAAAGTTACATAATTATCTATAAGTTGCTTATGCTTGTCTAAATATATTCTACACTTAAGCTATATTTTAAGAGATCCTGAGTAAGAACAATCTAGAATGTTGTGTCTCTGTACACTTTGTTCGAATTTTTTTCTGTTGTTCATATTATTATTTTTTGTATGAGACAAGAATTTGTTAAATTGTCCAAAAACAGGTCTTACTTTCTATAAAGGAGAGGTAGGTATCTGGGGAAAATACTGATGAGCACACACATGTGTGGGAGTTGAGTAGTAAAATAATAAGTACAGAGAGTAGGGAAGTAAAATGAAAAGAAGAGTGAAAGAGAAAACGACAGAGGAAGATAGTACGACCATAAGAGAGAACGGGATATAGTATATAAGCTGGAATGACTGGAAGAAGAAATTTAGTGATTTGCTCACAAAAACAACTACATTAGCAAGAGTAAAAGGCATATTGTCCAACATTGTTCTCCAGTATGTTTTTCAGAAAGCGGCAAGAGCAATATCCAAAACATTATATGGACTCATTATTGGGAAGTAGAGGGGATAGAGGTAGATATAGAGGGTACAAAAGGCGCGTCGGATTTTAGAATACTGTGATATTCACCTGGGTAATATCAATATCCAGACGTCCCAAATAAGAAGGGATGAGGTAAGGAATTGCTCGGTAGTGTTATTAAGGTTTTTACATAGATGATGCCCAGGAAATACAAAAAGAAACTTGGAACAAGGACATGAAGGATGGAAGCGGAGGAAAGGGAGTTACGCAAAAGACGATAACCAATGTTACGGGCGGTAATAAATTGGGTCATATACCGAAAGGAATCCCATTGGGAAGGTGGTAGATGTGATAGATAATAACAAGTGAGTAGATCTGGAAGTGGAGTTAAAATTCGAAAGAAGTGTATTGAGAATCTGAGCTGTCTTATTAAAGAAGAGAAAGGTTATCGAACTTGGCATAATATCAAACGCTCCATGTGAGCTTTCATGAGAAGCATTATGATGAAAAATGTGAAAGACGTAGAGGAACAGAAAAGGAACTTATGATATCAATGTGTGTGTGTGTTTGTGTTAACAATGGGTAAGAAATTGTCGATGATGCTTAGATATGGTGGTCGGTAAGCTGGTTGGCGATGGAAAAAGCAATGAAGTAAATGATTGTAGTAGAAGACACTGTATACAATTAGTAAATGAAATCGATAATTAGGATAAAGAGTATTATGTAACTTATGGTTATATAAAACATTAAGCGGAAGAGAAATATATGCAGCAAAGGAAAGATGATGAGGTATATTTAACAAAGGTAGCTTAATATCAAAAGAGCAAAATAAAGAGAGCACAGAAGGGAAAGACAATGCCTTTTCGACTTGTACAAAAACAAGAATAATAAAAGTGAGACCAAGTCTACGGAAAGGTGAATCTAAAAAAGATTGCATAGAAATATGGCCTCGCAGTCAATGTTTGGGAATCGAAAAGGTTGTTGGCGGAGGAAGAAGAAGAGGAAGAAGCCATCGCAATTGGAGAACATATTGTTGCCCAGGTGAATCAAGGATACCCAGTCCCCAAGTGGATGATTTTTTACACCTCATTAAAAAAAAAGTTACGCAGCGTTAGACATTTCTATTAATTATTATTATTATTTTTTGCTATCACGAACGTGACATAAAAAAAATAAAAAAAATAATAAATAAATAAAAATATCTGACATTTCCTTACTTCTACAACTCAACAATGACAAAACTCGAAGCAATAGGAATCCTGGGAATCAGATCATTCAGCCCTGATCAACCTACCTACTTAAAATTCCTGCCTGGTTGCACGATCTTTGTAGGACCTAATGGAAGTGGAAAAACCGTAAGTCCATTTTAGATTCTAATAACAGATCTAATGCACATTCATTAGACAATCATTGAAGCACTAAAATACGTCTGTACCGGAGAAATGCCACCTGGTAGTAAAAATGGTGCTTTAATTCACGATTTAAAGGTAATGAAACAATTGAAAATAATTATAATAATAATGAAAGCAATCATTATTTAATCAATCAAGAAAATGACATTTCTAATGTTTCTCTAGTTATCCAATCGATCATCAGTTAAAGCTCAAGTCCGCTTAAAGTTTACAAACAGAAATAACATAGAGTTTGTCTGTACTCGTTCACTTGAGCTTACTCAAAGGGGATCTGGCTCATCCTTGAAAACACTTGACAGTAGTTTAAGACAAAAGAATCCGGTCACTGAGGAAGTGAGTACAATGCTATTAAACGCGCAAAAAAAAAGAAGAAGAATAAAAATAAAGTTCAAATCAAACCAAATCAAATCAAATAAACTCATACATTATACTAAGGTTGTTGTAGTTAATTCACGATCTTCAGATATTAACTATCTAATGAGTTGTCACTTGGGTTCCTCCAAGGCAATGATAGAATCTGTTATGCTTTGTCCCCAAGAGGAATCAAATTGGTAAAGCATTTACTTACATTTAATATCTTTCAAACATATATGACATATACCATATAGATCTATATATCCTTTATTTATAATACATTATTTCTCTTTCTTTCTTTACAGGCCAATTGCAGAACCAGCCGTATTAAAGAAAAAGTTTAATGATATATTTGGAAATGCACAGTAAGTTTCAATCCAATGATTTCCAAAAAAAAAAATAGTACAATTAACGACGAACAATTATTTGGGATCTTTAGTCATATAAAGACCATCAAAAGCATAAAAGATAAAATCAAAGAGCTACAGGAAGAAAACCAAGCGAAAAAGATTGATCTGGAAGGATTTAAAGCACGGAAGATTTATGCAGAAAAGCTCAAGATGTCTCTCGCTGATCTCTTGAAGACGATACAAAGCAAACAACAAAGTCTTGCGGCGATTGATCGGAAGCTGGCGGATGCCAATGACAAACTTATGTCTTGCCGCGCAAAACATCGGTCTGTTCAAGAAGCAGAGAAAGCATATACTCAATTGATGCACAAGAAAGAGATACTGACCAAAAGTATTACTGAACTATCTCGACATCTCAAAGAGAGAAGTGAGTCTGACGAGGAATTACAAAGAATTATCAGAAATTATTCTCAAGAAGCCGAGACCAGACATCGTGCAAAGGAAGAAGCGGAAAAAGAAGTCGATGATCTCAATCGAAAACTTGTTAAAAAGAAAGAGGAGCTGTCGAGTCTAATTTTAAGCATAACTCGCCTTGAAGTTTCTGATGAAGTATGTATATATATGTATATATGTTCATTTGTATTTTAATATAAAGTTATCTTACAAGAATATATAATTTCTTTTGATAGGAAAATTCTGTACGCATACAAGACAGGATCAATCTTATCAAGTCGCTTGATGAAAAGTTTGAACTTGGGATTTCTACACAATTGGATTCTGATGAAGCTACAAGTAGGCTTACAAGTATGCTTAATATAAACAATGAGTCTCTTAAACGTGAAAAGGTATTTCCGTGTGTGTAACTAATATACTGCTTTATACAATAATAACATTTGTTTCTTACCAGTCCCAAGCACGGGAGAGTGAATCCAAGCTCAGAGACACAATTCATTCCATCAAATCTGAAAAAGCTACTATCGAGAAATCTGTTAAAGATTCGGAACTGAAAAGAGTAAATATTATAATGATTTGCACACGGATATATATATATATATATATATATATTAGCTTAACGCTTATTCGAAACTTTTGCTTAGGATCAACATAACAAGGATCTACAGAATATTCGAGATCAATTAAATGGCATACGCGTTACCCAGGAGATGATAGTAACAGCCAAGAAATCTCTTCATGAAAAGGCAGATATTCGCATAAATGATTTATTTTATTTTTTTAAAAAAAGTAATAATTAACGTAAATATTTTTTTTTGGATTTAGGAAGAGCTTCTGAAAGACTTGCGTATCAAGGTTAATTCAGAAAACATTGACTCTCAAATTAAGTCTTTAAAAAATACCATGTCTATGAATGAAAAAGAGGAAGCCTTATTAAAAACGAATATAGCAATAATGAGACGTGACGAAGAATTGAGATCAAACATCGCTTTTAAACGGTCTAATATGAAAGATAAACAGAAGCTTGCTGATGAAATATTCGAACAAAACGAAGAAGATATAGAGAGATATATTGGATCTGTACCGACCCAAGAAAAACTTGAATATGAGCTATCTGCACAACTTCGGTACGTACCCAAAATATTGATATGTATTATTCCTGGTAACTTATTAATATGCTAATTACGACACACAATGGATTAGTGAAAATCAAAAACGCCTTCAAGCGTTGATCGAAAAACAAAACAAAAATAGTCGGTCAGTTTCAGAAGTTACAACCAAGATTGTAATGACACGAGAAAATCTGGAAAAGATGGAGGATGAAGCTAATTCTATTGAGGAATCAATTGAACGAATCTGTGCAGACAAATCACTCTCCGAAAGAATTCTAACCCTCGACAAGACTGTGATGAGTTTAGAAAGGTACTTTGAAAGCAAAAACATAGAAAAGAAGAAGTTTATTAAATCGAAAATTTACTTATTATTATATTTACATATAATTTTTTTTTAGAAATCTTGCTGTATGCAAGTATGAAAAAACACTGTACGGAACTTTCCTCAAAGAAGCACAAGATGATAAAATATGTACCATTTGCTCAACTCACATGAAAGGAGAACATCTGAATTCTGTGGTAGAAAGGGTAAATAACACCAAAATCATAAACCTATCAAGAAAAATATCATCATCAAGTCTGACATAGGATTATATATTTGATTTATTTTAGCTTGAAAAATCCCAGGAAGAAATATTGGCACAGTTGAATAATCTTCAAAGAACTATCAGTATCCAAAGAAATGAACAAGAAAAGCTAAAATTCATCAGGGGTCCTTCTTATCAGCTTGATTCTTTGAGACATGATAAAATACCACCACTCCGAGACTCTCTCGAATCTTTAATACTTCAAAAGTCTTCTGTAGATGAAGAGCTAAAAAAGGTTTGCATGGCTTTTTTTTTTTACTGAATTAACTTTTTTAAAAAAATTAAGCATTGTTTAATATGTCCTACTTTTATAGACATCAAACATTCGATCGAATGTAGAGAGGCTTATTGAGAGTATCAAATGTCTTTTGAAACAAGCTGAAACAATGACTTATCATCTGAATGAGGCCAAAAGTATTGAATCCGAAGTCTTGAGAATGGAAAGCAAGCTGAGACACCCAAATTCTGACAAAACAATTGCAGAACAACAACGAGCGCTTGAAGATCTCTCTATGTCTGGGTAATATATATATATTATAGAAAATATGTGGTTGTTAATATATTTGTATAATCAATTGTAGAAAAGAAATCAGTGCAGAGATAGTAGAGCTTATGGAAAGAAAGTCAAAGCTGTTGAATGCGTATCATGCTGCAGAAACGAACGTCATGTCGGCACGCGAGCAAGTCACTCGTTTAGAAGAAGCCATTGAGAGAAAAGAGACTCTTACGAATCAACTCGAATTAGATACCAAAAAACAACAGAAACTACAAACTGTTGTAGAGGTACGTCTTATTGAATTATAAGAATTGTGTTTGTTTGTTTGTTTTTGTATATTGAAATATGGCATTTATAGCAAATGAATTTAAGGTTGACACCTTTGATGAGTGAACTCCAAGAAAAGTCCGCTCTTCTCGAAAGAACATTGACTAAGAATTCGCAAAAACAGGAGGCTCTTGAACATAAAGTTTTCCAAATAAAACAAGACTTATCTAAGCTGGAAAGAATAAGTCATGATATTAAAATGTAAGTGGAAGTGTAGGAGACTATGTGTGTGCTAGGCCTTAAACTAAATAAATAACTTGTTTTGGTCTTATATTTACCACTTTCTATAAATCTATCAAGATACCAAGAACGTGGATCAAAGGCTCAGTTAAATAAGCTTGTGAGAACTAAGAGCTCAATAGACAGTGACATTGAGAAAATATCAAAGTTCTATCAAGTTAAAGCAGCTTCTTTGCGTAATTTGGAAGACGATTTATCGGATCATGAAAGAGCTAAACGAGAGCTGGAAAGCCTGATACAGTGCCGAAAATATAAAGCTGAATTAAGTGAATGTCAATCAAAAGCTTCCGAGATGGAAAGGGAGAATTTTGCAGGCTCAAACAATACATTACAACACGAGATACAGCACCTTGAGAAAACCCGTTCTAACTTGTCAGAAGAAGTATGACCATATATATATATATATATATATAAGCTAAGATATAACACTTTATTTTTTCTAATACACCTATTTTCTTATCTTATTTAATAGAGAGCAAGTATAAGTGGAGCAATTGCCCAGATCGAGGAACAAAAAGAGAACTACAGAGAAGAACTCGAGGGTACTTACAAAAATGCAGAATCCGAATATCTTCGCATGACGTTCGAGGTCAGGGTATGTTTTCCGTAGCAACAACAAAAAGGATAATACATATAGTTTATGTCACTTACTTTGCGAGATAGATGCGTGAGGGCCAACTTTCTGATGTCAAAAAATACAAAACAGGATATGAAATGTAACGTACAATAACGATGGAGGCTATATATATATATATATATATATATATGCGTGTGTGTTTGTATACTGATTGTTTAATTAGGGCTATCGTAGAGAAACAATCTGACAAAATCAAGGAAATAAATCAAGTAATTAAGGAACTGTGGGAAAAAACTTACACTGGGTCGGGTGAGTAAAATATGCGGATTATATACACAACATTCGAATATCCTAAAAAAAAGAGAAAATGCTTCTATTCTTTAGACATTGAATATATGGCCATTAGAACGGATCTTGACGATATTAGCCCTGGTGATACCACTGCACATACATTTAACTATAAGGTAAGTAGAGTATTTGAGAAAAATATTGAATTATTATTATTTGCGACACTTGTATGCTCATTTATCTATTTTAGGTGGTAATGGGAAAAGATGGAGAAGAAGTTAATGCGCGAGGCCGTCTTAGTGCTGGACAGAAAGCAATGGCGTCAATAATCATTCGTCTTGCACTAGCAGACGTCTTTTACACGGATTGCAGTGCAATCGCTCTTGACGAACCGACAACCAATCTAGATCATGATAATATACAATCTTTGGCTTCTGGAATAGCAAAGTAATGTATCTTTACTGTTAATATTGAATATCGACTCACTTTATTCCAATTATGTATATGTATATATCATTCTAGCTTGGTAAAAGACCGCTTACAACATAGAGGCTTCCAACTTATAATCATCACTCATGATGAAAAGTTTGTGAACACATTGGCAACCCAAGGGCTGGCCAATAATTTTTACCGTGTGTGTAAAGACGACAAGTAAGTAGTATATAGTAAATAGTAACATACTGGCTTATTTACTAACATTACAAAAAACGCGATATTAGCAAATACAGCACTATTGAATTACAAAACAGTACTGTAATTGAGTAAATAAAATAAAATTTATCTTTATAAAGTGGACAAAGCGTGCGAAAATCCTGAATTGACTTGCAATTCCAAAACAAAATTTTTTCAAATCTGAACAAAGAATAGCCATGGGAATAGTGAAGAGTTCTGAGTAAGGACTCTATGCAAGTGCTCCTAATTCTTGTATTTTATGCTCCTTCTTCAAAACCTTGCTCTTATTTGAGCTCAATTGAAGATCATTACGCGAGTTTTATTCGCAGTGGTGTAAATAAATAGGTAGCCCTCTTTCAAAAAAAAACTGGAAATATAAATAGAATACCAGAATTATTATTTTTTTTATTGTACAGAAGGGTAGGTTGAGAAATAACGCATATTTGAGTCGAGTCAAAGAAGAAGATATATATTATACATATAAAAATATTACCATGGCATTTGGTTTTGTTTGTTTAAAGCACAATATCAAAATACATTTATATAAGATAGCAATTAATCGTATTTTATATAAATGTATTTTGATATTGTTCTGTAAACCCAAAGAAAACCAAATGCCATGGTAATATTTTTATATGTATAATATATATCTTTTTCTTCTTTGACTTAATCCAAAGATGTGTTATCGTCCAACTTACCAGACTGTATGTGGTTTGGATTATATATAATGAGCCATTACTGTCTTTTACAATAAACAAATATTATTATATACTTTTCTATTTTTTTTTCCTTTTCAAAATAAGGATTTTCTTTTATTATATAAAAATCTCATGGCTAGTGTCCGCCCCAGAGTTATGGATTTTCATCAGTTCGATTCCTTCTATGACAATAGACATGAGTATAATAGTTCTATTTGGATAGTTTGTTTCAGTTTTCAAGTTTTTACTTACAATAATTGATATTCATGGGTTCATCGACCTGTTGTTGGTGGAGTTACTGGTGGCCAGGGCGGTTATTCAGAGCTTTTAATTTCTGGATTTCTTTTTGGAGAGCTTGGGTTTTCCAGGGCAATTCTTTTGGCTTTTATTGTTGCATTGGGCTTCGATCTTGACTTTCTTGCTTTGCTGAGCCGGTGGGAACTGCTCTTCGCCATGACCAAAGTAGAGGTGTCACTCAGGCTCACCGGAGAACTTTCTTTTCCCATAGCTATCGAAGCGGTCGATGGTAATATCTTTGGCGGCCTCGGTTACATCTTCGACTGTTTTCAAAAAGCTGCTCGTTTCAGGGTTGGAGTCCAGGTTGTCGTACAGAATATTATACCATGATGATGGCAGACCACACATAAAAATCTCTCCAAGTGCGTAGTCCTTGGTATCCATCCTGGCCATATATGCAGCCTCGAGAAACCGCATCGAGTAATCTTCTACACTCTCATTGCTACCAATACGCATACCAAGTACATTCATCCGAGCCTTTGAACGTGAAAAGTTTATGTCAAGCCTCTTTTCAATCAATTCTCTTGCCTCGGGCCATGTTGGGGCAGCGATCAGTTTTTCCTTCACCCAGTACATGAAAGAAGGGTGAAAAGCCACGGGGATGAATCTCTTCCAATCTTTCTCGCAGTCCAATCCGATTATGTTCATGAATATCTCATACGCGGTTGTGAATTGCCACACATTATCATACATTGGCTCATTAGGGAAATAAACCTTGTACATTGTGGTTAGTTGGAACCGAGGTACATCCCTAAGGGAGTAGGTGAAGTTGGCAACAATCTTTGGTTCGCTGGCGATCGTTTCTTCAACACCAGCGCTGTTCTGGTCTACTTCACCTTGATTATCGCTCTGCCTAGTCAAAAGAGTCATTCGTCTGTTTAACTTGTTAATATTTTTAATAATTAAATCTTTCTTAGAATCAGGGTCAAGGCCGCTCATACTAATCTCGCATAGCTCCTCATGGAGCCTGCGCAAAAGTTCTTTTGTAATTTGGATAGATGTTTGAGTGGGATTTCTTCCGCTTTCCTCAATAGCATCACCAGGAGTCGTCTCCTTTGATATATCCATATTTCCGGATGACTCCCTGAGTGCTTCCACATCCTCAGCCTTAGGTAGCTTTGCTACTTGGCTATCAAGGCTGGGCTCATTACAAGAGTTGTTATTTGTTTTGTGTTCCATTATTTATTATTTATTATTATTTTTTACTTTTTTTTTAGCAGATGTTAAAATTCACTTAAAGAATAAAATATTTAACTTGAACTTGGATAAAGAAAGGTGTGAAGATTCCTTAAAGCACAATAAATTGATTTTACGTTTTTGTTTTCCAAAGTGAAAGTGAAAGAGAAGCAAGAATTTTTGATCCAAAAGGCCGAGTCAATTCATTATGTACTATTTTCTGTATGCATATTAAAATCTATCACCTTTTCCTTTTAGTCTATTGTTAGTTAAATTATCTTTTTTAGCTTCAGATCCTACAAAGCCATCTTTATTGCTATTATTTAAGCTGTTTTGGCAATGGTTTTTGCCTCATAAATCATGGACTTTGTGATAGAAAATCCTCTGGCAACGGGTCTCCACGGCTTAGTTTGTCTTTTACCGTACCTTTTCTATCCTTTATAGTCCAAATTATTCTTTTTCTCTCTCTCTGTTACTTTGACATTGTATGCATTGGCGGTATCAATAAAATACCAGAAAAAAAAACTATATGGGGTTCACTTATAATGAGCGCCTAGAGCGAACAGATAATTTATAGAGGTAATGTATACAAAAAACTGTCCCAATAGAAGAAGATGATTAAAAGAGAATTATAAATATATATTGTTGACTTTATATATATAATTCATTTAAAGAATGGCGCAATATTCGTTCGCAATTGCTTTCATGGTTGACATATAAAAGGTTTAGAGCCGGTATACAGGATATCAATGGTTTGTCGCACAGTGTACCTGGATATGACTGCATGTGGGTGTTGGTAGAATGGCAATCCAAGAACCAAGGACTAAAATATCAAAAATACATCCGCCGCTTGGACGCTTTAACCGTGCAACAGATGAGAGCATTGAGGTTCAATTATTCTAGAAGATACCGATGATTACTAACACACAGTGCCGCAGTAGTAGATGGTTTGGCTGTAATAGAAGCTGAAAACAATTATGTGATATACATTTAGAAATCTACTGTCAAAGAACCATATTCTATGAAAATTAACAATGCGAATCAGGTAACATAAATAAATTGAAACATTTTTATTTTTCTATCTATCTATTTATCTCTCCTATTCTCTTTCTCGTTTAGGCAAATTTAAATCCCGATATCTACACACGTGTGGCGCTAAATACGCGACTGAATATATTAAATTGTCAGATGCGTGTTGACGCGTTTGTATAACACGCGTTTCGAGATTTGTATAAAGGGTGTTCCTTATAGCTTAAATACTTCTATAATTCATATTTATTTTTATTCTATTTTATTTTATTTTATTTTCTCTCTTTAATTTTATTCAATTAATTACAATGACTGCAGTCAATGAAGAAGAGCAACAATACCTTGCACTTATTAAGCATATAATGGACAATGGTGAACATCGAGCCGATCGTACAGGCACAGGCACAATGGCCGTCTTCGCTCCTCCTCAGCTACGTTTCTCACTAGTCAATGATATTTTCCCGCTCTTGACAACCAAGCGAGTGTTCTTCAGAGCTGTGGCCGAAGAATTGTTGTGGTTCATCAAGGGAGATACCAATGCAAAGCATCTTCACGACCGTGATGTCAAGATCTGGGATGGGAATGGTTCTCGACAGTATCTTGACAGCATTGGTCTGTCTCATCGAAGAGAAAATGATCTTGGTCCAGTCTATGGTTTCCAGTGGCGTCACTTTGGTGCTGAGTATATCGACTGTGATACTGACTATACTGGCCAGGGCGTAGATCAACTCCAGCAGGTTATTGACAAGATTAAGAACAACCCTACCGATCGTCGCATTATCTTGTCTGCATGGAACCCTGCAGGTAAACCAGAGTCTTCTTACATATACTATTTTAATCATTGACCCGTTAAACTTTACTAACATGGTGTTACGTGCAGATATTCCCAAGATGGCACTTCCTCCTTGCCATGCTTTCTGCCAATTTTATGTATCTAATAAGCCTGCAAATGGTCGCGCTCGTCTGTCGTGTGTACTGTACCAGCGGTCCTGCGACATGGGTCTGGGAGTCCCATTCAATATTGCTTCATATGCTCTTCTTACCCGAATGATTGCGCACATTACAGACCTGGAACCTGGAGAGTTTATCCATACTATGGGAGATACTCATGTATATGTTGACCACATGACTGCCCTGAGATCCCAACTTGAAAGAGAGCCAAGACCTTTCCCCACATTGAGCTTTGCGCGCAAAATCCAGTCAATTGATGACTTTACTTATGAAGACTTTGTTTTGGAAAACTACAAACCCCATGGAAAGCTAGAAATGAAAATGTCGGTATAAAAAAAAGATAACAACAACAAAGTGAAAGGTTAGGATTATGTAGGATAATCAAAATATTACTTTTATATAAGATATGTACATACTATATTTAAAGCATCCAAAGATCCTATGTCCCTCTTTTTTTTTTGGCCTGAAAGAAGCTGTGTGACTGCAGCTGTCTGTTCTTATTTACTGTATTTGAAGTATGACAATCCCCTCCTTATTCGTGTATAAATAAAATAAAATGATTATTATTATTATAGAAAATTAATTTGTGGGTGTATTGATGTGTGATATGTGTATGTGTATGCGCATGGACTTGTGCGTATATTAAAAAAAAAAAAGAAAAAAAAAACCAGGAAATAAGATAAAATAATAAAAAAATGTCATCAAATGTGGGAATGGCAGTTGCCAATGGAGCTCTACCCATTATAGCATATGGATTGCTCATTTACACTTGGTATATTTATGTGTTTAGAGTGTGTCGTAAGTTATTGCTATTTCCACACATACAAAAAAAAATGTCCATAATCTCATCAGAATTGCAGAACCTCTCTTGCTCAATCAAGACCAAGCTGCCATGGGAGGTAAGTAGACTTTATGATTCAGACAATCACTAACATAAAACTAGGCATCTTTATCTTTATTACCACTGCCCTGTGGTGGTTTTCTCTTATATCTTATCTAAGGATCCTATTGTCTCATCCAGGGAAGCCAGCACAAGTAAGTTCTTTTAAGCTTTTTTCTTTCTTTCTTTTTCTTTTTCACTAGCTAGAGCTAATTTATCTGTCGATAGTCTACACATACATATCAGATATCACCTACGATTTACTCGCCTAGCTTATTTGACATATCAACCATGACAACACAACCCCTATCTTTACGTGACGAGATACCCCTGCCTCTTTTATCCCTGTCTAGAGCTGATGGAGGATTGCGATATTGTACTATCTGCTGTTGTTACAAGCCAGACCGTACACATCATTGCAAGGAGTGTAATAGCTGTGTGCTCAAAATGGATCAGTAAAGTATTGGGATTACATAATTATAATTTGTATATATGTATATGTATATATTATAATGGGAGTGGAAAAAACAAAAGGGGGAGTGCAAGATCTCTGATAGCTTCCTATCCTGTAGTCATTGTCCATGGTATGTTCTCAAGTCAGCTCTACTAGACCAGTCAGACTGACGTGACTCTGTAGGATCATTGGTTGTGTTGGCCATGGGAACTACAAATTTTTCTTTCTTTTTGTTTTATATACAGGTCTCTATGGTGTCTGGTGCTTGTGTAGCGCATTGCCATTGGTAGTGAATGCAGTCCAGTACAAAGTAAGCTTATACGGCGCCTAAAAATGAATCCTCCCTTTCCCTCTCCTTCACATTCTCCTTTAATTAAAACGCACCAAAGGACTTTTTGCTAGACCCACAGTGGATTGCACTGCTGATTCTGTAAGTCCAAGTCTAAAAAGAAAGAGTTGAGCTAAAGTGATGTAGTAAATAATAGTAATATTCATTCGTTTGTCACACAGGGCCTTTATCTTTGGGTTCACAATATTTGGATTCGCAGCCAGCCATTGCTATTATATTATGAGAAATGAGACCACAATTGAGCACATCAACGACCGTCCATATGAAGTGCGAGTGGATTTTGACCCGAGTGGGACGAATTACGAGATAGTTTCGGTTCAATGCACTGATATGCTGTGGGATAATGGTATCAGTTTGAATTGGAGAGCAACCATGGGTAGTAATCCATTGGGATGGTTTGGTAAGTTTGATTAGATTAGATTTTGTTTTATTTCTTTTGGTGCAATTTATTGTTTCTCACGAATATTCTCTACCTTTCGATAGTTCCTTTGTGGGGAGGTATGGGGGATGGTAGTGTACATCCTTACAATCCAACTGTCTATTACACGGTTGTAGAGCGTGCAAAATGTCAGCGAATGATGCTTAATCCGCATTCTTTATGTGAACAGGATGCCTTGGTGATGCTGGAAGATTAAATTTATATACCCTTGATTCCAAAAAGAAAACAATTATATTATATTTATATATCCCACTTTTTTTTATATTATTATTATTATTTAAATATTAATACCAAATACTAGTGTGGGTAACAACTGTATGATATATATATATGTATATATTTGGGGGAGGTTTATTACGGGACATCTCGTTTAACAATTAGACTAGCGTGATACTTGACTTTGACTTCTTGATATCGAAATAAGATACTCTATATATATTTTCTTATTCTTTGTCTTCTTCTGACGATTACAGATAGTGAGACTATACTGGATTTATAAGGGTTTGTACCACTTGTAGACAAAGCTATGGTACAATATGGATCTGCTGTCCCATATAAAGACACTAGACAATAGGATCATGACACTAACCACGCCATATAAAGCATCCCACGTTCATTCCACAAGTAAAGTAAAATAAAATAAAATAAAATAAAAAAAATTCTCAAGCTCTAAGATGTAAAAATAGCTGTCCAGCCCTTGTTCTCCGAGAATACCGCCTCTAGAAAGCCTCGAGACGACAAATATGGGAAGATTCGGCATGGTTAATGGAGAAGTCACGCATATCTATTAACGGAAGAGCGACCATTTGCTTGGCTTTACACATTCTCTTACCTGTTCTCATCGTCATTAGATCAAATCAAGCCTTGACCAATATGAATGGCTATATGGAATCAGTAAGTTGAGATGATTCCCATCGATCCAAACCAGATCACTTTACACAACACATAGGTACACTTGACCACCAATCTATCACGGTCTACCAGTCGCCACACTTCCTCTAACACCAACACCAGACTACTCCGGCCCTTTCCTTCTTCCAATACAGATCCAATTGGGAATGAGCTAAATACACCCGAGGGTACATATGCGATTTCTCAGGAGGTCTACAACAAAGATATTCTGCCTCAATTCGCTACCGGAACCCACATATCCCTGTCTGACACAAACACGCTGCGTCCTCAACCAACCAACTCACTCGGCATTCTTTCCACCAAAGATTCTTCGGCGTCTTCTTCTATGTCCGAGCAGCTCCAGCAAGATAAAGTCGAATGCAGCGGAATGTATTCAGTCGAGGAACGTGAAGAGGATGGATGGGACGAGAGTTCAGACAATCCATTGCCTAGCATTCAAGTATCCGCTCTTCAGGCGCTTCCGATCCCAAATGCCTCTTCACACCGAACATTTGCAAGTCATTCGAGTGGAGAACAAGGATCACCGTGTCGTCCTTCACAATCCGAGACTGTTGGAGGAGGATCGTTTTCAAGATCTAGTCTGAGAGTCTATCCTTCGAATGGATCATATATACAAGATCCCGTCAGTCTTTCTGTGGAGCTTGCTCAGGAGGAATTATCTTCGTCGTTGGGTGGAGGTAGTAGTGTGGGATCATTTTCGTCTCTGTTCAGTAAAGGTCTTCGGCACCACTCCCATGCAAAGCGACCAAAGAATAGTCTGGCAAAGCAAAAATCATCCTTTATTAGCAAGGTTGTAGTTCATGATCAATTGACAAAATTGCTGTCTTCAAGGACCAGTGAAGATAATTTCATGTTTATCAACATTGGACTGAATTTTATGTGGATGGATGGAAAAAACAGCAAAGTAAGTGTGAGCATATAAATTAAATATATATATATATTCAATTTTTACTAGCAAATTCGATTGTTTCATAAATATATATATATATATATATATATAAAGGATAATTTTGTCTTACAATCAAGAGCTTGTTCTTAGGAATGTCTCACCAATATTGTGTTTTCAAATGCCTATCCTACCTGCCATGATTTAAATAGACACACAAGCTCGACGAATGAACACATGGATATCATCATAGGGTTCTCTTCGGGTGACTTCATATGGTACGATCCCATCAGCCACAAGTATTCTCGCTTCAATAAGAATGTAAGTTCCATGATTGGCTACCCGGAGACGCCAAGCTAAAAAGAAATAAAAAAATATTTATTTAATAATTGATTACTTTTGTAGGGAATTCTTAATAATTCAGCTGTAACGACTGTCAAATGGATCCCGGAATCCGAGGATTTGTTTTTAGCTGGATTTGAAGACGGAACCATACTCATAATAGATAAAGAACGGGACGACCAACCATTGAGTATACCTGTTGTACCAAATACATGGGCAGATGAGCAGTAAGTCTCTTTTTTTTTAAAAAAAAATATGATGAAAATATAATAAATTGACAATTTAATAATTTTTTTTTTGATTGTTTAGATTCAAGGTATCCAAGCCTTACAGACACTCCAAATACAATCCTGTGTCTCATTGGCGTGTTAGTAAGCAGGCAATTGCTGGTAAGTTGGTGTAATTACCTTGTTCTTTTAAGAAATACAGAATAGATACAACAAACAAACTAATACAATTCCTTTTTCTTTTTCTTTATTGCCTAGCCTTTTGCTTCTCTCCTGATGGTTCACATGTTGCTGTTGCTGGACAAGATGGTCTAATGAAAATAATTCAATACAACCAAGAAAAGTAAGTTGATTTTCTTGATCTACAATTCCTCTTTTATACATATATATATATATCTATACCCATATTTGTGCATGTTTGTATATGTGTTTTGTGTGTCTGTGGAGGAGTTTCTTTTTTGGACTACTTTCCAATTGTCAATTATTAATATGATGAGTATTCAGATTATGTGACATATACATGGGCTATTTTGGTAAGATAAATTGCGTAGCATGGAGTCCGGACGGAAAATACATTTTGGTAAGTTTTTTTTTTATATTTTTTTTTGGCTATCGTTTTCCCATTAAAGAGGATTGTCTCAAATGAGTGTGTCAGACGGGTGGACAAGATGACCTGGTCGCCATTTGGTCTTTCCCAGAACAGCGTATCGTGGCTCGATGCCAAGGACATAAATCATGGGTAAGATATATAGCTAGCCATCAATTAGGCTAACTATTTTCAGGTTAACGGCGTAGCCTTTGATCCTTGGCGGTTTGATGGCAAGGTCTATAGATTTGCAAGTATCGGTGAAGACTGTAATTTGATAATGTGGGATTTCTCGGTCAATGCGTTACATCGACCCAAACAAGTACGTGAAACATAAGTACAAAACAGTGAAAGTCAGGGGGTTTCTTTTTTTTCTTTTTCTTTTTTTTTTGGGTCGAACGTTTCCATTTACAATCCAATAGAAGGTTAAGCATGCACCCGTCAAGACTGCCCTGAGCCCTCGGCTATCAAAATCTACCAATCAATTCTCACAGGACAAAGAGGACAAAGACAAGGAGGACAAGGAGGACAAGCGTACCAGCCGGCTGTTTCACTTTAATCACTCCAAGAACCATTTAGAAAACAGCAATCAAATGTCTGGAAAGGCCGGCAAACGGACATCGGTTGGGATTACGTTCAATGGGTCTATGTGGTCGCTAGAGGCAGAGGAAACACTCCACACTCAATTGCCAGTGTTTCATCGGTTCCTCAACAAAGCCCAGGTTCCATTTCTTCAGCCGGTTAGTATTCAGACAATACACGCTGACCCATGCGTAGACATAGTGTTTAGAAAGGACTCTATCCATACAACAGATCGGCGAGGAAGAGTACGTAAATGGGACCGCCCAAAATAAATATATATATATATATAAAGTGTAAATATAAATACAAATATAAATACAAAAGTTGCTTAAGGTGCAATGCTGATTCTTGTTCCTGTGATGTACGTCATGATCTGTTGAGTTCAAATGTAAAAGACAAACACAAAGAAGTCTGTCTGTTGGCACATGCCATTCAATTGGTCCTTTTAGTTCACGGTATCCACAGCAACATTTGGGTCCGGAGGGTCACATGAATTTAGTTCTTGCCATCATTTGTAATGACCTCTTCTTATATATATATCTATCTATCTATCTATCAATCGACCGATCAATCAATCAATCAATATAAATACCAATTATCCTTCTGGCATTTTCTCTCCATATCTATATACCTATCTCTATCTATCTATCTACCTTTATAAACCCCAATTGTACCGGGAATGATCCGGGATGCATACAAGATCCATAAAGACAGCTAGACAACTAGACAGCTAGACAACTAAACAACTAACCTATTGAACTATTGAATGAGTGAATGAGTGAATGAACGAATGAATGAAAGGAAGAGATAATGAAAATAAGAATGAATAAATCAATGAACGAATGAATGAATGAATTAATGAATAGTGGTGAAGCAAATATAATAAGAAAATCATTATTCAGTATACATTCATTTTATTTTTAGTCTTTTTTTTTATTTTTTATTTTATTGTATTTTTATTTTATATATAAAAATATAAAGGATATCAGTCGCTTGATAGATTATTTTGCTTTTTTTTTGCTTTTGCTTTTGCTTTTGCTTTTTCTTTTTTGAACTTCTTCAACTGTTCTCTTCAATTTTACTTCTTCCTCTTATTTTCTTATTTATTTATCTCAACCCAAAACCCAAAAAAGTATACTTACGCACATAATGCAAAATACCCAAGACAAATACTCTTCTTGTCATGCTCTCTTATCCCCACCATTAACCCCTGCAGAGTCAAAGAAGCAACTGAACCCATTCTGCACTTCCACAAGAGCTACACTTCTACCGCCTTTGTTGCCGTCCAGGAAGCAATTCGTCCAGGACTACGGGCGGATGATCTATTTCTTACGACCTTGCTCAGACCCCTCGATCCACAAACGAGGTCGTGAAAGAGTCTTCTCTCTCGATCTCAATTTACTGCCTAAGCCCAGCCTTAAGCCTATCCGATTACAGTCAGCCTCTCAAACACCTACCCGTCTCGGCAAGAGAAACGGAAACCGCTGTACGAGGTTAGACAAGACTGGGGCCAGTAAAAAAAGACCCTCAGTACCCGCCCAGCCTACCGAACCCAAGCGTGTTTCAAGGACACCTGCCGTAGTAAATCATACTCCAACATCTCCATCTGGGATTCTAACACTAAAAAAAGAAAAGGCCGATGCAGCAATTGCATTTGATACCATCGATATCGATACCCAAGACTCAGTACATTTTGAACCTCAATGGATACCAAATCCAGCAGCATTGGATCAAATACCAGTCAAGGTTGTTTGGAAAGGTAAAAAAAAATACCAGAATATTTTCATATATATACTTATTAAATGTAAAATAATATAAAATAAAATAAAATAAAATAAAATAAAATAGGTGGCCCACTTCAAATCAATGACCAACCCTATTTTGATCGGCTGCATCCTGTCGAGGTTTCAATGGCATCTACACTTCGACTGAGTCCTGTGCAGTACTTGCGATGTAAACGCGTTCTTATTCGTGCTGCACAAGAGTACGGAGAGAGTGAAATGCCATTCAGGAAGTCGGACGCACAAAAACTGTGTCGAGTAGATGTCAATAAGACAAGTGCCCTATGGACAGTATTTGGACAATTGGGATGGATGGGTAGGCGATGGCCCAATTAATTAATTAGTATCTTTATATAAAAATCTACATATTTTTCTATTATATATTTTTTGTATTATTTTTATTTTTATTTTTATTGTATTTTAGCCTATTTGGTATCAGTAGATTTTATAAAAGAAGATAGAGACAAGAAGAAGACTATGATATACTTTTAATAACAGCCATTCTTCATGTGACACTTGGCCGCAAGATGCCATACTATCGATAAGTGCAAACGAGTATAGGTCAATTCTTGTTTTCAATTGAGCGACATGCTTTGAATGCCATGAAACACAAAGATCAGTAAACACTGGTGCACTGACAACTCAGGGGGAGAAGGTCGAAGGATGAGGAAACACAAATAGCATCAAACGGCACATAAAAAGAAATTTCTTTGACTCATCAAAAAGATATTCAAAAATCATAACCATTTATTAATGCATTTGTTCATTAATTCGATCAATACTACCCTAATATACCTCTTTCTTCCTCTTTCTCTTGTTTTCCCTTTTCATAAATTGTACCTTTTATTCAGTCATTGCGCGTTCGTTCCTTTAGAGTTTATGTTCATACTCCGATGTATTGGCCATATATAGGTATTAGTATAACATGCATCTCGTAACAAATATCCTTAAAAGGATAAAAGATACAACTTTTGCTATAAGGACGAGGCACGCAGCATAATGATTCACTCTATTGCTTTTTTTTTTAAAAAAATTAGTTTGTACTTGTGCTTATGTGCTTATGTGTGATACAAGCTTTTTTTTTTCTTTTTCTTTAATAGATTCTAAGTTCTTTTCTTGATCATGTTAATGCATGAGAACAGATGTCGTGCTGAATACCAATCCCTCCCTCTTAAACTCTCAGCACTTTTCATTGGCGATACATCTGTCGCCTATTAAATAAACTGTCTGAGTGTGAAATGCGATGAGGGAAAGAGGACCAGTTTCCATTTTGATATCAAACAAGACACACAAGAATTATATATATATATATATATCTTCCTCTTCCTTCTTCTTTTTCTTCTTATTCTTGGAGATTGACTGTTTACCCAAAAAGTTAACTGCACAAAATAGAATAATGCTGCAGTTCTAACTATGAATCCCTTTCTCTCTTTGGGTGTGTGGGTGTGTATTTGCTGAGTCACAGGGCAAATGCATCATCAATTTTTATTTTTTCATCTTCTAATTCTCTACACAAAAAGTAATATGATTTTGACTACCCCCAATCACCCAAGCCAGAATAATAAATAGATAAATAAATTTACTTATTTATATAATGCTGTAGTTGTGCCTCATTGTTAAGACTCTTCACACGCGAGCGTAGCACTAGACTTGGTTAATTATGAACCAATTATTGGCATCTGACAGTTTCATGATCATCCATATTATAATTTTTATATATAAATCTACTAAACAGAATTGTATTCATTAGCAATGTTAGGGAATTACACGACATGTTTGTTGACATGTACACTAGACTGACCTCATCAATACAAACATCTCTCTTCTCGTCCTCTCCCCCAAAAAACAAACAAACAAACAAAAGAGCAAATAGACAAATAAATAACAATCAGCCATTGAGTCAGTTAGTCATTTGTTGGTAGATTGATAACTCAACCATATCAAACCCTACTTCTTCAAACGTATATCAATCTGCATTCCTCACCTATTCAATCAACAGAAAAAAAAATTCATTCTTTCCCCTTCTTCCCCACCCCTTTTATTCATAGTCTTTTATTTGATCACGCAACTCGTATGTGCTTATGAATTGGTTTCAAGCCATTCGGTTTTTAAGGCGGAGTCAGGGATCTAAAAAAGAAGAAAGGCTATTTAGCTCACGCAGGCGTACAATTTTCCGATGTCCATTCCAGATAGGAACAGGCCACCCAAAGCAAACCCAAAGCAAACCCAAAGAAGAGTGAAAAAGCCGTCTCAAAACCAAAAATCAAAAAAAAAGAAGACTTGCACAGAAATTGCTGTACTACATTTTAACCACAAGAAAAACCAAACATGAATTAATTGAAGTACAACCTAGAAAATAATATATAATACAAATAGATGTATATATGTTATATTAGAAATGAAAATAAGGTATAAACAAAAAAAGGCAAAAAAAATAAATATGTATGTAAAGTGCACTAGTAGCTATCAAGCAAAAATGAATAAATAATAATAAAAAAAAAAAACAAAGAGCCCATTAAGACCACAAGCAGTTTCGTTTGTTCAATAACTATCGATCCTATTAGCACGTGTCAAACAAAGTCTTTCACTGGTAGACCCACTGACTAACTAACTGATCCAGTGACTGACAGCTTGTATTTGTGATCTTTACCTTTATACAAAAAAGAAATGGTAATCTTTATTGAAAATACTATTACTACTATTACTCTTAGAAATAAGCTATAAGAAAATTAAAGTCCTAAATAAATTTACAGCTCTTAAGGAGGGGGTCTCAACTGCAACCCCCCCGTTCAAATTTCTTTCTTTCTTCTATTACTGCTTTACTGTAATTAGTGTCAGAATAATAGTAATCTAATGATTATTATATATAAGAAAATGAAAAGAAAAAGAAAAAATTTAAAAAAATAAAAAATAAAAATGGATAGATGAATGAATGAATGAATTTCAGTCCGAAGAATTCACATCGACCAATCAACAAGATTTCTACGTCACTCCTTTAAGCGCTGAAAGTAAGTCTTTCTTGAATTTTTTTGTCGCCTATTCTTGTTCTCACACAAACTTCCTTTTAATTTTAATTTTATTTTTATTAGTTTCTAACATACATCATCATGGCATCTTGGTGTGAGTAGTCTCTCTTATTAAAACTCTTATCCAGCACTTGGACTCTTTTTTTTAATGACAGCTCTTGTAGTTTCCCAAATTACTAGCACAGTTACAAACATTGCCGGCCTTAGCGGAACTGCTGAGCCCATCAAGACCGTAGCAGACACAGTACAGAATGGCCAATACTATGGTAAATTGGCAGAGCACGACCTCGATTGGACCTTGGCTACCGGATCCTCTACAGAGAACCAGGTGTTTTATGTTTCAACAAATACTGGTGGATTTGCTTTTGTCCAGTTGATTCATTCAAACATTGGGTAAGTGGATGACAATAATAAGAATATATATATATGTGTGTGTGTATGTGTGTACGTATATTTGCATACAAAGATATCCAAAATAAATAAATATATATAAAAAGGAAAATAAAATCGTACCTTGGTAATAACAATAACAATAATAATAATAATAGTCTTTGGAACCCCACTGTGTCCTTCACCTGTCGTTTCTATGAGCCTGCAACCAAGACCAACGTGTTCAAGAACATCAATATGTCCGCTAAATTTGAACTTTCGGCTGATCGTCGTTCCGTCAAGACTGACAATTTCAACATCACTTTGGACCCAACCTTGACTACCTACAAAATCCAGATTACCCACCCCGACCTCATTGTCTCTCTCGACTTTAAGCGTGTAGACCGTGGATTCAAGGTAGGCGAAGGCAAGACATACCTTGGCGGTGACCAGGGCTCAGCTGCTGGTTTCGTCTCGCATAAATTCTGGCCCAGAGCAGAAGCCAAGGGCACATTTATCGTCGACAAGGCTATCCACGATGTCGAGGGTCAGGGTATGTTTATCCACGCCATCCAGGGTATGCAGCCTCAGCTTATTGCCTCCAACTGGAACTTTGTCAACTTCCAGTCCAAGGACGCCTCGCTTTCCATGATGCAGTTCACCACCACAAAGCAATATGGTGCTGTTGAAATCAACCAGGGTTCAGTTGTCCTCAACGACAAGCTCATCTGTGTCTCGGTCGACAACCATGTCGAGCTCCAGGATCTCGAGAAAGATCCAGAGACTGAATACGACATCCCCAAGAAGATCAAGTTGACCTGGCGCGGTAAGACCATTGCCGAGGAAGGCAGTACAGAAGAACCCAAGGATGTGTCTGTAGTCATGGTTGTGGACGTAAAGGTTCTGGTCGATAAGATTGATATCTTGTCCGAGATCCCCTGGTTCCTCAAGAAGCTTGTCCAGACATTTGTTGTCAAGCCTTATATCTACCAGTGGCTTGATCAGGCTACTGCCGAGATCACTGTTGGTGATGAAAAGGTCCAAGTCCAGGGCAGCTGTTTCCAGGAACTGGTCTTTGTGTCTGGCTTCTAATTGACTTGATTTTACAGAATTGGTGTGTACACAACACAACACAACACAACACAGCACAACACAACACAACACAACACAACACAACACAACATAGCACAACACAACCCACTCCACACACGCACTCACCCATTCTCACATCAAATTTCTCTTATATTCTTTCCTAAACACACACACACACATACACACAATCTGTATTTCTTTTATTATGTCTCTTAAACGTACACACACACGCCTAAACCTACACCCACACTTAAACCTACAACCTACAACCTAAATTTACACCTAAATCTACAACTACAACTAACACCCTCACCCACAAATCCATACACACTTATTGTAACTACTTTATCTTTATTTTCCTTTTAGTATTGAAGATAAAGAAGAGAAGAAAAAATCCCTCTTTTGTTGTCTTTAAAGACTCAAAATTAGTATTTGTATATCCTAACTTGCTTTAATGCATAAAGGACAAACTATTACTGTTGTTATTATTTATCTATAATTTACGTTATTTTAATACAAGAAATAAAATCCCTAAATCCCTAAATCCCTAAATCAAATTAAGAGAGAGAGAAAAAAAGATAAAGAAAAAGGTGTTTCCATTTGCTTTTTGCCTTTTGCTTGTTCGCCTCCCAACTCACAAAGAATCAAAGAAAGAAGCTGTCCTCTTTTTTTTTGTTCTACCAATAAAATCAAACAAAAAAGAAGAATAGCAGTCACACACTTGTTTTTTTGAACTACTACTTCGACTTGGCTGCGACGTGTTTTTTTTCTTTGACCGCTTGCATCAAACGAGCTTTGATTCCGTCGCATCAATAAAAATATAAAAAAAAACATCATGCCACCCAAGAATAAGCAAACGAAGAATGAGAAGAAAAAGACCGTCAAGGTCGCCGATGACAAGACTTTTGGCATGAAAAACAAGAACAAGTCTGTCAAGGTCCAGAAATACATTCAGCAAGTCCAAGGACAGGCTATGGCCAACGTAACAAACGTAGGTGGACAAAAGAAAACCAAGAAAGAATGAAAAAAAAAACAGAAGAAGAAGAAGAAGAAGAAATACCAAAAAGCCTTTGCACAACCACATGGCGAATTTTTGGTTTTTTAACTCACAGCTCTACTTCCTTTCTTATTTTCTTAATTTTGTGATAGGCATCAAACAAGGAAAAGATTGCTGAAAAGAAGGCTTTGGAACAAAAGCGCAAGGAAGAACTTGCTGAATTGTTCAAGCCTGTCCAGACACCACAAAAGGTGCCTTTTGGAACAGATCCCAAGAGTGTTATTTGCCAGTATTTCAAGGCTGGTCACTGTGAAAAGGGTTCCAAGTGTAAATTCTCTCACGACTTGAACAGCGAGCGTAAGGTTCAAAAGAAAGATTTCTATACCGACTCTCGTGCCACTGATGAAGGTAATACTCATATTAATATATATAAAAATATAAATACAATGGGAAAAAAGAAGATGGGGGAGGAGAAGAAGGAAGGAAGGAAAGAAGGAAAAAAAAACTAAATGTATTGCTATAATTTGATTTGATTTAGATACCATGGAAAGTTGGGATCAAAAGAAGCTTGAAGAAGTTATCAAGAGCAAGTCTGCAAAGCAACCTCCTACAGATATTGTGTGCAAGCATTTCTTGGAAGCCATCGAGAACAGCAAGTACGGCTGGTTCTGGGAATGTCCTAATGGTGGTAAGTTTATGGATCCAAGTAGTTAAGCAAAAAAAAAGGAAGAAATGAGTGAATGGATGGTTTGGTTTGGTTTGGTTCTGATATGTATTTGGTTAGGTGTCGAGTGTAAATATCGCCACGCTCTTCCTCCTGGTTTCGTTTTGAAATCAAAGAAGGACAAGAAGGATGATAAGAAGGAGATTTCACTCGAAGAGTTCTTGGATACAGAGGTAAGAGAGAAAATAATCAACTGAAAGAATATAAATATATGAAGAGAAGGAACTTGAAGTTAAGTGATGTTTTCTTTTTTTTAAAAAAAAAAACATTGGTGGTATTAGCGTCACAAACTTGGTCCCAACCAAACACCTGTCACACTGGAGTCTTTTATGCAGTGGAAGAAGAACAGACAGGTAGCTAAGGATGCTGAGGAAGCTGCGATACGTAAGCAGAAGGAAACCAGATTCAAGGCTGGTAGATCCCAGGGAATGTCTGGAAGAGATCTGTTCGACTTCAACCCTGCTATGGCTGCAGATGCCGACGAGGATTTGGATGCATTTGATCTGACAGAGTTTGATCGTGTTGAGGCAGAGAAGGAGCGTGACAGACAGGAACAAGCAAAGTTCTTGGGTACAACTGTGGATGCATTGTCATTGGAAGACAAGTCTAAAGAAGTGGCTATTGATGAGGATCTCTTTGCAAAAGAAAACTTGGACGATTTGGATGATGATTAAATTATTACAAAAAAAGCAGTATTGAAAGAAAGGACAGAAGGGAGAGTGGAAGAGGAAGATAGAGAAAGAGAGAATGAAAGCGAATGACCAAAAAAAAAGAAAAAGGAAAGAAGAAGAAGAGGAGGAGGACAATACATTCATTTCTGTACATCAAAATCCTGTCTTTTAAAAAAAACTTAGAGAGAGAGAGTGAGTGAGGAAAGGAGTATAAGAAACAAGCTCTAAATCCTATATAATTTTTATTTATTTTTTTTATTTATACATTTAATCTTATAATTTATTTTGTTGATATTTTGATAATTTGACTTTGGTCCTTTGAATTCTTTGTTTGTCAAATATCTTGAAATGAGATTAAAGCAGAAAGTACAGCCAATAAGGTATACATTGTATATGTCCGTCTGATGTAGCAAATGTAGTTTGCTTCAGTTGTAAGGTACACGAACAAATTTGCCCGAGTCGGCTTGAGAGATCATCTCTTTGTAAAATTCACGAACTTGCTCTTCCAGATATATGAATTTGTCAACCTATTTTATGTACATGTATGTGTACGCTTAAATTTAAATATAATGTGTCCACATACATACATACATACATACATACATACATACATACATGTACGTATGTATGTCTGTAAATACCTTACCTGTGGTCTGCATACTAGTAGTACTTCTTGTGCTTCTACAGGTGTCAAGCGATAGACTCTAAGCAGATAACACAGTGCAATCACCGCACTTCGACCTCTTCCAGCTAAATTAAAACAAGAGAAAACTTTCTTAGATTAATACATGATGATACATGTATTATCTGCTTATAGAATTTATTTATTATTCTGAAAAGAAAATAAAGCCTGACCTTTGCAGTGCAAGTATACTACTCCATCTTTATTTTCCATCGTGTCTATAATTGAATTGACTCCTTTGGTAATCGCGTTTACAGTCGGAATACTGAAATCTGTAGTGGGTAGTCTAATTTGTTGAATTGATAGTTCGTCGTACAGAGACAAATATCCCGGGAATTCAGCACACATGTTGATAATAGTACATAGATTATCTCGTGCATGCAGCTGCTTGATATAAGAAGGGGTTGGCAAGGCACCTAGGATCAAACGCTTATCAACACTAACCAGAATAATATATTGCATTGTATTGTATTGTATTACAGTGCAGTACAGTACAGTACAGTACATTGTATCATTCAGTTACTTTGTTATCTCTGGTTATATGTTCTTACCGATTAAACCAAGACCAGCCAGTAAAGTACCCAAAGATGTGGACTGCTGCCTAGTTAAAAGTGTTCTACAAAAGTAAGAAAAAAAGAAGAAGAAGAAAAAACTCCAACAAAAAATAACAGAATATGGATCCGTCGAGTTTTGAAGCTACTTCACTTTGTTATAGTACAGAAGAACGATAAACTTTGCCCAGGTAAAGAAACCAGAATCTTCTGATACTTCGGAGAAAACTTGGTCACTTAGTAGTTCTTGTGCTCTAGTATCTGGCGCGGCTTCTTCATGAGAAACTCTGTATGCTTGGTTGATCCCTAGAGAGGATCTTTGAGTAGTCAATGGACGTTTGTAAGCATCTGTCATCAAGATCAATATAGTGTTGAGTAATGTCTGTTGTGAATTAGAGAAAAAAAAGCTTCTAAAAGATGGCGTGTTACATCGGAAACAAATATAAAGCACCAAGGTTCTTGTGACTTTGGAGCTGTTGATATTTCTTACAAATACTAAACTTCTTTTTCCTCAAATACCACTTTCTTTTTAATAAAATATTATAATATAAATATATATATATATTATTACTCTGCTTTGTTTCTCTACTATTTGAATTCATCGATTTTATCTATGACCTATCCAATAGGAATAGTACTCGTATATACAAAATATTGATATAAAACTAACGCTGAGATTAAGCAAAGAAGTTAAAATTGAGTAAGGTGAGGAGAAGTTGATTTTTGTTTGGTTATATTATATTCTATGGCATGTAGTATATATATATATATATATATAATTATTTTAGTGAATCTCAATTTTTAACAAAACACTAATAAAATTATTTGTCATTCTGGGCTTCATGCAACATGCCCGTGACTTCTTTTATGAGCTGACCACTACTTAACATCAAAACTCCACATTTTTTACCAGTGATTGAAAGAATAAAATAAAATAAAACAATGGCTGAAAAAACCAAAGAAGCGCATGCGCCTGAAGTAGAACCCGAATCACTCGAAGAAGAGGAATATGAAGTGGAAGCCATAGTAAATCATAGATGTATTAAATCGAAAAAGAAGGTACACGCTATTACACACTTTTAAGAGCATAAAACGAAAAGAAGAAAGAAGAATGAAGAAAGAGAAGAAACAGGAAACAATACTCAGAAATATTTTAGGGAAAGGGTGGAAAGGTTTTACAATACTTCATCAAATGGAAAAATTACGTTGATGCAGATAACACATGGGAAGACATTGACAACGTGTAAGTTAAGACGTTATTGCATCTCAAGCCAGATTGACGCGCAATCGCAAAAAAAAAGAAAAGAAAATTAAATGAAGTTTACATACTTAAAGGTCTGCGCCTGAATTGGTTGAAGAGTATTGGAAAGAGCGTGGGGGGGAAGAAGCATTGAATGCATGGAAGAAAACGATCGCAAGCAACAAGCCGCAACAAAATGCAACTTCTACAAGAAAAAGAACCACTGTCCCCGAAGTCAATCCTGCTCAGCCCAGCAGCAGCAGCAGCACACCAGACCATTCACAGAAGCAATCGGAAAAAATTTCTGCTCCTAGCCTTTCTTCTGGTAGCTCGGATGCTGATAAAAATAAAGGAGGTGTTCAATCTCATTCTTCCGGAGAGTCTAAAAAGACATCATCGAATACAACTATTGAAAAGAAGGAGAAAGGACATAAAAATTCGCCTAAAAATTCAGAACCATCAACTGTTAGGCCTACAGTACCTTCTACAAGCGTGCCCATAGAGAAATCCTTGAAACGTATCCTGGAAGAAACCACTCGAGCACATGCCAAAAAAGCTCGTATTGATAAAGAGGCAAAAGCGATGAAGTCATTGAAAGGGAAAGAACGGGATGACATGGAAATTGATGACGATACACTTGACATGATAAACACCACAAGCAAAGAAACTCCTTTGCCAGAATCTACCGAATTTCAGAAAAAGAAAGCAAAGCTCATGTCTGTTCCCGGAAAGTTGACCCAAAAGAAGCTTCCCTTCTCAACAAGCACACCTAGGGCGTCAACTTCCGTGTCTCCTCCAAAGGAATCGAGCAAAGATGCAACAGCTTCCTCGACTGAGGCGATCGACACTTCTAAAGTTCCTCAAAAGCCAACTGATATCTATAATATGAAAGCGTTCAAAGAAAGCTCACCCCCACGCAAATTGACACAGCCAAAGAGAGTTCCTATGGTTATATCAGCTACCAGTGAGGAAACATTTTTTCGTAAAGAAGAGTCGATTGATCGCATGAGCGTATCTAGTAAAGATTCAAAAGATAATACAGGTAATAAGCCAGAAAATATAAGACCTCTAATCAAAATTACGGGTTCTTTGATTATTCTTGTCACTATTGTCCCTATTATTACTATTAGCCTCTAAAGAAATTATCGATATAGATATACACGAATCAGCCAAGAAAACTACAGCTCCTTCGGTATCAGGATCGCCAATCATGGAAGATAAGGAAAAAAGCCCCCAGGATAAATCTCGTAGACTATCAGAAACTACTTTTACGTCTGTTTCTAGTGAGGCTATTAAAGTTTCGACCAAGACACTGTCTTCTACGGACAAAATTTCGGATAAAGGCAAACAACCTGCTCAGGGCCAACACAGTCAGCAAACCAGCAGCAGATTCGAAGGTTGGCTTATTTTGGGTGAGGAGAGTTCACCTCTAAAAAACATTGATACAAAAAAGGGCACCCAGAGTCTCGATAAAGTCGACAAAGGCAATAGAGATGAAGAAGATGCCAAGAGCGAGGAGGAGGCAGAGGAAGAAGAAGAGAAGGGAAAGGACGAGGACGAGGGCGATAATATTGACAAAAATCATAAGAGTGATGATGATAATGATTATGATAATAATAATAATAATAACAATAATAATAATAATGGTGGAAATCACGCCATTGAAAAGTATGATTCTGACCGCAATATTGATAAAGACGATGCAGCTCATAACATCGATGGGGAGAATACTGATCATAATGTCAATAAGGATAACACGACTCGTGAAATCAATGAGAAAAGTGTGGACCACAGTATTGATGAAGATTGTATGATAATTGATGTGGAAGGCTGTACTACTGATGAAGTTGATGAGATTGAGGAAGAAGATGAAGAGGACGAGCTGCTCTCCATATTGACTTCAGACAACGAAGATATGTTTGAAGCCGAAAACAATCTATCAAGTACGACATTAGAATCAATGATCTTAGATGGAGCAAAGAAAACTATGAATGATGGTATAAGCAAAGACAAGGAAGACCACCAAGACGAAATCGAAGCCGAGATCGAAGCAGAAATTGAAGACGAGATTGAAGACGAGATTGAAGATGAGCTTGAAGACGAACTTGAAGACGAACTTAAAGACGAAATCGAAGACGAAGATGTCGAACTTGAAGACGAAGAGGTCGAAATCGAAGGCAAAGAAATCGAAGTTGAAGGAGAAATCAAAGAAGAAGAGGAGGACGAGGACGAAGAAGATGAAGAAGAAGAGATTGATGAAATTGATGACTCCGATGTGGAAATGGAAGATGTTGCTGAGACTATTTCTACTGTTGAAACTATTGGAAAGATTCCTTTGAGGCCACTTGCAAAAAGCCAATTGACAGATGATGATATCGTTTTTGACACCGATTTTCCCAAAGACGCTGATATTGATTGGGATAAGGCTGTTAGTATGGTAAAATTTGTTGTGGAAAAACCTGAGGAAGAAGATAAAGAAGCCAAAGAAAAAGAAGAGAAAAAAGCACAATTAAACGAAAAAATGAAGACAAATGAGAACCGATATGCTATTGTAGAATGGTAAGATTCAGAAATGATTCAATAGAAGAAAAACAAGGTAGTTTTCATTATTATTAATGTTATTATTATCTTTTAGGAAGGACAAGATATTGTCTATGCATCCTCTCAGTGTTCTCTATCAAAAGTGCCCTCGTCATGTAAGTACCAAAGCTATAACAAAATTACACGGTTAAACTAACACATGCATACCATTTGGACTTTTAACCCACTAGCTTCATAATTACTATGACAAGCTGCTCCATCTTATTCGCGCAGATGGTGATACAAACTAGCCAGGGATATAATTATTAGTCTTTTTCTTATTTGCTTGTCTTTTTTTTTATTAATATATATATATATATATACTTAACAAAGTAATAAAATCAAAATCAAAATCAAAATGGATTTCCCAAAGTTATTTGATGTGAAAGGAAAGGTAAACAGATCAGAAGGCGTGGTTTATCTCTACTATATTATTCAATTGATTCCTATTATCACATAAAGGTTGTATTGGTAACTGGCGGCTCCCGTGGCATAGGGCTGATGATTGCTACAGTAAGTTGTAAACATCATTGCAACAACATTGAACATCATTAGGGTTTTGTTCAAAGCGGAGCCAACGTTTACATCACAAGTCGATCAGCTCATGTCTGCACAAAAGTAATATTATGTTTTTTTTCTTATGCTTCATTCCTCTTGTAATCTCAATTAGTCTAAACAAACTAACATTTTATTTAGGTGGCCAAGGAGCTTAACACTCTTGGGCCAGGAAGATGTTTTTCTATTCCAGCAAATCTTCAAGATCTCGAGGAAGTTAAGAGACTTGTAAAAGAGCTAGAGAAACGTGAAAAACGTAAATCCTTGCATTTTTTTATGCAAAAAAAAGTATAAAATATATCAAAACTAATAGCCTATGATTTGTATATATATCAACAACATAGATTTGGATGTACTAGTAAACAACGCAGGTGCTACCTGGGGCGAGACCATTGAAGATTATCCGGATTCGGCTTTTGAGAAAGTAATTAACCTTAATTTAAAGCGGGTATTTTCTCTCACTCAGGCGTAAGTAAAAAGACAAGAAGTATTAGCTTTGATTGAAACATACAATTTACAAAGACTTTTCCTTTTTTTAAAAATAAATAAATAAATAAAGTTGTCTTCCACTGTTGAAGGCCAATGCTGTTCCCTCTCGTCCTTCTTCGGTGATCAATATCGGCTCTATTGATGGTTTGAAAGTATGGATCATATAAAATTTTGAAAAACACAATATAGTACTATATTGTTAAATGCTGTAATTTATATATTTCTAGGTTCCTACCCAAGAAACCTACGCTTACTCGGCTTCTAAAGCTGGTCTTCATCATCTTACAAGTCATATGGCTGTTAAGTTGGGTCCCGATTCGATCACTGTGAATGCTATTGCTCCCGGCGCTTTCCCTTCAAAAATGATGCAGGCAACATTGGACGCATTCAGTGATATAATAATCGCATCAATCCCAGTAGGTCGACTTGGTTCGCCTGAGGATATTGCAGGTACTTGTATTTACCTATCCTCTCGTGCTGGTCAGTATACTACAGGGGCAATTATAAAGGTAATGAAGATCGGGAGAAATTGTAATTATTGTTTTTGGGGACTTTGTTTTATTAAATACATGTTCTTATTATTGTTATCAGGTTGATGGAGGTGTAGTTGTAGGAGGAAAGCTTTAATTGACCTTAAAATAACAATAATAATAATAATATTACTATTATAAATGAGATCCCATTTGTTTCAAATGTAGTTATTATCTCTTGCTTTCATACATTGCTGTTAGAAATTGTTTTTTTTTTATAGTAATATTATTATTAAAGGCTAAGATTATACTGAGATTGGCTATAGACTCTTGTTGTTTGCAGACTATAACTCTGTGGGATCTAGTTTGATATCACTATGGCTCATATATGCTTGTATAGGGGGGGAGGCTGATGGTGTGGTTGGTTATAATCAATTTATGCATAATCGGGATATTTTTGGCGGCGTTGAATATTTGTTTCGTATTGTAGTGTTTTGATTTATTCTATAAGAAAAAGGTTATAAATAAAGTCAATTGAAATTATTTGTGGGATTTCATACCCCACAAGTCTCTATCATTATTATTATTATAAAGGGGTATTTATGTAGACTGGTTCACTATTATGAACTGTTTCTAGTATAAAGATGTCCTATAGAGACTCAGTCCGACTTCTTCGTATCCAATAAGCGCAGATCAAAGCTTCTTTTTTTTTTATTGCATCCAAAATAAAATAAAATTATGCAAAGGCAATCAGATCCTTTTTCTCAGATTGGTCAAGAAGTAGAAAAAGAGATGTCACATATTTATATCCCCCAAGGCTTTTTCCTCCCCCTTGCCCTGAAGATAATTAATGTCAAGTTAAATGAGCTATTGGGACCCTAAGCTCTTTTGTGTATAATATTTTAATCCGAAATCTAAATACAACTAACACCAATATTTGTTTCTATTTTCTGTATTGAAAACGTTGTATTCCATTAATAGTTAGGAAGTTTTAGTGACTTGACTTGAGGACTTGGTTTAAATAAAGCATTATTCTTGTTATTCTTTTAGAAGCAAAATTCATTGTTCTATTTTATTTAAAAAAAAAAAGAGTTTATAGAACTATTCTTTACATGAACTTTTTTTAAATCACCAATAAGTATTATAGCGCAATATGCTAATATCGAATAGAAACCATTTGTTCTGTGCTCATCGACAATGCAGAATGACACTACGCTGTTTTGTTTTGTGTATCTCTGGACTAACATTCGTTTGATAATAAAGATCTCTTGAAAGTCTCGAACTAAATTCATACAATTAAACAGCGTGTCTTGTCTAATGGTACCTCAAAGATTTGTAGAAAGATTCAGAGATATTCGTACTATTAAAACTCAAAGTAATACTTTGTCTTGGAATTTATTATAAGCCCACAATTTAATACACATTAATTATACTGATAACAATAAACCCTTGTATACCTACTATGCGAGAATTAGCCAACATCTAGTAGTAAGCCTGTGTGTATCAGGTAAGATATTGCTATGTATCAATTTTCTAAATATATTTTAAAATGACATTTGATATTACATTTTTTTTTCATTTATTTTAGACCAAGAATTATAATCGCATTGTCTGTTCGAAAGGAGTAAAATAATAGAAGTTCTTTACATTCTAAATTTTGGTACACTCTTAATAACCCAAGTCCGTAAACTAATGCAGCTCTCAGCTTTCATGCTGTAGGATGCTTTTGTCCATCTTCTCCAGATTTCTGCTGGTCTCCAATTAAAGCCAGATCGATCCTTCCAAAGAAACCATGGAATGAAACTTCATTTTTTTAAAAGAAAAAAGATAATGCAATTTGATACAATACAATACTACAATATTCTACCAGGCTGCTGTCTACAACACAAGAAACAAAGTTTCAGAAAAGTAAAATTAAATATCTAGAACACAGGACTGGGAAATTTTTAATAGATATATAAAGACCTCGATATTCCTACCAGCTTCAAGTTTCATAATTTTCTTTTAACCAAGAATTATATATATATATTCATATACATATACATCTATCTATATATATATAACACGAATCAAGCTTTCTCTATTCAAATTTCTTATTTGCAAAACTGAAAGCCGAGATTTTACACACCACCCCTAAAGCCAAAATTCTACTCTTGAAAATACAAGAGTTTATCGATCCAAGTAAGTTCCACGTAGATTATTATATCTATAGATCTCTATGACATTCTCCTTAACTGACAAAAACTCCCCCTTTTTTTCTCTACTTTCTTTACATAGTAGGATCTTCATTGGAACCTCCATGAAATTTAGTATAATAGTACCAGTAGCACTTGTTCTAGCAAGTACAGCCGCTTCTTTCCCAGTAGATGAATCATGTAAAAAGTACCACAAATGTAAGCATTGCATTACATCAAATTACATTACATTACATTACAATTTACGGTATGCTTAAAAAATATCAACAATCATTATTTTATTGTTTAGCCTCCAGCGGTGAAAATTGTGACGATGTTGCTAAGCACTACGGTGTCAGTGTGAGCAGCCTGCGAGATTGGAACAAAGACTTATCCAAAGACAAAGACGATGAATGTCACGGCTGGCAAGAAGGAAAGTCTTATTGCGTAGAAGGCCCTCGCCGTATTAATTGGTGGCATCAAAAGCGTGATAATCCCCCTACAGACACTTCAAATTCTCCAGGAGACACTTCAGATCCACCTACCTCTGATAAACCTGGCGAGACGCCCGAAGATCCAGAGAATGAATTTGATCCCACAGACTTTGAGGCTTCAAGAAACTATGATCCTTACTATCCCTATGATCCTTGGAGACCACCATACGGACATGGTAATGGACATTACAAGAGAGAAGATGCACCCGTAGACTCTCCTCCAGGCGAAGACTCCGACCCCATTGAGCCTCCTAAGAATAGACCGTATGTTCGTAGAGATGATTCTGAAGCCTCTGATTACGGTGATAAGCATCCACACGAACCATGGAGATCACATTTTGGAAAACACAGACATGATAAGAGAACACCGCAACCACCTTGGTACCCTCCTCCTCCTCCTTCTCCACCATGGTATAGTCCTCCAATATACGGACCTCCTAGATACGAGCCTCCCAGATATCCTTTCGATCCTAGGTATCCTTACAGACCTTTTGACTCGGAAGAGAATGGTGGAGATAAAGCAAAGGAAGCTGGGACTGTAGCTGGTGATGACCTCAAGGGTTCCTCTAAGCTTGCCCAACCTCCTGGTTTTGGAAACCACAGAGGACCATATGATTATCCATGGGAGCCACCTCGAAGAGGCAATGACAGAGATCGTGACAGAGATCGTGACAGAAAGAACAACAACAATAACAACAATAACGATCACAACAGGGACCGTGACAGTAACAGAGACAATAATCGTGGCAATTGATAACCGTTCACGACCCAATTAAAAGTCTTTGAAACAAACCAAAAATAAATCAATAAATAAAATATCAATATTATCGTTTTGAAATAACAAATAAAAATAAGATTTACTAAAGAAAACAAGAATTGTTCTATTCTACCTTTCTGACTTTCATTTGTAATTTTGTAATTCTGTAATTCTGTAATTCTGTTACCTTTTACATCTTAACTTTGAATCTGACTTTTTGACTTTTTGATTTTTTGACTTTTGCTTTATATATATATTCTTATGTATATATTCACACCGTCTGTCGCTGTAATATTTTATTTTGTAATGGTGGTAAAAATGAGAATGTTCTTTTCTTGTGTTCAGGAAAAGTATTTTGCTTCTAATGAGTTTGGAAATAATTGGAGTAATAAAAATAAAAATAAAAAATTATTTTACTCCACTAAAATTCTGTGTTTGTTATTCTGTGAATGAATGAATCTTTTATGGCTTTTTGGTTTGGTTTGGTTTGGTTTGGTTTGGTGGTCAGTGTAAGTGGCACATTGAACGGATATTGAATAGGAAAAAATGATGCCGAAAAAAAAAAGGAAGAAGAAAGATGGATATGATTTACCTCGAGTATATTATTAATTTTTATTTTTAAAATATGGAATGCTTTTAATTAATTAATAAATTAATTATATGTCCTTTTTTTTTTGCTTGAAAAAGGGATCTTCAAAAGGTCAAATAAAAATGATATATATTTTTGATGTAAATATAGTATCAAGCACTAGATTTTATGGAGCCGAGAGTAAGAATAAGAAGAAGAAGAAGGAGATAAATGTTATTTTTACATGTATTGGTGTATGGGTGTGTGTGAATTATTCTTTAAAAGAACTTGCTGGTGTAAAAAGTGAGTGTAACCATGTGTTGTTTAATGCTTCCGTTGATTCTGATGGTAAGGTCATCTAATGGACGTTAATGATGATTTTATATTTATTTATTTATTTATTTATTTATTTGTTCATTCGGTCTTTATGTAATACAAGGGAATTCTATGGTAGGGTTTGACTCCTACTTCTTCTTAGGTTTGTTTTGTTTTCTATTTTACTTCATTTGCACTCTTTGCTGTGCTACTTTCAAATGGAGAATGTAGTATATTTGTGTCTGTAATCTCTTTTTTGTGGGGGAATTATACACAGCCACCTGCACATTCTACTTGTAGTAAAGCTAGAAAAAGTTATTCAATCAAATTAAACAAAGTATGAAAAGAAAAAGATAGATAAAGCAGTATATAGTGTATTTTTAATATTTCTTCCAATTTTACTCCACTCTGCTCTGCTCCACTCGACTGCACCTATTATATAAATATTGTATTACTAAAGAGTTAGAGCACCATAGAAAATATAAAGACTTATTTATAGCAAGAAAAGTAGGCCAAAGCTCTTGAAACGATTTTGGAAATGATACAAAAAAAAAGTCATTCGGAAAAACCAACATTTTAAACACTAAATGTGGGGTTTGCCGATAATTTTCCCTGCCACTAAACTATCGCTGATCTTTTTTTTTATTATCTTTTTTGAAACTAGATGTGTTATATATATATATATATTCACAAAAGAAAGAAAAAAAAGTTCAATATATTTTGTACCATTTATCTACTACTATTTCATATTAAGAAAGTGATTATGTATTTGCGTTTTCTTTACAAAGAGGTTTTGATCATCTTAAATATTCCTTATTTAAATTGTACCCTAAAACACATCTCCAAGGCGCATTTTTGGAAATAAAGCTTTTTCTCAAAATGGTAAAAGTAATAATAACCAAAGAATACTTTTTCTGTACTGTTTATTTAAAGAGAAAAAAAAGAATATTATTATTATTTATTCATAACGATTAATCTCTTTAAAAATGCACCTTGTATTCTCGAATTGTGCGCCTAACAAATGTATTTTACTGTGAATATGAATATGAATATGTATTTGATTCTATTTAGATATTTTGAAAATATATCCACAGCAAAAGAAAGATTTTTAAAAAGATCCCTTTTTTTTTCTTTTCTTGACTGTATTTGAAGATATCTTTGAATAAACTGTGCTTTAAAGGTACATTCAAAATTCACTCTATGATGATAATAATAATAATAATAGATGCTCTTTAAAGGAAATTAAACAATGTTATAAACCTTGTTTGCTAATAAACTTTTATCTGTTTAAGCACACAAAACAAAAGTAATTTTCGTAAACTATTTAGATATGTTATATTAACAAACGAATATGATAAATTTCACTACTGATTTTTATTTATTTATTCGTTTTTAATATTACAGGTCAAATCAAGTCAAATCAAGTCAAGGCAAGGCAAGGCAAGATCAATCAATATAGTCAATTCTCTAATTATTACTTTATTAATTTATTAATTTATTAGCTTATTAACATAAAAATGTCTTGTAAACCACATTGTCTGTCTCTTCTACAAAGTGGTATCCAAGACGAACAAGGTATTCATCAAATAACTTTGTATCCTGAGGAGGAACCTGCACACCCAAGAAGACCTTGCCCATGTCTAAAAAATATATTTAAAATAAATAAATATTTTCTCGATCATCCAATAATTATCCCCAATAATTTACTTACCGTCACCATGGTTACGGTAGTGGAATCTAGATACATTCCATGTAGAGTCCAATCCAACCAAAAACTTCATTAATGCACCAGGTCTCTCAGGGAAAACTATAATGATAATCATAAAAATAAAAAATAAAATTAGACTTTAGGATTCAGGCAGCTTTTTTTTAAAACTTCACGCCGTTGTTACTTACTAAATCTAAAGACACGTTCATTTGCAGGCTGTCCTTGCCCACCAACCATATAACGTGCGTGTGATTTGGCCAATTCGTTGTGGCTAACATCAAATCCTTTCATGCCATTCTTTTCCCAGCCAGCCAACACTTTCTTTACTTCATTATCAAGGTCATGGACCTTGAAACTGATATAGATATGGGCATTTACGGGATCAGAGTATCGATAGGTAAATTCTGTCACAGCACGAGGCTGGACCTCTTCGATCATCTTGATGAAACTGCCTGGTCTTTCAGGGATGATCACATTACAAAATGCTTCGTTGCGCTCACCCAACTCTGCACGATCACTAATAAATCTCAGGCGGTCAAAGTTTACATTTGCACCCGACACAATAACGATGTGTGCGCCCTTGTTCTTTTCTTCAGGGTGTGATTGAAGATATTTCTTTGCACCAGCAAGAGATAGTGCACCAGTAGGTTCACAGATTGCGCGAGTATCTTTTTTTTTTAAAAAAAAATAAAATAAGAAAGACGATTACATGGGCACAAACGTTAGTTATTTGATCAAAAGAATTATATATACCTCTGTGTATGTGTGATTATTATTTTATTTTTATTTTATTTTTACTTGTAACATTACCTTCAAACACATCCTTGATTGCAGCACATATTTCATCAGTTGTTACGATAACCATTTCGTCAATAAGTTCTTGGGCCAGACGAAAGTTTTCTTCGCCGACCATGCGGACAGCTGCACCGTCTGCGAACAAGCCAACCTCGCCCAGCTCCTTGCGCTTTTTGGCATTGAGACTCTGGGTCATTGCATCCGCATCGCTTGCCTCGACACCGATGATCTTGATATGAGGTGCGATGCGCTTGATGTAGCTTCCGATTCCTGCTACCAATCCACCGCCACCAACGCAGATATAGATGGCCGAGATCTTGCTGGCATCCATCTGGCGAAGGATCTCAAGACCAATGGTTCCCTGTCCGGCGATAACATAGGGGTCATCATAAGGTGGGATATTGATCAATCCTTCTTCCTTCATCAGACGAGCGCATTCAACCTTGGCTTCATCAAAGTCGTTTCCGTACAAAACAACTTCTGCTCCCAATCGCTTAACATTTCTCCACTTTATTATTATTATTATTATTATTATTATTATTATAATTATAATAATTAATAAATCTCATCATATTATATCTTCCTTGTTGTTTTTATTATCTTTAATCATTAAACAGTTTCTTACTTTAATGGCAGGTGATGGAAGCGGCATAACAATTTTTGCTTTAATACCTAGGTGCTTGGCTGCCATGGCTACACCTTGCGCGTGATTACCTTTGATTTGATTTGATTTGATTTTTTTTTTTAAAAAAAAAAAAAGTTTTTATTAAATCAAGGTTTTATAATTATAATTTTTGGTTATTGTTATAATGCACGATCATATAATTTATTTTTATTTTTTTATTTTTAAGAATAAGATTATTGATCTCTCGGGTACTATATCCTCCCTCGTCTTCACCCACATACATACGCATTTCTCTCTAATTTCACTCACTCACTCTCACTCTGTGTGTGTGTGTGTGTGTGTGTAAGAATTTGAATTTGAATTTGAATTTACCTGCAGAACATGCAATGACACCAATCTTCTTTTCTTCGTCTGTCAAATGAGCCATTCTGTTGTAGGCACCTCTAATCTTGAATGAAAAGACAGGTTGAAGATCCTCTCGTTTCATGTAGATCTGGGTACCATTCAGTTTGGCATTGAGATTGACAGCTTCTTGTAGGGGAGTTTGTTGGACTATGTCGTAGACTCTGGCTGTCATGATCAAACGAAGATAATCTGGGTGGCTATTGTCTTTGCCGGCTCCCTTTGTTGGCAGTGGGTTTTTTGAAGTGTTTGTGGGAACCATTGATTCTGTGCCGGAAGTATTGACTGGAGACATCTTTTGGTGTTGTGAATAATTAATAAAAGAAGGGACAAATTTGGTATAAGAGATAAGAAGAAGAAAAAGAAGAAACCTATTTGAATGATATGCTTTATATTAATATTGTCAAAACAGGCGGGAATTCAAGTAAACCTGAGTCAGAATGGGTACGAGAATACTGACTGGCTCAACAGAAAAAGATCTTTCTGAGATTGATGAATTGAATTGAATTGAATTGAATTTGTATTGAATTTGTATTGCTGTAAACCATTGTATTCTTTATTGGCTATTTGCACACCTTGGATGAACATTGTACATATTTCCAATTGTATTATCTTTTCGGATGCAACTATGCATATATGTACTTAAGTGTATATATATACTGTCTGTATTATAAACCTTTAAAGGTTGTATATACATAAAATAATCGAATATTAACTAATATTAACTAATATTAACTAATATATGGACATGGTTTATATGTACCATAAAAAGAAAGCATGTTTTATTCTTTTTGGAATTTTCACGCTGTTAAGAAAACTGTAGACATTTGTTATTTTATTCTTCAAAATAATAATAGTAGTAATAATAATAATAGGAACAATATACATGAATTTGTGTCTATACATATATATATATATATTAAAGATGTATTTTATATTTCTTTATTTCTTTAAAGTAATATGTATATATATATAAGAGAGAGGGAGAATGGGAGAATGGGATATTAGGAGAGCGTGCGTGTTAGTGTGTGTTAGAGGAGGGAGAGAGAGAGAGAAAGATGGAAAGACTTGGAATGTATGAAGCAAAAAAAAAAAGTATAATGTATTAAAGGTGTGTTTGTGTGTGTGTGTGTGTGTGTATAAAAACAAGGGAAATAAAGAAAGAGGTGTAAATATCCTTTTTTTTCTTTTTCTTTTGTAGGTGTGTAGGTGTGTATGTATGTATATATGTATGTATATGTTAGATGTCATGTTTGTTTTTAATGGATAGTTGATTGAGAAAGTGGGCTTTTTTGTTTGCGTTTCCATTCCACAACACATTCGTCTGTAGGTAATTCAACTCGATCTGGTTCCGAGGAGCTCTCGAGATGGATTTCGAAACGACCTTTGCGAATAATACAATTCCGAGATGGAGGTACAAGTTGGGAGATATTGGTGTTGTTATTACGTTGGTTGAGGGTTTCTGTAGATAGAGTGTTGAGTTTTCGCATGGTGTGTATGATTGGAGGTTCGGTTTCTTGGGTAAGACTGAGAAGAGGAGGAGTGGTAGGAATGGACGATCCGGATCGTTTGTGGCCAAGGTTTGGCTGTTGTGGTAAAGGTTGTGGTTGGCCAGGTTTGCGCCAGAAATCAGAATCCCATATCTGTGGTTTACGGTATAGGGATCGGGTATCATGACTGTGCATCGAGCAATAGCTTTTTATGGATATCTGACTGTCCTCATTGACATGTAATGTGGTTGTGTCGCAACTCTTGTGTCTGCCGTGGGTGCCACGGACCAGGACAGGCACGATGCCTTCATCCTCACAACCGCACCGTTTTGTTTCATCTTCATCTTCACTGTTAGTATGCTCATTATCGTCATCGGTCTCGGATAAGATGCGAATGCCTGTGTAGTCTGCAAATTCTTTGGCTGTCAAATCCTCCGAATTGACGGTGATGCTTGATGACACATGTGAGTAGTGCCTGACATGGCGAGATTGTTTGTGACGTCCGTTATTGATGGACGGAACTGAGAGACCCGAGCTCTGCAGACTGCTTGTGTGGCGATGGTGGCGTATGAAGGGTGTGGTTGGGTGATCGTCTTGTGGATCTTTCTTGAGTATGCTTGGAAGGGATTTTTTGCGGAGGGGTGCTTGGGGTGACGGGTCATAGATTGGTGGTGCTGGACAGACCGATCGTTGTCGATAGTGTGTATGTTCGTATAGAGCGTCGCCTGCGAGCGGATGTGGAGTTGTTGCAGAAGCAGCAGGATTTGCAGAAGCAGCTGGATCTGCGCTTTTGAAACAGTGCATAAGAGCACTGAGGGAATATTTCTTTGGTTGATCCCATTCGTCGTCGTTGTCGTCTTCTTCGTTGTCGTTTTCGCTGTTGTCTTGGTTAGTTGTTGTGGTTCCAGATCCGAATGGGTTGGCTAGTCTGCCAAAGAGCGATAGACCAGACTTGAGTTTTGACAGTTTTCCTATTGGTGCAGTAGGTGGAGTCTTGGCCGTGCTGGGAGAGCGATGGCGTTTGTGGGAAAGAGACGCAAACGCACCGGTCATAAGAGAGTAGAAAGCGAAGGAAAGCAGTGAGCGAGAAAGGGATATCGAGTGCAAGATAAAAAGAAGAAGGGGAAAAAAGGGGAAAAGGGGAGGTTGATGGGGGTTCACTTACATGCCAATCAATCAATCAGACTGACGGCAAGGTTGTTAAAAGAAAAAGAAAAAAAAAGAAAAACAAAAAAGAAGGGCTAGGCTGCAGTGCTTTTTATATAGTTCTCCTTCTTTATTATCCCCCTTTGGACCTGCTCGCACACTCTATCTTTCGAAAAGAACTGGAAATGGATCTTGCAAATGCTTGTGAGCTATTCATCTATTTTTTCCTTTTTTTTTGTTTTGTTTGTAAGATGGAAAAGTATATCCAGCCACAAACACGCACACGCACACACATATACATACATACGCACACACACACACATTTTACATTTTACATTTTACATTTTTACATACATTTGTACACATATTGCCTACGTCACCATTATTATTATTTATTGCTATTGATTTTGCCTCATATCCTTAATGCCTCTTTACCTACTTACCTACATACATGTATGTATGTTTATTTATGTATTTGGGTCTAGACAAAAAAAAAAGACTAATAGTAATAAAATGATTTTTTTTAGAGATTTTAATGTACAAGGGAAAAATATAAAAATAAGAATAAGGATTGTGATTGTGATTGGGATATTACAGAATATTAGGATTATTAAGCCTATCAATCTTATCGACATAATATATATATATATATATATATATATATTGACTTGATCGAATGAACAGAATCCAGAGTTATGGTGTCTGCATGACTCTGAGCATCCCAGAAGGGTGGTGCATAATATTCTAGCCAAAGTATGCGCACAATATAAATATACATATAAATATATGTATCTATCGACTTTTTGGCTGTTGGCTTCATGACCGTGACAGTCAATTAGATGTGTGCTGTTTTTTTTTTGGGGGGCAAGTTTATCACATATGGCTGCATCAATTATATCTATACACATCTTTTATACAAACAATCTATTTTGACAGTGGGAATCTTTATTTCTTTATTGCTTTTTCTTTGATGGTCAACTAAAAGGAGATATTGGTGTAACCAAGTGTCTGAACATGAACATGAACATGAACATGAGTATTATTATGAATACAAGTATTGTCAGTCTATATGAATAAATGGGAGGGGGGTGATTCATACAGAGTGTGTGGTTTGTTTCCTGATTCAATAAACCACAAGTAAAATAAAATAAACCCCCCACGCTTAATTTCTATTCACGTCAAATAAAATTACAGTAGCAATAGCAATAGCAATCTGGACCCTTTATTTTTGTTTATTTGATTTGTCTAGACACCAACTTTTCCATCTTCTTTATATAAATTGTTTTATTACTAGACGCAGCCCACTGTATATTGACGTCGTCTACTGCAAGGTACTGCCCAATCAGCCAATCAATACCTCAAGACTCTCTTTATAAGATTCTTTCTCTCGTTTCTTTTTTTTTTGTTTTTGTTTTTATTTTCTTTGTGTACAAATTAACATGTTTTAAGGGTGCAAAAAGAACCTTGATTTGACTGTACCTGAAAGCAAGAAACACTTTTAAAAAAGAAGCATTTTCTTTTTTGTACCTTTACTACCACTACTCTTTTTATATATGTATATATATATATATATTCCAAAGAATGTCTTTTCTTTTTTTGATCATATTCCATTCCCCATGTCTGTTTTCAGTCACATAGACTATGGCTGAGCATAAAGATCATCAAATCGATCTAATATATATATATATATATATTTCTTGGCTTAATAATTCTATTGATTCTTCCTTTATTTCCTATTAAAAACCAATGATGGAAAAACCTTCTTTTGTTATATTCTCTGGAGGATCAGCTTGTAACTTCATTGGTACTGATAATAGTCCTTTTTTTTTATTATATATATATATATATATATATATTTATCTATCTGTTACTACTGTTTCTCTTTCTTCTTTTCTGTAACAACATAAAAGAAACTCACAGCTGTACACAGCACCTGCCTTTCAGTCGATCTCTTCTGATGTGTGCTACGTACTAGGAATATCTGACAATGGAGGGTCTACTGTAAGCAAACCAAAACAAACAAACCAAAAATGATCTAGATTTGGATGTTTATATTTGTGTACATATTTGTACTCGTATCTGTAATTACACTTGTGTACATATTTCCATATATATATGTATGTTAGAGTGAGCTATTACGTGTCTTGGGTGGCCCCAGTATTGGTGACATACGTTCCCGCCTTATCCGTCTTATAAACGTCAACCAGTCTGATTCTGTCGAGCTTCGGGCAATTAAAGATTTGCTCAATTATCGCTTACCATCTGATGGCCAGGAACATGCCATTTTAAACGAATGGTCTCTTATTGTCGAAGGCCGTCATCGGTAAGCAAGGCGAGAATATGTTGGTGTCACCAAAGTCTTGTTGACATACATATTTGTTTATGCTAAATGAATGGCATGATCTATAACTTAGACTATGGAACAACATATCGACCGAGAAGAAAGAAGCCATCCGCGGGTTTTTAGTTCTATTCAACTTCGAAATCTTAAAAAGAGCCTACAAACATTTCAACTATCGAAACGGTAGCATCGGCAATTTCTTTCTTACAGGTGCCCGTCTATTCTTTGGGTCCCTAGAGGCTGCCATCTTTCTCTTTTCATCAATCACGGCCATCCGCGAGCCAACCCACGTTGTACCAGTCATCAACACTAACCACACCGCTGCAATCGCCGCACGGCTAGAGAATGGCGAAGTTTTGCATGGTCAATGTGATATTAGCCACCCGGGCGAGAATGGTGCACCAAATGTCCGACTGATGAACCCGATTGACGCATTTTCACGCCTTGCTTTACCAGGCTCCCCAGACCCATATGAAGACGATTGTACCCAAAACAACGGTAACCTGGTGTTCAGCAAAACTACCGAAGAAAGACTACCGGCTGTCATCGACCGAGTCTATTATATCAACGAATACGGACAAGAGATATATCCAATACCAAATCCAAAGGTCATCGTCCAACTGGCAACCAGTACCACTCTGGTTTACTCTATCGGTTCACTGTACACCTCAATCCTACCATGCCTTATCTTGCGTGGAGTCGGAAATGCGATTGCCCGGTCACCAACCCTGAGACACAAGGTCCTGCTTCTGAATGGCCACAACGACAGAGAGACAGGCGACTTTTGTGCAATTGACTTCATTCAGAAGATTACCGAGGCATTGAACGAAAGCCAATTGATTGATGCAAGAAGGCAGTATTATGATCGTAATCAGCCCTATAACTTTGGAACAAACACATCTCCCAAGGAAGCGGGAGGTGCAGGCAGTCTGGAGTTTGAGTATCTTGGTCACCAGGCTAATTCTGGCCAGCACGAAGGATATCCCTTGGCAAACTCTAGTGTTCCTCGTCCTCAAAAAGTAACCGACCAAAACACCGACCTGTTTAGTGTACCACCATTTCCAAGCGATCTAATTCCGTATTCACCCCCTCGGACATTCATTACTCATCTTATCTATCTTTCGAATTCAAGTAAGAGTCCCCCTTTTTTTTGGCTGTTTATTGCTATCATAGTATAATGCAATGTATTAATGCTTTACTGAAATATGAACCCATTTTTTTTTTATAGAAATCTGTGTGGATGTGGAGGAGATAGAGAAACTTGGGATTAAATGTATCTCGATTGAACCAGAAGCTGGCCTTGAACCAGGTTATAGTTCTGCCAAGCTAGAGATATTGCTACGTAAAATATTGAGCGTGTAAATGTTAGAGATTCTATAAATTAATATAAAGTCTAATGGCTTGTAATATACATTTATAATCTTTTCTACAATTAATTCCTTATTACAGTCAATTCAATAAACTATGTCACCTAATCCTAAATAGAATGTCATTTAATTAAAAGCAAAATGTCGTCCAATCAGAAATCAGATTTCACTCTCACAGGAACAAAATACCGCCTCAAAGTTCTTTGATTATAATATCTACTGTAAGCTTACAAGATCAAAAACTCTTTTCCCTCTCTCTAATCCTTCAAGTCAAAATAGCGTGTCCTGAAAAAAAAAGTTCATTATATCAATAGCCAGTTATGCAAAGGATTATAAGGGGTTGTTGTCATTAAAGTGTGACGCAATCTTGTTTGACATTTTACTATTTATTGGCCTTCTTACATGTATAATGTCTTTGACTTTCTTTTACATATAATACCAAAAAGTAGCCCAAGGTTTGTCAGTAAAAAAATAATAAATTAGAAGCAAAGCTGTTTACCCTTTTTCCCTCAAAAGATATAGAGTCATGGCAGGCCGTCCCAGGAAAAGATCATTTTAGAACGGATATAACTTTTGGTCCGGGAGAATCAAAATGTCATTCCCCACCAGGAAACGTTGTCTGCCTAGGGTTAATATTTTATTCTCGAAATATGAATGGCTCGTTTGAATTGAACAATCACACAAGGGGCCCATTTCTTAAATATTTCATGGAAATGTCCTATCAGAAAATGTCCTTATACATACTTTGAGGGTGCTGTTAATAAAAGCAAGCAGAGGACACGAAGTAGTACCAAGACTAAAAACAATGATCTGGAAAAGAATCAAATAATGCTAGCTTCAACACTACTGCAAACAATTCTAGCATTATCAATTGTGGCACAGGTACTTGCTTTACTAGCGAACACTGCCTGCCCAACACCAAGGAAAACGCTCTCAAGTCTACACCAGCCTTGGCAAAGTTAATTATGAGCATGGCAATAGAAAGGAGGATAAAGAGGATACAATACCATCTGATTTAACAATCGACCATCACCCCTCCTTTGTACTTGTGAGTACACCCTTTATGCAAGATAAGGTGAAGCCTCAACTGGTACTGAAGCCGACGAATGTGACTCAAAATTGATCATTGATGGCATCTGTATATCCAATTTTCCGCCTCAATTTGTAAAGTATAACAACACAGACAGTAAACCTGCGGATAGTCCTTATCGAGGTCCAAGAAGTAAGTTTTGTGTTCGTCTGTGAAGTTGTTTTGGCGTCCTGGGCTTCTGGTTGACCTTTTTTTTGATCGATATTTTGTCAGCTAGTAGCTTCTCCACCATCGCTGAGCAGTTTTAGGATCTTCAGTAGTTGACATGCCATATTCAATTGGACCATACGTTAATTGACAATTTTCACTATATATATTGCTTTGTTCATTTTCATAATAAGAACAAAAGGAAAAGAGTTTATCTCGTAACCCTACAAGAGATATTATAATAATAATAAAAAAAACTTTGTCAGAAAAACTAAGATGTTGTATTTTGTTCCTGTGGCAACGAAAATTTATTTCTGATTGGACGACATAATTTATTGGGTTTATTGTATATTCTTTTTATTAAAAACCATGTTTTATATAATCACATTAACAATTAAGGAAGCCAATATGTTTCTCAATGTCGTAATTAGGTCCAAGGCGACGGCTGTAGTTTATATTTGTATACAAGCCTGTGTATGTACAGAAGCTATTTTAATATGACGCAGCTGTGATTATATTTGTAGAGTTGAAATAAGATATATATATAAACACAGAGCTTGTACAGAATAGGTATATTATTTGTACTACTGGCGGTTGTCATGGGGTTTTGTCTCGTATCAGCAGACAAAATGGGTTTTGTCCGCAGTATTCAACACGAGGTTTGTGTGGCATGGGAAATAAAATAAAGAATTTCTTTGGAGACGATCATAGAAAATTATGATATTGTATATAAAATAAAAATAAAAGTAAAAGTAAAAATAAATATGGTTTTGTACTTCGTTGCATACTTTATTTTCTCTATTTGGATTTTGCTCTATCATTAAAATGATAAGCCAATTGAGCCCCAGAGATTATTTTTATTTATATATTAAAGTAAGTAAATAAAGAAGAGCTGGCTTGATGCAAGAGGTGGCACAGATTTCCCTTGTAAACCATTTCTTATTGGCCAGGATATCGAATTGCTTTGATATAAATTAAATAGATTATTTTCTTATCTGATTTATGAATTTCTTCTTCTCTTCTTTCTTATTCTTCGTCTATCAAACAAACCCTTATCTTTAATATACATATATATATAAGCTGTATTATCTAAATAAAATGTCAAGCTTTGTCTTTGGTAAGCTTCTTTAAAACCCAAATATATAAAAAAAAATGATATTAACTTTACAATAGTTGCAAACCCTGGAAAGAAAATCTCTCTTGAACACGCCACACATCCTTGCCCACGATGCAAACACCAAAGCTCGGTTCAACTCACGCGATCCGAAAAACAAATAATCGTTCTCAACAAGCGAATCTCTGACAATACAAGTGTACGATACGAATGTTCTCAGTGCCGCTGGAAGAATGAAGAGCTTCCCTATGACACAGAAGCAGAAGTACGCCGCTATCTCAACGACGCAGAGTACCAAGACGTCTTTTCCCGCCCTATGACTGGTCAAACTTACTAGGCACCGTTGATCTTTATTCCAATCACACACAGCAAAAAAAACTACTCTCCTTAAGATAGATTAATCAGTCGGTTTTATCCATAGGCTGGTCCCATGGGTTTTAACCTTGCTTCATTTATATACATAGCGCATTTAATTTCTTACATTTTTTTTTCATTTTCATGCTTACCCGTCTGTACACTCTTTTCTCTCCCTCTTCCTCTCTTTCTTTTATCTTATCTTTTTTTTTCCATTATACATTTTCTTATATATTTTCTTTCATGCCAACCTCTTACATATATGTATGTATATATAATCATCACCAAATACATCAAATACATCAAATATAAATATATACTTCTTTATCCATATAAAGACACATACACAACAGCAACAACGATAATAATTTATTATCATAATTTATTGTTATTAAAAGAAAAGGAAATAATCCCTTAATATTATTTAAGCTTTACCAACATCTTCTTTTAATGTCACCGTTCGGTTGACTACCAAACGGCCCAAACCTTCTCTCACCTGACCATTGGTGATCTTGGAGAGGTCAAACTCAGTGTCCTTGTCAAGACAGAAGTAACCTGTCCGGACAAACTGCCAGCGCATGCTCTCCTTATCAGCACCTCCGGTCTTAGCGGCCCAGCTGCCAATCTGATCATAGATACCCACGCTAGCAATAGCTCCGGTCACAGTAGTCAGTGAATGACTGTTGATATCATTTAGGAATCCTCCCTCGGCAGAATCAGGGTTGGCATGCTTGAACAATGGTTCATAGAGGCGAACCTCGTCAAGTCGCACAGGCGAGTTGTGTCTGGGCGACTCTGCGATCCAGTGAATGTAGGTCTTTGGCTTCTTGAAAGGAATGTCGTTCTCGTATCTGCAGACCAGCTCGGTGATCGAGCCATCAGCGGCATTCTTCTGGACGCTAACACAACGCACGGGGTACTTGACATTCAAAAGTCCAACAGACTTTCCAGGTGCCATGCGGTAATAGTCTTTAGAATCCTGCTCACGGAAATCAGAGCCGTCAATGTAGACCACACGCGTAAAAGGCACGCTGTGTTCTCCAAAGCTAGGATCCTTGGGCTTGTTGGCAACCACGATCTCCTCGAGGTAGTCTTCGGGCAAGTTTTCAAGAACGACCTTGATAGGGTTCAAGATCGCCATCAGACGAGGTGTGCTACGGTCCAGGTACTCGCGAGTCTTGGCGTCAAAGCGAAGCGCATCGATATTCGAAACCGAGGTTGTGACACCCAACTCAAGAACAAAGGTGTTGATGGCCTCTGGGGGAACACCGCGACGGCGCAGACCAACCAGAGTGTACAGACGAGGATCATCCCACCCCGTCACATAGTTGTTCGTGACCATCTTGAGAATCTTGCGCTTGGACATGATTGTACCAGTAACATTGAGTCGTCCATATTCCCACTGGACAGGCTTGTACACCTCAACTGCATCCACAAGCCAGTAATAGCTTTCTCGGGACTGTCTAAATTCAGTGGTGCAGAGCGAGTGGGTGATGTTCTCAAACGAATCAACAAGGCAATGTGTGTAATCATAGGTGGGATAGATGCACCAATCAGAGCCAGTACGATGATGGGGTGTGTACAACACGCGGTAGGCAATCAGATCCCAGAATTGGGGGTTTCCATCTTCAAGGTTCATCTTCATTCTCAGGGTTGTCTCTCCCTCCTTGTATCTACCCTCCTTCATCTTCTGGAACTGCTCGAGTGTCTCTTCAATAGGGCGGTCACGGTGCTCGCATGCAGTACGTGGTCCACCATTGTCGCCACCACGGTGCTCGTGAATCTGGGGACCAGTGCACTGACATGTGTAAGCAAGTCCCTTGCGGATCAACTTGAGAGCGAGCTCATAAAGCTGCTGGAAGTAATCACTCGAGTAAGTAATCTTGAAAGGCTCAAATCCCAACCAGCGCACGGTCTCCAAGATCGACAAAAAGTACTTTTCTTCTTCTGCCTCGGGGTTGGTGTCGTCGTAACGCAGGTATGTAATGCCATTGTGAGCCTTTGCGTAACCGAAGTTGACGTTGATGGCCTTAGCATGTCCAATGTGCAAATAACCGTTGGGCTCAGGGGGGAAACGAGTGACGACCTTGCCACCAGTGGCCTTGAGATGCTCAGCCATCAATTCGGGCTTGATCTGCTTGTTTCCTCCGGGCTTGTGCAAGCGAGCTAACTCTCCCTCAAAGAACATGTTGGCCACATCAGTCTTGTTGGACTCTTGCTTGGACTCTTGCTTGGCATTAGAAGCAGCAGCAGGTGCCTTAGCAGCCTTGGGCTCCTTCTTCTTCTTTTGAGGCACATCACGCTCATCCTTGGGACCAATCAGGGCAAGGTAGCCTTCATCAATTGCTTGCTTAACCTTACCACCGTCAGCCCAGCGGAGGGCAGATATCTTGCGTACGTTTGCAAGAGTAGGACCGAGAGTCTTGTAACGGTCCTTGAGGATGGTTTCTTTGTTGGCATCCAGGTATGTCTGGACAGCCTTTTGGATATCATTGGGAGTAACGATAATGCCTATCGTTTTCCTTTTACACTTAGTTTATTCTTTCTATTTATTATGCACATCGTACCCCTTCCCTCCTTCCCATTTCTTCATCACTCACCAACACCAGAAGCTTCGTTGAAATCGGCCTCGTTAATAGTTTGAACATTATCTGCGTACTTAATAGCAGCTATATACATACACATAGGTAAGTAAATAATTTTCATTTATTAACCGTTTAATAACATAATATGTTTTAACTATATGCAAATCCAGGCCAGTCTCATTTTTTTTTTGGAAAAATAAATAAATTAAAAACTTATTATTGCGTACCTGTCACTTGGTCAGTTGTCTTGAGGTCACCCTTGACAATCTTGTTTACAATATAGGCACGATGTTGAGCGGCATCCTTGGTGATGGTGGTAGCGAGCTGGTAAAGAAGGATGCCGAGGTCCTTGTCACATCCATTGGCGCGCACGTTGGCATCATCGATTACTGACTCGAGGGTGGGAGACAATTTCTTGTTTTTGGCTGTATCTTTAGCCTTTTGTTCGGAAAGTCCGATTTTCACAAATAGCTCGACAAGTGGATCCATTTGGGAAAAGAGGGAGGTGGTTGTTGTTGAGTTGTTTGAGAGGAGTAGGAGAGCGTGGCTTTCTTGGAAACTGGTATTTTTCTAATTGTGGGAAAACAAAATGTGACTATCTTTTTTTTTGGCTCTCTACTTGTGCACACTTGTTTGATGGATTTATTATTAACATATATGTATACAAGTCAAACCTATTGAATTATATATATATAAAAGAATTTTGGTTTAGGAACAGGTCTATATCTAGAAATGAGTTTTATATTCTGATATACACAAGAGGAGTCCGTGAGACCATTTATTTTTGGCTGTTAATGACGTAAAGAACATAAAGCACATTTAATTATAATCATAGAGAAGAAGCATAGGCTATATAATGATGATATGTGCTAGTATACAGATCAAATTTATCCAGAAATAGATAGCAACGAAGAGCTACATATATAGCTAGTATTATACTTTGTATTAAATTATTATTATTATTATTCTTTCACTTTTGTATCAAAAAAGATTTGATCTTATAGAGAGTATTCTTTTAATACCAAATGTAGCTTATACTAATGTCTATATTTCAATCGTTTTAGCTTTCACAGTAATATGTAATCATCTTTACTCATTATTCTATAGCTATACAATTTTTAGATGCCAGTTTAGTAGGAATTTTATGTTCCTTACATTGCTGGATAAGTTGACATACCTTTTGCGTTTATAATTTTTCTTTTTTTAGCTCGTATGCTGTCAAGCGCCATAATTAATTATTGCTGCGGTTATGGGTTAGCAATAATTTGTCTATTTTAGTCACAAAGACTCATTCATTTCTTTATACATGTGACCTTTTTTTTTGGTTTTTGGTTTATTGATGGCTCAAAGATGATAAGTAATACAACAAGTCAATAACGATTAGACAGCAAGATTGTAACGAGTATTGAGTAAATAAAGGAGAATTGAAAGCAGAATAAAAGAGCGTCTCATATCTTGTAACCTATAAAAACAAAAACAAAAAGAATGAGATAGCATTCTGTTGGGATTACTATTGTTTCTATTTTATAAATGATAAATAACATATTCGATCGTGTATTGGCCGGGATTGCTATGATTGGTACAGTGGTTATCGCAGCGTGTCTAGGTTCCAGGGCTGTGCTGGTGCTAGTATTCTTGATTGAATGCAAAGTGTTTCAAGTAAGACAAAAGAATAAATAAAGAAATAAGCAAAAATGATAAGATAAACATACATTTCACGAAGGAGCTCACTAGCCTACCATTGATGGGATACCGATCGAGCTCTCTTGATTATTCAGCCCACGGTAGACGTTTCTTTGAATGGTAATTTAAAATAGATTGCTGTTTATTATAATCATCACACCATACTACTGATAATAGTGCTAATACACAAATAAACTACGCAATTTGTAGGTTACTGTATGCAATTGCTAGTTATTGGTGTCTTGGATGTGTTTTTGTTCAGCCTGGATCCCGGTTGGCAGAATGCGAATCAGACTTGGTGTGCATGATGCTGTACACAGCTTGTAGGTTATTTTTCTAATTCATGATCCTGTCTAACTCATGATAGGGTTCTGTGGCTATGTTTATCAATTGAACCCAAAGTTTCTTTCTGAGCAGTTGACAAGACTATGTTGGATTCATTGCAGCATTTTGTTATCGGTGCTCCAAATGCGGTTCATGGTCTACAACATGCAAAAAGGACTGATCTGGTAAGAAACGGGAGGTGATATTGTACCTACATAATTTATAAAGCGCTTGAATACTTACATTATATATCCGATAACACTTTCTTCTTATATATTAAAGGTTTATTCTTCCGGCTAGTTTAGTTGTGATAAATGACATTTCAGCATACGCATTTGGATTAATTCTTGGCAGACATCAACTATTATTCTTGAGTCCTCGTAAGACATGGGAAGGCTTTGGGGGTGGACTTTTGGTTACACTCCTGGTCGCTTATTATGCAAGTAAAAGAAGATATATATATAAAAGATATACACTTGGGTTATCATCTTTATTGACATTTTAGATACAGTACACCAAGACTCTTGTTGGTTTGGAATACTTGGCATGTGAAAACAAGGTGTGCAATTATTCTATCTTTGTGAGACAAAGTGCAATTTATATATATATATATATTATATTATATCTTATTTATTTTCTTTTATTTCATTAGAGTCAATCGTTATCAGCCAACTTAAAACTCAATCCCCTTGAAGACACTATGCAATACCATGGGGTTGTACTGGCATTGTATGCATCACTCGCTGCACCTTTCAGTGGGTTCTTTGCAAGTGCCCTCAAGAGAGCCTGTAAAATCAAGGACTTTGATCAATGCATTCCAGGACATGGTGGAATAACTGATCGTATGGACTGCCAGCTTTTGATGCCAGCATTTACCTATTTTTATTACAAATTCGCAGTCGAATATCTTGAAAGTTCAAGCTAAATTAAATCAAATAAAAGAATGGGCAAAATTGAAACAAAATATTTTCTCTCGTTTCAATGATTACAAAGTAAAATAAGAGAGGCTAAAGTTTCCTTTATTATATTATTTTATTTATATATACACACATACATACAGTGTTTATAATAAAAACTTAACTTCTCTAGCTAAAATGTATGGTTTTTCATGGCGTAAAACCCTAAAGTAAAATTAGTAAGCTCTTATCTTTTGGTTTATTGTATTTCTTACTACTACACCAAACCAAACCAAGCCAAACAAAACAAAATGATGTAGTACGAGACAATAGCTTATAATATATTGTACCAGGGTGGAGACCAAGTTATCAGTATCACATTCTGCACACCCATATTTCCAGTCTTTCCAATAATCCAAACACGATGCCATCAAAATCAGCAATGATTTGAGCTGGTTGTGGGTTTGAAAAACAATCACCAAGTTTTATAGAATTTACAATCCAATCAACTCGTGGTGTATTTGATTGGATTATAAAAGAAGCGTAGAAAATAAATACATTTACGTTTTTTTTTAAAAAAAAAAAGATGTAAAATATACTATAGATATATGTGTGTCTGCATGTATCTGTATATATGCATTATATATAAATGGTAATTTGTTTTCAAATATTATAGTGTGGTAGTGTATATTTTATGGGTGGAGTAGATTGATAAGGTAATTATATAAATATTCTTACCAAGTAATAATAATAATAATTGTTTAAGACATATTCTCACGCACCGTCCACTCACAAGAAAGTTTTAACATATTTTTTTTTTTACTTTAATTGGAAGTTGCAATTGTGAGGGATTTAAGCGAAATACGCGATATTTTCTACAATAAAACCCATAATTTTACTCCATTGACACGTCTTTTATAGATAATATTGCTAAAACTTACATTTTGCTCTCAAATAATGAATAATAAAATCAATAGGCTTTACTACTTCTTGGTTTTGCCGATTATCCGATGATAAAACACTAAATAAAGTACTGTACTCCTTTGTTACGTACAAACTTACTATATTCTATTGTTTTCAGAATATCAAAAAATAAAATAGAAGCCATTTCATAAAATAGAAAGCGTAGACGGTTTTTATTTTTTGAAAGGGAAGCAACAGAAATCGCAGAAAACTTGTTGTGCCAATTCTAGAATAGTGCAGGACTCTTTTTTAGTTTCAAAATACAAATATAGCCTAAAGCAGTCTTTTTGTCATACCTAACTTGTCTTGCATATACTCAAAAGTCCAGAATCAGTGACGCCAAAATCACTTCAAGTAGGCCAATTGGATACTACTGGACACTTCCTTACAATTTGGCAAAACGACCTTGATCAGGCCAATTATGATCTGCTGAGTTTGAGATCAAGGAATCAAAAAAAAAGAATACAACAAGCTTCTTTGACTTCTCAAACTTCTTTTGTTTCTCAAATTACATGCAATTGACACTTATAAAGATCTAACATTGTTTTGTCTATTTTCCTCTGCTCAATCCCTTACAAAAATATATAAGCATATACACGTATAATATACACCTATATTCTTGATGGATTCTACAACAAATAACCCACAAGAACAGCATAATACCACAATTACCTTTGCAGAAATAAGTCACCGTGATCTACCAAACGATGTCCGTAATCAAAACGAGAAGCTTTCCCAAAAGCCGTTCACAAGAACCTCGACTGGCCAGAGCAGCACCGATTGGGATACCAAGTCAGTCCGAAGTGCAATAATGAAAAGGATGCGCTTTGTCAAGAAAAAGAAGAACAGAGATGCTGAACCTCGAGTCGAAGGCCCTCCTTACCACACTATGGACCTCGAAACAGTAGCCAAACTTCTCAAGTCTGACATAGAAGATGGTGTCTCAGAGAGCCAAGTCGAAGAACGCAGGCAGCAGTATGGCTACAATGAAATGGAAGGAGAAGGTGGCGTCAGTCCAATCAAACTATTGATAAAACAATTCTTTAATGTCATGATCCTTATTCTCGCCATTGCTATGGTAAGTTGTCATCTTGTTAAAATTAAAACATCTTATTAACTTTTTTTTCTTTATTTATCAGGCTGTCTCATTCGCCTTTAAAGATTGGATTGAGGGTGGCGTCATTGCTGCAATTGCTATCATCAATGCTGTCGTTGGCTTTCTCCAAGAATACAAGGCCGAAAAAACAATGGACTCTCTTCGTCAGATGGCATCCCCGACCAGCCGTGTTATTCGTGATGGCCAGGGCAAGACAATCCCCACACGTGAACTCATTCCAGGTGATATAATTGTCCTCAACAGTGGAGATGTAGTTGGTGCTGATGCGCGTGTCGTGGAGTAAGTCAAATGAATTTAAATTTTATTGTGGTTTTGTGAAAATAATTATTTTGATCTGATTTTAATTAGGGCCTTCAATATGGACATCGATGAAGCCCTTTTGACAGGTGAATCTGTTCCGGTCAATAAAGTGTAAGTTCAATTGATCTCAATTGGTCTCAATTGAATTTGCCTTTTTTTTTAACCTTTCTTTTTCTTTTATATACAGCAATGATATTATTGAAGGTGCAGAGATCTCTCTAGGTGATCGTATAAACATGACTTATTCTAGTACAATCATTACCAAAGGCCGTGGTAAATGTAAGCTTTACAAAGAATAAATAAAGAAACAAGCATTTTTATTAACTTTGTATTTAATAGCTATTGTTACTGCGATTGGTATGCAGACCGAGATCGGCAAGATCGCCAAGCGTCTGTTGGACAGCAACGACAACTCAAAGACTCCTCTTCAAAAATCCCTGGACCGCATGGCTCTAGTGTTACTCGCAGTTGCCATCTGTACTGTCATTATCACCTTTGGATCCGCAAAGTTCATCATCAACGACGAAGTTATCCTGTACGCAATCTCCACAGCAATTGCAGTCATTCCCGAGGGTCTCGTTGCTGTTGTCACACTTACTCAAGCGTTTGGTGTACATTCAATGGCAATCAACAAGGCGCTTATCCGTCGTATGGCTGCATTAGAAATGCTTGGTGCAGTCACAAACGTTTGTTCAGACAAGACTGGTACACTCACCCAATCTAAGATGGTTCTTACGCGTTTCTGGATGCCGAAAAAAGGGTTTTATTCCATCAGCGGTCTTGGATTTGACATTAAAGGCGAGGTAAAATCAGAGAGTGACGAAAGTACAATCCCATCGAACGATATACCGCCTTATCTCAAACAGCTGGCCTACAATGCTGCACTTTGTAACATGAGCGAAATACGCAAGGACAAGGAAGGCGACGGTTATCACGGTATTGGCGACCCCACAGAAGTTGCTCTCCAAGTATTTGCTTACAAGCTGGACATGGGAAAGCCCAAGTTACTAAGCACCAAAGGTGGACCAGGATGGACTTTAATTTCCGAGTATCCCTTTGATTCTTCCATTAAGCGTATGAGTGTTCTGTGCAAAAATTCCGAAGGAGAACACATTGGGTTCCTCAAGGGTGCTACCGAACGTGTATTGGAACGCTGTGTAGGAATCAAAACTGGTGACAGCGTCGAATATATCAGTCAAGAGCAGCTTAACAGCATGGTCTTACCTCAAGTTGATGAGCTCGCTCGTGGTGGTCTTCGTGTGCTATCTCTGGCTAGCCGTTCTGTCAAGGTCAACGGTAAAGTGACGGCCGAAACTTTTGCCCGAGAAGATATTGAACAAGACATGTTCTTTCTCGGTCTTGTCGGCATTTATGATCCCCCGCGCGTCGAATCCAAGGATGCAGTTATTGAATGTCATCAAGCCGGTATTACTGTTCACATGCTGACTGGAGACCATATTGCAACTGCCACTGCCATTGCCCGTGAAGTCGCTATCTTGCCTAGTGATTATGGACTTAATCTGCCGCCTGGAAAGTCAGATCCTAGAGCGCTTGTCATGTCGGCCCAAAATTTTGATCGATTGACTGATGCCCAAGTCGATGCTCTCGAGAACCTTCCCTTAGTTGTTGCCCGCTGTAGTCCAGATACAAAGGTTAAGATGATAGAAGCATTGCATCGACGCAAGAAGATTGCAGGTATGACTGGTGACGGAGTCAATGATAGTCCAAGTCTCAAAGAAGCCGACATCGGTATTGCAATGGGTCAGGCCGGTTCCGATGTAGCTAAACAAGCCGCTGATATTGTGTTGGTTGACGACAATTTCGCCACTATTGTAAAGGCAATTGAGGAAGGTCGTCGTGTGTTCAGCAATATATCGAGATTTGTGGTCCATATGGTCTCTGGAAACGTAGCCGAGCTTACACCACTTATTCTGGGTCTGGCCTTTAGAGATCTAAGTGGGGACCCTGTGTTTCCAATGACTCCAATTCAGATTCTGTTCAACAATATCCTCACAAGTTCTCCTCCGGCCATGAGTCTTGGTCTTGAGCCTGTCCATCCCGACCAGATGCTCCAACCTCCACGTACATCAAAACAAGCTTTGTTCGCAAGAAATAACGTTATCGATATTTTATTCTATGGTGTGATGATTGGCGGCATTTGTCTACTAAACTTTGTGGTCGTGGTTTGGGGTTGGGGAACCGGAAATCTCGGCGAAGGTTGCAACCACAGATACAACGATTCTTGCGAAGAAGTCTTCCGAGCCCGTGGTGCGCTATTTGCAACCTTGACATTGATCATCCTTTTGCACGGTTTCACTTGCCGTGATTTGTATCAGCCAACATGGACCTGGAATGCGATGAAGAATATGAACAACAAGTATCTCATCTGGAGTACGATTTGCGGTATTTGCCTCATGCTTATTTGTCTCTATGTCCCTGTCTTGAACACCGATGTGTTTAAGCAGCACCCCATTACCTGGGAGTGGGGAATGGTTGCTGCCTCTATACTAGTCTACATTGCATTTGCTGAAGGGTGGAAGTGGCTCAAGAGACGTTTCTGGTAAAAAGAAAACAGAAGAAAAAAAAAGCATTCGATGGAAAGGAAAGAAGTTGATGTTAAATATGTATACATATTATGGCATGCTTTTTTGCAGAGTAGTATAACGATATTTTGTGTATACCTCTTCCCTTGATTTTTTTATTATTTTTATTTTTATTACTATTATCACTCTCACTGTTTATTACTATAACTACTAGATTACCACATATTTAATATTGCTCTACTATATATATATATATATACTTTTTCTTATAATATAATCCATCCCAATAAATAAAATAAATTCAAATACATTAAAAGAATTGAAAGTATATATCTATTAACTTACAGTGATAAAGAAAATGTCTATAAAACACAAGTAAATTATACAGAATGTGTTTTGGATATTTATAAGATAAAGATAACAATTAAAGGCAGCATTTTTGATTGCAAAATATTAAGAGAGACAGAGAGAAAAAGCCTCTTTCTCTCTCTCTTTCTCTCTTGAGAGAGTATGTGTGTTTGGGTGTTTGGGTGTATATTTATATGTATTTCCTTTAAAAATCTTCATAATCATCTATCCCACATCATTTGCCAGTCAGACCCCCTTTTATTCGATCACATATTTAGTTGGCTTACCTTCAATACCATTGATTGCATGGAGGAGGAAAAGGACAAAATCCGAGGTGAATTGCATACTAAAGCCTTGGTACAAACCACGTAAACCCCATCCTGAAAGGTGTCTCTGTTTTGCTTTCTTGCTACCCTTGACAACCTCCCTCCGCCCACCCTCTTCCTTAACAATGCGATAAAACGCATCCATGATACCAGTGTAAGGTACAGGGCGAAGGGCGACAACGCTCTCGAAGCGCTTGTTTCCTGGAGTTCTTGATCGGATCTGACACTGTAGGCGTTTACGAATAGTATCGAGTGGAAGGGTAATAATAAGCTCGAGAGTGTTGAGTCCAAGTTCAGCTAAACCGTAAAGGAAAGGGGAATCATTGGCCGAGATACGAAAGACCCGGTCAATAATAAGGGGAATTGTGTTTTGTAACAAAGGGGTAATAGAATGGTAAAGAAGAGTTGGAACAAGGTTGTGAGATAAGTATAGTCCCCATAGACCACCTTCTTCGTTGAGAATGGTTCGTAGGGCGTGAAAGGGGCCCTTGTACTTGCGCTGCAGAGGTGATGCTGATTGTACCATCATTCTAGAACACAAAGTTTTCTATTGTTTAACGCTATATTTATTATTTTCACTGTACATATTACCTTGTTTTGATGAGTTCAAGTGGACTCAAGATAAATCCAACAATTAGGTTACTAGCCACCAATGTTGCAAGATTAGGGCCAACCCGATCCAGGTGGACAAGAGGAATTGTATCGTCGTAAAGGTCAAACATATCATTCAATGTACCCTCGAGCGTGGGTTGGAGGAAGAGATGAAGGACTTCGCATAACCAACTGGTGTATTGTCCCTTGAATAGGGATCTCCACCCTTCATGAGGCTGTTTAATTAAGAGTCTGATGCCTTGCCAGACACCACCCTCAATTGGTTTAATCTGGTGAGTGGGCCGGGTACTATCATCGTACACACTAGTACGAACAACGTAGCCACTTTCATCCAAAGAGACCTTTTTCTTAAAAGCTGGGTTGTCGGCATCTAACGAGGCAGTCGAAAAATCTAATCCTTCCGTCGAGTGGCGTCGCTTTCCTCCGGTGCCATAAAAATCATCTTCCTCGTCTTCCTCTATCTCTTCGTCTGTACTGTCACTGTGATCATGGTTGTCGTCTTGTTGATGAGAAGTTGTGGCGAGTACTTCGACATCTTCATGGGGCATGTATTGAACCTGCAGAAGAGTCTTGGATACTTCAAAGGGACTATTGATGGCAGTTGTGATGTACTTTAGGACGGTAAAGTTAATTAGTTCGCGAGCAGCTGCCTTGGAGTCGATGAGGTCGTCGTAATCATCGCTGTAATAAAGAGGTTGTCCTGAAAGAGTGGTGTAGTTGTCTGTGGTGAGGCCAGGTATGTAGTATGGTCGTAACCCGTTGACCCCTTTTCCGGGTGCAGCGGGGAATGTGGCAAAAGGATGACTTTGGTCGGCGGGCATAAAGATGTAAAAGTCGAGAAAGTATATATAATATCACTTGATCAACACGCTACAAATACACACACAGATTATATATACAAAAGTATATGTGTAAAAATACACGCACCTGAGTGGGCGTTGAGCTAGATTGGGTTCTGACTGTTTTCTAGTTTGTGACGTCAGATAATTCGGGGAGGGACATGGGGTTGGGACAGATTTTAGAGATTTTTTTTATTAAAAAAAAAAAGAGATTATTCTTCTAGTGCACACACACACACAAACACATACATGTGTACCACACAAAACGTAGGATAATCATAATAAAATGGCATTTAAGCATAGTATTTTGGTTTTCTGTAATTTTGTTTCAAATCAATTTGATTTTTTTTATGGCAAATTGCAAACTGTATATCTTTTTTCTTTAATTAAAAAAAAAAAAAGGCGCGAGCCATTGCAGAAAATAATAGTAATAATATGTATATATATACATATATTATATTGTAAAAAACTGTATTGAATTGTGAATGTGAGATTTGAATCAGATAGTTAAATTATAAAAAGAAAATAAAAGGCACTCTAAGAAAAGGTAAACAAAAAAAGAAGAAGACAATGGACATGAAGAAAAGGTAAAAGTAAAAGATGTGAATATGAGGATGAAGAACTCCTTGATTAGAAGAGAGATGCGAGGGGAGGAGCGTTTACTGAGGGAAGTTGTTGTTTCTGGTCGGTGTCATTAAGGAGGGTTCGGATTGCTGATAACTTTGGGGAGGGAAAGAAGGAGGAAGAGGAGGAAGAGGAGGAAGAGGCGGAGAGAGGGGGTTGGGGTCTGTGGAGGGGTGGAAGCCGTACAAAATGATCGTCTTGTGCAAAGTGTGTGTAGGATAGATCGCATTCATGCCGCTGGCGCTTGTCCCTGGTGGGGTGAACGGGACGGGTGTTGTACACGGTGCTGCAGGACGGCGGGCCGGAATGAAGGTATTTATGGGAGGCAGGATCCCGTTCCCTCGATCCGAAAGTGGGTAGTGTTCTGTCGGCAGACGGGTCGGAGTTTTCACTCATGGAGGGTGACAAGGGTGTGTCCTTCTCGGACAAAGACAAAGAAGGTGAAGTGGAGGATGAGGCCAGCAAAGCGCGCAACACGTCCTCGATCATTGTTAAGCGACTTTCGATTGCATGGATTGGTGTGGTTCCAGTCGTCGATGTAGATGGACTGACGGACTTCTTCCGTTCCAGCAGAGGTGTCCCGGTCGGTGGTTTTGGTTTGAGTGAACGCGAGTAGTCGCACTCCATGTTCGTCTTTGCACAGCTGGTACAAGGCTTCTCGCCGTTGCATTTAATCTTCTTCCGCCGGCATTCGCCACAGGCACTCACAACCTTGAGTCGCTTGTTGCGTCGGGTACTTTCGAGCTGAAGATCTTGTTTGGAGGCCATCGAGATATGTGACAAGAGAAAGAAAGAAGTAAAGAAAAGGAAGAGGTGAACGGAACAAGATAAATAAAATAAGGCCAATTTGTGGTTTTCGGCAATCAAAAGGGAGTCAAATCAAATCGATTCGACGAAAAAAAAAAAGCGTTGCCACCGGGTTCCCCTTCCCAACCCCCCCTCTGTCTCTCCTTTTATCCCTCTGTCTCCCCCCTTCTTTCTGTCTCTTTTACACCTATTCATCAAATGCAGAAGTCGATAGCGTGGCAACTTTTTCTCCTCGACCAATTAAGGCAGGCGCTGGTGTTCAGGTCACCGGCCAACATCGTCCGTGCCTGCCACCGATTCCATTCTCGCCTTGAGTTCTCGCCTTTTTCTTTATTTCAATAAAAGTCATGGCAATATTTAATTCTTCCACACGCAAGGGACTCAATCTTCCCCTCCTTGGCAAGGGCTGAATTCCCTATGGTTTGGCCCTAGAATGAACAAGAAATCAATACGAAATAGAACAAGAAACAAGAAACAAGGACGCAGCTTAAAATAGAATCACCGGCGATCCGAGGTGCAACAGTGCTTCCCGACACCGTCCGTGAGGCTTGTCCCCGAATAACTCTCTTGTGAGAACAAACTTGATCATGCCCATCTTGTTCGTGTTTCTTTTCTTTCTTTTTTCCGTTTAACTCATAGCAACAACTGATATTATTACCATGGCAAACATTGAATGGGAAAAGAGATGGCAAAATGGCCAGACTGGCTGGGACAAGGGCACTGTCAGCCCCGCCCTCAAAAAACTCATCGAACAAGACACAGACGGCGCGATTGTGCCTTGCAAGGGCCGCGGCCTCGTGCCTGGCTGTGGTTCTGGTAGGGCAACTATCACCATGTGAAACCCTATCCATAAACCTTTTTTTAATAGGCTATGATGTCCAATTCCTCGCATCCAAGAACCTCCACATGACGGGCATAGACCTCAGTCCTACTTGCATCAAATTGTGCAGAAAGGTATCTCTGATAGAAATATTCTTATCTAGTTATGCCGAAAGTTCATGCCATTTAAATTACATGCCCAATAGAACCATCCCGACGCCGCAAAGGATAACTACGCCTTTGAGACCGGGAACTTTTTTGATTTTGAGGTGCCGGACGGCGGCTATGACCTGGCGTACGATTATACGTAAGACCCAAAAATAAAATAAAAGCAAGAATCAAACCAAACCAAACCAAACCAAACCCAACTTATTTCAGTTGACCTGAACTCAACTGATTATTATTATTATTATATTATTATTATTGGCTCCGGAACCTCGCTCCATCTTCAACCAAATAAAGGTTTCTGTGTGCCCTAGAGCCAAAGATGCGCCCCCAATGGGCATCCCGGTATGCCGAGATCATCAGGCCCGGTGGGGTGCTGATTGCACTCCAGTATCCACTCGATGGTCATGAAGGCGGTCCTCCCTTTTCATTGACTCCAGAAATGTATGTCGAGAATTTATTTAATAATAGGAATGATAATAAAAGACTTGGGCTGACATGTTGTATAGTTATGAGCAGCTATTGACACCTGCCTTTGAGCTTATTTATCTGGTTGATGCAGATGGCCACGAGTCTCGCATCGGTAATGAAAAAATGAGCGTGTGGAAAAGAAAGTCCAACTAGTCAAACAGAAGATGTGCTCTATACTTTCAAAGCTTGATCTTTTGTGTAGCAGTGTCTTCAGGGTGACTCTCATCACTCTTCCGTTTACTACCAATAAAATTACAATATATATCAATTATAACTACGATTTTGCCAATCATCTGTTCCACATTATCCTTACCTCAGGGGTGCAAAGGCCACATCAGGAGTTAAGGGAAAAGAAACGCAGTACATGTCCTTCTTGGGTGCTACATTGCGCACCAGATGAAGCTGGGTGAGCTCACTATCCACGGGTGCACCTATCATGTGTGCAACACGCTATTTTCCCTTGATGTCAGTTGGAGTTTTGGATGGCGAGAGTGCACCTACATCAAATATGTCCTGGCGAGGATCGGCGCTCTTTGTGAAACAGTGGCAGTGAATGATAGGGAGCTTGGCATCTTTGCTTGCTTCGAAAAGTTCTTTTTTGTCGTTGTACAAGCCACGGAAGGTGTCTGTGTATAATCCAATATCAGTATAGTGCGATATTGTGCACTTATTAAAGTACCCGTTCCGTAGATCACTATAGCACTTCTTACCCAAAAACTCAATCGCCGTTGCCGGGAGATTCATTACAAAATGATCGAATGTCTTCCACTCGGTTGATGTCTCTTGAAGATCTTGTACGGCCTTTTTAATAAACTCCCGCCCGTCCATATTGTAGGTGTGGATTTTTTTGCTGTCGATCTAACACAAATACGTAAATATAGTTAGAGCTTTCTCCAATCAACCAGGACCACCCCCACAGTCTTTATTTTACTTACCTTGTTCAACTGGACATTTTCATTGAGCCACTCATAAGAAGAAGGATTCAAGTCGTTTGCATAGACAATCGCTCCTCCCTTTGCCGCAGGGAGTGCGAATGGCCCCACACCAGCAAAAACATCGCCTACACAAGCTTACTTATTTTAGCATGCATAAACCCCCTCTTTTTTCTTTCTTTCTTTTGGTCTTCGCCCACTTACAGACGTTCTCAGAGGGCTTAAACATCCGCACCAGGCGCTCATGCTCTGTGTGTAAGCGTGAATTCCAATACACTTTGGAAAAGTCAAACTTGAATCTACAACCACTCTCTTTCTGCATTTGCAGGTCAGTCAAGGATCATACAAACACATAGCCGTGACAGCATTAAACATACCACCATCGTCATCATATTTCCATCGCCTGCCAGTAACTCCATCTTAAAGTAACGGTAGGTAGTGTCAATGCTGTTGGTCTTGTTTACTACGCAAGTGATGTTTTTGTTTTTCTATTCGTGTGTGTCAGTAATGTGTGTGTGTGTGTATCTCCAGATATGTCGTCTTACATCGAGGATAATCTCTCCAACAATCGTTTTCCAAGGATAATATTCCTCTCTCAGGTTCATGTGAGCTTGAGAATAATACCAACCATTAGCGTCATCTTATTTCATTCGAAAAAGCAAGTAGTATTTACCAATGTGTCCAGTTTGTGTAAAAGAAGAAGGAATCTCCTTTGCATCCTTAGGCATTACAGCGTGCATAATCTGCTCTGTAGTAAAAATAAAAGTAAAACTGATAAATTACAATGAACAACACTCGATACTACTGCTACTGCCATTCATCTTATATACCACTAGTCCAATAGTCATAGTCCAAATCAATGTGGTGATCCACCACACCAAGCACATCCGTCTCCATAACCTTCTTGGCTTCTTGAGGAAGATTCTCGAGATCTATTAATAAATTATAAGCACAAACTTGCACAGATTTGATCTCCCATTTCCAAGATCTTAATCGCACCTTCTCTACGCAAATCTGCTTTAAGCAGCACCAACTTGGTTTCTTTAGATCCTGAATCTTCAGCTACGTTGCGGAGACGAGGTTGGTTCAGAAGGTTACTGTTGAAAACTGGTCTTGAGTCGAATGTTGGTAAAAATACATTAAGCAAATCTTACTTTCCAAATGCCTTAACAACTATGCCAACTCGCTTGGCTGGGACTCGGACACCGATAACATCATATGACTTTTTGAAAGCAGCCCGATTAAGAACCTTCATTCCATGATGAGCAGGAGGGAAAAAAATACTCATTCTATTTCAAAAATGCTGATCAAAGCTATAATAAAAAATACGTAAGGAAATGTATTGCCTCACTATAAGTTTATAGGTTTATTATTATTATTATTATTATTATTTTTTAAAAAAAAAACGTATATCTCTATAGGTAAGCCGTCACAGAGAACGTTGTATAGCAAAACCAAAGAAAAAGGTTTAATGACATCTTTATGTAAATAATATATATATATATATATATATATCTTTGCATCTTTTCTCCAAGCTAGAATATAACTAATTCAATCATTTTCTTCAAGCTCCAACTTGGTACGAAGTTGAGTAATAAGGTCCTCAATCTCACTATGGCACACAGGTGCCTCAATTTCAGCAATCCAAAAGAGCTCTCTGACAGCAAGTGGAATAACGAGCATAGTCGTATCTACAGAATTAGGGTCTGGTTTATCCAAAGGATCTCGAATATCTGCATCGATGTCTTCATAATCTTCCTCTTCTTCTTCCATGCGTACCACGGTGATTGTAAGATCTTCTTTAGTAACGACTGGCTTGACGGGTTTTGGAAGTCCCAATGGTTCTAATTTGGTTACTGGTGGCGGTGGACCTCCCAATGGTGCCGGGATTGGCGGAGCAATTGGCGCAACTGGAGTAGTCGGAGTAGTTGGAGTTGCGGTTGCTGCTGCTCTTGCCTTTGCTTTTGCCCTTTCTCTGGGAGTACCAACTGGTGGTTTGACAGGTGGTTTGGCAGGTGGTCTACCCCAGGCAGGTTTTTGTGGCGGTGCTTTCACTGGTGGAGCTCTTCCCCTTGGTGGTGGCGGTGTTCTTAAGGGAGCTCTCACTGGAGTCATTCCTCTGGGTGTTCCTCTAGGTGTTCCTCTTCCTGGCATTGGAGACGGCGATGTGACATACTCAGTAGATGTTGTTGCTGAGATCATTGAAGGTGTAGTAGATGCTATAGAAGGAGTGGTTGAAATTGTCCTCAACACTTCTACTTCGTCATCTGACTCTATGTATGAGCCCATTGGTGTCTCTAGTATTCTGTCTGGGGTCACCGATGGACCGTATACTGGTACTGTTTCTGTATTTTCGGTCTCACTAGGTTCTGGTAGATTTTCAGCGTCGTCTTCTTCGTCGTCTGAAAGATCAGGCTGATTTACTCTCTCGAGAATACGAAGTAGTTTTTTGCAGGCTTCGAGAGGGGTTACAGAATTATTACGAGCCTTCCTAGGCCTTTTCTCGACTTCTTCTTCAAATTCTTTTTGACGGGCCACAATGTCATCTTGACGTTCTTTCATGAGAGTTGTTTTGCGTTGTTGGTGCATTTGCTGACTTGCCAAGACGTAGTCGAGACGGACCTGACGCAGACGTTCATACTCTGCTGTCAATTGATTAAGGACAGGCTCATTAGCTTTGGATGCGGCACCTCCTCTCCGAATGGGTCTGCGTACACTGTGGAATGAATGATGAATTATGAAATGATGATGTCACGTTTGTTACCTTGGTGGTTTCTAATGTCAATAGCATATTACATTAGCTGTTATAAAAAGTGAATTAAGATGGAAGATGAGTGACTTTACCTCTGGCTGTCTTCCTCTTCTGACGGGTTCTCTTCCGGATTGTGGTGTGCCATTTGTTTCCTACATTACAATGAGGATGTGGAGGAAACAAGGATTAGGCTACTCACTAGCTGGAGTTTCAACTTCTCGATGTTGCGCTCTATGCCAGCAGCGAGGTTTTTGTATCTTTCTTCGGGTTTCATGACAGGAGCAAGAGGGTTTCCCCCCCTTGTCGTATGTGCACCCTTCTATTTCTTATTTGGGGGTTTAGGGTTCAACCATAGTTACCGAGAATCAATGTACACGATCTGGAGTGGTACATTTTTGCTAATTTATTTTCTGTTTACGATTTTGTTAAATATATATATATATAAATGTCTTTCCATCAATATAAAACACAGAAGGCGAGACTGACATCAAGACTAACATGTGCTTTTTTTTGAAGGAGCCTTGGTACCATAATCAGTATAGTTGCAAGATTCTATACCTCACGACAGTTCCACAAGCCAGGTGGATACTGCTGCGGTACACGCAATACAAAAGCAAAACACAGAATACAGTTTCTCTACATGGTACTGTGCTGTGCTTTGTATGACTTTGTGTGGCAGTAGAATGAATGGGTACGAACAACCAGTTTACAGATTATTCTGATACATTTGAACTGCCTACTTATCTAGTTACCTAACTATTTACTGAGTTAGCTAACCTCTTTTTATGTTAAGGATTGTGGTATATTTGTATAAATATTTACAGGCTTTATGTTTATTAATTAATTATTATTATTAAAATAGTAAGTTTTGGCTTCTGTACCACAATATTACAAAATATAGAAATACCAAAAAAGAAAAGAAAAGTATATTGCTTTAGATGGAACTGATCTCAAAGAAGTTCCAAAGGGGGGAATGAGGGGGGTGTGGGGGAAAGGAAAAGCAAGGGATATCCTTTTTGTTCATTGGTTGTACTTGATTGAATCCCAGTAGTGGTCTACTCACTGGTAAGCTGCCTTAATACTGATTATTTTTATTATTATTTTTATATTTTCTTGATTCATTTTCCGGGTGCCTGATTTTTCTAACCTCCACACTCTATACTACATCTTTTTCATTTCTTCTTATTACACTTTGTCGAAAAAGTGACCTGCTTGTCGCAATGGATGTCTATGACTTGACAAGAAAGAAGAGGCCTACCCACCTTACACTTGGGCAGTCGGCCAGTTCAGAATCTGCCACTACCCTGGGGATGCTCAATGCTACCCCCATGCAACCAAATTCAACCATAAGAGCTCACCGCATACCAGATGTCGTCTCTGGTCCTCCAAACCGAGATCATTGGAAGGTAAACTATTTTGCTTTTTTTTTTAAAAAAAAAGTTAAAAAACAACAACATCACAGCCGGTTTGTAGCTAATTCAACAATTGCCTTATAATCAGCCTGATGCAGATTCACTTCAATGTGCTTCACCAGACTGTCAGACTGCATTTGGGTTATTTGAACGAAGGCACCACTGTAGAAAATGCGGAGACATATTTTGCTCTGCCCATTGTTCAAACTACTTCCGACTTGACCACGCTTCACAGTTTCATCTCCGTGGTCTCTTGTCGCGGGGCTGTGATGCCTGTGCTGGCGATTATAAACAGTGGCAGGATGCTATGGTTAGGACAAAATCTAGACAGGTTAAGAAAGAGGAACCAAAGACAGAAGAAAGGGTAAAAAGACGTACCTTGATCATGACCCAACAACCACAGGCTATGGAAGGAGTGACTGAATTAGGAAGAGATGGTATGTTTAGTCTTAATTATACCAAATAACATTAACTCAACATTGTTAATATAGACATTGTACAGTCAGACCAATCCTCGTCTTCTTCACCGACTACTCCGCGGCCCAGGGGTATTGCTATCAGACACACGGCAAATAATGAGCATGGTAAGTCTTTTACTTTTATTGACTTCTTCGCTGGAGTATGGCAATGATTAGATTATTAACATGGTATTCTTTTTAGCTCCATTGCACCCTATACTATCCGTGCCTGCTGATTGGCAATGGTCAACATTTTAGAAGCATTTTCATTCCCACCATATATATTATCTTTTCTTTTTCTTTTTTATCCTTTATGTTTTCTGCTTCCGCTTTTAGAATCCAAAAACCCAAAAACCCGCCTCCCAAAAGCTTTTGGTTACCAATCTAGTAACCCTAATCAAATTGTAAATTATCATGTTTTTTTGTCAGGTTTTCTTTTTTCATTAATATTAATTATTATATTTATATTATTTATATTATATATTATTATTATCCATCTATACTCTTTATACTTTTTACTTCTTTTACATTCCATATTGGGCCAAAACATACAGTTGAACTGAATTAAATCAAAAAATAATACTTCTTGTCATCTTCATCACTTTCAAAAAAGAGAAAGAAAATTCGAATAAGAAAAGATTCATATATGGACACACCATCTACTGTCTTGGTTTCCCCAACCCATGTCCATGTCACAGGAAGACTATCCCACGAAAGAACAAAATCTGCTAATGATGTCCTTTTATCTGTTACTCAAAAAACATCCCTCTTACGCTCTTTATCCTCAAATACCCTTCGTCCCAGAACCAAGTCACTATCCATTCTTTTTGAACGCTGGTCGCCCCAGTTCTTATCTCCCCAAGAAGATGTTCCAGATCCAATCCAAAAAACCCAACTATCAGTCAACAGATGTGATTATGAACTCACCGCCGTAATTGGTCTGTAGTCTACAACAAAACTGTTCGGATATGCTGATACGCATAAACATATTAGGGAGAGGATCATCTGCGACGGTATATTCTGGATATCATCTACCCACTCGAGCAACTATAGCAATCAAGAGAATCGATCTTGAGCGCTTGGATATCAATGGCACCGGGACACGGCTCGATGCACTACATAAAGAGATACAAATCATGTCACTCTGCAATCACCCGCACCTCTTGCCGATATATCAGAGCTTCGTATCAAACAGTTATCTCTATATTGTCATGCCTCTCATGTCTGCTGGTAAATTTCGAGAAACATTTAAAGCCAAGACGGCCTTTATTAACCTTTATTCTAGGCTCATGTCTTGATCTTTTGACACAGATTAGCAGAACCGGTCTAAGTGAATCAATTGTAGCCTGGTAAAGCTTGTCATCTCAATGTAGAGATTGGTAAAATATTTCATATCCATTCATTCTTGAATATTTAGCATTCTCAAACAGGTTGCCCTGGGGTTGGATTATCTACACACTAACCATTTAATACACCGGGATGTGAAAGCGGCCAATCTGTTACTTGACTGGAAGACAGGTTATGTTTCACTTGCTGACTTTGGAGTCAGTAACCACTTACTTCCTAATGTTGCAGAATCTTCAGAACCAGTCTCCAAACATGTAGGCCCAGCTACCATGCAAGTGCCGCGTAGCACTTGCTCTAATTTAATAGTGGCAGGGTTATCGGATCCAATCAGCCATCCCAAAGTTTCCCTCAGGCGCTCATTTGTTGGCACACCATGTTGGATGGCCCCTGAAATACTCGGCTGCCAGGCATATGGGACCTCGGTCGACATATGGTCTCTTGGGATAACAGCTCTAGAATTAGCTTGTGGGAGGGCTCCTTTCAGTGAATTTGATATTCGTACCGTAAGCCAAAGCTCGTTTTAATGACCTACTTTGTAATGTTTTTAACCTTTTTTCTTCTTCTTGCAAGATATTTGCTTGCATTCTACACCGACCTTCACCTACACTTCAAAGCGTCGACTCTAAAGCTAGTTTCGGCGATTCTTTTCATGATTTTGTTGACCAATGTCTTCACAAAAACCCTGGGCAACGCACAACAGCCCAAGAAGCACTTTCCCATAAATTCTTATGTCACGCAGAGCCTCCTACGCATTTGGCTGACTACCTTGCCTGCTATCCAAAGTTGAACAAAAATACATCTCAAACATTATTTCTACACAAACAACCACTTTGTGACACCTTACACACGAGTATGCATGAGAATGATGACCAAAGTAAGAAATTACAACTTTATTTTTGTCTTTGGATAAACTGGAAGACTTCAAATTGTATCTCATCATATTGCCTTGGTTTGTATGCATATTAATCCCAGATGCTTTATGCTGGGATTTCTCGGCACAGCTGATAAAACCCTTTCAGCTCGATATTTGTCAAGCTAAATTTATGAACAAGTCATTGGAAGACACACTTGATTTGCCTATCACACCTCAAGATATACAAGTATTTTCTGTCAAATCAAGCGACTTACCGCTTGAAGGTTGTAAAAAGACATCATTGCCAAACTTTTGAACTGTATATCTTAGCAGTCGATTTAATCGCACAACGAACACAACAAATGTACCGATCTTATGCATTCCCGCCCTCTCTGGCTGTACGTTCATATGCATGCTATGTACACGTTACCAGAAGTGCGTAACTTATATATATATATATAATGCTTTATAGCTCTTTTTTCTATATACAATAAAACACTTTTTTCATGTACAGATAATATTTAAAGACTACTATATAGAAGATAAAGACTTTTAGGCATTCACGTGCCTCTATTGATTCCTAATCTTTTCATGAACTCCGTTGCAAAAAGAATTCCAGTTCCTGTATAGGTTTTAACCTCTAAACACTTTCCTATTTTAATTTTTAATTTTTTTTTTTTTAATTTTACCTGTTTTTGCCCATTTTCGCTAGTTTTTTTTTTTTATATAATGTCATTCCAAGCGGGTTCAATTTTTAATCAAAAATCTCGTCCTTCAATCCAATCATCTAGGGAATATGAATCTTATACACAATCCCCTATAGAAGATCCAGGGTTAAGTAATCGACACAGCATCACAGAATCCCTGAAGCATCCTGCTAGCATTATAGATGCAGCCCGAGAAAGTGAATGGATGTGTGATGAAGACATTAAGACCGATGTATTATACCCTCAATACAATTCAAGCAATCAAAAACCTGATCTCACCGCATTTGATGCTATGGTCAAAGAACAAGCCCGCAAGTTGTCTTGTGGTACCTTAAGATTGACAAGAACATTAAGCAAACAGAATCAGTTGTATGGAGACTTTGCAAAAGTAATTATACTTCAACCTACCTTACGTCTTTTGTTACTCACCGGTATTACTTGAAAGAACAACAATCTCAATGTTGATCCAGATGCATTTCGGTTTGAGATGTACTCTACCAAGGCTATTCCACAGCCCACTCAAAGGATTCAGTGTTTGCTTACCGAAGAAGGGCGTAGTTTACTCGATTATACATTAAAATCTACTGGATGGTGGTTTGATGCTTTGAGCCCAACAGATGAAGAAATGAGAGTTTTGAGCAAGGTAAAATATATACACCATATGAACAAAGAGTTTTTATCGGGATCAAGTAACGACAAAAAAAAAACTTAATTGAGCCCGAGAATTAGACGCTTCACATTCACCCTTTAACGACTGAAGATATTCAAGCAGAAGAGCCGCGTGAAAAGGTCGAATTGTTTCCAAATTATACATTTGTTTGCTTCCGGAGCTTTGATATCGACCCTTATTCAGAACTCATCCGTCCTTACAACTTTTATATCCTGATCTTCAAAGAAGGTCTTTTGACAGTAATATTTAAAACTAAATGCATGATTTGGGTATAAAAACTCATTATGACCGTTTTAGTTCCATTATAAGACATCACCACATCCAGAGAAGGTCCGTCAACGTATTGATAATCTCAAGGAGCATATGCTGATTACACCCGATTGGAATAGCTATGCCTTGATCGATGCCATTACTGACAGTTTCGCACCCACAATCAATCAAGTTGAAGTAGAAGCTATATCTATTGATGAGTTATCACTTGTACTTCGTCGATCTGAACAATCAGATATGCTTAAAAGAATCAGTCGATGTCGCCGTCGATCAACCCAACTTTCACGCTTACTTAGCTCAAAGCTTGATGTTCTTAAAAGTCTGATGAAGAGATATGAAGACAAGTCACGCGATAACCTGTTTTTCCAGTCAAACATGCTTACTAGTGATCAAGAACCCTCTAATCCTGCAAATGATATTGCGGAGAAAAGGTCTTTTACTGAAGTTCTTTTGTACTTGGGTGATATTCAAGGTTGAAATCAAGACAAGTCAAAATTTGGATATTATCTTGGACTAATCAAACAACCCAACAACATTTTATTAATATGTAGATCATATTGTTACAATGGCGCAAAATGTCAATCATTATGACAGAAGTCTGTATAGAGCTCACACAAACTATCTGGCTCAAGTCAACCTTGAGCTCACAGAAACCTATGCAAAGACAAACGGTGTCATGAACCGACTTACATTCCTAGCAACTGTATTCGTACCTCTCACACTTGTTGGTGGTCTATGGGGAATGAATGTCAAGGTATAAAACCAAAAATTCGTGGTTTGTTAACTTTGGTGTTTCAGTATTTTTAAAGTACAAAGCAAAATACTTATTGATATATGTCTTTTTTCTTGATCAAGGTACCTGGTGGAGACCATGTTGACCTCAACTATTTCTATTGGATCCTTGGTGGAATGGCTCTTTACTGTGTATTCTCGATGTATTTGGGAAAACAGGCACATATACTTTAACAAGGTCTAATAGATTTTTTTCCTCAGAAGCTATTATTTAAACCGAAAAGAAGCTGCTTTTTATAAATAAGTATATTAGAAATAGTGTAGAAAATTTGAACGATTTATAGAACAATTCAAAAACAAGACCTTTATGATATGCGTGTTTCTACTTTATTTATTTTTCAACGTATAATGTATAACAACTAGATACGACCTAAATTTATAGCATACCTAGTAATTCACCTTCTAGAAATTCACCTGTTCTTGCTTTTAAATATATATATATATATAATAGAATAAGATTATGGTCCAATGTACAAACTCAACCATTAGATACACCAATATCATAGAGGATTAAGATTTATGTGTTTTGGAAAAGAAAAAAGAGCACTGTATTTACAAATATATTGTGTAATAGTTTGGATAAATGAATCTACTGTAGAGGGGATCCTGTTATATGAGCAGAGAGAGGAAGTTGCTTATTCATACTTTCGGCTGTTTCTGAACGAAGCTGAAGCATCAGTTGCCACTCTGACACCATCTTTTTTACTGCTTCATGGTAGCTCCAAGGACGCAACTGGGTGTCAGGTCGGTCTGTCATCCATGGTAATGCGGGCTTATAGCCCATAAATACTTGTACAGCCACAAGAGCTGTAAGACTTTCTGCATGGATGGCATGAAGTAGTGTAGATGTTGAATGATATTCGGAGGACTGAGCAAGGATAGATGGTCTACCAGGACTTCCTGGGCTACTTCTTGGGGTAGTTGAGGAGCGCGGAGACAACCCGGGATGAGCATGTGTATCCTGTTCTGTATCAGACCAGTCATAGGAAGCACGAGCAGAAAATGAAGGTGAGTTAAGTGATGATATTGGGCGAGACATCCCAGGTATATGAAGTCCTAAGCCGCATGTCGAAGTATCGGGGGAGAGATTAACTGGAGATGTGTCATGTTCAATATGAACTGATGGGGTATTGATGTTTACAGTTGGTATAGGATCTTTTTCTTTTGGGGAAAGCCCTCCACTCCAACTCTTCCACCTTGATCTCCGTCCAGAAGAATCAGTGGTCATGCCAGAGTTTGTGGTTCTAGGGGTGACAGGGCCATGTATTGTCGATCGATTATGAGAGCTTCCGACATCTCGAAGTCTTTCATGAATAAAATCCCTTAGAAATAGGATCAATGGACTCTTGTAGCAAACAACAAACTCCAAGAAACGCCAGATAGCAAAATCATACACAACCGACATTGAGACCGGGCCAGACTGAAGAGATATCCGGAAATCAGGAGACCCTGGCATAACTGACCAGTAATTTGGAGACGTCCCTGGGGATTGTACCTGACTAGGTGTTGAGCGACCTGATCCTGATTTCGGACGAAGGGTTTTTAGAGCTTGTCCAAAAGCAAGAGCCTCTTTAAGGAAGTAAGCCACTTGAACCCAAGCTCCCTTAATACCATCAAACGATTTTGCGCCACGTATTAAAATAATTTTAAGGGCCACAAAGCTAAGAGAAAATAATAAAGCTACAGAAGATATAGAATGCAACGTCTCCTTCGTTTCTGGGGTTTCTGCCGCGTCTGCCGTATCTTGGGCACCTGGATGACCAATTCCAGATGTCAGAGAAGTTAACGAAAACCCAGAAGTTTTTGCTTTTAATAATGACGCTTGACTACATGACTTTGTGGTGTAGGCCAAAAGACGCATCCAGTTGGCTGACGGGTTAGGTCGATATCTTCCAATTTCAGATGCAATATTGCCATCCCAGCGAAGATCGTATTGAAGGCAGATTGGGATTAAGATCTTTCCAATAAGTACTGCTGATGGTGGGAGCTGTTCGATTTCATACAATACATCCTGAGTTGTAGTCTCAAGAATGGCAATTATGAGTCGAACAAGTGAATTGCAGAATCGTGTGTGTCCAATATCATCCTTTTCCCACTCGGAGCGCATAGCTACTGTAATTCCGAAAGGTACAAATCGTTCCTTAATTACACCTGCGATGTCCATCATATTAACGGGTTGTCCTTGCCCGCGCTCTAAAACGATCGCTAGCCCCTCATACAGGTCAGCGGCATCCGTGTTCTTCCATTGGGTACGATATTGTGCATGAATCTGAATTAAGATCTTTTTGAATGGCTTTGTGTAATTTTTTGTAAGATCATTGGCGTTAAGTGCATTGAGTGCATCGACCAAATAGTCTCTGATCCAGTCTGTAGAACAAGTTGAATCTCGAATTGTTCCATAATCTCTCATGACAATCTTAATGACAGTAGCCATCTTTTCGTGGTTCATTTCTGATAGTTTCCCGCCATTTTTCAAGTATTCGCGTACAAGAAGTACAAACTCTTTCTTTATAGTCAGACGATCGTTTTGTTGCCATTGCTTTCCGTACGCATGTTGAGCGGATTCTGATCGACTTGGACCTTGGCCTTTATTTTGTTCTTCTGCAAAAGGCACTTTTGACGTTCCACCGCCTGACTGAGAAGTGTTTGTAGTGCCTAGACCTGCCAGTGGCTTTGCATTCTTGCTGAACTTTACAAAGACTTCAACTAGAGCTGAAACACCTTCTGCCACAAGTTCTTTCAAATTGGTGAGCCTCCAGAATCTTGGCAATAGATGTCTAAACATTTTCACAAATTGTTCTGCTCTTAGTGATCCTGGATCATAAGCAATAACTGTTAAGAATAGTCTGATAAAGTTGTCTAGTTTGAACTTTCTCTCTGAAAAATCATTATCAATTAACGGGAGGATCGGAGCAGTAACACTTCTACCCAAAGGTTTAAGAATAGTTGTCGACAGAGGTATTGCCATTGGGTTGCTGACAGAGTCGATCCGTTCCTGAATAGAGCGTTCGTGATCGTCTAATTCAACCTGTAACTGCAATCCGAGAACGTCTGAAGTTGCTCCTAAGCGAGGTGGGTTGTGCATAGCTTGCATAAGTGTAAATAAATTGTCTGTCATCCAAGATCCAAGGCTTGCAGACTTGATGTAAGCCTTGAGAATCAAAGGTACAAGTGCCCCCAGCATTTGGAATACAAAAGCCTCTTCGTGTACTGCGTAAAATCTGCACCAGGCAAATGTAATTGCAGACCGAATATGAGGAAATCGTTCTACGTCGCAAAATACTTTAAAAAGCGATGGTGTAAATGTCGTATAGCCACGATTCGAGACAAAAAGACGCTTGAATCGAGTAACAACACGAGTATAGAGAACAAGTGTCTGCCCAATAATTCCAAAATCGTTTTTGTGCTCTAAGATAATTACATTTACACCCTTCAGAATTCGTTCAAGTTCCATACGGTCGTTGTAGTTCTTATTCAAACCGTTAAGCAGTACATCAATGAAACGAAGCCAGACTCTTGCGCGTAAAGCCGAAAGAGTGGATATATCATCATGTTGCTGAGAAGAACGTCTATCTGGCTCTATCTCGTGTGATTGGTGTATAGCATTTTCCACGCTTTCAAATACGACATCAGTATCAAGTCGTTTGCGTAGCTTGGCATCAGGAAAGTACATGTCTTCTGTTTCAACTCCAGCCCAGCTTATATCAACTTCGGATAACGTAATAGGCTCATAGTCTTGAAGGGTCTTTTTTACAGCATAAACTTCTCTTGGATAGCGAGTCAGAAAATTAGTCAAAAATTGAATATGGCTGATTCGTAGCATAGCCACAGAGAACACATCCCAGGGAATATCAAGAACAGAGAACGGAGACTTCATGTCAGTTAAACCGCGCGGAAACATAGCAACTGGCTGTTCTGTAGTGAACCAGAATCGACCCGTACTGGCTAAGAGGTGCTCAATTTTATTCTTGCGGAGATCGCGAGTAGACAGACCGTTCGTTGACAAGGTTAACTCAGCCAGAATGGGATGAATTAAAGCCATTAAAACAAGCCCATCTTTCTTATTTTCGCGAGTGAGCCATTTAAGCATACCCGATAAATAGTTGAACAGTATGTACGCAAACCCAGGAGGTAGCTTCGCTTGTATACTGACCAGGTAGCGCAATCGTGATAGGATATCATGATGGCGATCAGCCTTATATTTTCCAAGATCGCTTAGGAAAGCTCGCAAGAAAAGTGAAGGGTCATCACGTGTAAGTGTTTCCAATAGTTCTCGCAAGGAACTAGCCACACCACTATCCTCATCTTTTAGAAGGTCGACCATACTCAAGAAAGATACTGTAAAGGCATGGACAGTAGACGCACGTTTTCTACGTGTAATCATCTGACTGATATTCACTTGTTTTGTGTCGCTCTTGTGTACTCTTCCGCCTTCTACAGACTCGTTCATTCTTTCGTCCTCTTCTTCTAAAAAGAGGGAGGGAAGAAGAGCCAGAGGAGTCAAAACCTTCTTTAAAGCTTCATGCTCTTCACCTTGGTCATCGTCATCCCACCCCAGTTCCTGAATCTGTCTCTTTAATTCAATGGGGAAATTACTCGCATTTTTAAGTTTTGACATCCAACGCGGTTCATCCATGGTATATTGGTTACTTCCGAGATCGGTTGGAACAAACGGTGTTGAGAATGCACCGCCATCTCCTCGAAATGGGCGACGGCGGGAAGAGATTGGAATATATTCTTGAGCAAGAACATTAAAGCGATACGCATTGATAGCAGCATGCTTTCGGATAGCAGAAATTCTACAAGTAGGGTTTGTGCTAGATAAAATTTATGTAAGCGTAACACGCTTTTAAAATAATAATTATAGAAATTGTTTTTACCTGTAGAAGTCGCGAGTAGTTACTTCTATAACAGTTTTTGGTACTTTTTCTCCACATTGCATAAGCAAAAATGCGGCTGGTATAAATACTTGTGGATTACGATCATCGGTGAATCTCTCCCACAATGGAGTGACTAGGCGAGAAAATTCTTGAGTAGACAATGTTGTAAAAACGGCGACAAGTAAGGAAAAAACCGAGCCAAATGGATCCTGGTTGATCTTTGGTAATCTTTCCAGTCGTCGCTTAGCTAAAGTTGTAGCAGGTCCATCTTGTAGAGATTCATTGTAGGAAATTCGAAGAGGGGGGTGGGTACTAAGAGATATTTCAGTCTCTAAATTTATAGAATACTCTGTTATGATGCTTTTGAGTCGTCTATTTCGTTGGATTAACGGATTTGGTTGCTCATCACTTGTTCCATAGTCATTGCTAACAGTGCTATGACCTGATTCAGCTGATTCAGATCTAGGTGGTACTCTTGAAACTGGTCTATCATTGTAAGAACCCGTGCTTGCAGCTTCTTTAGCTAACTCGTCAACTGTAAGGGCATGTACAATTCTGATCTTCTCAAACATAAGTGTAACGTCGTCAAGAAAAGTGTTGTGGAGCATTACTGAAGTACGTGGCATTCTTGGTCCGTTTTCTCCATCACTGCTCGCTGCTTCCCATGGTGAAGTCATTTTCTCTGAATCGAGATAAAGTTCTGCAGTGGCTACTGGTTGTGTGGCCCACTCTATAGACCGTGTCAGCCATCCTGGACGATGAGTAGTATTACAGAAAAATCGTATATCAAGAAATATGTTGCAAATGATTACTCGGAGTGGGATTGGTATCAAAACAAGCTTTTCTTTAGCTGTCATAAAAACAGATATACGCCTTTCCAAATCAATCAGGAACTTCTTCGCAATCTCGTCTTCTTCCATGTTCCGGTCTCTATCCCTTTGCTTGTCCCTCAATTCTTTGATAGCCTCTGAAAATTCAGCTGCAACAACGCATTGTCCAAGAGTTGTACTTCCCCATTTTGTATCTGATGCGTTATCCGAATTCCCTGCTGATAATAATTGAGTAGGATTATACTCGCGCTCTGAACGCCTTGTTCTTTTATTTCCAACATCGCTCAGGAGGAGTACATTGATCATTTCGGCATCCTGCATCCAGTATTGAACTCCTGAAAGGTATCGTCGTAGACAGGACATGAGGGTTAATAAGCTAACAACCTTTTCTTGATCATTAGAAGCTACACACGACACAACAGGTTTATAAAATATCGGTCTATACGATTTTGCTATTTTTGACAGAAGATCGCTCAAGGAGGGGATGTTTTCTGGGTATGTTGAAGTGATTGTGGTAAAGATAGTTGGTATAGTTCGTTTGACAATTTCATTGCTGATGTTATGGTCAACGTTGAAAGCCAGGTTGTGATATACTCTTACAGAACGCTCACTTAATGAGTCTTCTAGCATAGCTTCAGTACCAAAGACGATGGATTCGCTGTAACCTCCATGCCAAAATTCTTCAAAATACGTCTTGATGTCGCTTAGAATATTCTGCGGTATATTAATTTCGTGGGGTGTGTCGACTGGAAGACCTGAGTTGTGTTCATCAGTTGGATAGGAAAATCCATGATCGTATGTTGAGCTTTGTACAGAGGGTTGAGGGCTATGATTTGGCGAGAATCTACTGTTGTTTATTATGGCTTCTTCGAGGCTCGAAACGGACAGGAGGGACAGAAGCATTGTCACCAGATTGAGCGCCACGTTCTTTTGTTTATAGTCTTTATCTTTATCCCGCAAATTTACTTCGAGAATTGATACTGGTAATTTGGTCTGAATAAATTGAAGATAGAGTAGCAAAGTAGAATCGTGATGACATAGATCGTTTTTGTGCCCATTTAAGAATATCTCAGTAGCTATTAATAGCATAGTATATTAGACACTCCCAAAATTTTGAGTTGATGTACTATAGAAAACTTGCCAGCCTCAGATAATACAAATACAACTTTCAAATAAGCTGGTAATACGTCTAGTGTTGGCTCAGACCAATACCGCTAAAACGTAAATCAAAAGTAAATATAAAAGAAACAAACTATTAAAGGATATGTTTAGTTAGGCGGTCTTTTATGACTTACTGGAAGTAGGTTGGATATGATTAGTTTATCTCGGGGGTTTTCTTGTGAGGTTGTCCCATGAAAAGACACATTTCCTTTGTATGGATTTTCATAAGCATATTTCCCTGTCATGAGAGATTTGCAAAGACTTTCTACGACACAAAATCTTGCAATAGATACAGGGGCGGTACTTGTTAAGGAAGCTGTATAATAAGAGTCCCATTGATCTCCAGCAATGGGAATCATATCACCACTTGCTAAAATGTCTAGCATTTCAATAATATTATCTCTAGCAGTGTCGCTTTCTTCATCAAAACATAGGGGTTCCTGGCCGGTTATAGGAATAGGTGAAATGCTTACTAATGCATTCACTAGAGTGTATACAAGCGAATTAAATGCTCCTGGCGTTGAAGGTAAAAGGAGTGTATTTCCTATCAAAGGAGACATTATTTCTTTTAAGGTCGAAATGATTCGTATCTAAAAGAAAAAGAAAATTAAAATTTGTAGGATTAATTAGGATTCACGTATTATTGTTCAATGGTTTACCTTGAGTTGTAACTGATTTGTTTCCATCAGTCTGCAGCAAAATATTATTTGTTCAAAGTTTTCCTGTAGAGTAATAAAATAAAGAAGTATTAGTAAAATGGAAATATATATATATATATATATATATATATAATTCTCTTACATCTGGTGTTAATTGTGTAAATCTCCCCCGAATATAATCAAATATATCTAAGGCTTGTCTACAATCATCCACTACAAAGGAACAAACGTTTCATTATTTATATGATATTTTTCTTGGGATTGACCTATACACATACACTTATCACTATTGAATAAAAACTGATCAAATGGAACAGCAAGGATAGCTAATATCTCTCCTGTTAATGGAAGCCTTGTTGCTTGTTTATGCTTCCGAAGAATCTCCACCAGGGATGTCATAATTGCTGATACTCGAGTAATATCTGATCGAGATTCTTTGCTTAGTTTATCTGCTAAATCTCCTGTAGAGGATGTCTGTGCACTTGTTTCTACTCTTGGATGTCGAGGAAACAGATGAAGTTTGTGAGATGTAGGTTCACTTGGAACACTTATATTGGAGTCAAGAGGCTCTGAAGAAGAATTTGTAAAGCTGGCATGCTGACCACGAGTGTTGAATTGCATAAGCATTTTATCTAACGCACGTTCAAGGCGATATATATCCTGCTGTACTGCTGTTGTCGTGGCATAGATACCATTATTGTGCATGAATCGACTGGTACGAAAATTACGACCGAAATTGGTCATACCTGCAGCTTGAGCAGCAGCAAGGGTTGTGGAGGCCATATTGTATTGTCGGTGATCGTTCTGCAAATTCATTATAGGATCTGAGGTGGTCTGACCGCGGGAGAATGGATTGAATATAGGGCCACGTTGTCCAATTCGTTGATTGACTAAGGGGGATCGGGAAGTGGACGATGGTAATGTAATCGAGGTCGAAGCCGAAGAAATAGAGGTTGATGGGGGTAGGGCCGCGATTGTATCTTCTGATATGGCAGGCTGGAGATTATCGCGTACCTTATCCCAGCCTAATGTCATTGCCCTTTTCGACTTTTCGAATTCTTGCCTGTGTAATGATACATTCCGCCGTGGTGGTAGAAGTCTTGGCTGATTCTGGGGTGTTGATGAGCCGCTCGAATCTCCAGTGTGATCATTGGACATTCTTTACGGAATAAGTGGACCTGTGTCAGGATGGTAATATTTATTGGAACCAAATGTGATTATATATAGTCTACCTTTTTGCAAACCGTACTTTTTTACTTTCCGGTAGATCTGTAAAAGGGTGTCCAGTGTACTACTCTTACGATTCAGTCGGGTATCCAATGGACTTAGGATACTGGATCCTGTGACTTGATTTGCGTTTATCCGAAGTAATGTTGAATGCACATATTGGTAAGACTTGGATAAGATGGTGGTTAATTTAACATAATTTATACAAGATAATAATAATTATTCAAATGAAATTGTGTACAAAAATGATTTATATTATAAAAAGACGTATATTTTGGTTTATCTTTTAATAAATATATATGTGTATATGTGTATATATGTATATATGTATATATACTACAATTCACAGGAGTACATCGTTTTAATCTATTATACGCCTCCCTTCTTGGCCTTGAAGAAGTTTCTAATGACAAAGACCTGAAAACCTGACATTCCGACAATAGCCAGACTCTCAAAGATGGCGCACCAGTAGATTCTGCTTTCAGTAGATAAAACTGTGCTTGAGTTACGGTTCTCTCTTGTACGGAAGTATTTCTGGGTGCGTGAAATATCGGTCAAGGACTGTGCAATGCGATTGAGGATATCCTCCATTGTAGAGACTACTGGAGGTGTCTGGCTGCTGCTATCGCTCTTTGCTATATTATCTCTAATTTCGCTCTCAACAGTGATTTCAAAATCTATTAATTTATCGGCAAAGGTGGACATGCTGTTGGAGAAACAGAATGAATATTCTCCAACGTCTTGTGCGGTAAATACATAGTCTCCCTGTCTCTTGCGTTCACCATCCAAGACAATTTCTCCCCTGGGACTCTTGACGTCAAAATCAATATCGAAATTTCCTCCCGACTGAACCTGAGTTTTTATGAAATTGATTAGCACAACTGATATAATGTTTTCTCGGCAGAGAAATAAGTTTGCTTTACCGCGAAATAGAAACCGAGCTTCTTTGATGGGGCATCAGACCAGACGTAAAAACATGCAGTCTCATGAGCAGCAACATTGTATGATAATGCAGTTGCATTTGTGATTTCTGGGAAAGCCACAAGCGAGATTAAGATACTCAGTAGTAAGATGAATATTGTATGATGTGACATGGTTTCTTTTTTGATCTTCCTTGCTGATGATGGTCAATAATCTAAGGATTCCCAATGGACAGTTGGCTGGTAACTAACACTGTAGGAAATTGTAAATTTTATAACTCCGGGCGCGTATAAAATCGATATGCTTATATACTACAAAATACAGGAAGTCACACTTTCCTGAACCTGAAAGAATTCGCCAGGTCCAGCACAAACTCGGTGTGGACAGACTAAAAAATTCAAAAAAAGGTTCAAAAAAAGGGCAAAACGAGCTCGTCTTGAACTTGGCCAATCAGACTAATTTATGACTGACCACACCTTTTTTTTAAAAAAACTTTTAGTCTGTGCACACCTTTTTTAGCACACTTGAAAGTATCGCAACTCGACACCTTTATTACACGTACTCCCTTAATAGACAACTTTCTCCATAAGCTGAATGTCAGTTATACTTGGGTTCATGTCCATCTAATATTCATCCAATATTCTTCTTGAAGAATAAGTTATAAATTGATTGCAATTTTTGATTACGTCAACTCCATGAGCACTACGTCTTGCATATTTATCTCTTTGTCTTTTTTTTTACCCTAAAGTATTTTGCCGATTCACATATCCACTGGGCTGTTAAGATTAGCTGTGTAACTGTAGAATGAACCCACATAGTGAGTCAATATATAACAGCTGAAATGAATAGTATAAACAAAGGTCATATTCGCAAATTTGAGAAAGACTAATCGAATGCGTCGAAAAAAAAACGCCGCAAGGAACTCTTTACCAAGGTGTAAACACCTCGACACCATCTTTTCTATAAAGTAATACCAAGTGAACCTTATCTGAGAGTTTTGCCAAATAAAGTTCCAACAAAAGAGATCGTGTAGAAGGGCCAGTGAAAGACTTGGAGGAATGCTTCTTTACTTCTATGAGAGACCGCGTAAAAGAACTTGTCAAGAAAACTAAAACTCAATATAAAACAAATGAACTGAAAAAAAAAGCTCCTAAATGTACAGACCCTACTTCCAGGAATAATAACGAACGCAGTACAGCTTACCAAGTGTGACAGAAGTAATGCGCTCACATACGGAGCACCGCCCTGGGCTGAATATGGTGATGAATGGAAAAAGTTCGTATCTCAAAACTTCGACAAAATAGCTGAGGCTGGAGTGGATTTGGTGGTAAAAGTATCAGCTAAAGATTACACTTCTGCCACTCAACCAAACAAAAAGCCGTATGACGGAATAAGAACGTGCGCGGTCCAAATAAATACCTTCTTCAGAGCGGATCTCCCTTCTAATGTAAAGACATTCGTGTGTACTAGATTACAAGATTCAATGGTTACCTCGGCAGACTATACCCTTTGTTTTTTTTTGGCACTCGTAAATATGATGATTAGTTAGTTGAGGACCAGTGAATTTTTTTTGGCAACAATGATATCAAGATTAAAAAAGTTCCTGGCTTCAACCTCTCCGAGTTGCTGCCTTTTATTGCAAGTACCGAGCCAAAATACACTATCCAGCCGTTGGAAAGAATTTAATTGATTCTAATTTGTTTAACAGTAACCTCAAATGTCTCTTCACAAGCAAGCATCCGCAAGCTATACATAGCTATTTTTTTGTGCCCGTGGTGCTAAAGAAGACAATTTAAACGCCCATCCTGTGCAAAATAGTCTATTTTGTTCTTTTAAAGAATTCAGTCTTTGAAAAACAAGGCTTTTGTTTTGAGAAGGTATCATTATTAACAATGGGGGTAGCTCTTAAAATGCACCTGGTTAACTTCGAGAATATGTGAGACTGCAAGAAGATAATCAGCAAACTTTTGGGAAAAGTGATACTAGTGCTACTTCGCTACTATCTTACCTGCAATAGAGAGTCGAAGCGTGTCTCGACCACAACAACAAGAAGCCCACCTGAAAAGAAGGATATGAGAGACCATACGCGCTATGTTTGCCGTGCTGAGGATAAAAAGCCGAAAAAGTTGATACAAAGAAAGGAAAAAGCAGACGGATAAGAAAAGTGGACCACTAAGATAAATAGTGCGAAGGAGCGTCTAACAAAGTTAAGGCATATTTTTAAAAAGGTAAAGTGGAAAAATCTTTTATTGACTTGAAATCGCTAACTAATGCTTTGTTTTATTATAGAAGATAAGCCAAATGATGAATGATAGACAGGAAGCTTTTGCGAAATACAGGCTCGTTGTTCAGGATTTGAACAGCGCAGAAGGACAGCAAGTTTTTCTGGAAGAAGAGGGGACTTTGAATGATGATGTTCCGGAAAGGAGGTTGAACCAACTCAAGTCCATAATCAAACACTTGATTTTCAGCAATTATACACCCATATATTTATAAGACGTCAAACATCAGTCTCCTGAGACCTCCACACCCGGACAGTCAGTATGCTCGTTGATCTGCAATACGTTGAAGAAACTCTTTCCTCCGAAGAAACAATATTACGTAATTTTGTATCAAATATATTTCTGTATCTTCACAAACGACGTTTTTAAATCTGCACATCATACAAAGTTTACTCGCGCATTATGTCCTTCAACATCATTCTCGTCATCGAGTGCACTACACCTGGATTCAGTTGCATTATATCAGTTATTGACCCAGAATCTAGATCAAGAAAAATCGGAAGAACAACCATCAAGTACCAACCAGCCAGAAAATAAAGTGTATAGTAAAATGATGCTCTATAGGTATAATAGAAATGAGCTGATAGGGTCCTAAGACAAAGCGCGCTAAAACAAAGATGCCACATTTAACGCAGTATTTGATGTGGGAGAGATTCAGAAAGCATGTAAATCGTACGGTCTATCTTTTGCACATCGGATAACCTGTTTACCAGGAACGAAAACAATACGATTATTGGAATCGAAAAACAAAGTGTGTTCTTTTTTCTGAGCTTCAAAGCTTAACAAAAGAAGTCAAGACACTTGAATCTGTCCGTAAATGAGAACTAGAGCTGCTAAAAGATAGCAACTTCCAAAAGAAAATCAAGGAATTCAAATCAAATTTGGGGACAACAGATGACAAGGATTAGTTATATCGGACGATTGAAAAATATAAAGAATTGAGATATAGATCTTATATAACGGTTAACAAGATCAGAAACGAGCTCCCCGAAAAAAAGACAACAGCTCTTTTTCTGAAAGGTGGTAATTCGCTTCAAATCAAGGTTGTATAATGTTAAAGATATTCCTCCATACAGCAGACCCCCAATTGAGAAAAGTGGCAAAGGTGTGACTAAGGTGGGTGGCAAAACTATTGTGAACCCTGGTTACTTTAACTATGCGGGTACTGACAATGGCCTGGTGAAGATGACAGCATCAATACCGGTGTCGTTACCAAGAATGAAAGCTCACCTAAAGGTTTTAAACTATTACATCAGGTTAAGCAACGGCTCCAATAAAAACAGTATCAGCTTAAATTTCTCTAAAGAGGAAGAATTATTCCTATGTTTTCCATCAGTTACGAATACGAAGGCTAGTAATTTTGATGTTGGTTGTGAATATTTTTGACAACGGATATATTTAGAAAGACGGGAGAAGCATGGCAATTAAGGAAAAGAGGTGCAGTCAATAGAATATTCAATGAGAGAAATGTAATTGATCCCAATCACTTCTATTGTCATGACCATCCAATTGTTTTGTAATAAATACGAACAACGACGAAAACTGTGGGATGTTCTCTAACCAAAGGCTTTAGAGAATACGGTAGTAAGTGAAAGCAGAAGATACACGGGGAGGCACCCAATGTCTGCACCACAAGTGAGTGTAAGACCTCTCAAATGCCTATATTTTGCTTTTCGACTTTAACCAACCCGAGGACTCCTAGCAAGAAGGAAGTTACAAAGTCAACAAAGGTACCTTTCTTTGTATCAATTATCAATGTGCAAGTAAGCCAGGAGATACCCTTTTAGCTCTCTCCATTGCGCTGGTAGGCCTAAGCTCAGTTATGTTTGGTGCTATGCCCCCTCTTTTTTTACAGCGTCAGCAAGATAACTGCTGAATATTATACAATAGTAATATCTAAATTCTGTACACGAAGAGACTATTTGGAATCTATGTTGTAGCTCTAGAGGTAAATATCATTGTATAATGTCAATGCCTGTATGACTTTTTTATTTGTTAATTATTATTCCAATTCCTTTAAAAAAAGTGGTCACCCATTCCTTGAGAAAAAATAAAGGCACTCGTATAAAACACAGAATTTTTACTTGGTTTCGGGACCTTTTCAAAAAAAAAATCTAAGAAATCTCTCTCTCTCTCTCTTTTTGGATAGCTTTAATTTTGATTTCAGACGTAACTCTTTATTATAACATCGATTTTTAAATTCTACAATCAATACCTCTATAGGGAAGATTGACGGTCTTAACTGTGCGCTATGTGGAGGGCTAGAGGATGATCTACACTTCTTCTGGACTTGCTCTCTCAAAGCTCGAATTTTGAACCAATTTTTCTCTCGGTTAATTACTACGCCAGACCCTCTGACCTTTGTCCATCTACTCAAAACATGCCTCCCACACTCAAAAAATGTTTTATCTGATAAAAAAATACAAAAAAAACAATCAATACCTATTTTTCTTAAGTTTCTGGCAAATTTTACACATATTTAAGGCCATAATACAATGTAAAAAAATAATCGATTATTAATAAAAGAAATTGATAAGAAGATGTAGATAATCCGTTTAAATGGTAGAAAGCATTGTATCCGTATATAAATATGCTATAACTTTTAATTCTCTATATAAATATACTATGTAAAGACTGGCAGAAAATATGTCATACAAGCAAAAGCTACTACAAGTGCGAATTATACAAAGAAGCATCTGCAGATAAGGGTAAGAAAAAGTTGCTATATGTCTCTCAAGTATCTGAAACTAAATAGCATATAGCGGGAACATCCGCTGAGAAAAAACCAAAGTGTAAGCATCAAGCAAGAAAAGAAGCCCACGAAGAGACAACGACATTATTCAAGCCCTTCACCGACTTTCTATAAAAAAAGTAAACTAGTAGGGCACAAAGAACATGTTGTCTACAAACTATCTCTATCTGTCTAGTAGCCACCAATATTTTAATGCTAACATTATTTTCTTTATCAAAGCTACTGGTATTCGATTTGTCAACTAGTGAATTCCAGAAAAAGTACAAATAGGCAACATACCCTAAGTAGCCTGATGCAACTTTTGGATAAATGTCGTCCCTCCTTCCCAAGTATTGTTTATAGTAAAAAAACTTAAAAGCAGGAGCAAGTCAATGCTTGACAAAGAAGAATAAAGAGCTATCCGCAGCTAATACAAATCATATTGTTGAAATTTTTGAACCTATGCTTCTTAGATATTTGAAGTATCATCTTCAAAACATGTTTGCTGTACGTAATCAATCGATATTCAAGTTGACAATTAGAGTATATTTATATTCTATTCAATATGCTTCCCACCCAGAAAATATATAACAACTTTTTATAAAGTATTGTTACCAATTTGTTTGTGGTGGGAATCCTCAATAGCCGACACTCACAATTTTTGAAGACCATAAAAAAATCGCACTATGGTGCTATCGGACTTAAGTATCTATGTTTTTGCATTTGTTTCAATTTCTTCTTTGAAAATTTTTTATATGTAATAATTATTAAATCTCCGCTAAATGTAGGAAAAAATGTGTGCTCCTAAAGCTTGTCACTTTCTTGATCACATGACTTTCCGTTTTAGGATAAATATTTTCATGTACCGCCTATGGGAGCCATCAAGATGTTTCAACTTCTGAAAAATTTAAACTCCGCAAATAAATCTATTAAAACACCCAAACTTTGAAGGGTATCAACTTTTGCAAAAATGAATTTAATACAAAACGCTTCAATAGAATTATAGAGAATAGCATGCTTAATAGTTCTATTCAAGAATTTTTTATTAAATCCATTTTTGCAAAAGTTGATATCTTTTGAAAAATACCATTATACATAGATACTTAAGTCCGATAGCACCATACCATGTTTCTTTTTTCAGAAATTGAAGTATATACTAGAAAAAATGACACGAAAATCCCTCTCTACCCTGAAAAGTGATGTATTTCTATTCTGTCACATATTTTGGTAGAACATGAAGAGAAACACACAAATCACCATCCCTATCATGCCCGGAAATTGTCTTTACCTCGTCTGTTCAGCTTGTTCCTGAAACCCTCTATACACTTTCGATCTATAACCATCTTTCCGAGCACTTTGTCTGCTTTTTTTGTCAAATTATATACTAAGGTGGTATAATAAGTAACTTGAAATGTTTAAAAAGGTCGTAAATTTTAAAGCATTGGGAATCAAAATGTATAGCATCATTGAAATTTAATCGAAAATATAATTAATCGAGTGTTTTCTATACCCTAGCAATCTGATTCCTAATGGGAACAACCAGGTTTTATTCAAAAACCTCTTGGTGTCAGACGGGTTTTCGGTCGATTATATTTTTTATAAAAAAAAAAGAGTTTTCTTGGGCAGTAAAGAATCTAGACCTCAAGCTAACAGACTTTGATCACGAAGAGGTCGTGTCGCTATATAATCCTGTTTATTTAGGTCCTGGAAGAAAGACGATGTATACGGTAGTGTGTGGCTTCAATAAAGATATTCACCCTATTATACGTTGCTCGACTAAAGAAATATTATCATTACACTGGGTCAGCAAAAACTTAAGAAAATGGAATAGAGGAAGTAGAATATTAAATTCCAGCACATAATATAGACAAATCTGATAGATATTACGACCGTGTACGATATATGTTTGAGCCTATTGATAGCCTATTCGACTTCTACAATTATTCTAGCAGAAAACATCGTCTCACATTATATTAAGGTAAAAAAATGGGCACCAGAATTTATCATCGAGATTCTGGTGAACGGAGGCGTAAAATACAATCATAAAAGAAGAAAGTGGAAGTAGAAGAAAGAAGGTAGTGAAAAATAAGATCTTTTATATTTTAACATGTTAAATAGTCACCATCTAATCTAGAAAAAATACAAAGATTGAATAAGTGGAGGCCATAAAAGTATTTCGAAGATAAGAATAAGATCCCATTAATCGTCTTTGGGATGGTGTGCTTGGTAAAGCCTCTGTAAAGCCAAATGTGAACTGATGTGAAGTCACAGGAATCTTATAGAAGACCCTAAATAAGAGGGAAAGAGATAGCCAACTAGTTACTGTTACAATAAATGAATATAATTCTTCAAAAACTTGCAGTAGCTGTCATCATAAAGCTTTAAAGCTAGTTAAGCATATTTACAGTCATAGTATCCTAGAATACACATCTTGTAGAATACTATGGCAACGAGATAATAACGCGAGTAAAGATATGATGGCAATATCACTTTCGACTTGGAGAGGAAGTTGCCGACCGGCTGATTTTCAAAGACCTAAAAAACAGCAATAATAACAGTAAGAACTTCATCTAATAGCACCGTATTATAAACAGCCTGTTTTTCTTGGGACATATAGATGATTACAGGTAAACTTCTAAATACTGCCCTCATTTCATCTGAAAACTAATTTCTTTTCGTCTATATTTTCTTTTTTGTTTGTTCAAAAAAGGTAAATATAACATTTAAAAATTAATTTTTGATTCGTCTAAAACATTTCCTGATTTGTCTCAATCTCAAGTAGAAATTGTAGAATTTGCCCAGACCCAAAAATTCCTGATTTTAAACAAAATGCACCCTATTCAAATCCCTTGTAATTAAAATCCCTTGTGTAATGGTTCATTTACACTGTATAAGTGTGTATTGTATGTATAATTAGTGTGTAACATTTCCGGAGATTGTTTACTTGCCAGGTTCATTAACAAGAAGGAACCAGAGTTTGGTTTTGGAGTCTGTACTTCGCTCAATTGTGGTGTGTATACCACACTGTTTAATGAATTTTGTGAGATTTCATATTTCTCACACCCAAAATAACTACCACTTATTCAATGGACGAGTTAATAGCAACAAATTATAATATTACTACCTGTTACAATGACACTATGAATTCAATTTAAAGCAAACTAGCGTAAAAAAGGCTTTGGCTCAAAGTTTAAATTTTGGCTAATTATTGTTATTTAACATCAAGGTCATAAAGCTATTCATCATAAGCTGTTCAATAATATGCCTGTAACGTGGCAAATATTATTTTATTCTCAAAGTCTTTATTAAACACATGTTCCATAACGACATGGTTAAACAAATTATTATGCGGTATCTTTATTATCTTAAATATTTCTAGTTTAAATCATGTTACCATTGGTTACCATGATACGTAGGACGTTGGCTCTGCCACCCTAGAGAATTTTCTTGCATGATTGGGGCTGATATACTCTGAGCAAATACTTGGTGTTGTTGCTGGGCTTCTGTATCTTTTCGCACCCGGTGGCGGCGGTAAGCACGTACACTTACTACAGTAGCAGCAGCATACACAACAACGCCGACAGAAACACAAATACCAATAATTGATGCTTTTGACAATCCACCATTTCCACTAGAACCTCCATTACTGGATGATGAACTTTGATCTTCAGTTGAATTTGGGTCTACAATGCTAGAAGACGCAGAACTGGAGCTAGAACTTGAACTGGAACTACCGCTGACAGGGTAAGAATTGTCTACCAGAGATGCCAGCTGGCCGTTTGAGGTTGAATAAAGAACACTGGTAGGATCCGAAACGAGATTCTGAAGGGGGATCACACTATCTTTGGGCACAGAAAGAGTGACAACGACGCCATTGCTGTTTGTATTGTATTCTTCGTTATCTCTCTTCTTGTTTGTCGTTTTCTTGGCTGCGCTTGTCAATGTAATCACAATAACATCATCCGCAGTGATGTTGAGAGCATTACCAACAAACAATGGCATTGCCTGAACAAACTCGGCAGTAAGAATAGCGTCTGAGACCATTTGAGAATAAGAGAGCTCCTTAAATTTCATATACGCCATAGAATTGGTTTCTGAAATAAGACAGCGTATTAGAAAAGACAGCCGGACTACCAAAAGAAATTAACTTACCAGGAATTATGGCATCAATGTTAGGAGCAATATATTCAGGGATATTATCAGCAATATCGGTGTTTTCAGTGTTGGTATTAACTATAGGAGTAGTTTGATCAGGATTTCCTACAGAGCTTGGTGAACTCTGTGCGTTAGCTGCAAGTGAAGAGCTACTGTGAGTCGGAGTAGCAGCAGGGACAAATGTGAATGAGTTTGTAAGCCATGAATAAGTTTGATATCTGTAGGTCGATGAGCGGGAAAACGATGTTGTAGATGCACTTGAAGACGAGATTTCAGAGGGAATGTGAGTAGTAGATATAGTATCGGTGGGTGTCGGGGTAGTTGATGTCTCTGATACAACAGGAGTGGTCGTTTCCGGACTATTATCATTGTTGTTAGCAGGTGATGTAGGGTCTGAATTATCTGTCGAAGAGTCAGTAGAAGAAATCTCTGGATATTGAACGGGGACACTTGATGAGCTTGTTGAGCTAGGTTCAGATGTAATCGTAGATTGAGCATCTGACGAAGAAGATGAGGAAGACATGTGTGGCGTAGAAGGTGTAAGGGGATCGGAATCGGAAGTAGGTGTAGCGGAAGGTCTAGTAATTGATGGTTCAGAAGCAGTGTTGGTCTGTGTTCCTGATGAGCTAAAAGAAGAGTATACAGTAGATGTTTCATTCTTGGTAGGACTAGCATTTGTTGCACTCGCTGCTTCTGAAGTTTCTTTAGAAGGAGAATGATCTTCAGTTGGTGTACCGGTGTTTGATGGTTTGTGCGAAGTCATGGAGACTGCTAATGATGTGTGGCTACCGCTAGAGGACGGCTTCCTAGTATATGTTGGATCTCCTACAACTGGACTGGTTATCAAAGATGTTGATTCTACATTTGACGAGGTCTTTGTTGCTGTTATCGATGGCTCAGTAACATCTGTTTTGGTACTGGAATTGCTAGAATCTGAGGAGCTAACAGAAGTTTCTGTAGCAGCCGATGTTTTATGTCCCTCGGATGAGGTGCTCGAAAGGGAATGTGTAGATTTAGTAGATTTTACTGTTTGACTAGTTTCAGCATCAGATGTAGGTGCAGCTGAAGATGAAGAGTGAGTAGCTGTCGTAGATCCAGTGGGTTTAATAGCCTCACTCGTCTCGGCGTCAGACGTATGTGTAGCCGAAGATGAAGAGTGATTAGCTGTCGAAGATCCAGTGGGTTTAATAGCCTCACTCGTCTCGGCGTCAGACGTAGGTGTAGCCGAAGATGAAGAGTGATTAGCTGTCGAAGATGCAGTAGGTTTAGTAGCATCACTCTTCTCAGCGTCAGACGTAGGAGTAACCGAATATGAAGAGTGATTAGCTGTCGAAGATGCAGTAGGTTTAGCAGCCTCACTCGTCTCGGCGTCAGACGTAGGAGTAACCGAAGATGAAGAGTGAATAGCTGTCGAAGATGCAGTGGATTTAGTAGCCTCACTCGTCTCGGCGTCAGACGTAGGAGTAGCCAAAGATGAAGATCGAGCGACTGTCACCGATGTAGTAGATTTAATAGCCTCACTTGTCTCGGATTCAGACGTAGGAGCAGCTGAAGATGAAGAGCGAGTAGCTGTCGTAGATGCAGTGGGTTTAATAGCATCACTCGTCTCAGCGTCAGAAGTAGGAGTATTCGAAGATGAAGAGTGAATAGCTGTCGAAGATGCAGTGGATTTAGTAGCCTCACTCGTCTCGGCGTCAGACGTAGGAGTAGCCAAAGATGAAGATCGGGCGACTGTCACCGATGTAGTAGATTTAATAGCCTCACTTGTCTCGGGTTCAGACGTACGAGCAGCTGAAGATGAAGAACGAGTGGATGAGATAGCTTCAGTAGTCTTCTCGGCGTCAGTAGTTTTTGTTGATTCAGCAGTGTTTTCATCGTCAGTGGACTTTGCCAGCTCAGTAATTTCTGACTTGCTAGTATAGCTACTTGAAGAGCGTGTAACGGTTACTGAAGCGGTTGGTTCCGTCTGATTAGTCGTCTTTGATTGAACTGTGTGGGTGCTCGACTCTGACTGTTCCTGTATTACTGACGTCGTGGCATCATCAACTTTACTAATTTCTGCTTTAGACGTAGATCCGCTCAACGAGGTGGGTAAAGCTGTAGAAGATTTAGTCTCTTTTTCAGTGGATTCACTGGTATTCGAGGTGCTTGGAGCATCAGTAGGTGTTGCACGAATTTCTTCCTCGGCGGACTTTTCTAAAGACTTCGAGATACTGGCAACTGTTGACTTTGCTATAGCCTCTGTTTCCTTTCCTTGTAACGAAGCGTGAGGGGTGGTAGAAGATGCTACATGGCTTGTGGTTTTTGTAGGTTCGTAAGACGTAGCCGTAGAGTGAGCAGAGGTCGTGGTGTGTGTGATTGAAATTGTAGGTTCTTTTGAACTCGGTTCTGTGGTCGAGGAGGAATGGGAAGCAGTAGTGGAGTGAGAGCTAGATGGATATTGGGTAGTGACTGTAGTGGTTACGGTGGAACTCTGGTCGATTACAGTGGTGGAGTGACTGGCAACAATAGATGAAGACTATTTTTTTTTAGATTTTCTTTAATGAACGTTGAATGAACATAAAGTCAATTGCTTACTGTAGTATGTGTGTTCAATTCTTTGTCGATTTTTTCGGAAGTCTTAACGTCGACATCCTGGGCAGAAACAGCATTACCATTGAGATTAAGGAAAATGAATGAGATGAAGAGAACGGCAAATAGGCGAGCTAAATTGCCTTTGGGGGAGTTCCTTTTTGTCATTTGATGGCTATTATAGCACCAAAATGAAATTAAGGGCGTGAAAATGAATGGAAGGGGATCGCGAAAGAAAAGAGGAACAAACGATAAAGAGGTCTTTGTAAGTATTGTCTGTTGGCTGACCGACATGCCATAATTTCTTCGTCCTACACTTCTTGCAACGTATCACCAAATGTAGGAAGGTGTCTTTTGTTGCCATTCAGGGCGTCAGACCACGTTGCAGAGCACATTAAATGCACCAGATGGTCTACCGCTCTTTTTTTCAGCTTTTTGATTCTCGACCCTGTGCACTGGATCAACACACACGTTTCTCGATTTTCTTGTTCTGGTCTGTCATCTCGAGACGTTGCGCCCAAACATGTCCCTGATTTGCCTCCGGTATAATTTTCAGACAAATATTTTTGTGATTAAGTGGTTCATAAGCGGTGATTCTGAATGAATATTATATCCTGTCGAAAGAGTGCACCATAATTGTCTGAGTTTATCGGCTGAGACAATGCGGATTGGAGACAAGGACAGACCTTCCACGGCAGAAGGACATTGTCTCTCCTCCCTCATTTTTGCCATATTTAAAATAAGGGCCAGATTTACAATCCTGTGCCCACATGTTTCGAATAAAATACCTCTTTCACTTTCCCTACCGTCTCACCAACCTATTTAACTTGCCTGTTCATAACATTTTCAGTTCGTTTTCACCCCTAATTTAACTAAACATGTGACTCTAAGCCCACTTGACTCAAACAAAAGAAAAATACACACAAACATACTAAGAAAAAAAAATGGGAGAACCGGGTCTGCGCTGAAATATTACTCTTCTTTCATATCTTGACATGGTTCTAATCGACAACCCTGCATATAATTTTGATTTTAAGCTCGTTATTGTTGGTGATTCTGCGGTCGGAAAGACTCATCTTCTACGTCGGTTTGTCCATGACAAATTTGACCATTCATCAATGAGCACAATTGGAGTCGACTTATTAGTGAAGGAAATGGTTGTCAATCATACTTGGGGAAGAATTCAACTTTGGGATACGGCGGGACAGGAGCGATTCCGTTCAGCTACCAAGCGGTGAGTGGTGCATCACTATAAATATATGTCTTATAATTTTATGAAGCTACTATCGCGGATGTGTAGGTGCTCTTGTTGTCTACGACATTACAAAACACGCAAGTTTTGAAAATATACCCAAATGGCTTGAAGAGCTGCAATTTAACGATACTCACCCAGATCTTCGCGTAATTATGATCGGAAATAAGTCCGATCTGGATGACCAGCGCGAGGTGACGATAAAAGAAGGCCTTGAGTTTGCTAAGAAACACAAACTAATGTTTATGGAGACAAGCGCCCTCGACTGCTCCAATGTGGATAATGCGTTTTATACGCTTATTAGTAATGTTCATGAAACATCAGCTTCACAGATCTTTGCACTAAGTGATAAGGATGTTTTACTGCCTCAGGGGGAGGTTATTAAATTAAATAGCTCAAGGACACGAAAAAGGTCTTTTACAGAGAAGAGATGCTCATGTTAATAGGGGCATTATTGCAATAAATAAATAAAAAGGATTATCTATTATACTTGCGTTTGACAATACTAACTATTTTTGTTGGATGATGTCACTGTAGACTAGTAGGAAAAGATGTCCTTCAAGGCTTTTATTGACATTGGTAGATATTTACTCTTTTAGGAATATAGATTAACATCACCTAATTCTTTGGGAAAAAATAGTGATTTCAAATGTGATTCTGGAGAAGGCTTCGTGACAAAGCTACCTTTTTTATTCTCTCTTTTTATGGAAAATGATGTGTCTCTGCTCTCTTGTGGATGTGGGTTATATTCCTACGCTCATATATTTTTCATATTTTATAGTTATATTTTTAATTGATAATGGGAGATATAATTCTTTTGTACAATTAATATTCCTTGAATTTCTTAATGATTAAATGACTTATATCTTTAAACGATTCTCCTGTATTTGTAAATATATATATATATATCTCAATATATTTATATACTTAATTTAGTACTAGATTCTCATGCACTAAATTCACATATGTTAAAAAAAAAGAGTTTATCAAACTCTCCACAATTAAAGACCAACAAGTTTAAACTTTACAGATCTTTGCATTTTGCTTTTGTAAATACTCTATTTACTGACCTAAAGAATATCTACTCAAGTAATGTCTTAGTATATTACCCCTATTAATTGACACTTTCGAAAGCACCGACCAAGCAAATTCGTATCTTAGTACTTTACAGATTGAAACACAATGAGCAGAACTACCCCATCCTGAGTTCTTACTGTCAAGACATCATTACAAGTAACTAAGTGAATTTTGCAGCTCATCGAACCATACGATTGAAGAGTTAATATAGTTGACTTGGAAGATATTGTCTATGTCCATGATGATCATGTTTTATTTATTTATCAGAAGAAAATGAAATAATACTGAAAGGGTATCTTTATTAACCCTGGGAGAAGATACCTTATATATTACATGTATCAGGACTCTATTGTAGACAGCCGTACTTAAATTCTGAAGATAATTTTTGGAATCAAGGTCTTACTGTCATCTTGAACTTATTATTTGATTGAGAGCTATGTGAATTATAGATATATTTACGATTAATGGTGTGAGCCGAAAAATTGTTACAGATTTCATCTTTTTCTTAGACTTTCAAACTTCATAAATTTTATCTAGAGCGCCAAAAGGAGAAGAAGTAATGTTTAATCAGAATTCAATCTTAAAATAACCCTTAAGCCCAGGAAAATCATGCAAAAAAAAACTCCTGCTAAAGCCGCCTTTTATATCATGATGTAGCATGTATATATTATATAGAACAATAACGGAAGTATTTTTGAGGATCAAATCAATGCAAAATTTATCGACTATTGCTGAAAACCAGCTTCATTGGCTTCCAGCTCTATGCTTGTATTTTGAATCCTTTAGTGTCCAAGGAGTGTAATCTTGACAGTTTGTGATAATTCTTCATTGCAAATAGAGTTTACTGCTCTTATCTACAATATTATTCAGTGTACCTTTTTTTTTATTTCTGTATTGTACTTGATTGCCTTAGTTTTTGTTAAAAAATTCAGAATATATTAGAGATCGAAATAAGTATTATTGTTTTATTACTATCACTATACTTCATTGCAATCCAAATTTTTAATGGATCAAAACTTACGTTTTAACGCAAATTATATTTTTAGAGATCGCAAATTTAATTTGAAAGAGCATAAACCATTAAGAGAAAAAAAAATGACCGGTATTTCGTTCTATGGGCAAAACAACTCTACTACAAGTACATGACGAGGAAAGAAATTAAGCCCAGACCTAATAATGTTTAAAGTTAGTATAATGCATACACATATTTATACGAGTTTTAATATATGTAATAAGGTACAAACCTTGAGCATACTGTCCCAGCTACCAGTGCAGAGAGCCATACCATCGCTCGAAACACCCAAACAAGATACTCTGTTTTCATGACCAGAGAGGGCTCCTACCCGCTCACCCTTGAGAGTATCCCATATTTGGGTACTATAATCGTCATAGCCTGCAAACAAGAGACGTCCTGATGATGAAAAAGCGATAGATGTAATACCATGCAGAATAGTGTCATTTCCATATGTGTGTAACTCTCTGTCTGCTCGAAGATCAAACAGTCGGCAACTGGCATCATCTGAACCTGTACCAAATGCCATTCCGTTCGGGAAAAATCTAAAAAATAATTATTCATTTATTTATTTGTTTGTTTTTTATTTTACTTTATCTCAGTAGCTATCATTTGTAAATGGAATTTTTAGACTTACTGAACCGAGTTTATATCAGACTCATGGCCTGCAAATGTCTGGACGCACTTCTGGGCTCGCATATCCCATACTTTGGCAACTGAATCACATCCACCAGAAACAAATACATTAGGATCTGTAGGAGATGGAGATACGCTAGATGACAATGTATTGTTAGTTGTATATATAATAATAGTGTGATTTATATACCTCATCACATCAGCAGCGTGATCAGTGAATTCTTGAATCTTTGCTCCGGCATCAATATCCCATAAGAAACATGACATATCTCCTGAACTTGTCAAGATTCTACGATCGTCCAGAAATCGACAACAGCTCAGATAACCGGTATGAGCTGCCAATTCTCGGGCTGGCCTCACAGGTCCGTCACGGGCAGTAAGGTTGTATATCGAACACACGTTATCAAGACCACCACAGGCCACAAAATTTCCAGAAGGTGCATAAGCGCATGTCATAACCCAAGCAGAACGCAGAGAAACAGCATGGAGTTTGTTGGTTGTGTAGGCATTCCAGACAATTAACTTTCCATCTTGAGATGCAGAAACTAGGTGTTGAGCATCTCCAGCCCAGTGCATAGCATAAATTTTTGCAAGGTGTCCACGTAGATTACGTCGCACCTTCATCACGAGTCGAGGGAGAGGTTCAACTGATTTTGCCATCTCGGTCACTGTTCGAGAAGGAAAGTTCAGGCAATAGTAAGATCCAACGTGCGTGAGGAATAAATAGTCGACTTACGGGTGCTGTCAGCCAAGGCATCACGACGTTGTCGGATGCGATCCTTAAGCATCTCTGCTTCTCTTCTTGCTGCTGTAATTCGCTCGTTAATGTCATCTGCGCTGCTCATTGTAGAGTTCGGTGGTCAGTGAAAATATCGGCGTGACAGGTAATGAAGCAAGTGGAGGATGTAATAAAAAAAAGAGAGAAAGAGGGGAAATTGATAATAAAAAATTGGGTGAATAGATGACTGTTGTGTGCTACCCACTGAACACGTTGAAGGATAGGAGAAAGGGGTGCTTTCGCTGGGTTGTGCAAAGAAAAGAGGAATATACTCTGGCGTGTAGTTAGTCGAGAACAGGACCTGGCACAATAATTTGAATACAAAGACCGAATGCGGAGTAAATTAACACAGATTGTTAAAAACATGCTTTAGACCTCTATTGATGGCAAGACCAAAGTCTTCTCTAGCAAGACCCTGAAGCTTCATCTATCTTATTATATATGCCTACTACAATGTACAGCAAAGAGAAAATTAGCTAAATATATATGTATATGTATATATATATATATATTGAAAAGGAATATATAAGCAGGGATTTTGTCCCTGAAGACAAAATCACTATTATATTCTTTTAGTTGATTGAAAACAGGCTATTTTTCATATTTACTCTTCTCTTTTAAGAAATTGATGAGAAAGACTACTTGTTTAAGATTGTTCTTTTTAAAAGAATATCTAATGAGTAATTTTTATCGAATATAATGGTAATACTTTTTTTTTCAAAGCTGTGTGTACTATTTATGTGTTTATTGTATCTCTGGTAACCACAATTAATAATCAATGTACATTCTATTCTTGTCTTGAAGAAAACCAGGATATGCATGCACTCCTATAGATACAATAAAAAAATAAGATGGCTGTACTCTCCATTCAGAGTGTTCTAGAGAGGAAACAATGTTCTGTGCATTTGGATATGCAGGTCAAGACATCATTAGAAGAAGACTAACTTGAATCAAACTAGATTAAGGGTCGAATATCAAAGTAGTATTACTGGTAAATCAACAGAACAAAATAAAGATTTTTGTGTTTAGTAACTAAAAACAGTAAGTGCTTGAAGTCATCAATAGTAGGACAAGAGATGTTATTAGTCGATATGTCTTTCGATAGGTTTTTTTCCCTATAATATATATAATGTAGTCGCGAATTTCGTATGTTTGGCTACAGATTTGCAACTTTACATTCGAGAACCACAATGTTATGTATATAAAAAGATAAACAGTTGTTAGTATTAATTAAACAAGATAAACAAACCCATAATGTTCTTCTTTCAAAGTGATCTACTGTATTTAATCTCAGGGAGACCTATGGGTATCCTGTCTTACGCAGCGCCAATTGTAATGAATTTAATTTCGGATTTCACTTGAATTCATAAATTCAATTTGTTTGTTATTTCATAAAATATTTGTTTTATAAACAGTACCAGGTTCTTATCTTATGGTATATTAACTAGTAATATATTAATAAATATTAAAGAAGATATATCCGTATATCTATATATTCGGCTATATCAGTATAATACACTTGTGTATGGAACAGGTTGTTTAGTTTGTGATATTTCCATCCCAAGGCATTATCAGTTACACATATATGAAGCGCAGTCATTTCGAATCCGATAATGCTGAAAATTTTCAAATCAATCTGATGCAAGTAATATATACATATGGAAAAAAGGCTCACGAACACTTGAGTACGTGGTGTGAAAGTCTGCTTGATCCCGAACCTGAGTGTGCCGTACTTTAAAATGAGTACTAGAAATTCTCTTTGATCATTTGGAGATACATTCAAGCTTCCCCTGATTCTCTACATTAATGCGGTACTTGAGAATACATCCTGCTATGATCTTTCAAGACATATTAGGTCAAAATTTAATTGTGATTTTACGGCCAATATATTCATTTCTTGGGTATAATCCCCATTTCAATTCAGCAAACTCACCCCTGTCCCACAGGGTACACCTGGCTCATTTCTTTTATTGTACCAATATACGGCAGATGAAAATTGATTAATTACATTTGAAATAATGATACTGGCCAAAATCATAAGAATACATGTAAAAATATACATGCTTATTAAAAAGTACATTTGGATAGGATATGGACACATATGCATTTGTATATATGTAGATTTGTATATCCACACACACATATATATAGTGAAATCAAATCAAATAAAAATATATGTCGTGTACATTCAATTTCTTCGGGCCTTTTTTTTCTTAATTGATATACATTGATGAAATTCCCAAAAGAAATAATGCTAAGATCATTCGATAACTTCAGAAAGACACTGTTTAACCAAAATAACCAAGATGGAAATAAAGAAATATTTATAGTTTACAACCACAAATAACTATTGGATATTTCACGGGTTTCAAGAAAGGCATGGAATTTATGTTTTATTATATCTAGGATAATTATTATACTAAATTTTATTATTGAAATAAGTATATTTTTACTTATTGCTTTCTTGTGTGCCTATTGACGGTTGGCTCACTAATTACAATTTTACACAAATCGAAAAAGTTCATAGAAATAATAATATAGTATTTTTGTGACGCAGACATTTTTTTGTTTATCTCAATGGCGAAGAAAAAAAAATATACAAATTTAGGTGTAAATAGCATTAATGTAACTGTTAACCCTGGAGTGTCTTTTCTCTGCTTTTGCGTGCCTATTCTGACCCTTTTTTATACATACAAAAGAACTTTGAAACGGCATGCCACTTACCAAACCAGCACCACCACCACCAAAGCCAACATTTGACGAATTCTCAACACCTGCAGATTTTAATGACAAGTTCAAAAAGAAGGAGACAACAAAGTACATGAACCCATGTTCGGTTGAGGAGAAACAAAGCATGAAGTGCCTGGACAAAAACAATTACGACAAGTCAAAATGCGATTACTTTTTTATCCAATACAAGGAATGCAAGAAGAAATGGGTAAGAATTTATAATGGAAATATTCCTTAACTCATCATTCACTCTCAATATAGCTTGAGGATAGACGCCAATTAAGAAGAAAGGGCTTATTGTAAATAATCTTAAGTTCACAAAATCTGCAGTAATTTGACATCTCCATTTACATTTTTAAAAACTGAAAGTTTATTTTACTACACAAGACCATCACGCACATTCTACACAATTTAATGTTCACACATAGACTCAATCACAAAATATTATAGAATTTAAATGCATTTTGTACTGTCGATACGTGTGTATCAGAGGAAGTTTATTTCAGGAAAAAATGTTTAGTTAACACTTTAATCGAAGAGACCTATTAAAGCACATTACGTCAAATTAGTTTTATATCCAAAAATGTAAAAATAACTTGATCACTTACCGAAGCCCATATCGTCGTCGGACTCCTCCTTCTCCTCAACAGCCTCCTCAACAGCGGCCTCAGTGGAGGCAGCGGCACCAGCAGCGCCAGTAGCAGCGGCAGCACCACCGGCACCAGGGGCACCGACGTTCAACAAAAGAGCCTTAAGGTCCTGGCCAGCGAGAGCCTTGGCGTAGAGGGAGAACCAGACGGGCTCAACCTCGATACCAGCAGCCTTGACAAGGGTCTGGAGCTTGTCAGACTAGTGTAATGTGTATATATATATAGTCAGTGTTTTTGCTCGTGTGTAGGATTATTAAGTATCACTTACGGTGATTTCAACGTTGTCATCCTGGAGGATGAGAGCGGCGTAGACGACGGCGAGTTCGGCGGACATGCTGTATATACAAAAGGTAAGGATGATGTTCGATGGATGGATGTTTCAATGCTACGTACACGCAACGGATGGATGCAAATGAAGGAGGTTCAATGGATGGACGCATTCGCTCGCCAGTATCTTGTTTTCGAAACACAGTCACAGGTCGACCTGTTTGGATCGGAGCACCGAGATGAATTTTACAAGACTTTGTTCAAGAATCGGAGAGGGAATGATACTTACCACTCCCTCCCTTTTAGGTGCTTTATTGGTTACTCAATGTCAAGTTGGATGAAGAATTGAATATTTGAGAATTGACTTTTAGAACAAAAATATTATATATATAAGAAAGAAGGAGAATGTAGGAGCTTGAGTAGAAACATATGTTTTGTTTCCATTTAATTAAGGTAGTAAGCTACTGCACCACAGGCACTAGATGTCAGCAAAGACGACAAGAAATTAACCTGATAAAAAAACGGTACATGATTGTTGGTATATACTCCTTCTTAAAACACTTGCGTTATCTTTCTTACCTGGTGGTTGTCGAGTATATCATGGCCACTAATGACATCTCCATCCTCCTTGGAAGCTTCGTTTAGTACCATTTTCTTTTTAGAAGAATAAAGAGTCTGTTGAACAGTGGCTCCAAGCACAGAATCAATCTACAGACAATACATAAATACAAACCTTACGCCATAGTTCTTGTTTCGACTTACCAATGATCCACCTAAACCAGCACAGCTTCCTAAAACAATAATATCCCAAGCGAATCCATGACAGGGACTTTCAAATGCTAAACATATAGCTCCCATCAATCCTATAAATGCACCGCCACCAATGGAAGCAGCAAGACCAAGAGGAGATACACCACCATTTGTTCCTGGAGGAACTTTCTTGAATGTTGTAATAAGTGTTGGCCAGCCCTTGTTGAGAACGCCAAGTTCACTTGCCCACTATAATCATGTTTGCAGTTGAGTATACATAAAGTCAACCCTTATACTCTGGACTTACGGTGTCGCCAGCACAGCATCCGTAGTGCCTATAAAACATTCGACCATATTAGAACCTTAGATTAAATTAAAAGTTTATCTTACCCAATATAAATCCACATCATTACAGTGTGTAGCTTTGATTGGTCATAACAAGTAGTAGTTGGCTCTCCTAGATAGTGGAAAAGTCCTACAGCAATACCTCCCAGAAGACCATTGCACACTACTTGTGTGAGGTCACGTTCGCTCGACTTTTCATAGTCTATTTCAATAAGTTTTTTTCTGTCTGCTTTGAACTGGGCATTACATTAGAAATGAGAGTTGAATAAGGTATGCCACTTACTTTCGTGAGTTTCGAGCTGGAAAGAAAGAAAGAAAGTAAAACGACAGTGAAAAAGAAGTATGTAGATGAGAAGGTAATCATTCCCAAAAAGAATGCACCCACTGCACCATCAATTGTCAGAGATTTCTTTCGCCTGGTGTGAATGACCATCAGAATGGATAAACCCAAAGCAAATAGTAAACGCGCCATGGTGAAAAAAAAAAGAAGAAGGACAGGAAGAAAACCAAAGGCGGATTTAACGATGTTCAACGGACTTAGTTTATCTGTACGCCTATCGTGTTCCACACTTGTAAATTTAACTTGGATTGTGGATTAAATTTATAGTTATACTGATATTGGTCGTAATGCTTAACCACTGAACAGGGAAATCGACCCAATTAGAAAAATAAGAATATAATTAGCATGACACAACTGTGCGCTTGATATTACAGCCCCACGTATAATAACTATATGCTCTTTTAATGAAATAAAAAAAAACATTGTTTATTGTTACGATTAGAACAAAACAAGGTCTAAAGGGTACGAAAATATTTAATCTGATCTGATCTTGAGGTCGGTCAAGTCAGCATGGCTACCAGCAGTCAAACCGCGAGCACTTGCACGCTCAAAAGACCTTTATAAAAAATAGTTTAATATGTATCCTTCCAGATATAAATTATATGTATACTTACTCTGGGTATCTCATGCGGTAGATAGGCGCGCGTTGAGCATCCTGATAAACAAGTCTTTATATATAATTAGCAAGCATATAATCAATCATACTCTTAATACTTCCTTCTAACTCGTACTATATTTTACTCCATCTTTTTTCTTGTTTTTCTCATTTTTTATCCATTAAATAAATTACCTATACTCGGCCAACTTCTCTGCAGCTTCAAGGTTTTCAGTGTTGATGCGATCCATCTCTGTGCTGGGGGTCATACGGTACTCAATCCACTTTGTGAAAGGATGCTTCTCCTAAAAAGAGAGAAAATAAACATACACACAGCACACATTATGACATTCAGCACATTGTTTTCTTTCATACGGACTATTTATACTCTAACAGGATATAGCTTACTTCACCCTGACCAGTGACATGTTCGCTCACACGATAAAATACAACACCGGCAATAATGGTGAGCAAAGAGTTTCTCCAGACATTGCTGCTAAATCCTATATAAAGCAATAGCCGGGGTAAATAAGCCGCCACAATTCACAGAATAAGCTGTCTATACACCCACTTTCTTCAGGGAAAGACTCTGTAGCATGCTTAGCAGAACCGTGCTCAGACGCGTATGAGCGCTTGAGGATCTGACTAACGGGTGATGATTTCAAGAGAGAGGTTTTGCTAGCAAAGCGCGACGCCATTGGAAACTAAACTAATTCGTACAGGGACAAAGAGGAATCTATGTTTACAGTCTTACTATGCGGAACCTGAAATATAATGTGACGTCCAGTTCTATTATAGCTCCGAGAGCTATCACAAAATAGCGAAGACTTCAGCGGATGCTGTATTGCAAACCTTGAAATATAAGCAACCATGTCGGGATCAGCAAACCAATCGGGCGACGAAGGCGATATCGATCTTAAAGAACAAGACCGTTTTTTGCCGATCGCAAAGTAAATAGCTAATGACGAGAGTATTTATCTGTAGATCTTATATTATTACATCTAGTGTTGCACGCATCATGAAGAAGGCTTTGCCCGAAAATGCCAAGATTGCGAAAGACGCGAAAGAGTGTGTCCAAGAATGTGTCTCTGAGTTTATCTCATTCATAACTAGCGAATATCCTTTATTGATAAAAATTAGATACATAAATATGTGCATAGATATATACATATATATATATACATGTATATATATGTGTGTATGTTTTATATCTAGATTTTAAAGATATTTTATTTTGTCTTATCCTTAACCTTTTTCATACAGCAAGTGACCGATGCCAGCAGGAAAAGAGAAAAACAATTAACGGCGAAGATATATTGTGGGCTATGCAATCTCTTGGATTTGAAAGCTACGCAGGCGCATTAAAGATTTATCTCACAAAATATCGCGACGTAAGTTTACTTAAGAATAAGAATAAAGAACTTTTTTGATTTATCTTTAATCAATTTTTTTAACTCATGCTATCGTAATTTTAATAGACTACTAAAACTGACAGACCTACTACAGCCAAGGAAAAAGAAGATGGACCAATTTATGTTCCTCAGCCATCTGGAGAGCATGGTACCGAAAGTTATTATAATGGTAAATATATTGTATTAAGTATGAATCAAACAAGTTAAGCACTTTAACTTATAAAATGTCTAAATAACAGCTATTGCTCATCAATATTTGGATCCAAACAAGAACTAAGGTTCATTATTCACTATAAGCCTTTCCGCTAAGGCTAGTAATATCATGATTAACTAGTAGTACATTATATACTCGTGTATTGTATACTGGCTTCAAAAAAAAACAAAAAAAAAACAAAAAATGTGTATATTGTATCATTTCGTCTCGTTTAAACATGTTTGTCTGCGATTGGATTTGCATGAATTGTTACACTTCGAATGCGCACTTCCTGTATAGGGCGATTTTTCTCGTCTACTGGCATTTTTTCTATCGCATCTAGAGTAGTATCTGCACCGTCAATAACCCTAAACATGCCGACATTAATAAACCATAGAATCATATTTCAACTAAACTTACTTTCCGAAGATTGTATATTTTGTATCCAAATGTGGGTGCTTTCCATATGTAATGAAGAATTGGGAACCATTTGTATTAGGTCCTGAGTTGGCCATTGAAACAATACCGCGAGCATTATGCTATCAATATTAGCTATATGTTAGCTGTGTTTATTTACATTTAGTATATTGGCTGTTTTTACCTTTAATACAGATCGAATTTCGTCATTAAACTTCTGTCCCCAGATTGAATTTCCTCCTTTTCCTGTACCAGTGGGATCACCCGTCTGAAAACAAATTTCAGTGAATGTATTAGATATATTTTGATTTGGATGAGAATGACTCACTTGTAACATAAAGCCCTTTATATTTCTGTGGAATAGATTATTGTCGTAATATCCACTTGCACATAGGGCAAGAAAGTTCTACAAAAATTGTCAATTGACAAGGTCTGATCGCCAACATTTTATTTTCTTCTCATTAAGCTTACTTCTGCTGTCTTTGGCACAGATTCACAAAAGACTTCTATCTTCAGATCGCCGAGATCGGTATGTAATGTTACAGACTAAAAGATAATATATTTAGTGGCTAATAGCTATGCTAATGTATAGTGATTCATACCATTATTAGTAAGAGATGAACTTAAAGAACTTGGAACGCGGTTAAAGAAGACTGTACAGCACTATGAACAGTCACACGATATCCTCTCAGTATTTGAAGCTGCGTATTTCTTTTCTCTCTCTCTCTTTATATATATATAGTTGTGTAAATGAAGATAATAAATCCATATTTTATGAAGATTTAATAAATACGGCTCAAAAAAAATAGACCCTTTAACTTAGAGCTTATTATCCCATTTCAGAAAGCCGAGTTCAAGAAGTCCAGTAAATGAGATCTGTTTTGATCTCTTTCCTTATCGTCAGCAGTTTTGCGAATCTTCAGTTTGAGCTAATATTTATGCGAAAATTAAACACCACCTCCACTAAGAAACAAGTAGGCGAAAATAAGAGAATCTACAATTTATCTCTGTGCCTACCTTTTTACCAGTAATTGCACTACGAGGGTTACTATCATCGTCACTCAAACTGCTTCTCCTCTTGCTTTTTCGCTTTATATAAAACTATAGTTAAGTAACCTACCCTCAAGTAACATACCACATATTGACTTGTTCTCTCATCATTAATTCTATTTATATTGCTACTATTGCTGTTTTTACCTTTTTCTTGTCTTTATTCTTACTCTTGCTTCTACTCTTGTCTTTACTTTTACTTTTTTTGGACTTTCTCTTGGAGTCTCTCTCGTCTAATATCCTGTATAAGCATAGCTTCTTTTTTCTTGTCTTTGTCTTTGTCATTTTCTTTTCTACCTTGATCAGATTCGCTTCCACTTGTGCTGCTATCATAAGAGCTCGCTGAATGACTTCTCGAATGATTGCTATGAGAGCGACGTGATCTCTGTCGCTCGTCTCTGTGATTTTGGCGAGGAGATCTCGAGCGTGAGCTAGATCTACCTGTTAGATTATACACATTTAAATTACAAGCCAAGGCAAATAATGCCAAGGCGATGCGAGTCAATGATGAATAAAAATAAGGAATCATCGCCGACCCCCGTGTTGATAGGTTGGATTCACAATAAAAATGATGAACACGCCATTGAAACAAAAAGATTGTGTGAGGAACAAGTATTGTCAAAATCAGACCATCATCACATACCTCGAGAGCGCTGTTCAGAATGGCGATGAGAGCTTTGGCTTTTTACAGATCTGGATCGTCTACTATCATTAGATGGAGAAGAGTGTCGACGTCGTGTGGGTGAGCGACTACGATCTCTTTTGTAGCTAGAATCTCTTGAACCTCGATCTGATAAGATTAACTATAAGAAAGAGCTTTCTGTGATGAAGACCAGAGTTAATGAAAAATGCTTCACCTCTTTCTCCCATGATTTTCTTGTAGATAATAATAACAAGGTAAAGGACAACCAGCTGTTGCCATAACTCAAAAAGATGTTACAAGCTGCATCACAGTCACAAGGACTTTATTTGTTGAAAATAAAGCAAAACACATTTGTAAGGCGTACAATTCGAAAATACAAGGCGCATCTTTAAGAGTTACTAACCATTATGAATGGACCTTCTTTTCAAATAAACAATACAGAAAGGTATTCTTAGTTTACTAAGGAGCATATTAAACATTTTGACATTATCTTCTATATAATGTTTACTCAACTTTTTGTTTAAAGGTGTTCTCCAGTGTCCTCAATCTAGTACCTAAAAAATCTAGGATCGGTTCAATGGACAAATATATTACTGTCAGCTATTATTATGTTATTAATAAAAAATAAACAATAATAAATAGCCAATATTCTGGTGAAAATCGATCATATATCTAAGCAAGAGCATAGTAATTACTGAGCTGGACCAATTCACGGAGAGATATAGAGTAATATAAAGAACAAAAAATACTAAATTCAGCCTCTAAAATAATAAGAGTTATTCTCATTGACAGCCTTACAAGTACTTTCGATCCATATTTTCTTTCTCTCTCTAAAAAATTCTCTTTATTTTATATTTAAAATATAATAAAAAATGGATCACTCGAGCCTTAGTATGCAAAGGTTTATAGGTCTGAAAAGACAGGGCCTTATGAACCTCTTCATGATGTCATTTCCACTCGTATATAACTTCTTCGCTTTGGCACAACTATGGAGACTGTATACTACTATTAAATCATTCCTTACTAAAGTACCATACCAAAAAGACTTTAAATTAGCATGTAACAATGGTCAATTACTCCTGGTCATTGTAAAAGCTGAATCTAGTATTTTTGTTCTTTTACTCTATTATCTCTCCGAAAATTGATCCAGCTCAGTAATTACTATATTCTTGGTTAGATTAATGATCAACTTCCATCAGAATATCGGCTATTTATTATTGTTTATTGTTTATTTTTTATTAATAGCATAATAATAGCTGACAGTAATATATTTGTCCATTGAACCGATCCTAGATTTTTTAGGTAATACACTGAGGAGGCTGGAGGATACCTTTAGCATAATATATCTATCGACAGAAGCAAAAATTAAACCCTTTTTGGCCCTCGGGTGTACCACAAAATGACTTTTACGAAAATACAATTAAAAATACAACATCTACGTAGAGTAGCTATCAACCTGATCGGAGGGATCCTGATACCTTATACTCAAAACCGCGTCTGTTCTTCAAATGTATTTATTTTTTTATCCAAAGAAGTCTAAAAGAACGTCTACATTATGGAAAACAAAATGGAGACCGTTGCTTCAAAACAATACGTGTATCGGAAGCTAAAGGATCTTCCAATAACTGGTAATTTTAGCCGAAAAAGTTTAATTCTTTAAAGGAGCTCGCACTAGAATAGATCAACTCAAGCAAAGAATTTGGCTTTGGTAAAAAAAAATTCGGAAAACTTACCCCACGAGACGTATCAGTCGTTCAAGCACTTATTGATACAATAAGAATATGAATCTAGGATGGCACTCTTAGTCCCGCAAAGTATACCGACAAAAAAGGATATCACTTTTTCTGCATTGCACCTCTATACACTTTACAAACTAAATTTATTTAAATTGATGCTAAAGTTTTTTTTTTGGATTCTGTTGAAACAAAGTGGCGTGCCAAGCTTTCCAGACTACTTAAAAGGTCCTTCGCAACTCCCGTAAGTCCTTCAGACTTTGCAATTGATATTAGGAATGTGTGCACTGTTTGGGTGGTTTGCCCTGATATACCAAGACCCATTACGGCCGTAAACACTTCCGGTACCATTTAACGGCAAAAAACAACTCTTGATGAGTGCTATCACTTTTGCGGCTATAATGACCCAAGTTCCTTGAGAATAAAGCATAGAGATGATAATAAAATGGGTTTTAAACGGATCAACAAGCTACCTTCTCCAAAAACAACAATAATCAATAACTTTTTTAAAGCTTGTAAACAAAAAATATTTCACTTTGACACCATATGCAAGTACTGCTCTACTGACTAATAATAATAAAAAACAAATTTGCCCTTTATACAATTTAGCCTAACAATTATGTCAAACAGGAGTTCAAAGATAAAATTCAAAACATATATAAGAATACAGCAGGCGGTGGCTGAAGTATGTAAACGCTTAACAATTAAAAGCAAAAAAATACAGACAAGGAAGCAGAACTGGAGAAAAAACGGCGAGTAGGAAGTCCCTCTAGACATTATCCCATAACCCCTCAAGATACAGCGGTTCCACAAAAAACCATTATTGCGTTTGGGGCTACAAGATTTAGTCCCACGCAGCAAGAAAAAAACTGCGCTTATTAAGTCGATTGAACGAAAGCTGCTACAAATGCAGACTGAGGACCTTCACGTATATATTTTTGACGAATTCCTTGTAAGCCAAAATTTTAATTCCTGTAAAACAAGAAATCTCGAGAATGTCATCACAGCCAAGCCGAGGCGAAGAGTATATATAATATTAAAGGGTAAAGAAAACACTTGTAATATAACTTCAAATCGTGATATAAACGCTACGAAGAACATTTACGATATTTGCATATTTGCTACTCAAGATAATAACTCACGTAGGCCCCCTTTTCAGCATCAATTAGGAAAATGATTATTCAGTGTATAATAGATCTAACTATCTAATACATCAGTACAGGTAAGCACAATTATAATTATGTATAGCTCGTTTTTGCAAATTAAATCTTCAAATTGTGCGCCTTGTATAGTGTGTTTTACTGTAGATATTTTATTGGGAACACATCCAATTGACGGGGTATTTGTTAATAAATTCACAGCCTCTTTAATAAGGAGCATATTTGACAAACTAGTTTATCTTACGTCGACACTCAGAGATACTGAATAATATATATGTATGGATTCTATTTATCAGTAGTTTTGTATTTACTTCATACAATAAATGGATAAATAGTATTAGAGTGTCTCAACTACTGTATCTGTAAATTAAATAAGGGATTTCGTAAAGCCCTGTACTTTGATTTTAGGCACAATTCTTTGTCTCTGGTTTAATTAGTACGATTAATAATAATAATAATAAAATATTTAGAGATAGTATGTTTAGATCAATCCTTAATATGTAAATATATATACATTGAATATTTCGATATTATCTTAACAAAATATAGTGAGAAAAATAAATACAGGGATATTCACGATTTTACTTTATCAGTATGATAGAATGTATATATCTTAGAAGAAGAAGCTCTACAATACTTTAGACTTCTCTTTTATTTAATATAGAGACTGAAATATTAAAATATATAAAAGAAGTCTTTAGTTTAACAAAAAAAACTATAGAAGGTGTATAAGGCTTGAATATTCAAAAAAAAGTTTTGATGCTATAATCCAGGAAAATGTTTACTCCTCAGACTAAATGCACGGCTGACTGATACAAATGTTTTTATAGGTGCACCAGCACCTTTGTTATGGAAGGAGCAAAGTCACTCCACGAAGCTTTTTAGATACGAAAAATGCGCATAGTAAATTTACTCTAGTATTATAAGTCATACCAATACATTTTTAATGTATAAATAATGACTTTATTAAGAGTTACTTTTTGAGAAGAAGAAAAAAGACCTTAAAAATATTTGATACTTATCCCTGATCGTATCAAAAAGGAGAGAAAAAGCTTTGGAGTTAAATACGTTTTTTCTCTATATTCATTGAGGTCAATTTTTTTAGATAACGTTTGTTTGTTTTCAATATTATAACAAGCTAAAATTATATTTATAACACGGTTAATGGCTATAATCAGCTGTGTAGGCAGTAACATATATATATAATTCATTTAACATCTCTCCCTCTTATTGTATTAAGTAATCTAGTGTATTTAATAAGTAGTAATTATTACTACAAGTGATACTTTGCTAGAACGTACGCTTCTTTTGCTTTATAAACACACTCGTACAAATAAACTTCTGTCGATATAGGGTAAAATTCTCGCTTCAATAATTGAAATGTATTAAGCTCTATTAATCAAATTGTATCAATCAATGAATTAAGTCAATTTATGAATTATTAGTATGTACTAACTCTGTTCACCAGCGTACGCGATTAAATATTAGACTATTTCAACCAAATAATTACACTGCGTCGTATATAAATCCTGAATATTACTTGGCGTCTGTATTTTATTTTATTTCCTAAAAGACTTTGTCAGCATTTATATCTTGGTAATGGTTTGTTTTTCCTTTTCTTATAAAAATTGGACAATAAGCATGGTTGTCTAGTATATCATTTCTTATCATTAAAGTTTATTTTTTTATAGAAATTCTCTCAATGATCTGGTTGATTACCTGGTAAAAAAAACACCAGGTAATCGACAAAAATATCCACCCGGAATTGAATAAATTATTATATAAAGCAATCTTTTAATTAATTATCTGGTTGAATTAATCTTATGTTTAACTGTGCACACTGACAACAGCATAAGGAAGAGGTCCTCTATTATAGTATATCGGATAGGTTATATGTGCGTACATATATTTGTTTTATAAAGGAATTATTGATAGGGTAACTGGGGTTACAACTGATGATAAAAAGGGCTACTATCTCTTTTAATAAACTTTACTTTATAGTCTTGTGGACCAAAAATAATTCCTTGAGTCTTGATATTGTTCAAATCGACAAATTCTGGCTTCCCATTTGCATCTAATGGTGCTTCAATAGTGCATTGTGCCAATACGCGTACACACATATTAAATACTATCATTTCGGCCTAATGAAAAGTAATCATTAGTATTCTTATAAAAATCTGGAAGCATCGTACAAATACGTTACCAAGTGAATTCCAGGGCAGATACGTCTTAAACCAGAACAAGCGTATAGGTGTTAATATTAAAATAAATTGTTTGTTTTATGTGGTACTTTACCTTCCCCATCCAAAGGCATAGATATCGCGCTCTTTTATACTTCCGCTGGAAGATGCGCTCCAAGTCTTTGTTGTACCCAAAAATCTCTCGGGAATAAATTTCTCTGGGTCCTCATATATACTTGAGTTCATATGCATAGCATGCATGCTGCTAATCAATATCGTATCTTTAGGAATATGGTATCCAGAAATGTTTACTATTTTTTTAAAGAAAAAAAGGCATTAATTGTGAGATACGGAGAACCTTAAAAACCGGGTATTCTTTTAATTACCATCATTTGCCGTAAAGTGAGGAATACCAAAGTTTGTAATAGATCGGAAACGCAGATTCTCTCGAAGAACTGCTGTGGTATAAGGGAACTCATCTCTACTCGAGAATGAAGGTAGGCTTCCGTATTTAACGAGAAATTCGTCAACCTCATCGCATATTTTCTTTTGCACATCAGGATATTGAGGTAATATACCAAAAAGCCACGTCAATGACATGCCAGTTGTATCTCCTCCTGCTCCAAATACATCATCTAAGAAAGGATACTGTCTCTGGTTAGGTTTGTTAGATTATATTGAAAATAATACCTACTCAATAAGATAGTCAAATCCATTTCGTCCAAACCAAGCTCCTCCTTGATTGAGTATGCCACTTTAGTGAGACATTTGACATCTCCATCTTTAGCCTCGCGAATCAAGACTTCAAGAACTTTGTCTCTTTCGTTGATAATATCATTCATAGCCTTCTTTTGACTCGAAAGATGGTTAATCCAACTTAAGCTTGGAAAGAAAGCGCCAATATCACCTGCAGCCCCAGCATACACAATACTTCTCTCTGTTATATGGATCAGGGAATTTAAAGTTGGGTCGTTGATAGATGTTACATCCTTTCCAAAGACTGCTTTAAAAACCGTTCCATATGTAGCCATTTTCATGTAGCGTACGGGAGAAATTGCTCCTTCTTTATCCGTGTCTTCTTTTAAGAGCTTGATAGCGTTATCCGTTATTGACACACTACTTTCTGTAATCTGATCAGCATTTTTTGGAGCCAATATCGAAAGAGCTTTAACACAAAGAAATTAGTATATTTGTTATTTTCTTGTTACCCGTTTAATTTAAGTTACCAGCAGATCTTGTGCTTTTCCATTTTTTGCCTGGCTGATTAAATATCATGCCCCTGTATACTCAAAAATAATAATTAATATTTACTTTAAATGAGACTATTTCTTACTTTCCACCCTTGCTGTACATCCAGTAAGCATAACTGTGCTTGTGTCTGTCAGATGAGTTTATTCCATTCCTAACAAATAACTCGTGGGCCAAATAGGGATCATTTATAAGAACCCATGGCTGAACCCCCATATCAAGACGTATTATTGGTCCTATGGATCAAATAAATAATTTAATATTAGTCTCCTAATACACAAAAACGGTCAAAACATTATAAATACCAAGCTGTTGGTGCCACTTTTGTACTTTAAAGCTTGGTGCTTTCCCCAGTGACAACATGTGACCTAAAGACAAAAACTTGTTAGTTTCGTATATCAAGTATTATTAGCTGAAGTATTTGATATATAATACCAAAAAACGGATATCTTCCTGACGGAGAAGGTATTTCTTTGTATCCTTCAAGCTTCAAACGCTCGCTTTCCTTTCGATTTTGGCAGATGTTGGAGAATAGGGCAAAAACAAGTCTGGCAGCTAATCCTACAGTTACAACACCTACAAGAGGAAGATAGTGTTCCTCTTTCTGTAAGACTTCAAGCCACTTTTTGTCCATAATGTATTGTAAGAATAATATCAAGAAGAAGAAGAATACAAAAAAAATTTACTGCGATTGTTTTTTTTAGCTGTATTTAAATGCATTTTAACGTTGTAACCCTGGATCTGTGAGTCGTACAACATATAAGGTGCAGATTGTGTCCATGCTTTCTATCCACAAACAAGTATATCAGTTCTTTATGGTAGACCTCGCTGTTTATGAATACTCTATTTTATTATTGGTCGTACTATGCTGGATTTTTGGTGGTAGTATCTAAGCGTGTAGGTCACAAGTATATGTTTGGCATTATGGAATCCAAGTACGAGCATATGGTTACTCAGAGTAAATTAAAGAGCAGCGAGGCTTGTCTGTGTGAGTTACAAAATATAATCTCTGTATTTTGCGCCCTTGAATAAATATTGCATAGTTGATCTACAACAAAGTTTTAGATATTCACATGAGACATCTTCTCCTAAATTTATCCAGAGAGAAAGAACGGGGTTTTGTATACATATGCAGATACAATAATGATATCCTGCTATATATAATTAAAGTGTCCTCAATGTGAAATGTCAAGTATCTCTTAATTCAAATATGTAAAACAAAAAGCTTGCTTATAAAATAATCAGTAAAAAATCATTGCTCTGTTATCTCTATAATTAAGAGTTTCATAAATTCGTTCCTTTCTCAACTTTCTTCTGTTTAATGTATATTTGACACCCATTATTTTTTTAAAATCAATTTTTACTCAAATATACAGTATTTGTTTAAATGAAACTTTATTATGGCTACTTGAAAGTATATGATATATATTTAAGGTAAAAATAATCAAAGAAGTATAAATATGTAAAATTTAAACAGGCAAAAAACAATATTAAGAATCATATTAATACACTCTGACAAAAGAAATCATTGTAATTTGTCTAAAAATAAGCCTATCTTTTGAGCATACTTTGTTTGTTTTTCTATAGATAATATGCTTTTTTTAAAAAAAAAATCAAGCCTTCGTGTCAATATGAGATATAAAGAAAACCAAAATTTCGTGTTATAAACTTGAGTTCCCAGAGTTTGACCGTAATAATCAACAGTACCATCAAAGGTTGGGAGGAGAATGACACAGTAAAACAGACACCAAGGAAAAACTTTGTTTTAAAGATGTTACAAATAGTTGTTTAAGTGTGAGACGTAGTTCTTTCGAAAGCTATCCGTATCAGTAAAGGGACTTTGCAACTGTTTGTTTCATTATATGTAAAGATACAGTTATTCGATACCTTAAGGCATTTTCTTTGGTTCTTATATCCCCCAGTTCAAATCAAACTTTATCCGTGAGCAGAAAAAGAATTAATTGAGTTAGGTCAAAGCTAAAGTTAGTTTTGGTATTGAGGATTGGAATAGGATTGTACGATCAGGTGAGTCGAGATTCACGTTAAAGGACTATAATTATTATCTATCTACAATTTGTGATCTAGAGAAGAGGTATCAAGAACAGCATGCTTTTTTTTTACAGAAAATATGTAGATATTACTGTGTTTGTATGAGATTATTTCTGAAAGGACGCATAGCCCAAGGTACGTACGTTAATTGCTTGTCTAAAAAAAATCAATTACTGGTTCAAAAAAATTGACATTAAAATAGCGACCTTTGTGCATTTTAGAAAAACCAAAATAAAATTGCCTTAAAAGGAGATTTAATGGTTTTTTTAAAAAAATTATAACTTTAAATCAAGTGTAACGAAGGAAGAGAAATTTGAAAAAAAGGGTCTCTTAGTTTTCAAGTTTGCAACCAGTTATATTCTCTTAATTTTTGTACTAAACTACTCTATAGAAAATACTAGTAGAAAGAAATGAAATTATTTAATATTTCCTCTTGTAATTTTAGCTTTATTATATATATCCGATAATGTATATAGGCAGATTTGAAAATTTGATCAATTTAATCTGGTATGACAAAGACAGTGTAGTACCCGACATTTGAAAAAAAAAATATTAAAAAACCGAATGCACAAAGGTCGCTAATATGCTTATATTCCAAGAAATATTGCTCAAGCTGTCGTACTGAGCCTTACACGACAAGGTGATAAAAGCGTTGGAAGGTTCAGCGCTTTGACTACTGGCTATCGCAAAGTCTGGGTCTGAACTCAATTTGGCATGTTTGGTATGCTTTCAAAGCCGAAGTTCAAGAGAAAAGTTTTATAAACAATGTCCAAGACCTCAAGGTTTGTATTCTTTTGGGCTGGGGGACCATTTAATTGAGAAGTGATCCATACTCTTCCAGAAACTATGCCCAATAGAGTCAAATTGGTGATCAAAGCTTGTGGTCGCCACACCATACATTTTAAACCTTATTTTCTTTTATAATATATTAAGATACTTGTGATTTATCAGGACTGTAGGTTACCTTTTATTGGCTGGAATGTATTCAAAAGTAAATCAGAATAGTTCTTTTTTTTTTAAGAATAAAGATAATGATTTATTTCATTCGAGCAAGTTGTACTATACTATGTTGATGAGGTTCACAAACAAAAATAGTTTTAATTATCTCTTAAATATAGAAGTTTACACCACGTTTATAGCAACTAGGTAACTACATGACGTAGTACTCTTCCAAGAATATGTAAGCAATATGAGAGTCTATTGGATAAAGCATTCCTAGAAATAAATTCGCAATACACCAAAAGAATAATGCAGATTCATATAGGAATACAAGCCTCAAACACAGCTTGCTTATTTCAGGATATATACTATTGAGTTTTCAATGTTTTATTTTCGTCTTTTGCTGCTTCTTTATGCTACTTTATGTTGTCGAATCTTATAATATAATCCTTATGATTTTTAATACAAATAAGAACAGATTAGCTAATAATAACATATAAAACTAACTGTACTATCTATAATGCACATATCTCACAATCCAACGAGAATTACACTGAAAGTGAGTAAAATAGAATGTTAATGAATGTCAAAAGGATATTCTAGTAAAATAATGGTCTACACTACTTCTTTGGGCAATTCGTCGCTTTGGGGGCAACACAGAACAGTTAATTGGCTCTTTTTTTTTAAAAAAAATAAAAATCCCCCATTTCGGTTTGGAAGTGTACTACAGCCTTGTTGTTACATAATTTATATATATATTGCAGCAACTACTGTACCTAAAGAGTTAATGGATTGTTTTGTTTTCGATAATTAATAAGGTTATTGTTGAAGAACGCAAATAGTGCTTTAAATACTGGTACATGAATTAAATAATATAATATGTCTACATTCTACAATTAAATGGAGTAAACTTGTATGAAAGCCATCTTAATGCTTAATGTTTGTTTATATATATATGTCTGTGTGTGTGTATTTGATTTTAATAAACAGCTAAATATATTATTGACAAATATACTACTACAACAAAAACGTGTAATTATTAATTCATTTCCTAATCTAGAAGTTAAATGTATTTTTCCAGTTTTTGTTTGTTTGTTTGCTTGTAGGGAGCCACAGAGTCCGGTTTGTTAATAAAACTTTACATTGTAAGCCAATATACGTTTTGAAAGTCTATAATTAACTTATAAAATGTATTATAAAATAAGATATTTCACTGTAAAAACAATAATATTAAAGCCTAAACCTTTAGGAAATATTCAGTAATGCAAATTCTATGAAAAAATAACTTAGTATTTATATATTTCTATTCCATAATGGTTTATGTACCAACTAATGTTAATCTCTTATACGATTGACAGCCAAAATTTGTCTTTCGGTCAGATAATCTTTTTTTTAGTAGATACAGCTTTTATAAGGGCCTAGTAATAACTATGTAATATTGTTTTAAGTAAGATTACTCGGGTATCAAATGAATAATCTCGATATAGTATTTAATATTGCATGAAAGTTTTATTTACAGTCACGAATACTATATGGCAACCCCAAAGAAGCATCCGACTATAAAACATGTTTTATTGCTTCTAGATCAGTGCCACAATATGCTAAAAGCCCCAGGAAATATACATGATCAATATGGTCAATTTTAATGTTTAAATGAAGTGTTAGGAATATGCATGATTAATTGAATTTAGAGCCTTTTCTTTCTTGTAATAGTTTATTAACCTTATTTATTTTTTTACTTATTTGAATCTTCTAGTGGTAATGGCTACTCAACAGGTCTTATTGATACGTGAATCTTATTTCATTAGAGGCACGGACTGTGTACTTGGATAATTCTTATCATAAATTTATAGTCTTATTTCTCAAAGTAACAGCATATCTCTATGCTTCTATTCACAACCAATACTTCCCTTCCTTTATATCATGCTTGCTCAATTCCCAGGACTTCATTACAATTGGTGACACATTCAAGATATTACGCCGTATCACATAATTTGGTAAGTAAGCGTGCAGGTACATATTATGAGCAGCTTCGTTTTTAATGGATTTTTAACACACATTGCAAAAATAATTGGCTCTTAATCGAAGAGATCAGATAAACTTATAAATTATTTTATTTTGTCTTTAAATGATGGTACAACACTACAAACTAGGTCCGCCAAGTGAGAGTTAATTATAAAACTGAGTAAATCGCCCTTCTTCATCAATTCATACATCTTGCTTTGCTCTAGCTTAAAAAATGCGGTTCTCTTTTATACTTGCCAGTATTGCCATATGTCTAACAGTAGATGCTCTCCCTTTGGGCTCTATTCGACGCGAAAATATCATTGAAAAAAACACTCTTGGCCCTAGACAGACTGTGGAGTTAAAGGGAAAATTTTTACATGTTACGGGTAAACAATATATTCAGTTTTTATTAGTTATATTATTTAAAAGCCACTATTAAAGCTAATATGTGTACTACTATAGATATTCATCTTGATGCATATTACTTGGCAAAAACGGATCCTTCGAACCTATGCCACCGTAAAAGCTCAAAGGATTCCAAAAACGTGTCTGGTAAATTTGGAGCGCTTGGTACTGACTGTGACTCTCCTACATCCTTAGTAAGTAGATAATGATTATTGATTTATTTTTAAACTAATTAATATTACAGGTGCAAGCCTCTTTTGATTTTATGAAGCAATCCCTGAGTGATGTTGATTTTGTTATCTACACCGGAGATACGGCACGACATGTACGTAATCGCTTATTTTCTAATCTCACTAGATATTAACATGTTGTCTTTTATTATTTAGGACAGAGACGACTCACTAAAGATTACAGATAAAGATATTCTGGAAGAGCATACTGTTGTGACTCAGTATTTTAAAGACACTTATAATATTCCAGCCATCCCATTTGTGAGTATAAATCTCGATATTATAATATTACTGACAATCTGTTATTTCATTTCATTCTATTTTTTAGATTCCTACTATTGGAAATAACGATGGGTTTAACCACAATGATGTAGTTATTGAAGATCCTATATTCAAGTCTCTTAAGACCATCTGGGCTCCATTCAACCTAAATTTGACCGATGATTTCAGTGAGGGTGGTTATTTTGTTCAAGACATCATTCCAGGAAAACTACAGGCTATGAGCATAAATACAATGTACTTCTTTTCCAAGAACTCTGAAGCCAAGAATTGCAATACTGCTGGTACCTCTGGTGCCTTACAAATTACTTGGATGAAGAAGGTTCTGGACGCCGCCCGGACAAAGAAAACAAGTGTCTATGTTGTGTAAGCTAAGAAAACAGCCCACTAATATACATAAAATATATTAATCTTTGCCCGTTATAACGCCCTTTACCAAATAGTGGACACGTTCCTCCTAACGATGATGACGCCTCTGAACTTTACAAGTCCTCTTGTCACGAACTGTATATTGATTTGCTAGGCTCTTATGGCGATGTGATTGCTGGACATTTCACAGGTCATACAAACTGTATGTATATACATTTACGACAAAGAATATACCTGTATCCCTCACACATTTTTATAGCTGATATGTTGACCGCCATTGTTAAGGATGGATCAAGTTATTCGTCTCTTTCGGCTGTAGACGATAGTAGCGAGCTTACTTCATCGTCTATGGTTGATCCAAATGTTGCAACTGTGCTGTTCAACGCCCCATCTATCATTCCCGTAAACAATCCAGCCATTCGTGTCTATAACTATGAGACCCAGGGAACTGAGTAAGTACTGGAGATAGAATTTTGTAAGTACCTTTTTAATATACTGACAACCGCTTTTAGAAATCCTTTTGGTACTATTCTCGACTGGATACAATACTATGCTGACCTTGAAGAGGCTAATGACAGTGGAGAGTTGGAATATAAAATTGAATATCAAGCCTCAGAACTTTTTGGTATAGAGACTTTCGATGCCGCTGGTGTTTCTAAAGCCTTTACAAAGCTTGCAACGGACAAGACTATCCGCAAAAAATACATTAGCTACGTATCGGTCAGCTCTTAATATAGATCTTTACTTATATACTCTATCAATAAATAAGAGTGTATTCATTTGCATGTACTATATTTTTTAAAGAATTAAAGTAAAATATCTTGATTGGATTATCAACCTAATTATACGTATAGACTAAAGCCTATGAATCAATGTTTTTGGACTGGAATTATTATAGCAATGTAGAAATCTCAAATTTGGAAACATATGTCGCTATGAGATCTAGCTTTTGCTATGCTATATTCAAGTAATAGTTTCTGAATTTACATAGGTAGGTGATATATTGATTTTGCCATGCTTTGGCAGCAGGGTACTAATACTTCCAAAATCACAATAGACTTTTATGTTATTATGAAAAGGAAATGGTAGGCACTGTTCGTTACAAAGGAAAATAATAATAATAAAAAAAGCTAATAATACTCATCGCTGTAATTTAAACGGTTTTGTGCACATATATATCACATCAGAATATTTACAAGTAGGTCAGAATATAAGCCTCTAGTAGTTTCTTTTTTTTAAAAAAACCCCCCTAATTTTCTTGTTTGAATATGTTTATTGACTTGGGTACAACAAAAGAATTAACGGTCTGAATTCAAAGTTAAAACACTGTAGTAAGAACATTATTTAATTCAAACTTATATTGACCAACAGACCTGGATAGCTCTTTAAGTTTTCGTTATCAATTTAATATTTTATTTATGTAATGTCTTCCTATTGATTTCATAATTACAATTTCCCAGTTAAGCACGCTAATACAAATATTACTACTTTGTGAAATGGATATTATTCTGCCCATATGTTGATTCACAAAGGTAATATGATAATATTTATTATTTTTGTACCTTTGTTCCTTTGTATAGATACCCTTAAAGTACACTCCTCGGTGAAATGGTGAATAATTTGAGGATGAACTTGTGTATTTTTTTTTACCAGGAACGGAGTCCGCTTGACATGTTGAAGCGCTAGATAACATATGACCATTGTTAGAACAATATGCAATGTAATTGATATGTACAGCAATATAGAATAACTTTACCGGTCTTCCTCTTCCTTTGAAAGCAACATCTGGTGGATCTCCTTTAAATCTTCTTGTCTGCTCCCATTCAGGTTTCTCTGCATCACGATCTTCGTACCGCTTATAAGAAGGACGATATGACGATCGAGTATGTCTGTCTGGAGGAGGACTACTGCTTCTCTCATCATCTCTTGATCCTCTTCGGCGATTGATGTTCCCGATTTTTCTTTGGGTCTCTTTGGGTTCTTTGACATTTACAGGAGATACTGAGCGTTGTGGAATGCGATCATTAATTGGGCTGCGACTGAGACTACGGCTGCGACTGAGACTACGATTAGGGCTGCGGCTAAGGCTACGATCATTTATTCGGCTAAATTTTCGTCGAGCTAGATCAATCGAATCTACACTAGGACTTCTATGTCTCAATCGTTTCTTCTCCTTTTTATCTTTTTTGCTTTTTCTCTCCTTTTTACTCTTTTTAGACTTTTTACTCTTCTTTTTTTTTCGCTTTGACTCTTCTTCAGATAGAGAATCTGAATCAGATTGTTCGGGGCTAGCCGATCTGGATCTCTTTCTGGTTTCAGTCGGTTTCTCAACATCATCACTAGCCTTTTCCTTTACTGATTTCATAAAGAACAGTAACCGATCGTTAATATTATTAAATTTCCAAAAATTGTATTTTTCTTCTTACTCTTGACACCGGGAGGAAGCTTAAGTACAAGTTCACCGCAATTTGCAATCATTACTGTTCGCATAGGGCGATCTCTTTCATCAACAGGTTCATTCTCACATTGTTCGATAATCGGGAAACCAGACACCACACGTCCGAATACAACATGCTTTCCATCAAGATGCGGTGTAGGGCGGGTCGTGATGAAGAATTGAGAAGACTGAGTATTAGGACCACGATTAGCCATACTCAACAATCCGTGAGTGGTATGTTTGCGAGCAAAGGACTCGTCTGCAAATGTGGCACCAAAAATACTTTCTCCTCCAGTTCCATTACGACGTGTAAAATCTCCACCCTGAATCATGAATCCTTTGATTATTCTTATTCGCATAGTTAGAATCTTCGATCTTCTCAAACCAGTCCAAATTATTTATCTTTGATGCTAGATGGAATTACCGATGGAAAATGGATCCTCGAAAATGTAAAGGCATGTTGCTCAACTTTCCTAATCCTTTTTCACCTTTTTTTCATAAACAAAAAAAAATAACAAAAAACAAAAAAAAACAAAACAGAGTATGATGTTTGTATCAGATCATCGTAAGTAAACGTTTAATTTTAATGTACTCTAGTTAATTAGCATTATCTTTTTACCTGTACAAAGGGCACGAAAGTTTTCGGCTGTATTGGGCACTTCATCAGCAAAGAGTTCAAAAACAACTCGACCAACTGTTTATAGTGTTTTTTTCATTAGTCTTGTGTTTACAAAATACAAGTTACTATATGTTAATGGGGATGGATGAAAATTACTTCGTTGACCGTCAATATCAATGTCAAAGAAGACACGTGGGTTGACCATGATGAAGATGGAAACAAGTCAAACAATCCAGCTTTCCTGCTTCTTTCTTAAAACAACGCTTGTGTGAATTGGAAGCACCGATTTCCTGTTCCCCAGTCACACCAGGCAGTCCAGTGAACTCTGACGACCACTATGGGAAAGAAAAGGACAGATTTGGGGTAATTTGAAGGGTATCTTCAAGAATGGTTCTAGGTGCTAGTTTGCGTAAAACACTTTTTTACCTTTTATAAGATGTATTTATATTAGATGGTACATCGTATAATTACCTTGTAAAACAAAAAATGTGCTGGTTTCTTTTATAGCAAGATTCTATCAATAAATGCTTGTAGATTTTTTTAGCTATTCATTTTAAAAGTTTATTAGATAATAATAGCAAATAAACGAAAGAAAAACTTAAATTGAAACATGTAAAAGGAAGAAAAAAATATTGGTTTACCAATATAATATTATTGGGTTGGATGACCTTTCACCTTTTATTCAAATATAGACAGATATTCAGGGCTTATACCCCCTACTATAGATTTTATATGGTGTCTAAACATTATTATATTTTCTGAAAATATTTAAATTTCCAATATATTCATAGCCTGGTTAGACCTCGCTACTTATATTTATCTTAGAAGTATATATAAAGCATACTTATAGTAATGTTCTTTTTAAAAGGAAAAAAGAGACTTCTTTCCACCCCCTAGTCAATTTGATTCAAGACCTTTATAGCTGAGTCAGAGTTCTCAATTAGATAACCTGGTTTGCATTATCAAACACGGTAGGTACATATTTGTTAATATAATACAGAGGACACGTCTAACGTCCTGGATAATTGAGATCCTTTATTCTCCACAACTGGGCGTCATTTTTTTTCCAGGAGCAAGATATCAAGAGATTATATAAACCCATTCGGTGCTTAATTGAAAAGCTCTTCCATACGATATATCTTCAAACAATCTTTGAATGGATTTCTTTAGAATGTTTTTTTTTCTGTTTTCGCTATATATGTGCTCTATCGCTGAAGATTGACAATACGCATACAGTTGCATTACTTTATTTGCTTTTATGAAAATTAGCTGAGCAGGTTGGTGTTATTAAAAGTATAGAGTCATCCTAGAAAAATATTATTTCGAATTAAATACGTTTTGTTACTTATTTCTTTTCCTCTGTATAGATCCTTACAAAATATATAAAAATATAATCTTTCTTTTAATATACCAAAACAAAACAAAACAAAAAATCCGCGATGTCTCGTTAATGAACCCAACCCAACAAATGACCTTCTTCCATTTGAGGTTCAAGAAATCCTCTGAATAACCATTTATCATTATGCAATACCCAGCGAGCACCGTATCCAAGGGACTGGCGTACCTCGTACACTACTTTTGCATGCTAAGGGTCCCCCTTATTTATGTTAGTTTACATAAACTATATTTGTTCATGTGTGCATATGTATATTTACGTATAATAACAAAACAAAGGAAGATTACCGGTAACATGTGAAGATTAATCCAAACAGAATCACACAGGATATTTGCAAGTACAGTGTTTGCGTGATCATTCTTAGCCTTTTCAGCTTTGGATTTTTTCCATTAAATAAATGTATTGAATTATAAAGATAAGTATAATACACTTACTTCCTGTACAATTACCCCAAAACTGATTTTTCTGGTCACGGTGAGCATGTTTACTTAATGCTCTGGCACCCACTGTTAGCTGATTGACTATCGGTCTGGTCCCTGTAGATATTGGCTGATGAAGACAAGTAAAGGCTTCGATGCATTCGTTAAGACTTGGTGGCATGGTATCCAGATCTTTTCCGCCCGTTGTGGTCCTTAATCCTAAAAAGAGGCGCCAATCTTGGGGTTCCATCGTCTTGGACAATATGTAGTAATGTGTAATCAGAACAATATATACATAAATGCATAAAGAAGGGTTTTGTTGTTTGTATGGTTTGTTTTTACCTCGAATATTAATTTATGGAGGGACGACTCAAGATCAGGACTCTTAAAAACTTGGATACTTTCTTGTTCAATCACTTTTAATCTGTTTCAAAATTCTTAAAGTAAGACATCTAACTAACCATGCCAACAAATCAATAATACAAAAGGAGAGAAAATATTTTTTATATATTTTACGCACCGTGAGGTGTTTGTCATTCCGAGTAAATCAAGTGGATTACTGATAAACTTGGAAGATAACTTCCCTTGGTTGACGCGCCATTGGTCAAGTATGTCTGCCATCCCATGACTGAATGGACGAGAGAGGGCTCCGGTGGCGAATTCTCCACGAGCCGGGTTTGATTTTGCAGAGATTTGTTCGCGAAGAGAAGAGAGGAGTAGGTTTTGGGGATCTGGAAGTGGTTCCGACTGCAGCATCAGCTTACAGAGGGTTGCCCACTTCGGATAAGATCTTCCTTTGCAGAGTAACTCGATGACGAGCGGAAGCATTAGAGGTTTTTCATTGAGAATACATGTTTGTGTAGCCATGAGATGTATTTAATAGCAATCAAAGTAAAAAGGTCATGCGTAGGATGGCTTTGTGCCTGGAGAGATGTTGAAATAGTGGGAGAAATAGCTGGGGATCCTGAGTACAAAGCCCTGAACGGTGTGGATATTTATTGATCCGAACACTGGGTAAAGGGCATACAAAGCCGACCAAGGATTCTTTTCTGACGTGATTTTGGAAAGGTGAGTAGTGATAAGGGTCATGACAGCCGTCCAATCTACTTGCTGCATTCGCTCCTTGAATGTCACCCAAAGTCTGTTCCGGGTTGCGGCTGAGATGCGTCCGAGGTCATCGCACATGCTGAGAGCAATAAAAGCACAAAAGAGACTGACTGTAGATAGGACGGCTAGTACACAGGCTGTAATGTAGGAAGCGAGCTGAACTACACCTGTTAGGCGTGATCTATTCGAGGCAGGTTTTAGCCAACCATACGCAAGATTAAGTAGGTCCGATAACGACATGGAATAAAGAGAAAGAAAAAAGAAGAAGAAAAGAGAGAAAAGTGAAGAGAGGTACAAAGGCCTTTAATCTATTTTGACCCCTTCGGATCAGAAATAAAGGCAGTCATCTGTATTGTATAATAAAATGCTATGGCTGAGCCAAAATAAATAAATATAAACATTCAATAGTATTGTCAACAGCTTGAGCTGTGTATTGAACAAACCAGAGATATCATGCCGTATACTCAAGTTTGAAAGCAAAACTCCGATCACAAGAATCAAGTCTGGCACTTTTTCGATATTAAAACAAGTTGAACCGTATGTAGACCACTAGATAGATGCTTACAGCCATATACAGTCTTATAAGGTATCGACCATATCTACCTAAAGCTCTTGGAAATAATCTAAAAGAAAATACTTTCAAATTTCACATCTCATTTGTTATCTTTAAACGTGACGCAGGGGTACCGACACCCTAAATCGCTCTTTGCTGTCAAAGGTTTTATTACAGTGTTTCTACTTTGAATTCAGACGATGTTAGTTTTTTTTTTGAGCGAATCAAAATTAATCGTTAGACATTTTGTTTACCTTTTTTAGACAAAGAGAAAATAAAATCCAAACAGAAAAGAATGGAAATTGTCTGAACTCCTTGGAGTGATAGACAATTAGTTTTGAAACTTAAAGAGATATGTTGGAACTAAGACATGAGGACATATAAAACAATATATTTGGTTAAATATTTCAAATATATATATTTATATATGATGTTGTCAAAGATCCCTAATACCTACGTAAATCATTCAAGAAAAAAGACAAGAACATAACGCTAAAAGGTGCACAACTGAGCAAAGCGAGAATACATCTGTATGCTCTAGCTGTCACTAAGAGGGACACAATAGTTCAATATTGAGAGACTGCCCGATCCATAGGTTGACCAAACAAGAGCAAGCAAAGAGTCTTTTGGGAGATAACCCTATAACTTACAAAAGAAAATCAAATTGGACACAATTCTTAAGCAAGAATACAAGGCATTACTTACGGCTAAAGTGTTAAAATTATCCAAACTTTTTCGAAATATAATGATACGTTCACAGGTTATTATAGACTATTACGTGATAGCACATGCCAACGAAACTGTTGATAAATGATAATTTACGCAGAACTTCTGGTATTGCATTACTCAATTGCTCTTGAAAAAGTTACCCAAAAAACACCAAGACTCTGCCAAATGATATTTTAGATTCTTGGAACAGCTTTTCCTCAATATATGGAAGTAACATATGGCATTAAATAAGCTGTAAGCGGATATATATATTGTTTGTCGTCTGCTTATGTGGACATGGCTACCACCTAAACCAACTCAGTTGTAAAGGGCCTTGAGGGACGATTATCGGCATATCTATTTAGAAGCATCAAAAAACTTTTTGAAAAGGTAATTACAATCTTTCATAAACATAGACTTTGGTTTAAAAGAATCTAACTATAAATCTTAAATATGTAGCCAGAAAAGAGTCTTATTACAAAAATAGTTCAATTATATTGCTATCAGTATGTCTGTGGTGGCATACCAGTTTGGTCCGATAATATTTCAGATGCTTTTACTAGAATAAAACTCCCGTCCACATACGAAGAAAAGATTGATATGTTTAACAAGGTCTTTGATCTTAAAAGGCTCATATTAAATAGGTAAGGAATTTGAACATATACGATATATACGTAGGATTTCTTGCTTAACAAGAATTTTCGTATTAGCTTGGGAAACATAAAAGATATGGACAAAAAAAATTTAATCAAAACGGAAGGCCACACAACGGATGTTGTTGTTTTTCTTTAAGAAAAAAAACTATGCGATCAAGTACAGTATCTACTTTTTTCCCAATATTGAGATACTAACCTAATAACAATCCCAAATACCTCACACACAATTCGGCTATAATCATTTTATGTGCTATCATTGTCTTTTATTAGCATCTCATCATAGTTGGATAATAAGTTGAGTCCCTAAGTACTAAAACATGCTCAAGGATTTTTAAAGCAAAAGAAATAACTTTTTTTCTTAATTTGATTCGGATAGATCTTGTATAAATATGAGAGGCCCTTGGTAATATATCTGCTATCCAAGATACTCTATACCCAATAAGCAGCATCGATATTTAACTATTATCTTCATTCTTTTAACAGAAAAAAAAACACTATATACTAACGCCATGCACCCATATTTTCTATCATCTAGCATTAATCCGCGTATATGCTTATCATGATAATTAATAGCCTTTTTCTTGATAAGAGTTCCTGCACTGAACTTTGAACTCTTAACGTAAACCTCATCATGCTCACACGGAGCTTGCTAAAAGAAAAAGGAAAATGATCGTCTTGGTTATGTGGCTTTACTTTTGACAGGCCATTCTTAAAATACCTCTACACTCTCCTTGGCTGTTCTCAACTACAATTTTATAAAATATATTATTATTTTTATAAAATATACAAAGGTACTACCCTTTTTAAAATTGGAAGACGTCTTGGTTTGGAGGAGAAGGAGAGGGAGTTCTCTTCTAGTTCATTTGGCCATTTAGTTTGGTATAAATATATCTTAGTGGAGTATGTAATGATAGGTACCTTTACTGATTCTTTTTGTCTTGTAGCCAATAACGGTCCTGCATGTTTCATTTAGTTCTGCCTACAATTTATAAGTAATTAATATCAGCATCGTTAGTATAGCTGTATAATTAAAGTACATCATGCTTGATCTTTTTTAACTTTTATTTTGCTAGTGATGGAGCCACATCATACCAAAATGCTTTATTTTGGATGTTTTTGGTTATTTTCTATGAATAAATAAATATTAAATTGTTCATGGTATTATATTTAAAAATGAAAGCGCAGAATCTACTTCTGTTGGTTTTTAAATTCTCTAAAATGTTCTTTTTTTTTCGTCCAAGTCAATCGAAAGCAAAGTTTCAATATATGCTCACAAGCAGGCGTGTGCCACTCTTTTCTCAACAACTTTACTCTTGCAAAGGGCTATGTCGTACTTGGTAATGTCATATTGCTTTGGTTTTGTGTTTTCCCAGTATTCTGTTAATTTAAGAACGCGTTTAAATAAATAAACAATTACAGTATTCTATTACTTTTATTGTTGTCATTTACCAAAGTTGAAAAGATTTCCTTTAATGTTATCCATTTTATAACTGCAAAAGTATAATGATAATAAGGCAAAATATTGGTATACGCCCATTTTACACGCCTTTTTTCAAAAGGGAAACTTACGAACAGCCTGGCGGAACAGCCTGGGCAGCCTGGGCCCTAATTTTAGGGGAACAACATTTCCTGGTAGGGGGGTGATATTTTGATTCTACCGGACCACAAATCATAACCTTTTTGCCAGCATGGAATAACTCTATCTGGTCCCTAGGGATCGATTATACTATAATAATTAATACCAGCCAGGATACAAAATATTCATAAAGATTTTCTTTTGTGCTTAGCAAAAAAAAAAGAGTGAATGGGGATTACTTACCAGCTGGTACTGTCAGACTCTGGGAACATAAGTAGGTAAAAGAAAGGGAAAGACATGATACGCGTAAGAAGGCCAATAAGTAGTAAAACACTCAACAAGATTTCGTTACAAAGTGTGTAATGACAATAACTCTTTATTATCTTCTGCATAACTGGCTATTGGTATAGTGTATTAGTGATAAATTATTATTTCTTTATTGTCAAGTCAAAATTTAGGATGCAAACGGCTATCAACCGAATATACAGGATTTGTTTTTCATATGAGACAGTGTTTTATTATTTAACTGACCAAAAAGCGGTCGTACTTCCTAAAAGAAAAATAGATAGGTCTCTGGAGAGAGAGAGATAGACAAAAAGTGTGGGGACAAAGTAGTAAAGCTAATGCATGCAATGAATATATTGTATTTTTTCAGGATACACCATTTTGCCCTGAAGGATTAGAGAAAGACACTAGCCCAGGCATGTAGTCAGAATTGATTAGTCCGGTTAGATAGAAATGTTGTGCACCATCAGGAAACGTGGTTACCGTAACATTGCTGATCTACTTTTGACATTTTCTATTGTTAAAAAACGCTGATGCTTTGCGATTGCATCTTTATAGATAGACATAATATTTGATTAAGAGTATCCACAGCGGTCTGTGTAAATTTAACAAGAATGTTAATTTAACTAGAAAATTTAGATTTTTTCATCCCCAGCGGATTGCTTAACTAAAAGTTTTAACTGATTATTTCTCAATAATAATTACCGGCTTTTTAAATTTAACAATCCACAAAAACATCCAGGGCTTTTTTACATACACTGCTAATTTTATCCAGGCCGCTGTGGATGGTCTAAATTATCTCTTTTAAATGCGGCTTTTTTATTTTACGTAATTATTTTAGTTACACATACCACTGTGGATGTTCTAAGGTAACATATATAACAAACCGGTAAAGACTTTATAAAAGAGGTTTAAGTCAGAATTAGCCAAGCTCCACTTATTATATTTGGTAATAATTTTACTCGATTATCTTAAATTAAGCTGCTGATCTGCAGAACAAAACATGCTGTAAAACAGCACAAATTAGCCTTAAAGAAATAAGCTATATTACTTTTCCATCGTTGATTTCTTTTCCTTCTGGTAATTAGATGTTAGGACGGTTAAAACTAATAGACATTTTCAGGCAAGCCAGCTATGTACCATTATCTCTTTGTTGTTCCCTCAACGACGGCATGGAAGATAATGAGTTTTTAGGGGAGGTAAGAATACGCCGCTTTTTGTAGGAAATAGAGTTTATTTATTTATTTATTGGTACAATCATAAAGAATAAAATCAGCATTTTTTTGGCTGTTTAAATTTAAAGGGATTTCTTTTTTAGATATGTACTATGAGGATGCAGTTATGAAATAATTAGAAAAATATACTTGTATTTAAGAATAGATAAATAAAGTACTGGGCTCAAAGCTAATACCAAACAAGCTCAAACTCCATAAACGCCATCTTGAAACGAGAGGCTGAGCTTGTATATTTCCAAAGATTGCTTAACATACACGTTCTTTCAGACACACACAGATTCTCTCTTTTAACTCTTGTCATCATCATCATGGAAAAAGTTCGCGAAGTAAGAACCCTCACCTCTACAAGACTGGTACTGCTGTAAACACTTGCTGATATCTCTTGTATTTTCTCCTTTTTCTTTTATTTGTTACTTTTATTTAAATTTCTTTTACACCAAAAAGAGAATTTCTAGCCTGCGCGCAGAAGTGGAAGCAGCACAGACCAAAAGCGAAGAATATGAAGTTGAATCCAAACGTCTTGCCCAAGAACAACTGGGACTAGAGCATGAGATCGTCTCTTTAACAAACAAAAATCGAAACCTCGAGGTGGAATTGAATGAGACACTTGAGAAGATGAAGGCACTCAAAGGCCTCGAAGAGGATGACGATCTGCTCAAAAAAGAAAAAGAAACTGCCCAACGCAAGATTAATCTGCTAGAACAAGAACTCGAAAACTCGGATAAGTCTTTAAGAGAGACCACCAAAAAGTAAGAAACATTCCTGTACTTGTGATTTAATTTTAATCAATTATATCTTAGTTTCCGGGAGGCAGATGTCAAGGCTGAACATTTCGAGCGCAAGATGCAACAATTGGAAAACATAATTGTGAATCAGGAAAGAAAGAATGAGGAACTCAAGTTAAAGAATCAAGAATTGCAAGTACTGTTAGATGAATTCAATGCCGGACTCGATGATTTTTAGTCCATTTCAACTATTACTTTGTTTATCTCTCTCTTTTTCTGTCATTATATTCCCGCATACACATACACTTCACAATCACAAAATATATCTCGGTATACATCTATATATATATATGCATAATATGTGTATTGGTCTGTATGTTATATTTTTTGCATTCCATAATAAAGGTTGATTTTATTGAGGTGAGGCGTAGTGTTTTCATTTTTTAGATCTCAGCCAATTCACGGAGACGACGGACGGTCGAACGCACAGTGGCAGCAGCAGTGGTTCTGTGATGTATGAAATTCGTTAATAAAAAAGTCGAGAATATGCAAACTACACAACAATAATGATAGTAATAGTTTTGTAACTGTTACTTACGAGACGGTGTAAGCACCACCAGCCATGGTCTTCTTGCAGCCCTTGCACTTCCAGATACCGACAGCAGTACGCTTGACAGCATCCTTACCGCAGAAGGTACAGGTGTACTTGGCGTGCTGGGTGATTTCCATCTTCTTCACCTGCTTTCTGAGAGAGGCACCATAACGGGTACCGTACTTTCCGGTAATACCGACCTTCTTAGTGCGCTTGGCCTGTATATATCAGATAGTGTGGATGGATGGATATATTGATATATTTGATTAGCATTGAGCAGTTTCTTGGATGGATGTGTAACGGGGTTACTGCCTTACCATGTTGAAGTCGAGTCCAAAGAGGAAGATCCATCACACTGGGGGATTGGCGTGGGTCTTTGTGTGGACTCGACTGGTCCGAGCAGTGTGACGTATCGGGCCATTCATTTGTACTCCGATGAATTGTGGATTTTATGCCTTTCTTTTTTTTTTAAATTTTTGTTAAAGCAAACTTCAGGCATCTCTTACTTTTTGTATTGGTGTATAGTGTGTGGGTGTTCATTTTTCATTTTTCAACTATTAAAAATAAAAGAAAAGCGAAGAAGAAAAGAGAAATACAATATCAAACATTAGCGAAAGCGGGATGAACAGACGACCAACTTCACCACCTGCGCAACAATCGCCAGAAGCATCTGTACAAGATGAGGTACTATTGCCACTCCCAACACCAGCACCAACACCGTGTCGCATTCTAGGAGAGTCATTGGCGTCATTAGTTGGAGCTTCCTTGACTGTGGTGGGCGACAGTGTATATGTGTTTGGAGGATTTGACCGGTTTACAGACGAAGTATTCAAGTCATTGTATCGATTGGAGCGTCATGCAGGACAATCGCGCTGGACAAGAATAATATACACCAAGGGAGCAGCGCCATCTGAGCTTAGTGGTCACTCTGTTACATTATGGAACGATACTAAATTGGTAGTATTTGGAGGAAGTTCAGAAGAAGACAACACGTTCTTCAATCAAATAGCTATTCTTGACCTATCTACAATGGTATGGTCTCATCCTACAACTACAGGCCATATACCAGAAGGACGAGTAAATCATTCCGCAACAATTTATCAAAACAAGCTTTATATAGCAGGTGGAAATACAGCCAACCCTTCTAGTTTTGCTGATACATTGCTTATACTTGACCTTGAGACATTGGAATGGCAACCACCTGTCAGTTTCGTAAAGCGACAACAACATGCAACATTTGTCTACGACCATCGCCTTTATCTCTATGGGGGATTCAGAGAGGATATGGGCCGATCTAACCACCTTTCCTTTATCAACCTTGACACTTATGCTATTACACATCTCGATTTCGAATCTGCATCTGCGCCTCCTCTTACAGGCCAACGATTTGGGCAAATATGTGGCGATCAGTTGGTCGTAGTTGTAGTAACAGCCCCCTCCACTGCTGCCACTGTACGGGCCACCCGTGAGACTCATCAACCTCAAATTCATGCTACAGGAGTATGGACATTGGATTTAACATCTATGCAATGGCAGCAAAGGGAAATGGGATCACGTTACGGTGTGTGTAATTGGCACTGTTTTGCTATGGGTGAGAACGACACTGCGTTTTATCTGTTTGGAACAGAAGAAGACGAACCCTACGACTACTATGCTATGGCTCTTCGAGTGGATTTGCAAGAACTAGGTATTGTAGTTGTACCTCCTCCTCAACTTGGACATGATCTTGTCAATCTATTGGCTTCACACACTGGTGATTTTTCAATAAGTTCAAGCCTTAATGATGAAAAGGGAGAAGTACGTGTCCATCGGCTGGTCCTCATGGCACGTTGGCCTCATTTTGCTGCGTTATTACAATCTGGAATGGAAGAAACAGTCCAATCTACACTAATGATGCCATACGGTTTGGAGTCCCTGCAAGCCCTTGTCATCTACCTCTACTCTGATTCGATTGACCAAATACGTCAACGGGGTGTGATTGCTGATCTACTCGTCATGGCTCAGGTTTATGAGTTGCCACGATTAAGTACATTGTGTATCCGAAGATTGCATCATCCAATGACGATTGATAGTGTAAGCAAGGTGTATCACTGTGCAGGACTTGCTGGTCAGCCAGGACTGCAACACTCTGCTCTAGCATATATGTTTCAGCACTTTGGTGCAGTATCACATACTCATGCTTTTAGGAGTCTCCCGCGTGAGGTTCTATTTCAAATCTGGGATGCAATGCCTGACAATGCAACTATTGTTGGCTATACAAGTCGCAGTCCTTCTGTAGAACAAGATGCAGGGCGACAATCCGATAGTGAGATGAGTGGTGTGGATTCCTGATTGTCCTTCAATAAAACCAAGATAGAATGAAAAGACAGTTATAAAAAAAAAGAAAAAAAAAGGTTGTCGGACGTGGGAGAGGCCGGCAGCAGGAACCCCCCGGACCGCCCCTCCCACCTTATCCCCCTTCTTAGACAAGCCCACATAGCACATACATCCTTCATAATTCCTTGGGCGACGAATCGAACCCAAGTACGCCCAATCCAGTCCGCAATCTACCCCATCCCCCTCTTACTTCACCTCCTCCATCCATCCATCGCATTATGGTGAGTTGAAGTTCATCTCCCAACCCCTTTCTCTCCTTTTTTTTTATCAAGTCCTCATCTCTGATGCGATTAGGTTGCCGTCAAAGCCCACCAACTCCGTAACAAGAACAAAGCCGAGCTCTTGAAGGTTCTTGATGAGAAGAAGCAGGAGCTTGCATCCCTCCGTGTCCAGAAGGTGGCTGGTGGATCTGCATCCAAGCTCCAGGCCATCGGCCAGGCTCGCAAGAACGTTGCACGTACCTTGACCGTGATCAACCAGACCCAGCGTGACCAGCTCCGTCTCTTCTACCAGAAGAAGAAGTTGATTCCTATTGATCTCCGTGTCAAGAAGACTCGTGCTCTCCGCAGAGCTTTGACTCCTTATGAGCGTAGCCTTAAGACTGTCAAGTACCAGAAGAAGCAGGCTCATTTCCCCATGCGCAAGTATGCTGTCAAGGCCTAAATCCAGAAAGGAGTTTAGTAGAAAAAATTGAAATTCTCTTCACCATTCAATAAAACCATCAACACATCACTCACATATGCATTTTTGTAAAAACAAAAAACAATAAATAGTTCAAATGTTTTATTTTAATGTATTACTAGTCGTGAAAATAACGTGGTGTTAATTAGACAGTAAGGGTATAATAGGTGTGCTATTATATTGTGTATGTGTGTGTATCAGTACTCCTGTTTGATAATAGTTGGACTCATTTTAGCAATAGTCGCTTATTGCTATTGTTAGCTATTTATATTAAGCATCTTCTATCTTTCATACACAATTTAGATATAAAATAAAAGCTTATATTTCTGTTTGGCTTTATTAAAAATGCAAAGGGTTTTTGTCTTTCTGCTGTATGTTCTACATATACAGCATTACTGACAAACTTATTATGATAGCTATGGTGACTATATGAATATATCCTATTAAAGTCAATCCTAACTCGCATACACCTTCCTGCATTGTACTCTTTTGATTCCCGATATCAGCATGAACTGCAAAAAGACTGCTCTTTTCCTTGCCTTTTATGGACCGAATATGCTTTGACTTGCATAACTTCCACTGTCGTAAAAAACCTCTTTTTCGCTGACGTCACCTACTTCCTTTCAAAAAAAAAAGAGGGTGATGTTAGGACACATCAGAGGCGTTAATTGACTTTAACCTCCGTAGTTATCATATTCCTTGATTCTGCTTATACGAATAAGAAAAGGTGTGGTTGAGTATCGGTAGACTAGTGATACTCACACCAAAACGTAAGAGTTGTGTTGATTTCATCGTACTTAAACAGCTTTTATACGCACAAATATTGTGTTCGTGATGTTAGATAGATTCGCTGTTTATGGTATCAGTAATTTAAGTTTATATATGTGACATTTTCCCCAGTTTGTTCAGATTGTCTGAGATTAAATGCTCATTATGCCAGAAATATAAGCATGTGTGATTTTTTTATATAATTCTTTTTTAGTAACCCTACGGACAGTATCGCAGGACATCATTTTAATGCACCATATCATTATATCTGGACACAGTTCCAAGCGCTGTTTGTACTCCAAGGTAATGTATATGGTTTCACTGTAGTAAACATCTGTTTAAATATTTGGCTCCCATTTGGATAAGCAAAATATTATATTTCTATTATTTATTTATTATTGTTAATATTATTCAATATGTTGTAATGAATTTTGCTTATATTCATAAATATCTCTATGTATAAATGAAAAATCGTCACGAAAATAAAAAACAGTGGCTCACAGTATAATTTTACTGAAAATTAACGTATACCATTGTATCTGTATCCCTTGCTTACTTTTAAGGTTTATAAATAGATGCTTAGAAACCTTTTGGATTGTTTTTCTAAATGATATTTTGATACCGTCAAGGATGGCTATCTTATATTTAACAAATAATAATGAATAATAAATACAATACGTGGTAAAATGAGATAGAGAGAAAATTTTAATTTGTGCTGTACGAAATATTATATTTGATATTTATCATACTAAACATATTGTTTATAATAGGGGAAAGTGATAGTTTCAATAAATGATTCATAAGCAAAATGGCAAGAGAAATATGGGGTACATCTGATATAAATATCATTGAGTGCACCTATCAATCAGAAACAAAACAAAAAAAAACATTGGCTATCATATTATGCACTTATATTATATCAGCACAGTTTTATCAAAAAAGAAAGTATGTATATGTGTATTGATTATTTTAGAATAATTGTACATTGGTAAGGAGGAGAGAAAACAGCCCTTACAAATACTCTATTTTGAAATAAGCATATGTTTTACCAACAAAAATAAAAACGCTTCTTGATCGATAGTTTCAAAAATTGAAACCTTAATTAATTCAGTAATTTATTCATGGAAAGATCTAGATGTTTACTATTTCTTTTAAACCTGACTGCCAATAGTATCATCATTGGTGAATAGACAAATAACTAGAAAAAATATATCTTTAATAACCTCCTCCTCACGTATATAATTAACAGTAGCTTAAATCTCTGTTGGAATAGGATATAAGTGCGCTATTCATTAGTGGTGTAGTCTTATTTTGACGTCACTTAATATGGCTGGGTATTGTCCGTAAAGTTTTTTTTAAAAAAAAAAAAAACATTCTACAGTGTTCTTGCCAATTTGAGTATAGAGAAGGGAGAAAGAGGAGAAGGAGGGGGTGGATTGGTTCTTAAAAAAAATTATTATTTTTTTATTGGATTGCATATAAATACAAAACAAAACCCCCTCTACCTTTCCTTTTGTTCTTTCATCAATACTTTCTTTATTGCTTTCAATTTAATCACATTTGCAGATACAAACAATTACACCATGGTTGAAACAGAAACATTTTCCTTCCAGGCTGAGATCTCTCAGTTGATGAGCTTGATCATCAATACATTCTACTCAAATAAGGTAAATTAAGATGAGGGGGCGTCTATTTGATTTGATAGAACATTTTGTCTGACGCGTAATCAATGTCTTAGGAAATCTTCTTGCGTGAATTGATCTCAAACTCCTCTGATGCACTGGACAAGATCCGTTACCAATCCTTGACAGATCCTTCTGTCTTGGACTCTGAAAAGGAATTCTTCATCCGTATCACCCCCGACAAAGAGAACAAAGTTCTTTCCATCCGTGATTCCGGTATCGGCATGACCAAAGCCGACCTGGTCAACAACTTGGGTACAATTGCCAAATCTGGTACCAAGGCATTCATGGAAGCACTTTCCTCAGGCGCAGACATCTCCATGATCGGTCAGTTTGGTGTCGGTTTCTACTCTGCATATCTCGTAGCAGACAAAGTCCAGGTCATAACCAAGCACAATGATGACGAACAGTACATCTGGGAGTCTGCCGCTGGTGGCTCGTTTACCATCACTCGCGATGAGGTCAATCCTTCCATTGGTCGTGGCACTGAAATGCGCCTCTTCATGAAGGAGGATCAGTTAGAATACCTTGAGGAGAAGAAGATCAAGGATATCGTAAAGAAACACTCAGAGTTTATCTCCTACCCTATCCAGCTTGTAGTTGAAAAGGAAGTCGAGAAGGAAGTCTCAGATGACGAAGAAATGAAGGAGGCTGATTCCGAAGAAAAGCCCAAAATTGAGGAGATCGAAGACGAAGATGACAAGAAAGAGGAAAAGAAAAAGAAAACCATCAAGGAAACCGTCACTGAGACTGAGGAGCTCAACAAGACCAAGCCTCTTTGGACCCGAAACCCTGAAGAAGTCAAGCTCGAGGAGTACACCCAATTCTACAAAGCTCTCACTAATGACTGGGAAGACCATCTGGCTGTTAAGCACTTTTCTGTCGAAGGTCAGCTCGAATTCCGTGCTATCTTGTTTGTTCCCAAGCGTGCTCCCTTTGACATGTTTGAGACCAAGAAGAAGCGCAACAACATCAAGCTTTACGTCCGTCGCGTGTTTATCATGGATGACTGTGATGAGCTGATCCCCGAATGGCTTAACTTTGTCAAGGGTGTTGTTGACTCTGAAGATCTTCCTCTCAATATTTCGCGTGAGATGCTCCAGCAAAACAAGATTCTCAAAGTAATCCGCAAGAATCTCGTCAAGAAATGCCTTGAGATGTTTGCTGAGATTGCTGAAGACAAAGAAAACTTTGACAAGTTCTATGAGGCTTTCTCCAAGAACCTCAAATTGGGTATCCATGAAGACACTCAAAACCGTGCCAAGATTGCCGACCTTTTGCGTTACAGCTCTACCAAATCAGGAGATGAAATGACTTCTCTAAAAGACTATGTTACCCGTATGCACGAGAAGCAAAAGAACATCTACTATATTACTGGCGAGTCTCGTGCTTCCATTGAAAACTCACCCTTCCTTGAAGGGTTTAAGAAAAAGAACATCGAGGTTTTGTTAATGACTGACCCAATTGATGAATATAGCACTCAGGTAATTTCTTACAGAAGATATAGTCATGTATTACTTTTTTTTTTTAAAAAAAAAAAAAAAACATGTATTAACCAAGTTACGTGTCCTGTAATTAGCAATTGAAAGAATACGATGGCAAGCCCCTTGTCTGTATCACCAAGGAAGGTGTCGAGATCGAAGAAGATGAAGATGAAAAGAAGGCGCGAGAGGAAGAAGAAAAGAAGTGCGAAGGTCTCTGCAAGGCCGTTAAGGAGATTCTTGGCGACAAGGTCGAAAAGGTCGTTGTCTCTAACAAGCTTACTGACTCTCCGTGTGTCCTCACGACCGGTCAATTCGGTTGGTCTGCCAACATGGAGCGTATCATGAAAGCCCAGGCTCTTCGTGACTCTTCCATGTCATCTTACATGGCTTCTAAGAAGACTTTGGAGCTTAACCCTCATCATGCTATTATCAAGAGTCTTGCTGCCAAGGTTGAGGCTGATAGTGGTGACCGAACTGTCAAAGACTTGACTACACTCTTGTACGAGACTTCGTTGCTCACCTCTGGCTTCTCTTTGGACGACCCCAGCTCATTTGCTCACCGTATCCACCGCATGGTTGCTCTTGGTCTCAGCATTGACGAAGAAGATTTGCCTACAGCCGAGACTGACGATGCACCTCCTGCTGAGTCAGCGTCTGCGTCTGCAGAGGAATCCTCTAAGATGGAAGAAGTCGATTAAATCTACTAGATATTTTTATTTTTACTTTCTATAAGAAAAAAATTTCTAGCTGTCTATAGCTTACATTATTCTCTTTAAAAGAATATTTTATGAAATTTGTCAATAAACATTTTTATTATATGTTACTCTATGCGTCTATCATTGGTGTGCATATCTTGGCAATATTCCCTTGCTTCCCTAGTCCTCTCACTCCCCCCACAAATAGGCTCATTCTCCGCTTGATTGGCCCATGTCGGTGATGTCATCTCCTCGGACGCCCTGGCGTTGTAATTTTTTTCTACTTTTTGAAGTGGCAAGTTCTCTGTCCAAACAACCTAATCGTCCATTCCTAATGTCGTTTGCTCGCATCGCTGTCCGTGCCATTGCCTCCAAGGTAACCTATCTTTCTATAGGCCTCTTGCTTGAATAAAATTATACGCAAAAAAAGCAAAGCTTCTCGTCATATTATATATTTTTTCTTTTTTTTTGAATATCTGTAAGATGCTTTATTTTCGGATTTTTCGAAAAAGAAAGAAAGAGAAAATGAAGAAGAGATGACTTCTCGAGTAGAAAGCTAATTATATTCTATATTCTTAATTCAGGCCCCCGTCAATGTCCGTGCTGCCGTTCCTTCCATGGCTATCCGCAGCATTGCCAGCACCTCGGTTATGCAGAAGGGTGAGAAACTTTAAAAGATACGCGTATGTGGAAGACAGGCAATTGATGCGTCCACTATTTTTCAGATGTTGTCCAGGAATTGTTCCTTAAGGAATTGAAGGGTTACAAGCCTGCCCCTGCTGTAAGTAAACCATTGTGATAGAAGTCCGAATTCAATGAACAGACTTTGATGGTTTTTTTTTTGCCTTTATTTGCTTTCTTAGGCCAAGGAGGATGAGTCCGTTGTCAAGGATATCAAGCTCCCCACCCCTCCCGTCTCCCCTGAGGTCGACGCTGACTTGGCCGAGCAGTTGGCTGCTTACGATTCCGAGCCCGTTGAGACTGTCAACTAAAGCAGTTGTACCTTTTCCCTTTTTTGTTTATAAAGAAAGAATTCATCTTTGAAACCAAGAGTTTCGCAATGTAGTTTGTGTGTGTTTCTGGTGATATTTATTGTGTGGGACATTATAAAGTTAGAGGTGTGCCAAAAAGGAAGAGAAAAGAAAAAGGAAAATTATTCGCATACATGTATAAATGTGTGTGTATAACAATATTAGTAAAAAAAATGAGATGATGTACTGGTAATAGCAGGTTCAATTTAAGACTTGTGTTACTTCTTTTTCCTCTACCTTATTCTTATGGTGCCCGATCGCCGTTCTATTGCATGGGCTGCAATCCTCACACCATTAATTGTCATATTATTGACACTTGGGTGGTTCCATCGAGAAAATAGTGGCCCATTAATTGGGTATCCTGAAGACAATGACATAACATTACCTGAACCTGAACCTGTGCCTGAACCTACTGTACCTACTGTACCTACACCTAAACCTGAACCTGCGCCTGAACCTGCTACTGCTCCGGTAGTTGCAGGGTACTTTGTCAATTGGTACGCGAAATAAAGAATCACCACAGTTGCATGATCTTACTCAACCGAATACTTCTCTCAACAGGGCCATATACGATCGTAATTATAATGTAATTGACCTCGCTCGAGATTCAGATAAACTATCCCATGTTCTTTATGCTTTTGCTGATCTCAATGATGATGGTACCATTGTGCTCGGTGTAAGTTTTTGTGCATGTCATATTTCTAGAGATCTTACACAAATATAGGATGCCTGGGCTGACACCGATAAACACTTTGAGGCCTGTATGTATTTTGCACGCAACATATTCTATCTGATCACTAACACTTTCTTCTAAAGCACAAACCGTTGATGGTCACAAGGACACTTGGAAAGAAGCCCCAGATAATAATTTGTATGGAAATCTTAAACAACTGCATCTGTTAAAAAAAAATAAGCGTCATCTCAAGGTCTCCTTGAGCATTGGTGGGTGGTCCTGGTCAACAAACTTCTCGACAATAGCTACAAACACCCAGAAAAGGCACCAGTTTGCTACTACTGCTGTAGAACACGTTGCAACTCTTGGACTAGATGGAATTGATATTGACTGGGAGTTCCCAAAAAATGCAAATGAGGCAGAAGGTTATGTTGAACTATTATCGGCTGTTAGGCAAGCTTTGGATTCTTACCAGCACGAAACCAAAGACAAAGATCGATTCTTGCTCTCAGTAGCAATGCCATGTGGACCCGACAATTACAATATCTTAAAATTAGGTGCTATGGAACCCTTTGTGGATTTGTTTTATTTGATGGCTTATGACTTTTCTGGAGATTGGGATAAAACCACTGGGCATCAATCAGCACTATTTGATGCCCCACTAAACGTTGACCAAGCTGTGCGTCACTTTATTAAGGCAGGTGTTCCGTCACACAAGCTAGTGCTTGGATTGCCAGTGTATGGTCGTGGCTTCTTGGGTGCCAAGGGTCCTGGATCAGCATTTACTAGTTTGCCTAAAGGTACCTGGGATCTAGGCGCGTATGACTACAAAGATCTTCCTCCGCCTGGAAGTTCCGAATATTTCGACGAAGCAAAGGTCGCGTCATGGTCATTTAATCCTACCTCTAAAGAATATGTTACATACGACACTCCTGAAGTCATTGAACACAAGTGCGATTACATTAAGTCTAAAGGACTGGGAGGTGCAATGTTCTGGGAACTTAGTGCAGACTACCATGGGGATCATCCACGCAGCTTACTCAATACTGTGCATCGTAAACTTGGCTCTCCTGATCAAACACCAAATCATATTGAGTTTCCAAATAGTCGCTACGAAAATATAAAATAAAGATGTACTCAACAACACTTGCTTTTGCGTTTATTGTTTATTTATTTATTTTTGAAAATGTGGTATAATGACCCTGAACTTTCTGTAGCTTCTACATATTCCTTAAAAAATCTCTCCTGTGGTGTTGTGCCAAAATTCCATTGTGTTTTCACTCTGCCATTTGATAAATTCCTTAACACCAGGTGAAGCAAGATGTCCAGTAGGACCATTAACGGCAACCCTGAGAGGAATGGTTTCATTTTTTGTGAAAAGATTAAGTGCGGTAGGGATATCAACCATAGGAGGGATTAAAGATAGAGAATATTCTTCACTCCCATCGATGTCACCAAGAATAAGACCTTTGCTGACCCGAGGGAGACTACAATCCCATGCAACATCTTCTTCAATCATGTCCACAACGTCATCAATACGATTCTCTAACTCTTTGAGGTTGTAAAGTCTCTTTGTAATTTCAACGATTAGCTCTTCCAATCGAGTCTTGAACGTAGGTATTTGCATCATCTTTGCTATCAAAGGTCGCAAATGAAAGCAAGGAAAATCCGAGTAATTTCCGGTAGTCATGGATACGGTACTAATGAAACCAGCTCCAAAAATCAGATCGAGATCTGATGGTAGATAAATATAACGCTGGGTTTTGGGGTCAAGGTAAAGATAATAATTATTCCCTGTGCCAATATAACCATCTGAAAATCCCAGAAGAATCTCAAGGGCAATGCTAATTTTGAATAGTGTATTTAGATTTTTGTTTTATTGAAACTTTAAATAACTTACCAACGAAGAAAGCTTTCTGTATCAAGTTTTTTATTCCAAATATGTACAGCATTCGGCGTATCTGTAGGTGCGTCTTTGATAAATTTTGTAAACTCAATCAATGGGTCAAGACTTGCTATCCCATTTGTTGAATCAGCCTTGATTTTGTAAGCCCCGGTCTCGTACTTTGTTATATTTTGGTAGTAAGATAAGTCAGAAAGGGTAATGTTCACATTTCCATTGTCTACTTGATAGACTGCTTGATAAAGAATTCCTTGCTCATATTTTACATTGCCGTTTGCAAACTCATTACTGAGCCAAGGATCTTTATAATTTTCAATAAGCCCAAAGAGACCAAGAGGACGATCATTCATTATTACTCTGTAGGTATAAATATGTATGAGTGCATAGCTTTGACTTGGATAAAGTACCCACAATAGCCTACCTGACGTAAGAAAACTCGGTCGCAGCTAGTCCAGCTGCCTTAACAATATCATAACCAATACTTTCGCGAATATACGAATCGTCATTGTTAATAGCACGTAGCTTGAGCCGACGGTAACCATACAAATGGTTTTTAGCTTTTTTTTTCAGTTTGATATTATAAGAAAGTTTGCGAAAGGTGCGAGAGCTAAGACCACTTATTTCAAGCTCGACATTAGAGAAAGTATGTATGCCGTGAGGGCTATGGGTTGTAGTAGAGAAACATTAGTGTGTATAGAGAAATAAGTGGCATTATATCAAGATTACCTGATGTAAGATACATTAGCGGCTACTAAACTTTCTTCCATTGGATTATTGTGCATGTTGTCAAATGCTGATTGATTTCCAGACAAATGAATGGTAGCGATCTCACCGTCAATATGCAAAAGAGACTTTATACGATCGATTGATGGAATTGGAGGAAGGGCTGATTTCAATTTGGAAAGTACGCGAGTGTTCCATGGGCGCCCAAAAGTTTCATTTGGTGTACTCTCCTCTGTTTTGTTACGACTGAAATTCTCGGTCTTCATACTGTTCCTTCCGGTACTCATCGAATACTTGTAGTCCTTGGATGCTATAGGTGCAGACCCAGTATAAAGTACAGGGACTTGGGCCGACTGTAATAGGGGGTATGATATAGTATCTACCACAACGCTAATATCCTGTCTGCCACCTTCGAGAGATATGACACTGTAAGTAATTTGATCTTTAGCTTTTGCGGCTGATACAACTGCAAAAACTGCAAAAACTGCAATGTAAGAGGTGCAATGTATTAATACAAGCGAGTTGCATAAGTTGCATAGCATATTATCTACTCACATATAGACGTTATACGCATTGAAAGTACTTTAATTTATAAAAATAATAGTAAACAATGTGTCATAATAAACTTTTAACATCTTTTTATATATTTCTGGATTCGTGTGGGACAAAATGCTGAGCAAGCTGCCATACACGTTTCGCATATAAAATACAAATGTATACCCCAATATGACAGTTTGATATTGTCTGCAATGGAAATACATATATATATATCAAGTAGGTTTTTTTTTCTTTCTTGGAACCATTAGATTCGAGAAAGTAGTCATGTTTGCTCGATTTATCTTGATTTATTTTTAGTAATCCTTGCTAAGCATATTTCTGCACCAAGAAATATTCGTTGCCATGACTCGCTCTTAAGCCACTAGACACTCTATAAGCTACTTAGTGTTATATGCTTCGAATAAATATTTTAAGATGCCTCGAGATACTCTATTTCAGCTAAAGTATAAGATGATATTAACAACAAATACAAACATAAATATGATAATCAGTACCAACCACCAAATGGGATATATATAGTAGATATTTCAAGCAGGTTTTACACAGATACTCTTTTAATAACCAGATTTATTAAGATTTTTACTTGGCTAGATTATTTACTATTTTTTCTTGGCAAGCCCTAATGTTTAATAGTTAGGACAACACTGAAGCCTGTTGAAACCGCAGCTACGTATAAGACCCTCCAAAAAGACGTTGTATTGTGTGAACTTAGAAATGAATTGAAGTTCAGACAGTTGACATTTTTTTTTTCTTGTATAGATAATTAATGCTTCTGGGTAACAGCTATTATAGAGCTTGAGATATGTATTATATCCAAAAAAGAAACTAGTTGGCTTTATTTAATGGGGGGATATGGTCACTATTACTTTTTTTTAGAGTTTCTGATCTATGATTTATTATAACGTATGTATTATAGATTGTTTTCTATCTAGGTTTTGTCTCTCTTTCCAAAGCCATTTCAAAATTTGCTTCATAATTGTAGGCTTATTAGGCTCGCCTGAATATATATGTATGTATTGCAAGTACTCTCTATCAAACTTTGATCTGGATCTTTGTATTGCCACTTGAGAGCATATATGCCAAGATTTTCTTTTCGTTTTCTTGATATGGATTTTTTGTGTGATGCTGTATTATTGTCTTAGAAACTTTACAGTATTCTTAAAAGCTATATACATACCTTCCAAAATAAGATCATCTTCTTTCCAAAGTTAGATTTATATAGCTTCAAAGACATTATATTCACATCTTTTTTCTAAGGGTAAGAAAGAGCAAGAACAAACACGCAAACATAGTGAGTTTATTCATTTACTACAAAAAAAGTAGCCAGTAAATTGCAGCAGATAAAAACAAAAATAAGAATAGAAGTATTAGAAAATACTCAGACTTCCTCTTCTAATAAAGACATGCTTTTTACCACCTCTTCCCTTTCTGTGAGATTTCCACTTGGTAGCTTTCTGTAATCTCTTCGCCCTAGGTATAGAAATAATTACGGCCTTGTTTTCCCCTTTTCTGACCTCAAATACCAAATACTTTCCCAATCATCTGGATTTCATTCCTTCATTCCCCTTCTCCTGCTCCTGCTCATCCCACAGGAGATCCTGATAGGATTGTACCTTAGTATTATTTAGCCATGCCTTTATTTCTAAAAAGGTTGGACATATGGCTGCGGAACATGTCAATAAATATATAAACAGCTGTAAATTTCTACGCTGCTCAAGGTTTTAAAATATGTAGTATCTGCATAAATGTTCAGTATTAAATCTATATATATAAACTGATATCTACTCTTATTACATTCACGGTAAAAAAAAAAGTTTTAACCCCGCAAAGAATGGCTAAAAAGTAAAAATAAGAACATCGTTTCCTCACCATGTTATTAATCGAATCAGATACGAAAGACATGGTTTCATTAGAAAACGTCAGCGGTGCATATTATAAAAGTTGTTCCCACAAATATGAATGCCGTATCTATGTGCATCCAGGAGATTTCGGTGCTGCCTATATGTCATTAATAGTTGGCATGAGCCTATCAACTGTCGAGTACTTCATTAAAATAGTGGATAAATCAAAGCATTCAGAGCTAATAAAAGGGTTTAAAAGGGTTAGATATATTGAGGGGAAGACAGAAAGTCATACGATGTAAATGGTTCAAAAGGACTCTTTTGTCTCATATTCTAGGCTTAATGCCTTTTTTAAAAGGAGATAAAATTATTCCTCTGTAGAAATATAATAGTTAGCTGTCCAAAGCGTTTGGAATTTGGAGCATGTATTGCAGCAAATAAGCCAAACTAAACAGAAGGCCACGAGAAAAGGCAGGTATATTGAACTCGTGGGGATGTCCATTGGACCGATTAATCTATATTTATAGTCAAATGTAATAATAAATTAACCAAATCTATCAGAGTAGTTAGCGAAAGGTTCAAGGAAGAACGTATAATTGAGAGAATCTAGTAAGGGAAGGATAGTGTGATTATTTGGCGCTAGTTCTATACAGGTGATTTCAGGCCTTTGGTGTCCTTAGACGGCAATCCAAACCAATACCAATACGCGAACAGCTTGGCTCAGAACTTCTCATCCGGTTTCCAAAAAAAAAAGAAAGATACGATACGATACGATAACACAAAAGCCACTTTATGTTCCAAGAAGACAACGCCAGCCTCCATGCCGGCCTATATTTGAAGTGGTGAAAGGACAGTTACGAGATCCGGGGTTTTGACTAATGGCCAGCTCAGAGCGTGGATATCAAGCCTATTAAGCATCTCTAACGGGCTATCTAAAGAAGCATGAATAATAAGAGGGCAAACATCATAAATCGTGACAACCTTGAAGGCTGACATGCAACAAGAGTAGGAAAAAATAGATATCGGCCTCTTGTCAGATTTGGCAGTCATCATGCAACATCATTGCCAAGCTGTAATTAATACCAAGGGAGCAATACCAAATATTAATATTTTTTCTTTTTCTTATATTTCAATAAGTATGTATATCGCCTTGTATTTGAAGCTTAAATGCTTTAGCTATTATTACTGATGAGCAGTTGCATGTTGAAAATATGCTTTAATTTCTCTCGTGTCTTTTCTCTCTCTCTTTAGGCTCAGATGTCGGAATATTTTTGCTTTTGGCTGTATATTACTTCATATAATACTCCAGCATATGTTTGGTTCGTGGTCGAATAAAAAGGCGGGACTATTAAATATATATGATCTGATTTATCTAATGACTTTACTTTGCAGGTGGATATCTTGGGACATATACATGTGTCATAATGGACTTTTAGTTATTATTATTATTATTATACAGAATTCATGTAGTACATAATGCTAAGCATACTTTTTATTGACGCTTTGGATAATATTTTCTGTGGAATCTGTATAATAAAAAAATTGAAATCATGTACTACTTATTTTTATATCTTATATTTCTTATTCTTTAAAATGAGTGCCGCTTGGCTCGTTGGGCATCATCTTAAGTAAATATAATTCCTAAAATAGAAAAAAAAAACTTTAGTTTGCGTTTCCTTTATTCTATACAGTACTCATATTTTCCAAGTTTTCTAGGCTCTTTGAAATGAAATATATCTTTAAAGCTTTAAAGACAAAACAATGATAAAAATGCTGTTTATTTCAGTGATATCTACAAGTACTCTATTTATACGTAAATAAGAAATGTATCAATTGATTAGTATAGACATGTTAGGGAATGCTACAGAAGGGAAAAAGAGAACTTAGAGGGAAATCCAGAAGTATGTTCTCTATTTTTCTGTTTCTCGTTCTTTCTATCGTGGATAATTATACACTTTTACTATACAATATATTTTAAGCTCTATTTGTTAAACAACATATTCTTCTATCAATTAATTTGATACATTCAAGCACTGTCCTTTATGCTCACGGTACTCTCTTCAAAGGTTCAGGTAAGGTTATAACCCTTTTTCATATTTCTGAGCTCGGGCGCCATATTCAGCCTTTCATGGTATTCTAAGATATTATTACAACCAGCCTTTCTTTTCAATCTTATTAATATTCTTATAAATCATTCTATATAATTACATATGACAGTCTAAATTGTTTGGAAAACATGGCTTTGTTACAGCTCGAGCATATTTTATGGGATAAAGCTCCTGCTGTTGTATTGAACTTCAAACACATCCCTAACCTATCTCGACATGATATCCCAATTTCTGATAGGTTTACTGGTGTTATTCAAGCTGAAAGTACCATAACAGAAAACGAATATGTTTCGGAGGGTCAGCATATGAGACAAATGCTGCAAAGTTCTAGAGGAATAACACTAAGAAGAAGAAAAGATGGATCGTTTGACCTGGATATCGCCAGATATTTCTCAAGGATGACAGTTAGTAAGTCATTAGGTAGATTCTTTAAAAAAAAATAGAGTCTTACCTTAATATCATTTTCTGTACTCCGTGAGGGGTAGAGTGGGGTGCTTTACATTGATTGCAGAAAACGGGCATGGTGGTACAAGAGTGGTATATTAAAATAAAAATGGCTTTTTTTGAACTATAATGGAAAAGCGATAGGTTTACTATAGTGTTTCTACTTGAGATTGAGACAAGGAATATTGAATAATTTAAATAGATTTATGTGACTGATCCCTGTTTTTGTTAAAATTTATATTTATCATGCTCGCACTTTCAGCAGATCACATCAGTCAAGTAATGACTTACTATTGATCATGTTAAGGCTATGTACTTAAAATATTTGTACAAGAAATAAGTATTTCAAGCATTCGATAGTTTACTTTGAGCTTTGAATATATAGATAATAACTTCTTTTTGTCATTAGATATCATCTTTGGGTACTATTGATCCAGTAAAATTTCAAAAATATGATATACAATTTACTAATTGGTAATTTCTAGCAAGAATGTGCAGAATGTCTTATTCTTAGATGTCAATGCTGCAAGCAAACAAGTTTCACCGCATGAATCCTGGTGTGCTACAATAAGATTCAGTGTAATGTTTAATTAGGTGCGACGGTTCACAGAATCATATCAACAAAGTCCGTGTTTACAACGAGGGGGTGTTTTAAAAGGTTTAAAATTAGCTAACACTATAGGAAATGGAAGAATTTATAACTCTGAACTCGTAGGCAATATACGGGTTCTTATATCATTTACAAACCCATATATTGCCTATGAGTTCAGAGTTATAAATTCTTCCAACAGCATGTCAGCTTTTAGTAAATTAAAATTATTTTCACCAAATACTATTTATGAGATTTCAGATTATTACGCATCTAATCCAATCAAATACTTTAAACATGGTAGATCTACACCTTTTTTTTTAGGTATCACTATTCTTATAAGTGGTTCAACAAATTAATGATGCTTTGTATTGGAATTTTATGGCTTTTATTGGTCAAAATAATAGAAGAAGTATATAAAGAAGAAATTCTGATATATATGATATTTATTAACAGTTTAGGCTATAAATTGGATATATGATATACATTCATCTATTGCTACGAGCTATTCTCTAAATACTATGATATTGATAAAGGCATGTATACTGTTTAATTGATTCTTTTTATCAAAGAGTATAAACCTATTTTGTGTTGCCCTTTCTATATCTGCTTCCTACTTTTTTAAAATCCAAAATAATGATAAATGAATATCACCCTAAGAACTGCTTATAAGATTTCTCAGGATATTTGTAGACAGTGTAATGAAATCTAATGTAGCCCGGGTTCAGAGGGGTTTGTTACCGAATGGTAAGCTATTAGATTTGAATAATTTTATTGTCTTTAGTTCTTGTACTGAGTTGAAGAAGTTGGGAAAAAGATAGTTTACATAGACTGCAAAAACACGGTGGCGTAAAAAAATGGGATATATATATAAAAGAGAGAGAAATTGGTGGTTAATTAAAATCCAATTATACAACCCTACAAAACTTGCAACAATTCACTAAAATCGCCTTTTTTTTATTTCTATAGGGTAGTTCGTCTTGCTGTACTGATGAGGTTGGCCAAAGGGTACATATTAATTTCTATCTTACTATTATTTCTGCTGATACACATTGTATTTAAAGCAGAATTATAAAAATGTTAGGATGACACAATTAGTCTTAAAATAAATATTATCATCATCTTACTAGAGACCTTTGGGCACTTGGATTTTCGACCTAAGGAATAAACCCATTGCCTTATATAGGAAAATAAGTGTGACACTAACACCATCAATCTACACCTTTTATCAAGGTTTGACGATAAAATTGACAAACATCAATAAAATGTGTAGCCAATAATTTTATTCTATTCTTTCTTCTAAAGTGACGCTATTAAAATAGCAAAAAATATAAAAATATAAAAGTTTCGAATATAAACCTACAATGGCATAAGCAAGATCTCGGTATACATTTCTATTCCCAGTTTTCCAATTTAAATATCAAATAACCAATTCAAGCAAGACAAAATACTGAATACACAAGCTCTAATAAGACTCGTATACACACACACATATATATAAAGTATGAACATTTTGGTTTGAATCAATAATATACATAAAATTCTGAAAATATAGCAAAGGGATACCCAGAAAGCTACTGTGCAATTAGTAGACCTTTTATGAAAAGCATGTGGAGCTTAGAATATTTCAAGTTGAAGTCTTTAGTTGGCTAGAGTCCTGTACAACTTTGCAGATCTGAGTGCTCAAAGGTCTTTATTAACATCGAATTAATGACCTAACATTGGTTTTTATAATAAACAAGACAGTCTATAAAATTGTTAAAATAGAATGGAAATGAGGGGGGAGGTTTTCTTAGAGGGTAAGGCTGAGAGGTAGAATATACGAATAACAATGAGCGTATAAAGAAAGAAAGAAAGAAAGAAAATCTTGACTTTGTTATTTCTTTCAGACTGCAATACATTGGGTAAGTTAAGCTCAGCCTCACGGCATTACTGTAAACCTTTTCTCTTCTTCTTTTTCATTTGTACCTGTATTTCAATGACAGAATTAACCATGTGGTATACACACCACAATTGAGTGAAACACAAACTCCACGACCAAACTCTCTGGTTCCCTTCTTGCTAACGGGTTTGACAAGCTAGTAACCTCCCAAGGCTGTTTAACACCAAACGCATGTACATTACGCACTCTTACTATGTGAATCGTGTAAATTGCCAATTCATTGTTAAGAAGACCCTATCTTGTATTGTTTATACACCAGAGAGAGGTAAAACATGTCACATTTACATTGGCAAGATAGTTGCTGAACGCAAGCCATTTACATATATCTATTACCCTCATACATTACCTCATTGTCACGTTGATCCCTACAGCTTTATTGAAACAAACAACTCCAGTATACCTAATGAAAGCAATAGCTTACCAAAGTATCAATTGCAGCCATTGCTTTTCTTTGATTGGAATTTTTCTTTTTTGAAAATAAAAGACTACCCCTTTGGGATTCATTATTTTTTTTAAAAAAAAACCGCCCTTTGGTGTTGGAACGATTGTATCACACACCTTTATAAATTCGAGAGTGATTTGAATTAAGCCAAATAAAGGGACCTAGTGTGATGGATAGAGCGACATTATATGCGCCCCGATGCATTCACACAAGTTTGTCTGACTTGGAAATACATATAAAAAAAAAGAAGCACACCAGTTTAACCAAAACTGTAATTCATTAAGATAAAAAAAAAAGGATATCCTTATAGACAGCTCAGGTGTTTTTGAGCTTAATGGTAAACTCTCGGATGACTTTTGTATGCTATATATTTTTTCTCTTACCAGTAGCCTTCTACAGTGTGTGGGTATGTTTTTTAGGCTTATTTACTATATATATATATATACATATGTTATAACTCATTAAGAAAAACCGGATTTCCAAAAATAATAACCGTGGAATAAATGAAAGGCTACAACATTAAATAAATAAAGCGTTTTTTTAAAAACTGGAGACTTAATGATGTCACTATTAACTGTAGTTTAGTATCATCAGGTGCTTCATTACTGCACAGTAAAGCTCTTTTTGAATGACATTTTTTTTTATAAGAAAAAAAAATATCCCTCGAGATTTTCAGTCGACGTATATTCCTGACAGGATCTGGAAAAGATGATATGTGGATATATTGGTGTGTCTATATGTACTATATTCAATGAGCTCTAGGCTGGCAATTTGTAGTTATGTGGGAGAGGAGATTTTCAGGACAGAATTTTGGTGAGAATAGAAAAATCTCGGTAATCTTAATCTTTTACGGGTTAAAATTATTATTCTATATTAGGGCTACATGAATGATTACCAACGATATTTCTTTGTCTCTTGTAAGTGATATTCATAATATGACCACATAACCACAAGCCTTTACAAAAATCTGGATCCTTTCTTGGTCTGTTTTGTTTTACGTGTCCGTGTTTAAATATCTGCAGTAATTTATTTTTCTATCGCTATCTTGCGATCTTTATGGCCAAGTACCCGGTATCTGGATTGATTTAGATGGTATTATATGGTATGGTCTCTGTTAGTTACATTATATATATATATATATATATATATATGATCATTTAGGATTTTGGTAAATTTTAATCAGACAATAATAATAATAATAATCTTGTATTATGCTCACCGCTGTTTAAGCTGGGAGAGACTTTCTTGATAACATACAACCAGTTTTTTTCTTTGTTTATTGGGAGATAAAGAGCTAATGTAATTTAATGTAATAATAAGTACGTAATATACAAGCGTATCAAACGCTTTTTTTTGGCTTGGTTTGGTTTGGTTTGGTTAATGCACGGTTACTTCTTTGAAGTTTTCGTTGATTTCGACGGGCAATTATAATAGGGTCGTCGTCGTCGTCCTCGTCCTCGTCATCATCATCGTCATCAAGGTCAGGGGGAACAAAACTTTGTATGTGAGTATGTGGAGTGATGATTGGCTGGAGAACTATGGCATCAGATATGCATCCGTGCTTTGGAAGGGGTGGCCCAGACTGATTGTATAGAGGCATTGGTGCAGCGATAGATTTAGGTCTATAAAGGTCATGAGGTGTGGTCGATGAAGAGGAGCGTCTAAAGACATTATCAAGGTGAGATTGGGTGGTACTGAGGGATGTGTTGCGTGAGAGAGAGGAGTCGTCCCAAGATAGATGGGTAAGGTATGATTCCGAAGATGCTGAGGATCCGTTAGAGTGCTTTGATGACCGAGACGCACCAGAACCGGACCTGCCGACCCCTGTCTCGACCACCAATATCGGCCGAGAAGATTTTTGCGGCTGGAGTTGAAGGTATTGAAGGTCTGATATAGAATCATGTCTTTCTTCTCTTTTCTCTATTCTTTCTTTGTCTTTGTATTTGTATCTATATCTGTCTTGTATTTTATCTTCTTCTTCTTCTTCTTCGTCGTCGATATTGTCTTCGTCGTCTTTTATTTCGCTGACCATGGTAGGACGTTTGGACTGATATATTTCTTCGTCGTCTTCGTCATCTATTGGTACTGCGGTAGGAGGCCAGGTACCGACCATCATTGGTATATCTAGTGCCTGCTTTTTTCCATCGATCAAAAATCGTACGCGAATTTTATAGTCGATCTTTAAAGACAGGTGAGCAGTCGATGGTGGAGTTGATGTAGGTATCGTCAACTGGCATGGAATGGATTGTGAAAAGTTGAAAGGACCGATGATGTTTAGATCGAATTGTCTTGATCGTAATACGTCTTCTTTCTTTTGTGAATTTCTATTGGAATAATGAGTTATTAAGTAATGTTATATATCTATGCTTACTTGTCTGTTTGCATTTCAATTGTTCTTATCAATTCAACCGATATTGCGTTTTTTAGCACGAGGAGTTCAGAGTGACTGATTGTTATGTTGAGACAAACTATTGCACCTATTGTTTTGGATTTGTGTTTAGAGAAATGAGATGAAGAATTGTGGGATTACCTCTTGTAAAACCAAGGCGGTCCATAGACACTTTACAATAAAATTTTGTGGCAAGAGATGGTCTTGGTAAGGGTATTTCGACTATTCTTTCTTGAGCCATGCTTAGGTGTGGTGCGTTCACGTCAATGAGTTCCAGAATAGGTACGGAATACCCTATTTTAGGTGAAAGGGATTCCAAGACTAGAGGTCGGTCCTGTACTACGGTCAGCCTATAGCGTACACTAGCATTCTTTTTGTGCTTTTTTTTTGAATGATTGGTATAGGATGCTGAGCAAGAGTTGTGAGATTATATATATGTGTATATATCATACCTCCATGGTGCTTGGTAGGTTAAGGTCTGCGGGTACGACAAATTCGAATGGGAAGTGATGCTGCCTTGCTTCCAATACGTGTGCTTTTCCAGATTTGCTAACGGCAAGAATCTTTGTTATCTGAAAGAGGGGGATTGTCTTTTTGTCCTTGATGGACACTGTGATTTCGCCTGTGAAGCGAAGCTGAAGATGGTTTGTGCGAGTCGGACTCTTTGGGTGGACAATGATAGTACCTGGGATGATATGTTTGATTATTTAAGAAATCTATTGAAGAAAATATAATTTTACCTTTGAGGATATCGCCTGGGAAATAAAACTTTTCGTCATGGAGGATGATTCCAAGAGGTTGGTTTGAATGCGATCGATGTTTCATAGTGGAGACACCTTGTGTCTAGGTATTGATAACTAAGAAAATGATGTATTTGATATAGGTCTTTAATAAGACTATATATATATATATATATATATAAAATAAAAAGTAAAAGAAAGAGAGAGAAAGAGAGAAATCCAAAAGGGAAAAAATAATCAAAGAAAAATATTGATTTGAAAATGATCCAGAATTTGCCATCAACAGCCGTCAAAATACAATATAAAGAATATATATGTATAAAAGATGGATATTCTTTATGTGAGTGTAACGTTGTCTTAAGATGGAGATTGTCTTTGCGTCAGACTATCCTTAAAAAGTGGATCATTTGCAAGGGATCTCTTTCTCTCTCTTAAAAGGATGAATTATTGTGTGCGCGTATATCTTTTTTATTATAAAGAACAACTTGACTTGTGACCGTGAGGATTCTATCATCATACTCACTTGGAATTATGTATGTGTGCTATTCTTTGGATAATTAAGCGGCATGCCTTTCTCTCATTGTGTTGAATCACCTCCCCCACAAACCCCCTTCTTGGCTGCATTGAATCGGTTATTCAATCGATAAAATGATATCTTTTTTAAGAATATTTGACACATCAGAGGGGTTCAATATGCTATTTAATCAGACAAATTCCATCAATCTATGTTGCTTTTGGCGTGATTTATTCACTATGAACCATATCTTTCTATTACGCGGGAAAACTCTCGCCCTATTAAAATTGAAAATGTGACTTTTCACACCTTAAAAAAAAATCGCGTGCCCCTGGTTTCTTTCAGTTCTACTCATCTCTCTTTCTTTCTCTTTCTCTTTTTTTTTTTTGCTCTTGAATATACATATATACATATATAGCAATATATATCTATCTCCATAGCAATAAATATAACAAATATCAATATCAATATCAATATCAATATCAATATCGATATCGATATATAAATTATATATTTAGAATCTAGATTTACATTTAGATTTAGATTTAGATTTAGATTATTTAATTCTCTTCCTCTTTCTCTTCCTCTTCCTCTTTCTCTTCCTCTTTCTCTTTTGCTTTTGCTTTTGCTTTTGCTTTTGCTTTTGCTTTTGCTTTTGCTTTTCTCTTTTGCTTAAAATAGAAATATAGAATGTCTTTTGCGTTCCCTTTCTTTCTAAAGAACGGTGTAAAAAAAAAGCAAAATTATTCTGCAGACCATCACCAATCTCTAAACAGCGCAAGAGAACAAACTTACCCAACATTGGCATCTATGATTCAATCAAGAGCATCACCAGACCCTTCTCCTACATCATCATCACATCCTCATCCAGCCCAAACAGTCACGCAAATTCCCTCTACACAATACCCACTCGAACCAGAAGAACTCGAAGACAACTGTTTCTACCAGTACATTCGCTCCCATTTTAACCAGATATTTGCACACTCTACCGTAGTTTGTGTTCCTCATTCCAGATCATTGGAAGGCCTTGTCCTCACAAAGGATTTTATTGGTACGTTTCTCACCAACCTTTTCTTCTTCTTTTATGTATATATATCTTCATACTCGACATACTGGAAAACCTTACAATCAGATCACCTTTTAAGGAAATTTCTAATCATGTTATTCTATGGCTCTGGCTCTTCTTTTCACCCCCACCCTAACCCCATCACCTCCTCTATATTTTATTATTTTCTTAACACGTCTATCTGTCTGTGTTATTTTGATATTCTCCCTCCAACTTTCATTCTTACCTATATATATATCATAATCTATTTTTCTCTCAATAATCATGATAATGATAATAACGATTGCTGGTGTGTGGTTTTCTTAAAATTATTTCATGTAGAAAGCCATTCATTTATTGCATCACCATATTATCAAGGACAATACCAGGCCACAAATGGAAAAGTTATTTCTATTGAGCATATTATTATCAGTACAATGGGCGGTAAATGTCTATATACATACATATATATATATATATATGGTTAGTGTTTCTGGTAAACTTATCATCAATTTATACAGGCTTTCGTGAAAAGAGAACTGTCCATGTAACTGCTGAAGAGCTTGTGTATATATCCAACAAGAAAATCAGAGTATTCATGATCGAACGGCCTTTGGAAGGAGAGCCGATTGTAAGTCGCCAGTCTAAACCTGTATTAAATATGACTTTTCTTTTTTGGTTGTTGTTAATCATGCATATCAACAGCAACAATACCGCAATCCAAACACAATTACTATTCCTACGATTCGAAATTCAAGAGCGTAAGTATACATATTTATATATATATGTGTGTGTGTGTGTTATTTAATTAAAGGGAGTGAGTGAGTGAGTGAGTGAGTGAGAGAGTAGAATATTATAGCTGTGTCTGTGTGTGTGTGTGAATAATAGATATATATATATATATAAATAAATAAAAGGGAGAGATTTTCATCAAAATTCCAAAAATAAATAAATTTAGGGATCTCGAGTTTCTCGCATTTTTCCCAGAAAACAATGAGGCTCTCAATGAACTCCAAATTACGGTTGGCAAATTTGTCTCTACCTATGTCTATATACGCGGATTTAATACCTACACAGTCGATAAGATTATACACATTTATGACAAAGCATGCAAGGTAAATATATAATAAATATATAATAAATAAATTAAATTAAATTAAATTAACACACAATCTAGACAATTTCCCAAAAAAATAACCTCTTTAGAGACGCAATCTCCATACAGTCAGAACACGATCACTTTCTAGAATTAGTAGAAAAGTAAGCTTATGTGTGCTTTACATCATTTTATTTTTATTTACTAACCTGCTCTCAAGCGTGGTGATGGGGTTCTTGCATGAAAAGATCTGGATCCAATCCTTACGCTTCTTTTTGCAATCACAAGACACATATATCGAATCTCTCTCAAAAGCCTATGCCAAAGAATCAATCACTCTACGCCAATACACAGTCAGTTACCCCATTGCAGAAATGCCTCTTTCCTGCTTTAGGAAAGCCATTGTATGTCTACGTCGAGTAGACCTCGATGTCGCTCCTCTACCCTCGCTCGATGATGAAAACGTTATGCCAAAAGACCAACCTGCATTCACGCCTCTAGAAAAACTTGCCTGTGTAAAATCAACCCTCGATCTCATCACAGCAGCAGTCGATCGTTATGTCAACAGTTTATCGGTAGATTCTACAAATAACGGTAAAAAGCAGTACTAACAAAACAATATATCACTCTGTAAACACAAGCTCTCAACAATACATTTCTTGATATCCATATAATTTTCTATAGACTCTACTGTCACCACTGACGAACTAATTCCTCTTCTTGCCTATGTCCTCATGCACAGTCGTATCACTAGAGTAGCCAGTCTTGCATTCTATATGGAGCATTTCAGACTCTCTCATATCAAACGGTCCGAGCACAAGTAGGTAACTATCTTACAAAATTCTAAATGCTAACACCACGGTCGAATGGGCGAGTTCAGTTTTGCTCTGGTTACCTTGAAAGCTTCCATCGAATTCCTCAAAGGTGACCCTCTCTCGATTATGGATGCCTGTTCTAATGCCTCTACCCTCTCAAACACATCCACGTCTTCGGCAATTCTTGCACCACAACTACAAACCCTTCGCACCCGATCTACATCATTTGGCACTCCTCAGTCACCACCTCCACTACAATCTCAACAACTGCCTACTTCTTCCTTATCTTTATCCTCATCTTCCGCAGACTCCCCAACACAACCCAACTTGCATTATCGCTCAGTCTCGCTGACTACTCAGCACATTTCTGAAAAAGCCTCTCCCACCACAACCGCTCCGCTCACGCTACCTATCTATCAGCACTACCAGCATCACCAGATCAAACACCTCCAACGGATCCAGCAACAACCTATTCAGCACCATCAGCAACCTCGCCATCCCGCCACTGCTAGAGTTCTTCGACATCGTAAATCTCAAAGTGCCGACCTGCAGAATATCCATCAGACAAAGTCTGTGTCTGAGAGTGATAGTCAGTTTGAGCGTAGCCGGCACAACTCCCTGGCTCCAAATGTGCTTGTTCGTCCGCCGATCGTGCTGCCGAACCTTCGTGAAAACCGCAAAAGTCTCGACATACCTAACGACTGGATGATGCACACCAATCATCTTGGCGATACTCCTACAATAACACCCAATTCACATAGTCGCCCGCCATCATATGCAGGTCCCAAGCATTCAACGCTCGGCTACACTCGTCCCATGGTCTCAACCACATTTCCCTCTATATCAAATTCTACTCCTCTACCCGCTCTTGGCTACCTCGATATGTCACCACCTGATAAGGATGAGACTTCCTGTGGAATCTTCTCTTCCAGATCGGATTATACCTCAAACCATACTAGCGGACACGGACATGGGCATGGTCATGGTCACAGCTACAGCCTTAACTTGGATAATAATAATAATAATAATAATATAAGCAGCAGTAGTAGTAACAGTTCTAATGGTAGCAGACATGACCATCTCCCCGATGCTCCTCGTTTAGCCCGCTCACTCAGTACAACCTCAACCATGCCTAGACGATTCGATACTATGAACAATCAGCCCCCTACTATTATTAATATTCGTGATCGTGTTTCGTTCGACAGTATCAAAAGACCTGCATCTATATGTATTGATACCCGATCTATGCATAGTAATGGAAGTGGAAGTCAGGAGGATGTTGGAGAACTCATGGGGGATTTCTTGCGTGGGTTGCAGAGCATGGGTGGAGACATTGTCGGTGAACGCAGTGGGAAGTATAGAACTTTCCGTGATTAATGAATGCCTTTTCTTTTCTTTTCTTTTCTTTTTACATCTTTTTTCTATCTCCTCAAGAAGACTCACAAAACAAAACAACAACAACAACAAAAAAAGACAATGCCAATGAAAGAAGTTTCTTTTTCTTTTCTTTTACTCTTTGATACCTTCTTATTCTTCTTTTATATCTATATATCCTATTTGTGGTCAAAATATTCTTGAAATTATATGTACCTTTCTTTAAGCAACCAAAAAAAAA